ACAGTGGACAAACACAAAGAAAATGTTAGGGGAGAAAGGAAGAAATTGTGAGCTGGCAAGAACATCTTTTGTATCAAAAACAAACTTACACGTGATAGAAATGGACGTGGGAAAATGGACTTATGCAAAATTTCCTTCGTCTTTTGTGAGAGATCATATTTTTTCTAAAGGACTCAAGTAATATAATAGTAATGTTAGTAAGTAAAATTATTACAATCTACTTGAAATAGGTTGTCAGAAAACTGTAATATTTACCCTATCTTGTAATTACTATATATGTCTTGTTTAAGTCTTATAATCCATTATATTCATGTCAAATAATTCCTTAAGAATATATTCCAATTACAATTCTGTTCCTACAATATATACTTATCTCTGTCATAAATAAGCATAAAATGCATTATATAGCTCACTAATACTTGTCAAATAGACAAGGGTATACAATTGTCTGTTTGATTTTGTGATGACTGTTTATCGGTCCCACCTTTTGTTGCGCACCTCGATTAATGTCACCTTTGCCTCTGCAGCCCTGGCGCTCAGACACTCTTTCCCAATACTTTTGTTTCATTAATAAAACTAAAGGCACAGGCGGAGCTTCTACGTGACGGAACGAATCACACCGATGCTCTATCCGAGATAGCTGAAGACGAATTTCCGTTTGACTAGGATGTTCAAGCTCGTTCCAATAGGATATTCTGGAATTCCGCTGCTTTATCCTAAACAAGATAATTTATGATCCTAACATTCACAATATTGTACATACATGTTTGTATTTGGAGTGTATTCATAGCTATCGTTGCTGTATATCAAATTCTTTCTGCAGTAACTTACCAAAAGTAACTATACAGATGGCATATGTTCTAATTCATGTCATCAGCCAATTCCTCTAGGTCTTCACCGATTCTGTCCGCGTGCTGTGCTACAGCCGTCAACCATCCAAAAGAAACTTGATAAGACTACGATGTTCAAAACAGGAAGACAATAAAAGAACGTACAAAAGACAGGATACGACGCATTCGTAGGGCCTGCACATGTCCGTAGCGCATTGACGAGACGATTTATTCTAGGTCGCAGTGCGTTATGCTGTGAGCAAATTTCGCGTGTTTGCGCTTCATGCTTTAGGTGGTCGAGCCTCTCAATGAATACCTTTCCAGCAGCTGACCCAATAACCTGCAGTATACAAACCCGATAATATCAGAGGGTGAACCGTAAACGGACAGGGGTGGTACTTGCAGCAAGGATGGGATCTGGTACAACATTTCGAGCATCCCCTTCATTCTCATTAGTTCTGGACGATATGAATTCCAAAATAGCGAGTATCTCATTAGCATGCTGCAGAGAGGCACCAGATGAACCAGGCGTTGCGGACGGACGTGCACGATGAAGATGAATCATGGAGGTATGCGCAATACCATGCGTAATGGCTAAGATAACGCGGATATCATCCGCAACGTCTCCTAGTTGGTCAAGAGGAATAAGACCTTGTGCAAATTGCGACGTGATGTGGGCTAGCCTCTGTACTTCTGGCTCAAGCGATACATCAAGCCCGAAGCGTGCTGGGAGGCGCATTCAATCATTCTAATAAGGAAAAGATAGAACTTGAACTTTCTTACTTGATAAGGTCGCTGCCCGCTCATAAAGAGCAGATGCCTTTGCTCGAAGCACCAAGTGTGAGTCATCTTGACCCACAATAAGTTCGGCAGAAAGGAATCTCTGTACAGTATTTCCAAAACTGACAGACTGTGCAACGAAAAACGATTCGCTTCATTCAGCAAATGCGCGATATATACGGAGTTAATGAGAAAATTGTGTACAACTCACCGCTTGCTCATATGACCATGATGTATCGATTTCAGTGCCGCGTGCGATTTCATCAGTTAAAGAGCGGGGCAAAGCCAGTGCCACACTCCAACAGGCGTCCACATTAAAGACAGACCAAAATACGCCTATGCGTTCTGCCTGCTCAGTGGCGTCGCGAGCTGCAGGCAGTGCGAAAGAGGCACTAAGAAACGAGGCGCTGCTACTTCCAAAGGAAGAATTGTGAGCATAACCCGTAGGCATGATCTGATGAAGTCCACAGCTAACTGCAAGAGTCACAGCGGCATTGGCATGATAGCGACCTTCAATCGTGAGTCCAAGGCAAAAGAAGTACTGAGCGAGTAAGGTTTCTGCCTGCACGGCTTGTACTCTCTGCTGCGCTAGACTTTGGCTCTAAAGGCAAGGTTAATACTAGTGACCTGAAAGAATGGATAATAACAACTTCGGATTGCATTTCTGATGTGCCTTGAAGAGCAAGGACCGCGCGGTGACGATACACATCTTCGTGTTGCATATATTCCCTCAAGTTGCTAATACGAAGTGCCCACAAATATATTGCATTAGTGAGTGCAGGATGTGGTCGCTCGGGATGATGGATAGGAAGAGCGAGTTGGACCTTGAACCGCACTGGATTTACCGCAAACCCGAGTACCTCTGAGTGCGGAAGAAAAATCGCAACACTAGGTTAGAACGTACATAAGAAATGAACATCCAGAAAATTAGATCTTTGACGGATGACAAAACACGAGAAACATACAGTGCATCAGAAACTGGTGGAGAAAGCTCTTCCGCTTCCCACCATTTGAGCGCCGCAGGTTGCGTATCGTGAACATGCGGCAATATAGATTCATCTCTATCGCTTCTCCTCATCATCGCAGACGATGTCGGTAAATAAGGATCACGTAGTAGAAGCGTCTGGCTGGGCTCGGATCTTCCTTCCAATTCCTGAAGTCGCAATTGAAGTTCCTTGTACTGTTCCTCGAGTATCTCGGTGCGTGTCCGGCTCTGGCCATCCGAATATTCACAATCCATAACTTGTTGCGCTTCGATACACGGCGTGCAAGTCGGTCTTGCACCGTCACATCTCTGGAGGGAGGAGTCAGCCAGTGACAGACATGTCGATAGGGGAGAAGGGCACCATTTTGCGCCGTCTGTCAATGGGTAGAAAGTGTAGCGATTAGTTTGATTCTACCATGCCTCGCGTTTGAATGATGGGTGCTTACCGGCATCGAATACAAGCCAGTCCTCGTCCAAGGACGTTTCCTCGAGTGGTTGAGGAAGAGACAGGTCTGTCTGTCATGAGAGTCTATGAACAACTTGATTTCGATTTCTAGAGGATCAATGGATTATACGATGCCAGAGTGCTGTTTTCTCATCGTCCATGCGCCGACTTTTAAAGGTCTTGACGGTTTGCCCATGTAGCCACAATTTTCGAGAAACAACCAGAGGGCGCTTGTCGATACAACGAGACAGACGTCAGTGCGGATAAAGATCTACATCCACAGTGAATGTTGTTTGCACAGCAAGGTACAATGTCCAGAAAGCGACTACGCGGCAGAAATCTATTGGTGGCAAATTTCAAAGAGCAATAAGTCTGCTTTCCGAGTCGATCGACAAACGTGACTTGAATCGAGAATTGTCAAGGAGGTTTAGGCATATGTGGTCGAGAACTCCATGCAAGATACTGTGGTCGACGTAAAGCATTTTTAGTAGTAGGAATACGAGAATAGGTCGGATAGTCGGAACCGAAGAGGCAAAGCTGATACATTGAGATGGTCACACGATCATCGACTTAAACAGGCGCAGGGACGGAGCATAGAGCGGGACATAACGATAAACGACCAGTTCTAGAAGGACGAGTTGACGCAGAGCCGTTCAGAATCGTCGTAGGGAGTCCGGCCACACGCGGATGAAGAGTCCTTTCTCGTCATGTTGCATTCCCAATCCAGAGCCGAAAAAATCTGAATAAACACGCAATAGGAAAGACGATAGATTTATTTGGGGGAGTATTACGAGAGACATCCTGAGTCCGGGCTCCTTGTTGCATAGCTGCTAGTTGAGGGCACCAATAGTGACGTCGCGATGAAAATAATTACGAGAGCGAATTACGGCCTGTGGGATATCCACCCGATACATACGTTAGTCGATCTACCCGAGCGTGGCTCGTGAAGGACCGGAATCAAGGGCTAGCCAGGGGATCGAGTCAAGAGGGGAAACGGATTGCCCATCTCGAGTCCGTCCATTTATAATATCAGTGGAACAAGCTGATATCAGCGTGATAATCAAGCGCGCCGAAAGAACTCGAACGTTCTGTACTCAGCGAGGCATCGTGGCGTTGTACGGCAGAGGACCCATAAAATCAATTGAGAGAAAGAATCAATAGAGCATAGGCATTGCAGCGGATTTAGTGATGCGCCACTGGAGGGTCTCGACCTGCAGGGTCGCCGTAATCTTATAGACAAATGGTGATCGAGAACGTTCATGAAGCTTCGAGGACGAACATAGTCATTGGCACAAACGATAAATCAGCTGACCATGAGGATCTCACGCATGCTGGATATGGCGTAGGTAAAGGCGACTCTGATTCCTAAGTTGCTACAGTGTGACGAATCTAATGAAAAGATGAGAAGCAGTATAAACAGCGACCCTGAAGGAGAAAAGTGTCAGTCATCGGCATTCGACTTCTTCAGTAGATCCTGGTAATCCTGGGCGAGCTTGAGCAATGTTTTACTCTTTGCTGTAGATTGCACGGTCAGTAAAACGAAGATACGTTAGCATGACACGCAAAACCGCACCAAATATCCCCAAGACCTCTTTCGCTAAGTCGCGCTTCGGTACTCCTAATATCGAGGGACACCAACCATCTTCTGACTTTCCAGGACGCCTGCAACAAACTTAAATACTTAAATGCATTTTGGTTCAACAGTGAACACTCACCAATAAACAGGACCATAGAGTTCTTTCAGCACTTCCTCCGCTTTTCCTCGGAAACCTTCATCCGCAATCGTCTTCGCATACAACAACAATGCTTGTTTGTATTCTGGCGCACTCCCGAGCACACGAGCGGCATGCATCCGGCTCTCGAGGTGTCCAAGAGTCATCGCTGCGGTCCACCAAGTCGGTCGTGGCTTCTCTGCATCTGATGGTGATCCATTGTTTGACATATGCTCTGCGACACGAGCCTCGATGGATGCAACAATCCCATTGCCTGCTCCACCAGGGGTTAGAGACATAGATGTGCGTTGGCGACCTTTCCATGCGGATGATCCGCTCGCCCACCAGCTCTCACCGATTCGTACCCATGTAAGGAGTGCGGAGTCATAGCTTAATGAAGTTCCTGTGCTAAGATACACGACGGGTGCACCGTTCGGTCGGATTGACGCAGAAAGGACGGTAGGCAATAAACCATTGGGATAATCTGTTGTTGGAGGACTCGTCGAAAGGAATGGGAGGAGAGATGTTGGAGGATGTAATGCGGAAGACAACTTCGCGTTCCTAGAGAAATAAACCAGCAGTTACTTGATGAGCGTTTTGCAGCGAAGCATGTAACATACCAAACGTAGACTTGGCCCGACGCCGTGATAGCCATGAGATAATATTTTGCTGCATCCAAGAATGCCACAGGCGAACCAAGCATAAGTGTGGGCATAATTCTGTCGAAAAGAAAAGAAAAGAAATGAATAAGAGAAATCTTTATCTAGATAAAATACTGGAAACACACCGTCGTCCAGTCAATGAATAAACGTTGACCGCTCCGTCCTCCATTGCGGCAGCGCAGATTCTGTTTGAAGCACAAACACATAGGACCGGTGAAGGCAGATAGTCCAACCATTGCACCGTCTTCTCCTTCGAGGTGAAGAACGTTATCTCAGTTGGTTCTACAGGGTCATGTAAGGGTAGAAACTACACGGAACAAATCTCAAATACGTACCACTTCCATCTTCGGAGTTCCGAGCTTCAAGGACGTCTCCCGTTTCCGCGACACGCTCAGAGAGGAACGTCTTTAAACCCGGTGTCGACAAAACAGTTTCCCGTACAAGGCTACCTGTCGACGGGCCGCCAATATTTCGCAAGCCCAGGGCATCACTACGCCTAATCTCACGGGCTTCTCTCTCACTCGTGTCTCTAAGGCGATCGCCACCTAATGTGCGGGCTTTGGGCTGTTTCCCATTATCATCACCGTACGAAACCGTGATCGTATCCCCTCGGCTGCGGCGTCCACCACGTGTATCGAGTGCACTGATCGGGACTGTCATATCCACACCTCCGCCGAAGTCAGGTCCGCCACCTTCCACGTCCATTCCATCAAAACCATTGGTATAACCAAACCCAGTGGATGACACAGATGAGGAAATAGGAGGTGGAGGAAGGTAACTCATTGCCGGCACGTTTGCATTTGTGTTGATACTTATGGATGACGGTGGAGCGGAAATCTGCGTGGGAGGAACGGTTGAAGCCGAGGGTACGTTCCCCGCTCCTCCAAGTGAGCCAACAAAAGTTGGCTGAATGCGCCTCTGCGCACGATCGCGACCCTTGGGTCCACGACGCGCAACAAGCGTCGTTACTTGTTCGCCAGGTCGAGTAGACGACACGTGCCCGAAGCCATTCTGATGTGCAGCGGGTGGTGTAAGTGGAGGGGTTGAGCGTCCGCTAGTGTGTCCATTCATATGAATATTGTGCTCTGCGTGAGCAAAGCTAGGTGGGAGGGGCGGGAGGGAGAAGCCGAATTTACTGAGATACTGCCGTTGTGCTGCTGGTGGTGCAATTCCTTCCAGCTCGTTCCGGTCGAAGGCAAAGGCAGCAAGTGTGCCATCGCTTGACACGGCGTAGAGTGCCAATCCGTCGACTGACCAACTGAGATCCATTATTTGACGCTCAAAGACCTCTTTTGCAACAATGAGCGGGCGCGCGCTCTTCGTTTGCCAAACACTGACGGAACGATCATCCGCACCAAGTGCAACGACAGAGCATATATTATTTGTAACAACGGGCTTTTGAGGATCTCGGAGGAAAATGTGCGGGTTATAGCATGCGACCTCGACAGTATTCTCGTGTCCAACTAAGGAAATGTCAGACGTCCAAGTGTTGCGGGAGATGACCGCAGCAGTGAAGACATATCCGTTATTGTTCATCGCATTGGACGCAGTAATATGTGCGCCATCAGGAGACCAGCTGAGACTCCATTTCAGCTACCAAATGTAACAAACGAATGTAGACAAACATACCTTAGCCGTCGAAAGAACGTGCTCCCTGGTGAATGCTCGAACGGTCGCGTTACGGTTGCTTCCAAACCCCAATCCGTCGTGCGCCATATCCGAACAGTACGATCGTCCGACTGTGTCGCAAGGAACTCACCAACGGGATCCCAACATACACCCTTTACGAAACCCTGGTGCATATCGAGTTTGAAGAGGCGTTCCAGGGTGTAGCCACACCAGATCATTACTTTCGAGTCCAGGCCGGTGGAAGCTAGATACCGATCTTCAGGGGACCACGCGAGGTCCGTTACATCTGCAAGTGGAGTGAATTGGGCATAAATTCAATTAAGAGGTTGACAGTAGAGCATTACCACTTTCATGGCCCGGTAATCGTTTCAACGGTTTCCAGCCTTCAACATTCACCTCGTCCAAACCCCAGACCTTTCCCGAACCTGTCCTAATAATCTATAAACACTAGACTTAGAAATTGGTAATAAAATCGTACGGATCAAGATCCCAAATCATAATAATCTCGTCATCACTTCCACTCGCCAGCCATCGACCTGAATGTGCCCATCTAACAGTAAGCACCGGACCCGTATGCATTGTCAGCGTGCACAACGACTTTGGAGGTTTATTGGTAGCATCCGCCGCAGCGTTCAAGATCGGTTTCGTAGACCATATGCGAATCTTCGCATCGAGACCACCTGTAGCGATTCGCGAGCCGTCAGGATGGACGTGCACGGAGAACATCGAGAGACGTTTGGCGTTCTCATTACGCGTTCCGTCTGCACTAACATGAGATAGGAATACAGAGTACAGGGCATATCTAAGCATACCTTGGTGCATTACCCACGATGGCTTCGTAAACCGCATCTTGTACAGCGCGTAAGTCCCCAACCAGCGTTGATGATGTCGGCGACGCAGGACTTCGACGTCGCAGGCGGGATGTTGAATCACGTGACTTGTAAATCACAAATCATAAAAGCAATGAATTTGAATGAAATGAAATATAAAAGAACATTAATTTGGATTGAGGCAGTCCATAACAACGTCCGGTATATCGATACTACTGTATGTCTAAACTCACTAATGCTACGATCATGCTGCTGCAAAGAGCACAATGCCATGATTGGGTTCCTGATTGTAATCATATTTACTTACACCAGAGGCAAAAACCAATTCTGAGGTCTGGAAAATTTGTTTCAGAATGTATTTTCAGCCAATCAGGTGAGAGCTTTTGGATTTTGTAATAAATTCCCAGTGTTACAGAATGCAGATATGCCTCCTGTGTTATTCACTATCGCCGCTGTTGCGTCTATGCAGCAGATGCTTGAGGGTCTTCTACGAAAGTTTTCTACTTAGATACATCGGATCTCTGCGCACAGTGGCAGCGCCAATAAATCACACATTCAGTCTTTTTGAATTGTACGCTTCTATCAACAGTATAAGTACATATGAACATTAATGTTAAAACAGGACAGCCGCACAGACACCGAGCATCAAATAGTCTGGACGAACCGCTGGCTACATGAGGAATGGAACATTGCAGAAATTAATACAGTGCAGAAAGGCCCAGGCAGAGCGGCGATATATTGAAAGGTGAGGGATGTCGGATGTATGTTGGATGAATGCGAGAAAAACGACATGTAGGATAATTGCGGGCAATATATATATATATAGCGGAGTAATATTAGAAACTTAGGTAGATGCGGCGCAAGTGCGCTGTCTTTGCATGCGACCGACAAATAGGGCACTGCCTCTTCTTTTTAAGTGCCTTTGTGAGACACCTGTACGCGCTGATTTAGACTGGTCGTAAAGGGGAGGGGAGGGAAGAAAACAGAATCCACTCACGGCGTGCAGAACACATGCCCACATTTGATACTCGATAACTCCAACGAAGGTTCGCCATCCTGCTCAAGACACAACGGACAAGTATATCCGCTGAATGACGGTAACGTCCGCTTCTCGTCTCCTAGACCGCCGGAGGTTTGCGCGTCAGAAAGGGTAAAGCAAGACGAGGTAGTTGTAGGTGAAGAAGATGATGTTCTAGGCTCGGATGCATTGGTCGAAGTGGGTATGGGCCCGCGAATAGGCGACCTCCGGCGGGCGGCGGCGGCGAGCGCAAATGGAGTCTCCGATGGGTCGTCGGAATCTGAATCGGAGGAGGCGGAGGAGTGCTCGAGGTCAGAGTTCGCGTCTTCCTCGTCACTGTCTTCTTCGGAATAGGTGTCATCTTCCTCGGAGTTGGGTTCGAGATAGCTTCCGTCGTCGCCCTCACTTTCACTCTCGCCGTCATCACCTACAAACCGTACAGAGGTAAGAAAATGTGGGTATTCGGTTGGATTCCAAGAGTTGCTTTCTTGCTCAGCAAGAACTATTTGTTCTATACGGTCTGCCAGATAAGAGGAAAGGTCCGCGTCGCCAACATTATCTCCAGAAGCAACAGAAGCAGTATCGGCGGCACTTTCCCACTCGCCATCGAATTCGTCGGGGTGTCCGATATAGTGTACACCGACATCCGGATCCGAGTTATCGGAGGACTCATCACTGCGACTGACTCGGACCTGCCATGTATTGCGATGCACGGTGGCATTCTGTCGATGCTGGTCAAGAGCCTGACTGGACACGAATTCACGATCACAAGGCAGACAGTAATGGTGCAGCATGGAGGTGCGAATGTGTTGCAACTTGCTGGCTTCGTCAAGAAAGCCACGGTTACAAGGGACACATCGTGGATGGCGAGAGGAGTTGTTAATATGGGCAGCACGAGCAGCTTGAGAGACAAAAGTACGCGAACAAACGGAACAATCCCATCCTGTCATGATGTATACGAAACTGGCGAGGATATCGAGTATCAAGGTGGGCGAGCTTGTATACCTGTGATGACAATGTGGTCAATGCAGCAAGTGTGCAAGCGTGGGAGGAGAACGCCATAATGGCGATGACAGTCATGTGACCTAGTTTCTCTGTTTTAAGGGCGGGCCTACTAGTTTGTAGTACTCGATGAATGACTTATAACCTAACACAACTGTTTGTCTGTTCTTGCAGCATATGCTGGCGGGGATCATATCAACGTCGTCTTGATTACGCGATCCTGCGACGTTTTTGTGAATGCCGCGAGCGGCCGCCAATGACCAATTTTGGGTATACAATGATATCAGACACTCGCTCCCTTCTATTGCCGGCTGGTGTCTCCAACGCACGCTGAACTATGGGTGATGCAATCACCAACGCTCAATTCTCTTTCCCTGCCCACGTCCAGTTTGTCCATCTCCCCATCTCCGACAGCTCGGCATATCACAGACTCTCCTCGTGCACAACGCCGCTATATTCCCCCGCCCTGCAGTCCAGCACCGCTCTCTGTCTCGTTCCCCCATGGCCCCGGAACCAGTGCTATAATTAACAATGTCCTTGACCCTGCCTTCTCTCTCTGCCGTCGTCGATGTTTTTGCACAGAGATGTAGCGGCGTCGCCGCCATCTCCCTTGTGGTCTATGATATCAGTGAGTGCTAGGCCTTCGAGAGCGATTCACTCCGCGCTGACGATGCCGTCAACCTGCCAAGTGATAACAATGGATAAAGAGGCAAGTATTTGCTTCGTCTGCTCTTCTTCCTTCGTCATCGCTTATCTTTCCTTCCGTAGATCCAGCATTTCTGGGTGTGTACTGGCCCTGTTGAGCACCAGCTCGACATCCGTCATGCCGTTCTTCCCCACTAACTTATCGCATATACCTCTTTAGGGAAGATCATTCTCTATCGTCCAGGTGATCTACTTCCTAGTGCGTGATCTATTATATTGAACTTCCCATGAGGCGCTGAACTATCACGGCAGAATCGGTACTATGGTCTGCTGGTCGTCGCAATCTACCTTTATGGTCAGTGAACCCTGCCAGGCCTGTAACGGAGATAAACGGTGCTCACACAGCTAGCGCTTTGCAGGCGACATGATCCAGGTGTTTTCCGATGATCAGTACGTTATCTTATTTGATCGACAGCGTCTTGCCGTTTTCTGATCCGCCCATTCAATTTGTAGCTGTACGCTCCAAAGAGAGAATTTCTATATATGTATTCATTATTGGCGGTTCTAGGCAAACAAATTGTTACGTTTGGCGCATGGTCTGGTAGGCCAAACAATTATTTTTATCATTGGTTCAAAAATGAAATTCCGTCTTCAGGATGGACGATGATAATGCTCTCGGATGGTGTGTTGTCTACTTACTCCGAACTGTATGTTGAAGATCCCAATCTTCCCATGAAGCAATCATGGCAATCCGCGTCCATGCGCTTTTTGAACGAAGTTAGTTCCCCCTTTATTTATAGTCGTCATTCTGACGACCACATGTTGGTTTACTTTTCCAGCTAAGCGGGCGACAATCCTTCTTGGCTCGCTATACTTTGCGCAGTGTATGGTAATGGTGGGCGTGTTGATTGCATACGACCGAGAATTCAACGGTAAGTGTACACAATTTAAAATTACTTCCAACATGCTTACACCGAATTTGCAGATTTCGCCTGGCAAGCCTTACATGCGTGTGGCACAATTGCTCCAACCTGGTTTTCCCTTTTCTGGTTCGTGCATCTGTCTTATAACCGTGCCCCTGAATTGCGAGTGACTGGTCGTGTTAGGATACCCACGCTTATCTTTGAGTTCATTCTGCTATGCATGACTTTATATAAGGGGATGTTGTACAAAAAAACCTGCTGCTTGGATGTAGATAGCAGCAGGCAATTTCGATTGCACCGCATTCTCGTACGGGGTCAAGTTATATACTTCACATGGTACGTCAATCTACCTATTGCATATCTGCTGTAAATTACTCAGGCGATTTTGTCAGTATTCTGCTCTCCGGCAGTATGAATATTATACTCTGGAAGCAGCTACCCGGAGGAACGCCCAATAACGAAGCGGTTACGCTGTCTGCCGCCGTTCCATGTGTTCTTGGTAGTCGTATACTCCTATCACTACGTGACGTGGCTTCTCAGCAAGAGGGAATGGAGACCTCTGAGGAGAGCACGGACATGAGCGAATTAGTTTTCTAGCCTTTGTATTTTTACCTACATCTTGTCAAGACGAATTATACACGTAACGAATAAACCAAATTGTAGTCATGCCAAAAGACACTTTTATCTATTGTAATGAAAGACAGCCACTGCTCGATTGTACTTGGGATTGCTCTACAGTACTCAGACTCAGAGGGAGGAATGAACGAATGGACCAATTTAGGAAATTATAAGTCTTGTGATCCAAAAGAAACACGTGGGAATGACGTCGTCATGGCTTGATTGGAGAATCTGAAATACTGACGCACCACTGCAGTACGTGAACTATCGACTTCACGACGACGAAAGGCAAGGACCGTACAACCAGTGGAACGCCAACATATACGACAGCAAATTATGTCTTCAACAGTAATTAGGGAAGTTACAAAGGATGTATGGACATTTTCATGGTGAACTTTCGCCTGTTGCCACGGCCTTCATCCGCAACGCCTAGACTGACCGCATCGTTCCAGCCCATTCTCGCGGTTCGGCCTCTTTCCGGTAGGTGGGAGGTCAACGGTCATCAGGCTTGCAAGCGGGGATCTTTGGGTCCTTGCAAGCACACCACTAGACGCTCCGACGAAGTCGAAGATTGATGAGTTGGGTGGAGAAGAGAAAGTTAGGTATATTGTAGGAGCGGATGCTGTGCATAATTTGTTCCTCCGTGAGATACCTTTTCTTGTTGTGAAAACGATTTGTTGACAAGCTAATCATCATGGTCATAAAATATCAATAGCGGAATTCAAGAGGACGTATCCAAAGGCCAAGTTACTCGGTGTCCCTGCTCTCCTCTCAAAGAAGAATCTGAAAGATTTAGAATTTGCCGGGGGTAAGATGCTGCGCCTCATTTACGTTGGAGATGCTGCTGTACTTACTAAGCCCCAGTCTATGGTAAAGATCCGGGGGGAACGAAGTACGGATTCGAAGATGAAATCAAAGCATGGTCAGCTTCCTTTTCCAGGATTTAGACCAAGCAATGCTGATGGTTATCTCTGAAGTTATTTTTCCGGATTTCAAAATCAAGATGTTGCCTTCAATCATGTTGCATCACGTACACTTATTGAGGCAGACCTACTCTTCAATCTTCCCTGCACTGAACAGGTTTGACAGTCTATCACGCTTCTCGACTCGTGCTGACTGCATGTGCAGTACTCGAAGACGAAGTTTTCTGGGACGGTCCCTATCTTTGGAAGTATGCTCAATCCGTACTCATGGGCACACAAGAAGTTCGTCTGGGGCGTGGGCACAGATAAGGAGTGAGCACGATGAAGCATGCTTATTCTAGGGCCTTGGCCTAATACAGCTCTATGCTGGCAGAGCGATGAAACGAGATGCGCGTACCGTAAGTGGTTGGGATTTTGACAGAATCATACCCTGCCACGGCGTAAGGCACTTCATGATGCATTTTAATGACTTCAACTTGCTTACTTTATTGTTCTTTGTGTTACAGGACGTGATCGAGACAGAAGGCAAGAAAGCCTGGGAAGAGGCTTACAAGTGGTATTTGCAATGATCTGGGACCAATTGTGTTCCAAGAGGTGGTTTTTAGAGTGTATCGTTAGTATTTCCGATCTTCTCGGCTAGTGTTATCCACTGCGACGGTATACTCTCGACTGTGCTTCGTACTCCAAGCTTTGCTAACGACCTTCTCCAGCTGTAATTGTTGCACTATACATAATACATTCCACAATTAGCTGTTTGAGAGATCCTGTCGCGGCATGTGTCCTGGACTGGCCGAAGCAAACAGCAGTCTGTTATGGACTTCGTCCGCCTGCTCCCCGTGAATTCTCAAGCTCGATATAATCACTCCTGAAGCAGAACCGGTTACATGTTAAAGACTTTAAGCGAGCATGCTCCTCATGGAGTCTTTCCGGCAGAGAGCTTTAACCTTGCGAAGACTGCGCCGAGATGTGAATCCGCAACCCCGATCAACTATTATTGTTAATTAGGAGTCCATCAAATCATCTGGTAAGATGTCACTCCAGAAAGTTTAAACCAGGCTGATTTCCTCCCCCGGATTGGCTAGATTTTCTGCAGTTTTCTGCAGTAACCTTTGTGTCCTAAATGCAGTCGCGGAACCTGATGGTTCGGCATGACATTCTATGCTTCTTACATACAACGTGGTATTCATGCATAAAACTCACAAAACGCCACAATAGTGTTTCTAGCTCAGAATTACTTGGTGCTTCGTTCATGATCATCGCTCATATGGTGTACCTTGTTCAATTGGGAAATAGGAGTAGCTACTGGGCGCTTCTATGAAATTAAACTCCGACAATTTGGCCCTTTGGTTGCGTTATGAGTCTGGTTACCATTACTTATACTTAATTTGAAAAGGAACACAAAGATGCGCCACATAGAATTATGAAGAAGAGAACTACATGTTATTTGTTGAAAGTCTTGAGAACCTTGTTGCACTGCGATACTGTCCACATTCGGAGCGGGACCCTCCATAAAGTACAAGTTTAAGTTCCAGTGCAAGGTGTGATGGCCGTAGAGACAACCAATATTAACGCATTTAAGGATCGGCTCTTAGTGCAGTTCAGGTCAAACATCTTAGATGCCGAATCAGCTTCAGTACTAGTGAACTGGGAGATGTTTCCACCCGCCTCGGAGATGGACGAGATCGACCGCATAACGGCAGATATAAAGATAGTTTCTGTTGAAGAAACCCTATGTTATTACTTCCCGTCGCCAATTGGCTTTGCTTCTGATTTCGTATCTTATAGACATCGTGATCTTTCTGTTATCACCATGGACCTAATGGACTTGGATAACCGTGAATTAATACTGGTAATTTCGTTTTGCCGACGACAAACAAAAGGAATTTCGCCTGGAATAAGCTTTTGGAATTTCGGGGGCTATCAACGTTACATGCTTAAATTCTTCAAGTTAATTCGACCCTGCCGGTGAAAATAAGGATGTACGTCGTCGTGTAGCACTTTACGTCTTCCCCTCATCACTGCTTATTTACTACAAATAATCGTTATATAATATTAAATTCATGCTTTGACAGATTCTTAACGTACGTTCTAGACATTGTTGCCAAAGGCGACGTGTGTATGATTCGTCCAATAACATACGAGCGTTAGGGCGTATTATTTGTATGAAATAATTAATATTATGCCGCTCCCGGAAGTAAACGTGCCCGAGGGTTCTCGTGGAAATTTCTTCCTGTCCCAGCTCCGATGCGCATGTGAATTCGCATGCATCCCCCACCTCACGGACTTAAGGGGAATTCGGAACTGGACACCAGTAACACCTTTCTGGTTTTGCTGAAAAGTTTCGTGTCTTGAATGACTGTTACATACGATTAACAGTTATCTATACTCTGTTTTCCGTACCTTCCCTCGATTACTTCGTATTATGCACACAGCAGACACATTAGAATATGATATACAACCATATTTGTATCATATTTTATATGTCTGCTGTGGCAGGTTCTATGATGCACATGAGATCAATAGTCCAATGCCGCCAATCGAAATGAATGACTGCCGTTGTAAATATCAGAGTTCGCGAAATTAATGAAAGTTACCTCAAACGATCGTCCTAGCATTTAAAGATAATCTCGAGGTGTGTGGCGTTTCACAAACTCACAAGGACTAGAGAACAATATTAATGCTGACATTGCCAGTAACACCCGGGCCAGCGCGGCATCCAAATTGCCTACTACACATTTAATTTCTCCTGCCTTTCTGACTCCGAGCCTTCTGTACAGCCATATTAATGGCTCCTATTGTCCCCTGTGTACAGCACAAATCGCCACATCTTCTTCGGCGTCGGCCTGACAGAATGCAATAATTCAAACAAATTACTGTCGTGGAAATTATTTTCATCTGCAATGCAATTGCTCAGAGAATCCTGGTTTGGTATACCTTACATTGCATCGTTATACACATAAAATGAGATGGGATACAAAGAGATACTAACAAGCCGTGAAGTACAAAAGTATTACTTTGCGTCGCCATCAAGTAGTCAATAGTCTCGGTATATTGTGCCTGCTTAGGGATTGCCAAAACGCCGCTCTGAAGCCCGTTGCCGTACGGTAAATTCGGTCTGAAAGGATGGGGATCGGGCAGGATGGACATTGAATAACGTGCTTACATGTCCTTAAATTTTCATGATCCGCTTCGTCGTTTATACCACAATATTATCCTATCAGCAATCCGAAGTGTTTCATACATTGCGTGGACGAATCCAAATGTCCCATGTGGGGCACGGACCTTGTGTGCATCCAACGTAGAATCTGCAGTACACAGTGCGCGCGCATCTCTGATCAAGAACTTTGGGCAGTCGGAGAGGGCCGAAGGAACTTTAACGTGGATTGAGGACGAGCGGTTAACGTAACGACTTCTAGCTCTGAGTATCATCCCTTTGGAGAATAGGAGTTACGACCTGTCTGTGTCTAGTGGTGGTGGAGCTGAACTTCACCGTTTAGTAGAGTTGAGATCCTCGGTCTGTTCAATCCATTTTCCAAAGGCGGGACTAACACTCCCAACCCAGAAGCTTGGCAGGGCAACAAACTTTCGCGCGAGATGGCGCCAAAGCTTAAGTGCATTTGCTCTCGCGAGTACTGATTGACGCTGTTTACTTTGTCAATGCCCGAGAGGGCGGATCCGAAATGTATACTAATAGGGATTGAGGGAATGTAAGTTGCTGCTGGGAAGAAAATATCAGCCAGCAGCATAAAGGAAGAGATCAGTGAAATTGCTAAATCCTTACCAGTAATAAGGCTTGTCAATCACGCAGTTGTCGACTGTGAAATCTTCTCATTCCTTAAGGGAGATCAGATTTGCGCAATACATGGGATGAAAAAATGGGGGTGCAATTTATCCGGGTCGCGGCAAGCGCCGACGGACAGCGAGGATCAAAAAAGTGTTTGTGCTCACAGTATAGTCGCACCAGGTCTCAAATCCTCGTTCCCAAGATTTATATACAAATCCCTTTATGTTTGTAGTAAAGCAATTACGGCAAAATGAAATTCTGGCGCGACTTGATGCCTTTAACCTTAGTCAACTAAAAGCCTCTTGCATTGTTGCAACGCGAAAATTGCATTTCAGCTTCTGAGAGGAAATACAACCATAAGGCTGCTAATTTCAACTAAATATAGATATTTTCAGAGGTGCATGTGAACGCTGTGCGGACTCTTTTGATGCCTTACAGGTTTCTGTCATTCACGACGTTTTAATCGTCGCTCCCTTTCTACTATCGCATGTGACATACTTATCCAATGCCGCGTAAACAAGCTCAAAGGGCATGTACTTTTCGTCGAACAGCAAGGTCTCCGCGGAGCACCGGGAAACTCACTTCCCTCCATCACAATTAACAATCTGCTTAGTCGCTGTAAGGGTACTCTTAGCGCTATTTTGTTTTTCGGCGAAAGAGACGGCTGTCAGAGTACTGAGTTGTTTGTGTATGGACTTCCCACTTGGGAGGCACGATCCAATCAACTTCCCGTAGTGCTTTCAATTGGTTCTAAAAGCAGAACTGTTCGTGATTTTGGTGGCTGAAGGGAAGGTACGAACGTACGCTCTTAGTACTATATGGCTATTCATTCACTTCCATGTCCTTTCCGCAGCATTTGTCCGGAAAGCATCCTCCTACCGGTACGTTATCCCGTCCCTTAGTCCCTTTAATGTGCATATAACGGTGTGAAGAGCCATATTGGTCCGTTCTTCACCCAAGCATGCGTTTCTTTGTCCTCGTCCAGTGTTTCCTGTAGGGTTACTGGAGTGTCAATCAATTTTAGAATATTCAGGATTCTATTAATTTTCGCTTGACCTTAGCGGTACACGTGGAATACGCGCAATATCACCACTCCGTTCTCGGATCGCAGAAGCCTGAGCCTGAGCTTTCCGAGATCCAGGTGTCTAGCCGGCTTCGATTCTATTGATTCTATGTTAGCGCCGGTTCGACGGACAGGCAAGGACAAGAAGGGAACAGTCTGTAACATCCCCGGATCCGTGGCGATAAGGCTTCCAGAAATTCCTGATACAGGGATTGAGAACCGTTGCATTTCGCTAGCAAAAGGGTCACGGAGGTATAAGAGGACCCCGTCCGGGGCATACAGAGGCCGTAATCCTTGCGGCCACCTCTTCGTCTTCTCACCTACAGACTCTTGCTCACTTTCCAGTCCGCTCGCCACCCCGCCTCTACAATGAGTGTTACAGTCACTGGTATCCAGCTTCAGCAGGGCCTGAAAGACCTCTTTGGTAGAGGTATGAATAGCGAGGTACATACAGTTAGACTGTCGAGAAGTAAGAGGAGTACTGAGCTTCTTCTGTTTTCAGTCATACAAGCTTCCAGCAGATAAGCAGGAGATGGATGTGAGTTCTTTAAGAGTTCAATTATGGGGAGAGAATGGTTTCCTGAGAAGATCTCGCGCTACAGCGCTTGTCGTTGCAGCATCGCATCTGGACATTAATGGCGGATGGGCTGTATCCCAAAGATGCAGAACTTGCAGTCCAAAGTGTATTGCACCGTCCAAGGGAGGACCAAAGCACACCAATGATCCTCGATATCGGTTCTGGTTCTGGTACCTGGTATGTCCCTACCTTTTTATATCGACTGAGAATCAGGTCCAGATGCCTTGGTATAGGGCAGTTGAGATGGCGTTGAAGTTCCCGCATGCCAGGGTGATCGGAATGGATCTTATTCAGAGTAGCCCAAAGTGAGCGGCATTCCCGAACGCCTCATTTGATCTAAATGCCTAATTTGTGACCAATCGCAATAGCTTTGTCCCAGAGAACTGCGTGTATGTTGTGAACATGACCCCCTGCCGAAAGCTGATGTGTTGACTATTACCCAACTGAAGGTTCATCAAAGCCGACGCCACAAACACGCTTTCCGAGTATGTCGGCCACTTCGACATTGTTCAATGTCGAAGTGTTGCGAAGCATGTTCGTCCGGGATCTACTGTTTCCTTTTGTAAATATACTCATGATACGCAGGTCCCAGACGCCGTGGCGTTTACACGTAGTCTTGGTAGAACTCTACGGCCAGGTGTGTGTGCCCCGGTTATCTGCACAGGAAGATGTATGCTGATAAAACCGACAGGGGGAATATTCTTCTTTTCGGACGCAGTAACCGACGTCTTCAACGAAAAACTTGAAACATATCCTCTCGCGCCAATCGACGGCGCTGTGGACAGTAACGGAGTATCGACAAATGATTACAGCTGGTTTGCACGGTGGATGTCGGAAGTGACAGACCGATGGACGACGAAAGAGCGTCAGTACACCGATGGCGACAAACTCCACATCCTTCTCCGCGAGGATGGCCAGTTTGAGGATATAAATGTCAAGGAGTACTTCAGCCCGATTGGGTGGGATGGTGGAAGTGCAGTGGAAAGCAGTAATGGGGCCGAGATCGGGAGGTTGATGGTGCTGAACGTTTGTGTGAGTCGCAACATACTCGGTAAGAGTAGTAGAAGACTTACACTTACATTCCGATACAGGACTTCTTGCAGGCAAGTCGACCGTCTCTGCTGTCTTCTGGCTTATCGGAAGAAGCTGTCGAGAGGTGGGCAAGAAACGTGCGGCAGGAGGCTGCCAACCCAGCAAAACATATGCTGTTTAAGTGGGTTATCAACTGGGCAACAAAATCTTCAACGGGTTCTCAAAGAAAACCGGCAAAATCTGTGCTATGAGTCGTTATATAGCTATAGCCATGTAGTTCATCCTATAATTACGCAACAAACTTTTATTTTAATTTACGGAGAACGACCACGTGCTCCTAAATCTTACATAACACTAAATATTGAATTCAGTCCAAAGCGCCAATTTGGCCAAACAACATTATTGCTGACCGTTTGAATTTTACTACCTGCTCGAGGACGTACTCGGACTACATCACTTGCATTCAGATGCGAATTACTTTGGTATTGGATCTGTGGCGCCCTGTTATGGACTGGAACTTCTTCGTCTTCGCGATTCGGGAAAAATTCGCTTGCAGAATACAGAAAGCGTCCGCTGCTGTTCTGACCGAGAGAAGCCAATATTAGTGCCTTGGAGAAATGTCGCCCCGAAGTTGCTCGACTATGCAACAGCCAAGGCTTTACGAGTGTACATGTGGCCCCCTTCGCCATTGCTCTTGACCGAAGATCTGGCGTGGTCTGCTTGTATTTAGAGGATGGAATTTCAATCACCTCTGTTAATCAACCTGTTCAAACATGCGCTCTCTTCTTGTACTTTCTGGTCTCTCTGCAGCTGTCATCGCCCAGACAATCTCGGGCAAGTTTGATTGCTTGCCCGCGGGCAACTTCAACCTTTGCCAGAACCTTTGGGGCGCGAGTACGATTTCTGCTCCACATTTTCATCTGTTTCTCGATTTACGTTCCCCTAGATGCTGGAGTCGGAGGCCAGAACTCAACACTAATCAGTGCATCGGGAAACACTGTCTCCTGGGAGACCCAATGGACTTGGGCTAACAATGAGAACAGCGTTAAGAGCTGTAAGATATATATCGCTTCGTACTATTGTGAATGTCTGGTTTAGACGTAATCTGCAGACGCAAACGTTGAGTCATTGACTGCGAAGGGTGTTCAGGTGAGTGGTCTACCATCCGCATGTGATAGTTGTTAAAGATGAAAATTGCTGTGACAGTTGTCAAACGTTGCATCTGCTCCGACAAGCTGGAGCTGGACGTACAAGACGCAGTCCGAAGGTATACGCGCTGATGTCTCGTAAGCACCCACTCCTTTCATTGAAGGTGTCTCAGGTTCACATTTAAGCAAGTTACGATATCTGGTTCGGCCAGGCGTCGTCTGGTACTCCGGCGTCTTCGGCATCGTCATACGAAATGTGATCTCCTTTTATACTGATCATTCTGTGCCATCCCTCATCCTTGATTTTAGCATGATCTGGCTTTCCGGGAAAGGAGGGTACGGCTCTTTAACGGTTTTTTTTGCTATTCCAGTCTCATGAGTTACATGTCTACATAGCATTCAACCAGTTGGTTCTCAGTCCGTGACGGGAATCAACCTTGCGGGACACAATTGGAATCTTTGGAAGGGACCGAATTCCAACTGGGAGGTGTTGTCGTTCGTCAGCGCCGATGGCGACATTACGGATTTCAACGCCGATCTTAACGAATTCTTCAGTACGTTATTTCCCCGTGGCTTCTATTCCGAGCAAGTTCCATATACTCAATAACTCGTATACAGCTTATCTCACTGAAAACCAAGGGGTGTCTCCAAGCCAGGTAAGTACATTTTGCATCATCTCACGAACGGAAACGAGGAAATACTGACTGGTACACTGCGATAAATTAGTTCCTGCAATCAATTCAGACCGGCACTGAACCATTTACCGGTAACGCCGACTTGCTCATCAACAGCTACTCAGTTTCAGTCACATCGAAGTAAACTTGTAGGACAATGAAATGGTCAAGAGCCTAGAATTTGTCGAGTTCGCTGTCTTCGGTAAAACTGTTCCCTAATACAAAGTAAATTCGTACACGTGTGTCACCACTGCACAATTCCGCTTTCTCATATCCGTAAATCGAAATTTTCACCTCTTCAGATAAGTCCCCAATATGCAACAGGATCAATGTTTCAGCGAGAGCTATATACCCGGGCTTCGTGGCAGTATGGTCTAAGTATAGGATTGGGTTGCTACGCCTTTCATATCTCAGGATCGTGTCAAATCTTGGAATTACTTGTAATGTAATATTAATATCGCCTTTGTACACAGTAAATTGAACGAAGAGATTAAGACCGCAACCTCCCAAACTAACTCCACTCTCTTTAGGACAATGAATTTCAATGAATTTGCTTTTATAGTTTCCATTTCGTAGAAGAGAAGTAATCCTGATGTACCTTTTTCTCGTGACCAGGCATTCTGATGCTCGATAACAATTCATGGAGCAATAGTTCTTACGGTTGTACTGAAGTAGAGAAATAAGAAGTGCAAATTGCGCTTGTGGTCCTTCCATAGCCTGGGACGGTCAAGAAAGCGCCAAGTATTCTCGCAGCAATATCCTTAAGCAAATGAGCCTGAATAATCATGATACAAAATATCGTGACTTGCATAAGAACTTCATTATTCAGTACCACAAGATGGTTCACACGGAATTACTCATTCAAATAGACAGAAATTCCGAACAATTTCCAATCTTTGGACATCTTCCATTGCTAACTCAGTTATGGACGATGAAGATTAGTTGAGGATGCGAGGTGGAGCTGCTGGATCCAAGAGTTGATCCGTTTGCCATTAGAAAGTCGGTAAAGCAAATTCAAACGAGAAGTCTAGGCGGATTCCAGAACTCAACCACTATCGCTCGCCCTCTCGTGTAGGTAAATGCTTGCGAGCGCCGTCTTGATCGGCTTCGCGTCCCGTCATGCCCGACCGTCGGCACTATAATTCTACATAATTCCTTCATTCAATCGCGCCCCACAATATTGATCCTTCACATTCCCTCTTCCAGGGACATTGTGCACACCCGAATTCCGATCCTGTTCTCGCCCTTCTTGCAAAAAAAGGCTGTGCAATGTATATCTGGGAATTACCGGCGTAGTCCGAGACAGCAGCAGTAAAGAAATCCGTCAGAAGCACCAAATATCCGAAAGTACCAACACCATTTCGTTATATTCTGTGAAGGTAAGTCTAGGCACCGTATGCTATAAAGATCCGTATCAAGTTCCATATAGCTGATAATCAGCAATGCAGTGTATTCGTCTCGTGAGTTCCGAGTAAAGTCTTCGCTAGCAAGATAATCAGAGAAGTGTAGACTTCCATGAGCGGATAATGCAACGGATGAAAGAGACCAACGTGTATAGCTTCCTTGTCACGGTATCGCTTCTTGAACGCTAGAATGCGTAGGCTCCAGGCTCAGGTTCAGCTTCCAAGCTTATGAGTGGATACCTGTCCGCCCGCGGTTAACATGCATATGGCATCCAACGCCGCTTGTGGTTGGCACTAGAATTCTTCGATGGATCTGGCTGATAGGGAGACCTGCTAAGGTTATTTAACAGAGAACCGTTTTGCGACACTTACATGGAGAGTGACTCATACAAATGTGGTACTGTGACTGCTATTGCTCCAGCATAAAGTGTGTCTGAAGAGGGATGACCCATGTTGAAGGCGGTGTTCAGCACTAGTGAGATGAGGCGAGGCGTCATGCAATCACTGTCAAAACGTTCAACATCGAAGCAAATATTCCGGATTGTTTCGCTGGCGTCGGCGAAGCACACTGGACAATTCCACATCTGAGTCTCATCCCCGGTACTCTAAAGATGCAACTGGTCACACTTAGCGGGCTACGTCGAGAGGGACACAATAGGCAACACTCACATATTTACCTGTGGCCCGCGAGTTCCACTCGAGGAATCATTTCTATTAGTGGTGAATCGATGATATATGATGTCGAGGTACACAAATAATGATACGAAAGCAGATTGAAGATAGTCGACGGAGATTGATATGGAGCACAATGAATGCAGTAATATAAGTAGAAAAAAGAATGCGGCCGCTGCAACGGCCTTTCAAGCTGTTAGACGTGCGTGAAGATGGACGAACAGCAAAGTGAATGTATCTATCTATGAATACTGAATACACTAAACGATCATGAAAAGAAGACATGAAGATATAAGCAATGTCCCTTGGAACAACAGATTGCGATAAGCCCATACAGAGGGAAATAAAGTTAAAAAAATGTATCGATGTCGACTAGTTAGATAAGCTAATACAATACAAAAATTAATTCGACATGCTACCCGTAGTTCAGGCCACTGCCACCTCCGGGAGGTCTCCCTCTTAGACCAGGAGCAATTTTACCGCCAAAGCTTGAGTTTTGAAAAGAGGTATCGCGATTCCATGTGGGCTGTGGTGGAGCATCAGGACGAGGGGGCAACCCTGCAGGTCGAGGCGGTAACTGTGAGGCTTGATAGTTTGGTTCGCCCCACCCTCCACCAACCAGACCCATGGGCCCATTCCCAAATCTGCCACCCTGATTTGAAGGTCTGTTAGGCCCCCATGGTCGACTATTGTGTGGTGGAGGTGGAGCCGACGTCCATGGGTTTTGCGAGGGAGGTGAAGGTAAAGGATGTTGCGACAGTGCGGGTCGGTAACTATTTCTATTAAAAGAGTTATTGGCGACATTGTGTGGAGGGTACGGTGGCGGTCCATCGGGGCGGAAGGATTGTTTGTGTGGACCTTCATTGCGGAAGTTTCTGTTGTGCAGGGGAGGCGGAAGGCCGTGGCGGACGGCTGGTTTCTGAACGTCATTCTGTGCCGGTGGCTGATGGCGTCGACCTCGTTGGTCGAACTCATGGGAAGGCTCATAAGTGGGCAGGCTGTCGTATCACCGTTAAAGTTTGTTTCAAATTAGAACACAGAACCGACCTTTTCGGATCCGCTGGTAAGGGATCGGACCAGAAATACTCATGGTCAAGAGCGTCAGAGGCAGTTATGCGCTCTCGAGGGTCCAATGTCAGCAGTCTGTCTAATAGTGCACAGGTCTCCTTTCCGATTCTTGGTATTTCCTGTTTAGTCTATGAGTAGCAGTGATTATAAGAAAGCTTACGATTCGTAAACTTGTTTTATTCGTCTTTCCTGTGGCTTGAATCGAATTTGGCCATCACAGCCTGGTAGTTTGTCGTAGTCCGGCCAATTTTGTTGATTCGGAGACCCGCAGATAGACCATATCTTATCAAGTTGGTCAAGATCAGTGTTGCCCGGTAAAATGGGCCTGCGCATGAACATCTCGCCCAAAACACAGCTAAATGCGCGTTAACTGACGGATCTCAGCAAAAACACTAGAGGCATACCCGATGCCCCAAATGTCAATCTCCCCACCATACTGACGCGCACCAAGTAATAATTCAGGTGGACGATACCATCGGGTCACTACACAATTAGTGTAGCGGCGGTCGCGACCGGAACTAGTACCTGGAGTGGTGCCGGACGGGTCGAAGGCGCGCGCAAGGCCGAAGTCAGCAATCTTGAGTGAGCCATTGTTTGATATCAATAAATTGGCTGCTTTCATGTCCCGATGAAGAATATGATTCTATCCGGACAAATAAGCGATGACGGATAACGACAAGAGAACAAGCATACATGGTGCATGTATTCTGTGCCCTCCAACAGCTGCTTCATATATAACTTTATTTGACTCGGAGATAGCTTGACACGCTCATTCTCCAGTAAACCCGCTAGATCATGATCCATATAGGGAAAGACCATATAAACGGACATGGGTACATCTTTCCCTTTGCCTAGTAGAGCAGCATAATGAACGTCCCATCAATGATCATAGAAAAGTTGTGCGCGCACCAGGAATGACAAACATGTCCAATAAATCGACGATACATGGGTGTTTAAGCGCTTTAAGGATTTTGATCTCTCTCAGTGCGGTAACCGGCATGCCTTCCTTTTCATTGTGCATTAATATGCGTTTCAAAGCAACGGCTTCACGCGTATGTTTGTGTAGCGCTTTGTGCACTTCACTAATTAATTCAAATCAGCGGCGCGAATATGCAATAACACGAGATAGTGAACGAACCCAAAAGTGCCTTCACCGAGCTTTGTAACAATATCGTAATCGTCACGTTGACCACAACCAAGGAATACACGATGATACACAGCCTTCTCTTCTTCGCGAGTGCGCTTGACCGGAACACGTTTGGATTTTACAACGCCATTAGCTGGCGCCTTCGCGGGCGCAGTAGTTGGAGTAGACAGGACAGGGGGCGGAGCGGGAGAAGTCTTTTCTGCACTACCATGTAATGAAGGCGGCGAAGGTCTGTAGTGAGGAGCGCCAGGTCGTCGACGTGCATACGAAATCGCTTCACGAGCCCGTTGAGGAGTGTCGGCGGTCGACGTTGACGGTCCTGGTTGCCAAGTACCAGTATCATAGCCGTCGTCGACTTCTCCTTCCTCCGGCGAAGAGGTAGCCCTTCGCTTTGCTGGGTTTTTTTCGGGCGTCCTAGGTGCAGGACGCTTTGCCGTCGACATTAGCGTCGGTGAGCGAGAAAGAGCAAGGATCGAGCCACGGTCAATTCACATCTGCATATCCAGATACAGTAAGTATGTGACATGTGACTACAACTCTAGTACGTAATAAGGATTCTCGGTTTACGCCCTCCAAGCGTGTCCCATACGCAACGGCAAAGCTACATGTAAGTCAATGAACGAAGAGGTCGGGTGTTATAATTCACAAAGGGATGCTCGATCAAAAATATCATAGCAAATAAGAGTAATCGAAATATAAAAAAAATGAGTCAAGAGCATCCACAAGAGAAAGCGAAGGCGAAAAAAATATAAATTTGCTCCGAAGAATAGATAAAGTCCCAAAAATTATAAGTCCTCCATTGTCCAGGTAGAAAGCAAGAACGAAAAGAAAGCAATGTACGCATCTAAAGAAACATTTATTTATCCATCCAAAATACACCATTAACAATAATCCGAGGGGACCCACGCCGCAGCGTCGTCGTTACTGAAAAGGCAAGTCAGAGACGTGGTCATCGAAGCATGCAAAAAAGTATGAAAACCTACTAATTGAAGTGATAAAAATCAGGGGAGTAGCTAAGAATAGCAATATGAGGGGCATCTGTCTCCATAGGGAAGTTTACTGTCTCGAGCTTCTGTTGGACGGATGGATCGTATGACCAGTGAGCATTTTCACCGCCAAACATCAAGCCGAAGTGAGCCATGTCTGACATGTCGTAGTCGCCCTCTGCAGCGCTTGAGTCCATCAAGCCCTCGTTGCTTGACGAAACAGTGTCACGCAACTGCGAGCTTTCAGCTGCACCCGCGTGAGTGAATCCATCATTATACATCACGATTGAATTGTTGCTCGTGATGGGTGATAGGGAATCAGGACAGCTTTGACGGTCCTCTTGAACATCGGTGGGAAGAGATCCCAGGCTTGGAGAACGGTCAGTTGAGCCTAAGCAATCGCGACTAAACGGTCGTGCATCCCATCCGTCATAATGCGTAGGTTGCTGTTGTAAAAACACATGAGAGGCGTCAATGCCTTCCCCGCAGTCCAATTTGGAAGTGTGGAAGGACTCCGCCGGGACTGAACCCGGGTCCTGAAGAAGAGAGTGATAAGACAACCGGTTGCTTTCGGAAACAGATAGATCATCGTCCTCCGTGCTATCTCTGGGAAAGGCTATCAAGGGATCCAGCGAGCCACCTAGAAACCCTGCTCCACTACTATTTCTAGAGATGCGTCTAGCAAGTCGGGGTTCTCGGGACGCCCGAAATCCAAGACCTCTAGAGATGAGCGGCGCTGATACCGATAAACCAATCGTGCTATGTCTTCTCCTCAAAGCAACGCGACTACTTTGGGTATGTACTTGTGCGCCGTGTGAACCACAACTAAAAATGCACCCGAAGTTAGAATCGAAGGATTCGTGAAATGGAAATTGGCTATGAGCAATGGAAGAGCTGACGTACTCAGTGTTTCTTCGAATCCGCCCCTGGTTCGAAACTTCGAAATGACCGGCCGGGCTGGAAGGAGCGGGATGGGGATCAGCGACACTAGCACCCACTTCGCTTTCGCTTTTTATGTCCTCTGATTTTGCACGCTTTGGGTCTGGTGCATAGATGCACTCAAGACCGCGCATCGTACAACGTGCACAAGAAGGTCGAGATCCACTGCACTATTAAAAAAAGAAGAGAAGAGGCTATCAACACATGCTATTTACAGTATGAGCATTTGTAGCGGGTTACCTTTGCCTTTCGTTCGCGACATTTTTCGCAAGCTTGTCCTGTTCGCTGGTACTTTAGGGGAGTCGGCGAGCGTAAGAAGATGCACTGCCCCTCCGGTCCTGGAAGTGTCCCATCTTTATATCCGTAGTAGGCTGAGCCCCAAGAAATATCGTAAGGGACTAAGTCCCATATGTCCTCTGAATCCACGTCTGCCTCGGAGTCTTCGGATGAATCAAAGACGGGCGAAGGCGGAGTTATACTGGAAGCGAACGGAGGTAATGTGGGCATAAATGGCGGGAGGGGAGACGTAGCAGATGCCGAAGCAGAGTTCTTCCTAGATGACTGAGAGATGTACGGTCCGAGCAAGGGGGATACAGGGAGCTCATGCGATGGCTTGCTTTCGGCAGACCATGGCAGTAAAAATGAATCACTAGCAGCACTGTTCAAGCAATCGGTTGCAGAGACGGAGACAGGCTGTGAGGGGACGTCAAGAGAGCGAGAATGCCTATGACCTATAGCTCGAGCTGTTGCGTCTTGTCGCACCATTTGTTCGCGAACAGTGTCAGTATTGATCCGAGATAGTGATGGACGGGAAATGTCCACAATCTCTGTTGAAGAGTGCAGCCCGATAGGAATCATGGAGGGGCTCTCTGCGTCATCGGGAGAGGTGAGCACGGCCCTAAACGTAGATGGCGTTGAGGCACTTACGTTCCAACTGCGGAATATTGAAGCCTTTTAGAGAGGGGACCTGCATCCCCAACGATCGGGGAAGACTTGAATACGATATAGGTGGTGCAGTGCACATGACCTTAAATAACACAACGACAGGAAGGGACAGATACAAGGAGTGGTCGTCTACAGATACACGGTTGCCGCAGCGCGCAAATCAGTCTCTGACCAGCAGGTGGAGGAGAGGGAGCGATGATATAGTGGGGATAGCGTTGGCCAAAGAGCGGATTTCGCGGAGCAGAGAGCAGGACAAACTGGACGGGCTTGCTGACGATCATCCAATCTTTATATACACCTGCAAACCTAAAAGGCAAAGATGGATTGGTCCACAGCTTCCGGAAGAACCTCTGTAAAGAATTTGATCTGAATCGTTGCATAACGACAAACAAGTCACATCAAGAGCATTTCAGTTCGATTCTAATCAACGGTTCCTTCGCGACCTAGCCTTTTCCATCTCCGAACACATTCAAAATTTATACCCATAAATTCATTAGTAAGGGTTGAAATGTCGCGAGAGAACGCGCGCCGCTCCATGCTTCGGTCGCAACGCCGGCGAACGAAGTGTGTGCCAGTGCCTTACACACTCCACTCTTGACGAACCCTCCTATTCGCTTCCAGGCTGATATCATTCGTGTCTTACGATGCACAGTGTCGTCGGTGTCGCCAAGGTCTTTAAGATCAGTAACTCGCCTCGAACGCGCTGAGTGTCTAGGTTTGCAACGACTACGGGATTCTTGCTGACTTAGATTCCGATGATGAGAAGTACCATTGAGACTAGTTGAGAGTGAGAGAATGTCATGCTGTACAGATACGACCAATGGATGATCCATCTTTCAATTTCGTTCCGTCCCGCTTTAATTCGGAAGGGGAGTACTCTATATGAACGGAACACGGGATCAAAGGGTTCCCTGCCCTACCCACGCGAATGAAGTCTGGCGGAACCGCCCATGGGGAATGGAAATCCGTATATGGAATGTCAAGGAACACTCAGAAGCTCAACGGTGGGACTCGGAATTGCGTACGGCATGACAGAAAGGTGGGCTTCGTCGACGTTCTCCAGACCTGGCAGAGACAAGGACGATCCCGACTAGCTAACATCGTCATGCGCATGACACTCAGTTCGTCGAGCAAGCGTCCCATCTCGGTCAAAGTTATACTAAGGAGACATAATTTGATCCGATGTACGTAGAGTTGACAGGATGCTTCTGCAATTTCCACTGGAACCCTGAAAAGCTATAATATGTTGCAATGGACGCCTTGAATTGTCGACCACGGGACACGAGGTATGAGCATCGCGAAGAGGCGGCCCGTCAACTGCCGAATCTGCAAGCTACGACGAAAATTTTCAAGCGAAAATGTACACGCCGGCGGCTTCGACGATTGTGTTAGCAAGCACGCACGAGGGCGAGAGTTATCGGTTCGCCAATGAACGATGACATGATCGAGCCCAGTGAGAATGCCATGCGAGCAAAGAGACAAGTCCGTGGCTTCTAGATAGGAAGTTAGTATAGAGGCTTTAAGTGCGGTATTCATTTGTGTTTCAATTTTATTCAGCGAAGCGAGTGAAGTGGAATGTCGTCGCAGGAGCCAAGTGCAAGTGACCAGGTTTGGAGGAGCAGAACACTCCCATGGGCATCGGATTCACCGGAGATGCCCTTCTCTTCCGAGGAGGATGAGACAGCGCCAGAGTTCGTTGGTGGAGAGGAAAAAAGCGACGAATAAACAAAAAGTAGCGATATGGACCAACCTAAGCTCACGTGGCTCAGGCATTTATTCATTATCTCTAGACGGCATACAGAACTCGGAGATTTGCGACAAGAGTAGTCTCGCCAACGGATACGACTCGTGCCTGCATAGCATCGTCGGCGACAGTATCAAACGTGTCTTCGATGTATTCGACCCCGGCGGATGAACTAGTCGCGGAAGAATTCAGTGCGAAAAAATGCAAGTGTGCTGAGCTCGGCTTGACGTATTTCAGGCCGACAAGACCCATACGAATCAGAACACTCTGTCACTCCTCTCCAGGTCTGATGCTTCCAACCTGAACAAGCGATACCTAGACCCCCGAAATCCACCTCTTCCAGGCGTAGATGCTCCTCCACCGTCACGAATCCAAGAACCACGCGATAGAAATGTACAGTCTGTTTTCGTACTCCGAGGCCAACCTCCCGGAGCAGGAATTGCGACCGTGGTACATAGTGATCAACATGGCATCTGCATGTCCTGTTCGTATTTGAGGCAACGGTTCATTCGCCGCTATGCAGGGCGGCAAGGAATTGAATGTTGCCTGCTTTACACTTCCGGAATCCCTTACGTGTTAGATCGGCTTAATATGCAACTCAAGAGTGGTAACGGAGAATGGAAGTCTTACCCTGGTCGATTACTGTGAAACAGCCTTCAAAAGCTCCATCAAATCAGAACAGTGCAGGAGGCACAGTGAGCCTCGTGTTCATAGACTGTACGTATGTCAACACCTTTTACCTGTGCTTAGGCGGCTACATCCGCACGACCTCGAAACTAGCTAGTACAAAGTCTGAACCCCAAGCCCTCGAAGTTAACGATCTTTTCAATAAATTTCTCATGAGAAGTGCATCGATTCGCAAGAAGCCTAGAATGAGAATTATGAACATAGTATTTCGGGACTATTATTTATTAATCTACGCGGAAACACGGCTTTGAGGAATAGTATTCCTCTGCTTCGACGTATTAAGTTGCGGATATTTTTCCAACGAGTGGGTTCGTCAGGACGTCTGTTGGCTGAAGGCTACCCTAACTCCGGCGGCTGAGAGAGCAGACTCCATTAACAAAATTCTGATGAAAGAGATCCCCCAAAGAGCTCCAACACCGTCAAGAACTGTTCCGTGAGAGCTAATGAAGCAAAACACAGAGATCCCTGTACATGCAAAGTAATCGGCCCGAATGTCCTCGACGGACTGCAAAATAAAGCGGAGACAGTTGCTATCTCCTTGAAAGTACTCGATTGAGTCTTTATCGTCCTGGCAATTAGTATCGGGTAAACTACACCGTAAGCCCCTCTATGAACTCCGTCGCTAGTGACGACAAACGCTGAGAGGTGGAACTCTGAGTCTAAGGGTAGACGTGCGTATGCAAAATAGAAGAATAATCGAACACTCTGGATAAATGTCCAGAAGAGTCACACTACTTGAAGTCAATAATTGTTCACTGCAACCATTAATACTGTAAAGCAGGGAAGCTGAAGACGATTGCCCAACCTAAAGAAGCTCACAGGCATCGCTATTTCAGTTAGTTCCTAAATCAGCTCGATGAACAGCCCGCGACGTAGGCGCAGAATAGCTACAGCATCCGTGACCTTCGATGCCCTTCACCCCGATGTGTCGCTTTCAGTGTAATTGCCTGCATATCGCCAAGTGAAGTTGTCCCTTAATAAAGGCGTCCCCATTATCAGCAGAACTATCCCCAGATAACATCCACAGTGGCTTCAGTACTAATATAGAGACAAGACCCAGTAAAATTGGGGCAAACCGCCAAGTGCTTCCAGCATGATCGTTCTGAACTCCCGAGGGTGTTATTTTGCGCGTGTTGGAGGAAGATCAGCCACTTAGCCAGAGTATTCAGATTATAGTATATTTTGAGGGAAAAAATACATAGTCGTTACACAATATCGATTGGACTGAATAGTTGAACGTGCTCGTGAGTACCGATGATGCTCTGTGAGATCAATCCCTAATAGTACTGAGCCGACTTTGAGGAATAAGAAGAGCGTAGTCTCGAGGACGGAATGCCCCATTTCTTCGCCCCATCGTAACGCAATGATTTGCTATTCACAGCTCAGTACGATGCCGAGCACCACAAGATAGAGTTGCTTCCCATTAGTGCTATTGAAATGGTACAATAGAAAGAAAGCCGATGTACACGGCTATAGCGGTTCCTGGAGGGCGGCGACCAGCGGATGAATGCGACGAGAACGTATTCTCAGGTTAAGACGTCGGGTCGTGCAGCACAGCAAGGAGGTATCGTTCGTCTGAGGATGGTAACCACAGACGGAGTTCAAGTACACCATGACACAGTATGGAGACAAAGACGAACCTGGTGAAATCATTAACTCGTGTCGTTTTGTCCTGATCCGCATGAACCGTACTTCGTCCTGCGCGGCTGAATGGTAAAAAAGCACTTATGCAAACGAAATACAATAACATTACCGTATCACCTCCATCTATTCCAACATGCTCTAGGCCACTGTGTACAGCTTCCACAATTTTGCTTACGGCACTGGCGTACTTTCGCCCCTGCTCCCCATCAAACACGACCCCAGAATGACGGATAATCCTGACTGGCGTAGATCGCGACAATAGCAAATAACCCAAAACGGTGCGATGCGACGAAAGCATTGACAGAGTTTGCTCCAATTCAGGTGGTGTGACTAGGGCAGTTGATGAAGTGCCACTTGATGCTGGCGTATTGGATTGTTTGCTTGGCGTCGTCTGGTCACTTGAAACTGGAAACGACGAAGACGTCGAAGGAATGGGGGGAGACGGGGATACCTGTCTTTAGGGTTAAGTATAGAGTATACACGATGAAATGCAGCCTTACCATTGCAACAAAGGCGGTGAATGACGAGACAGACGTAGCTGTTGGTGGCAAAAGATTACACCGTCAACGAGGATCAATGCAGAATGGTCACGTGCCGTTTGCATCTCTTTTGAATTGCTAGTCAAATATTATTATAAATTACCGAGGCATGCTCTCAATGTTTCAACTAATATAACCTGCCAATTTCCGGTAGATTCACAAAGATTGATCAGATACCAGCTCGGAGTTATCCTCAATTTTTCATGATCTATCCAAATCCTATTTATTCATATCCATAAACATTGGTGAGGTGAGAACATGTAAATCCATTGCCAGTTATAGTAGTGACAAGAAGATTTTACACATCAAATATTCTACTAACAAATATTGAAATAAAATGTATGATACACGCCATAACATGATTAAGTTGACATCAGAGCTATATCCGTTAACCAGACTGTCATACTACACTGCACATGTCCGATATTGTCCAAACCCGTTTTCAGCCTAGCAGCCGCAGCACAAGCCATCGATTCAGTACACAGGCGGCCGAGCCTAATCTGAGGTTCTGAGTTTGCGAGCGAAAAACAGAATCGTAATTGCCATATGCGTGGACATCATCGTCGCCACGAGGCGGTGGCTCAGCGACGGAACTCTTCCGCGAGCCGACGCCTGCAAGAGCTCCCCAGAGGCACTACGCAGGATGCAACCTGACGCCTTTTAGGTATAGAGGTATTCTGTAATCATTTTCCAGCATCAGTGATCCCGTGAATGAAGAAATATAGTATTTATATTATCAGAAAGAAAAAAATCAGACTTACGGTCGTCATGAGCTTCGACGGAAACAACGAGCCGCCAAGGCACCATCACCATTGTAACATATCGCCCCTCGGGTTTATTTGCGGAATATTCGTCGGTGTTGGCAAGAATAAGGTTGAGCTGCTTATCGACGCAGACGAATGTTCCTACGAATACGCGACCATCGGAGCAAGTGACGCGTAGAGTCTGGTTAAGGAGAGCTCTGAGCGTACTGACTGCAGGACGAGGCTGAGAACGAGGTGAAGACGATGGCGAAGGTGAGGTAGACCGCGGTGGTGGGCTGGACGGAGAAGACATGGCTTGAGTACAACGCACTGAGTAAATACTTAATACTGACTGAGCGCGCCTGATCGGGACTCATGAGCGCGCGTGGTAGTGATATGACGATTCACAGGTTGTCCACCGTCCACGACGTTCTCCTCCAAATGTAATCATGGAATGTCCAACCTGCGAACAGACTCGCAAGGACTTCATCTGTTCCTCGTGCCTTTCTCGCGAGTGAGTACATACTGGATACATTTAGAAATAACATTGCACGTTTACTAATATATTTTTCCTCCTGCAATAGTTTGCATGCTCATCACACCGCGCTCACGCGTCTTTCCTCAGAGCGCGACCTTCTCGTCGCCAAGGCTTCCGCGTCCCTTGAACCATTACAAAAGTCCCGCGGGAGGCGCGCAGATGTAGCCGCCTTACGCGCACGTCTTGACGACATACAGCTGCACACTCGGAAACTCCGCGAGGAAAATGAGGAGATGCGAGAACGCATCGCATCTATGCGCGCTATGCTTGCTGGAAGGCGAACTTCACTAGACGAAGCACATCATTCATTCGACGAGTCGCCACCACGAACGCCAACTCCGACACCTCCTGGCGGCCCTCCACGGCGTCGACCGCCAACACCACCTCAAAAGCAAGACCACATGGCGATGCTAGTAACAGACATCACGTCCAAGCACATCATCCTTCAGGATGAACTAGCGAAAGCGCGCCAGGGCCTTGTGCATGAACTCGTCGATGTCTTCTCAGTCGTCGAGGTTGGCGGACGACCCGCTTCGGGCGTTCGAGCAGGAATAAGAGGCGACTGGTCCATTGGCGGACTTGTCCTTCCCGTTCCAGGCGACATGCGCCGCTTCGCACCTGCACACGTCAACGCCGCGCTCACATTCACAGTACAATTCATTGGTTTACTCAGTTTCTATTTGGGTGTGAAGCTTCCATTCGAAGTGACCTGGAGCGGAGGCAAATTCGGCGTGGGGATACCTGAAATCTGCGCAGGAAGGGGTGGGGAAGGCGGTGCTTGGGCACGATGGACTGCAAGATGTCCTTTACACGTCCCATTGAATCCCAGTAGCGGGACTAATGGCTCGCCTCCCCATTCACCTTCCCCCGCACACCAGCCTTCTTTACCTTCTCCTTACACACCTTCACCTTTATCAGCAAGCACACGAACACGACGCGATTCTCTCTCCGCATCCACTCACTCTTCCGTCTCCTTCCCAACCGCACTAGCCATGCTCTCATACAACACAGCTTACCTCGCATACACTCAAGGACTAGACGTTTCGTTATCTCTCGCAGCTTCCGGTGCCCTTCTCCCGACTCTATGGGGCGTATGCTGTAGCGCGGAACTCGGACGCAAATCACATTCTACTGGGTTCAATGCAAATACTAATATCAACATCCCCGGAGCTATTACAAGACTACCTCCCCCGACACACGGCTTTGCACTGGACTTCCGACAGCTTTTGCAGGCGCAGGCTACAGCTGCTGATCAGACCCCGATGCCTCCTCGAGTACGAATACCCAGGGGTCGAGACGAGTTGACTATTGAGGAGGAAGATGGCTGGGAGGTCGTCGAGGAAGCATGACTTAAAATGTCGTCATTTTACGGATTTTTTCTCTTGTCCACATTGTTTTGCTTAATCAATAAATTTTCAGTCTATACAGTCATGGACAATTCGTGTATTTTGTAGACCAAGAAAATACTGTAATAATGTACATCACGCTAGACTCGTTTCAATTGCAATGCAATGCAATTCAATCCCTATCACAGGAGAGTTTCAAGGGCCTATAGAATTCAAAAATACATACCATCGCGCTTGGCACTAACACAGCCGCCATTCTACCATTCTACCAAAATATCAAAAGCTATGCAGACGACAATGATCAATGATGCAACCCATCCTGCCCTGACAATGATCTCCACCATGGAGTCCTCGTTCGGTACGATTCCCCCTCGGACAATCGAGTTGTCTCAGTACACGAGTTACGAACAAAATGAATTCAGTCAAGTTTCACAAGTACTGATGTAGTCTAACTTGTATTAGTGCTTGACCGCATAGAGATTGATCGCTACTAAGTTATAGGAAGGAGAGTTTGGCGCAAGTTAATGATGCTCGGTTGCTTGTAGTAGTAACAGCAGAATGCTTCCCACATCAACGTGGTCAAGACATCTCGAGCGTCATAGCATGAATCAGACTCCAGGAAGTCTAGAAGTTCATTATACCGCCACGCGGACGATACGGGAACCAGCATCGCCCCCACACGTCTGTATCCATTGATTCTGACAACGTGAGCACTCGACTTCATGAAAGCATGCCGTACTATGGTAGCTGAAACAATGGCAGCAGAATCCACTGGAACCGAGTTGTATCCTGATGTGAACACGTAGGCAGCAGCGACGCTGATTGTAGAAGAATAAAAACAGATGACTCCTCCAAAATTCACCGTACTCCGGACCTGTGCAACAGAACACTGCGAAACCATGAAAACTCCGGCAAGTAGTACGACTTCGGACTTGATGCAGAGCGCCCAAGTCTTGAGTCTTGCATGACATCGAGTACTCAGCGAGAATCGGATCAGTCAATATGTGGCAATCGTTGTGAGACGAAAAAGCTGGGTACTGAGCAACATGAGAGCCACAGGAGATAGAATAGACTAAGGACTGCAGAACACCGAGAACACCGGGAAGAATATGACCTATTCTTAACCACCTCTGATAGCCTCTCAAGTAGCAGGGTCGGACCACAAGGAAACAGTCAACTCAAATTCAAAAGGAAAAGAATACAGAGAAACCATGACAAGTCAGGCACACCAGATCAAGGTTTTTTGTGTAAATCAGAGATCCAAGTCACAACCTGAGAGCACAAGAGGTCCCTAATATGCGAGAATCGGCGAAACCTATATGTGTACGAGATCTTGCGCGCATCACGTGCTCTAAATCTCCTTCGAAATTTATATTGAATTGTAGTCGAGGCGAGAATATGTTGAGATTATGCAATAGATAAAGTTACAGGCTCTGCAGACGTGGGAGTAGTAATGTGGTCTACTTCGGAGGTCTCCAGGGGAATCTCGAGGTTTCCAAGTCGAGGAGGAGAACGGCGGGTGATGAATTCCGTCATGACTGGTAGTTTGTTACTTGCTTGTCGTAAAGCTGCACGACCTTCAGCTGAGTATCTCATACAAGTTAAAATTGAATAAACGAACTGTCTCGGGCAAGCTCTTCTCTTATTGGAACGCCACCAATCTCAAAGATGACACGTCCAGTAGGAACACTGCGATAAACATTAATACTGGCGATTTGCAGAGACCTATGAATAACTTCATACCGCGTTGCCCAGAATTCGAAAGTCCCCTTTCCTTTGCCCATACGCGTCTCATTTCCCTGTATTAAAGTAAAATTTTAACAATAGAATATATATTGTGATTTTCAGACGGCGTACCTTGATGCAGACAGGGATGTCCGGGAAAACACGCAAGAAAACCTTTGCACCTTTGATGACCTTAAGTTTTCGCTTGATAAGCTCCTGTACGGTCTCCAGCTGCTTTCCAGTAAGACGTGCGCCATTGCCCTTAATTCGTATTCCCCATTCACCGAAGGCCAAAGTGGTTCCTTTGGTCGACCCGCCTATCGGAATGGGAATGATACCTTTCTGGCGCTTCACCCATTTTACGTTTCTCGGTGAAAGTTGCGAACGATGTCGAACGAAGGTGAGAGGAGAGCTTATAGACGCGCGAGATGGTGCAGCATGTAGTCGTAGCTGCGAGAACGCAGCAGACAACGAGAACATTGCGGGGGGACAGCGAAAGCTGAGACTGACCGCTATCGAAGACGTTGTATGGACATGAGAAATAACTGCCGCTTTTGGATCTCGTGACTTGGAGAAAGCGCCTCCGCGCGCCCTTGCTCGTCACCGCGACTTGTCTTCTTGTTCCACGACCACGATGAGCAAGCGTCCACTCGACAGCAGTGGAAATGGCTCGGCTACAAAGAAGATCAAAAGGTCTGTGCACAACTGTCCATCTGGTATGCCGTGGCTGACCAGTTTTTAATCTAGCGACGCAGTAAGTCCATCTCATTCTCAAGGTGAATACGTCCATAACACGTCTCTGACATGTCTCTATAACCGCTTTTCTTTCAATGAACAGACTCCCTCGCCTGGCCCTAACTCGAGTACAGGTGTATGTTAAACTCATATTATCTGCTCCCTTATGTCGTCTGATTTTTCATTGAACAGCTATCTGCAGATGAGCTCATCAAGCAGAAACGAGCTGAGATCGCGGCCAAGATGGCGGCGATGACGGGTAAGAAGCCAAATTTTCCGGCTGCACCAGCGCCAGCTACGAACGCTCAGTCGGCCGGTATTGCGGCCCCGAAACCAACAGCAAGTTCGTCGGCAACTGAGGATCTCGCGCGACGCGTTGCAGAGGCAAGGAAACGAGTTGCTGAGGCGCAGAACAAGATGTCGACCAAGGATAATCCATATCTGGTGGTCCGTTATGCATCCATGCTTTGCGGGACTCTTAGTTGACTTTGACTTTGTTTAGGCAGCGGCTCAGGCCGGAAAGAAAAAGGCAACCCCTGTTGAACCTAGTCCGCAGGGTGCTGGGCTCAAGATGGCTGCGCATCCTCTCTTACTTGATACAAGTAGCCCAGCACCACAGTCAAAGAAAGATAAATACAAGCCCATGCAGCCAAAGTTTGCATCAATCAAGGCAAATGTACGAAATACTCCGACTGCTACACCTCCACCATTAGCCGTCCCATCTCCGAAACCAGAAGTGAAAGTAAACCCCTACGCGGCACAAGATGCCGCAGCTGGTTCTTTTGAAGGCGCTGCACCGAAAGAACGTACTTCACGCACGTTCCGATTCAATCAAAAGGGAAAATATGTCGCGATTGCAAGTCAAATACGGAATGATGCTCAACTCGAAGCACTGAAGCAACGAATCGCTGAGAGTGCGCGGAAGGCGGGTCTGGATGGTGAGTTTGAGACCGTGGAAAAGAATATTAGGGTGAGTTCTTAGATATCAATGAATGAGCTTTTCTGACCGTGTACGCAGAGAGAAGCGCCCCCAGAGGCGGAATGGTGGGACATGGCTCTTCTGCCTAATCAAAACTATGACGATTTGAATGCAGGAATGGCGGCGCTGCGTATTCGTACGGGAGATTCTCCCATCACACTCTATGTGCAGCATCCTATAAAAATCCCTGCCCCTGGCGACAAAGACAAAGCCGAAATCAAACCGCTCATACTCACAAAGAAGGAACAGAAGAAAATGCGCAAGCAACGCCGACAAGCTGAATTACAGGACAAGCGCGACCGAATTCGCATGGGACTTGTGCCTCCCGACCCACCCAAAGTCCGCCTCGCGAATCTCATGAAGGTGCTCACAAGTGACGCAGTCCAAGATCCCACCCGCGTCGAAGCACGGGTGCGGCGCGAAGTTGCAATGCGCAAGCATAACCACGAAAAGATGAATGCTGAACGAAAACTTACGGATGGGCAACGTCGTGAGAAGCTTGAGAACAAGAAGCTCGAAGAAGAGAAGAAAGGTCTTGTTGGTGCCGTCTTTAAGTACGTGGATCGGTGCTTGTCCCCTGCCTATCAATTCTAACGGTTATTTCAGAGTGAGAACGCTGGCCGATCCTTCTCATCGATTCAAAGTACGCAAGAATGCCGAGCAGACGAACTTGACGGGGATTATCATATACCATCCGCAATTCAGTATGGTCTACGTCGAAGGAGCGGCGAAATTCATCCGACAATATAAACGTCTTATGTTAAATCGCATAAAGTGGACTGAAGCCGCTCGAGCCCGTGGCGAGGAGGAAGTCGAGTTCGAGGACGCTGATGAAGGAGATATGACAGGCGCAGGCATGTCGAGCGCACCAAAACAGTCAGCGCAAGAAGACGAATTTGGTTCCGCTTCACTGAATGATAATCGTTGTGATCTGGTGTGGGAAGGTGAACTGCGTGAGCGTGCATTCAAGACATTTCGTCCGAAGAGCTGCCCGACGGATGGCACGGCGAAGGAGGCACTTGGACCGAAGATGGCAGGTTTCTGGGATCAAACGAAGAACTGGAAGCCAGAGGAAGTCGAGCTGTTCTAGTCCCTTGCGTTCTTTATCGTGGTATTAGTACTTGTTTGTGCTATGAGTGTTATCGATTCAGTTGTCTAATGCAGTTTTCTCGCTTTCTTTTACGATATGAGAGAAAGTCGCAGCTTCGGTTTTGTATGCGACGATCATTACTACCGTTAACTGTGATGCCGAGTGGGAGTGAGTGGTGTATGGATTCGCTCGTCTTAAATTTACAGATTTAGGGCGCATGAATTCACCCTCGGCTTTCTCGGACGCCGTAGGCTTCTTCTCTCGTCGTTGCGATTGTCTTCCATCCGCAAAAATCATTCTCGCAGACCCCACGCCTCAAGCTCGGATATTCAAGCGTAGAATGAATGGTCTCAAGGGTTTCACGTACGTAAGTATATATACGTGTGTGAGGAGCCAACAGGATATTGAATACTGCCTAGGTTGATAGTCGTCGTTCGATCGACGTAAGGATTCTTGGGTCTAGAGAATTTGAACGATCGCATCTAATATGTAGCTTATCTTTCTTGTGTGTAGCACAAACAGATATTCCACGCATCGGTGATAATATTGATGGTTAGCAACATCGATCGTCTTCAAAGCGAATGTTCCACAGTATGCCCTTATTAATATTCTTGACATAGGCGCCGCAGCATCCACACACCACTTTCTTATCACTGAGATTAGTGTATCACGGTGGAGTCGGTCTTTCAATACCGCTGAACGTTCAGGATGAGTGAAAGGTGAGAAGGTCAGCAAATATACGTTTCAGACTCCGTGTGTGAGAACATTTCATTTCTAGGAACCCGGCGAAACGTTCTGATAGCAAGGGTTTGAGACGGAGCAATCTGATTTCCCTGCTAGGCTTGCGTGGAAAGGCCAATAACTATGACGCCGACTCCTAGCGAGATTGATGAGCGACACCGCCCGTGACCCCAATGCATCTCGGCCATCCTGCAGCTCCTGTTCATGGAGAGGACTGCGGGTGTTCAACTTGCTTTGTAATGAGCGAGGGTGCCTTGTCTTGAGGTTGCGCCCCACTTCTCAAGAAACACATCCGGGTCTCAAGAGATGGACCAGTCCTTGTCTGCGTCGGGTCCTAGTGCCATGCTGTTTGCATGGTACGCGACTGGTTTTGCTCAGTTTGCGTCCTTGGCACTCATGCTGTACGATATTGGTGAGTCCTCTGTCTTAAACCCGAGTCGATCATAGCAATCTGAGAATACGATACAGTTACAAAGATGGATGAAGAGGTAAACGAATATCTTCTTTGTGAACATGAAGAAATATTCATTTCCGCGTGTATTGCAGGTCCAGCATTTCTGGGTATGACAGCCGAATTCTTGAGGTTATTGAGAGAGAAACTGTTCTAACTTTTGACGGAATGCATCGTGGCAGAAACCTGACTACAGGAATGCGACACCTCTATACTTTTTGGTGAGCGTCTGGGAGTTGGTTGTGTAAAATTGAAATATACCTACCTTTGATCAACCAAGACCCGATATACTGGGCCTGTTGCGATCGCTCTGTGCTTATGTGGTACGTATGGCATTCAGTGGAATCTGAGAGACGAATTAACTTGTCGCCTTTAAATCTCGCAGGCTATTTTGTTGATGTTAATCGAGAAGCGTCAGTAACCATTCGTATTATTCGTCTTTCGAAGGACATTACGAACTGACTGCCTTTTTTAATACAGATGTATGTCTGCCAGTTGCCTGAGAAAGATTACCCTTCACCGGACAGTTGATAATAGGTACTTCATTCGGATGGATCCGTTCACTGTCCGGTATGTAGGTGATTACGGGTTGCTAACGACTGCTAACTTTTAGCTGTGCTAGGCTATACTGGCGTACTGCTAACTGATAGTAAGTTTTTTCAGGGCAAACTAACTGAACTTACATTAACACTCTGAGCAGTAGTCGTCCTACTGAAAGTAATTGCTCTCTATGTAGGAAGTGCGTGAGGATTTGCTTATTTATCCGTACGAGAACGGGATATTGATGATATCATCGAAGACAAGAAACTGAGTAATATATTGGCCGTTATCATCGTCGTCCAATCTGGCGCTTTACTGGGTATACTATTATTTCTACAAATCCATACTAATTGTAAGTCGAACTGACACTTCCGATGCACGAGAAATCTGCGAGCTGACCGTTTCGTTACAATACTAGATGTAACGCAGGTAATAAGCCACCAAGTATTATGTATCAGAAAGCTAGACTCTTCTCTGCAATCCTGGATGTGTGCCTACTTGTACGTACCAATCAGATTTTTCGTTGTTTACACGCAAACTTGCATTTCCCTTAAGCATTATACCTATTGGTTTCGAGGTTTTATCTTTAATATTAGCAGTGCGGAAGGCAGGGAGAATATGGACGATTCCTGGACAAGGCAACGTAAAGAACGGACGAAGCAGCCTTGTATCTATCTTAATTCGAGATCAGTTCATTTACATCGCTATGTGAGAAAAGACCTTATTACAATTCCACTGGGCAGGTATCAGCACTGACGGATTTCATGAACAGGGCGATGTTGGGTAGCGCGCTAAGTGTAGTAGTTATATGGTCAACAAGTACTGTCGTCGTTGTTTTGGAGAGCATATGCAGCGCGACTTTGCCTTGTATATTCGGTAGTAGGATGCTACTGAATCTGAGTCAAGCTGCCAAGAAGCTGTATGTTGGAAGCCGAATATCAGACGAGGAGTACGAGGGTGAAACATCAATAGACACCATGTATTTTGCTTAACACCTTACCATATATGTACTAGTAGGCCTAATGTACATTACACTACTTTTAAGTATTGTAATGATTCCTTTGCATTTTGTATCTTGAACGCGTACGCGTATCTCTAATGGATTAGGTAATAATGACGCGACAAGAAACGCGTTCAGCCCGAGACGCGTCGTGTAATTGATAATTTGATCCTTTCCTTTCAACCGTGAGTGCAACACTTGTCGAGACAGAGACAAGGTCAACACCAAAAGTTGCGATAAATAAAAAATGGCGCTCATGTATGGGAAGGAGAAAAATGAAGATCATGATTTCGGTGCGTTCACCCTCATAATCCTGGAAATGTCTTCGACAGACTAAACGCGCGACTGGGAGTAGACCAAGCCGATATCAGCTTCATCTCGTTCTTCAGCAAGCTCCCTCCAAAGCGCGCAGACACAATACGCTTGTTCGACAGGCGAGACTTCTTTTCTGCTCATGGCGAAGATGCAACATATATTGCTATGCAAGTCTTTCGCACTCAATCGGTACTCAAATATCTCGGTTCCGGAGGCAAAGCTAGCGGATTGCCTAGTGTTACGCTCAGTAACAACGTAGCTACTGCATTCCTACGTGATGCACTCACGTCACTGCAACTTCGAATTGAGATCTGGGTGTCGGAAGGAGGAAAGAAAGGTGCAAAGTTTAGACTTGAAAAAGAGGCATGTCGAATCTCCAGGAATGAATGTCCGTATTTCTCACTTTGGACCTAGGCTTCCCCTGGGAACCTTCAAGCTGTGGAGGACCTTCTGTTTGTCAATACAGACATGCTCTCAGCGCCTATAGTCATGGCAGTGAAAATTGGCACATCGACACTTGGTAACTCAGGCCATTTTTGCTCGCTCAACGGAAGAAGTAATTTATTTTCTTCATCTTGTTTGTAGGTGCAGCCGGGTCATCGGGCATAAAGACAAAAGCAGTCGGGGTAGCCTTCGCCGATACGTCCGTACGTGAAATCGGGATCTCAGAATTTGTTGACAGCGACCTCTTCTCAAATATCGAGGTATGTTTCACTTTAATCTTTGGTAAGTTAATGGACTTGTAACATACCTATTCCGAACAGTCCCTTGTAATACAACTGTCCGTGAAAGAAGCTGTAATCCCGATGTCTTCGAAAACAGGAAATACGGATCGTGATTTAGAGTTGAACAAGCTGAAGGGCGTCTTTGAACGTTGTGGAGTCGTTATAACGGAACGCAAGCCGAGTACGTCCACCCTTGAGATGTGCCCCAGATACAACCATGCTTGACTTACTGCATTCAGGTGACTTCGCTGCGAAGAATATCGAACAAGACCTTGCTCTTCTAGTCAAAACGAACACGGGCGTGGACATCACTGCCAGTATACGTGAGTCTCCTCAATCCTAAGATTTCAGACAGAGCTTGACTTTGTAACAGCCGAGCTTTCCTCTTCCACGTCTGCTGCCGCTTCTGCTACCAGTGCTCTGATTTCATACCTCTCTCTACTCGGAGACGCATCCAATCACAATGCATACGTTCTCAAAACGCATGATTTATCCCAATTTATGAAGCTGGATGCGAGTGCTCTTCGCGCCCTTGGACTGGCAGGAGACAGTGTGTGTATTATTGACGGTTGTCCAGTTGCGTTGATCCTATGGCTTACTTTCCATGTAGACAACGTCTGCAAAGAATACTACTCTTCATGGACTTCTGAATAAATGCAAAACAGGTCAAGGGACTCGTCTCTTGGGAAGCTGGCTGAAGCAACCATTGGTGAACTTACATGAAATCCGTGGGTGAAGGCTCTTTAGCTCTGGTGGCAATACGCGCTGATATTTTTAACAGAGAAGCGACAGGACCTAGTCCAAACATTCATTCACGACTCCAACACTCGGCGGACGCTACAGGTGGGTGGTGACCTTATTCTTGTTCAAGTAATCAAAGATTTACCTTTCTTCGTAGGATGACTACCTAAGAATGATGCCTGACATGCATCGAATCAGCAAGCGATTCCAGAGGTCTGTAGCAACTTTAGAAGACGTTGTCCGTGTCTATCAGGCAGCACAAAAGGTATGATATTTCACCTTAGCGTATATGAAGGATTGTCAATCAACTGTGTTGGTCAGCTCGTGGGCTTGATAGAAGCACTAGAAACTGTGGAAACAGAGGACGTTGGGCATAACAAACTCATCGAAGAGATCTATCTTATCAAGTTAAAGGTACGTATATCCTCGAGTGTAAATATGGCAAACCAAAATAAATATCTTTACAGGAGCACAGCCAGAATCTCGAAAAGTACTCGGAAATGGTTGAACAGACGCTTGACCTCGACGAACTTTCTTCGCACAACTTTGTCATAAAGCCAGATTATGATGATCGCTTACGAGAATTGGCCGACAAGCTCATTGAAATTAGGGATGGACTTGATGCTGAGCATCGGAAGGTTGGACGCGATCTTGGTTTGGAGCTTGACAAGAAGCTACACCTTGAGAACAGCCAGAACTATGGTTATTGTTTCCGAATTACAAAGTCTGTGAGTACATATACATCTGATTTATCTTCTCGAGAGCTCTCTGCTTGGTAATTAAATGATGCGCTTCTTGTAGGACGCAAAGGTGATACATAATGAGAAGGACTATATTGAACTAGGGACGAATAAGAGTGGTGTTTACTTTACCACGAAGAAGTTGCGGTCCTTGGCTATGGATTTCCAAGAGATAACGGATACATATTCACGGACTCAAAGTAGTTTAGTGAAAGAAGTTGTCAATATTGCTGGTGAGTTAAGTATACGATGAATCAAATTGTGTACTGATATTTTTTCTAAAGCAACGTACACGCCGGTCTTAGAAGCCCTTGATGACCAAATCGCTCACCTTGATGTCATCGTAAGGTAGAGCCATCATGAAAGTTCTCGTAATGCTTGACTAACAATGCACTCTAGCTTTGCTCACGTTTCTGCGAACGCACCAGAGGAATATGTTAGACCTAAACTTTCAGTGAAGGGTACGTAGATCATTTTCCCGTTTCGCCTGATCGTTTAACTAGATCTGCCTATGTAGGATCTGGAAGCGTTGTTCTGAAGAACGCAAGGCATCCACTTCTTGAGGTACAAGACGACATCAGTTTCATACCCAACGATGTTGAAATGATCAAAGGTGAGGACATCGTTTATTCGTGTTACTTGTCGGACTAACATTGCTTCAGGGGAGAGCGAGTTTCAAATCATAAGTAAGTGTGGTCTTCTATTTTTTAGGGTCATCCTAACGTTCAATAGCTGGCCCAAACATGGGCGGGAAAAGCACATATATTCGTCAAGTCAGTAGCACATTTCCCGGGTCATAGCTTTTGTCACTAATTTTCGCCAACCAGGTCGGAGTTATTGCCTTAATGGCTCAGACGGGTTGCTTCGTACCATGCTCTGAAGCCGAACTTCCTATTTTCGACTCAATTTTGTGCCGAGTCGGAGCAGGAGACAGTCAACTTAAGGGTGTCTCAACGTTCATGGCTGAAATGCTGGAGACGGCTACAATCTTGAAGGTTGGCGGCCATGTTTTAACTCGTTAAATGAGAAACATTGATGCCAATGGGTTTTCAGTCAGCATCGCAGGATTCACTTATCATCATTGATGAATTAGGCCGAGGTACATTAGACGTACCTCTCCCTGCATGCGAGTTACTAATGCTGTACTTTAGGTACATCAACATACGACGGGTTCGGCCTCGCATGGGCGATTTCTGAGTATGACTTCCAAACCGCAATCTTGATACCGTTGCTAACTTCAAATACAGATACATCGCATCAGAAATCCACGCATTCTGTCTCTTCGCCACGCATTTTCACGAGTTGACAGCACTCGACCAACAAATCCCACACGTCAAGAATCTACATGTCGTTGCACACGTCTCGAAGACCGGGGAATCATCACAGGATCGTGACATCACCCTACTCTATAAAGTCGAACCAGGTTAGCTCGTCCATAAAAAATGTAATTGTAATTTAAAGTACTGATCTTGTGGTATCCAGGCATTTGTGATCAGAGCTTCGGTATCCACGTCGCCGAGCTAGCTAATTTCCCAGAGAGTGTCGTCAAAGTCAGTTAAACCTCTCCCTCTTCCGCAACACGTTCTCTGACGCTCTGCATATACTCTAACTCAGCTGGCCAAGCGAAAAGCCGACGAACTAGAAGACTTTGGCGGCGAACACGAAAAGCAACCCACACATCCAAAAGAAATAGTAGACGAAGGAAGCAAGATAGTCGAACAGCTCCTCCAAGAATGGACAGCACGCTGTGCGTCTGCTGAGACAGGCGACGGAGACGTGATTATGGATGAAGACGAGAAAGCCGAGAAGGACTTGGTAGCACTTCAGAATTGTGTTGCAAAGTACCAAGGACAGATAGATGCCAATCCCTGGATTCAACAACTTATCGCAACTCTCTGACAATTCTCAATAATCCATGGATTAGCGCAAGGATCGTTTCATTTCTTTTTCTTTCCCTCATAGTACGCTTTCATGAGAACGCAACATTGGTCACCATTCATATGCAATATAATCTGTACTGTAGATATCTCGTACTTTTACTGCATTGCCATTAGTCTAATTCAACGTCCTAGTCAAGTTTTGTCAGCAACCAGCTCATGCCACATACATAAGCAAGCATCAACTTTCCACTTCTTCCTCCATACCAACAATGCTACCTTCAGCATCAGCCTCAGGATCAGGTTCCTCAACTACAGCCGTATCTTCAGCATTTGTCTTCTTCTGTTCGAGAAGCTTCGCCTTCTGGACACCAGCAAACGTGATATCCTCGCCGAAGAACCTAAGACTCAACGCACTGTACCAAGAAAAAATCAAAATAAAGTTAAACCCAGTACTTTCGAATTTGATGATAGGAGGAACGGGGCAGTAAAATGCACCTTTTAGCTTTCTTCTCAACCATAAGGCTAATAGATTGCTCCGACTTCCAAAGTGGCAGATACAAATCATGCGAAAGACTGTGTGGACGTAAGCTTTACCGGAGCAACGGTAGTCTTGCAGGTAAGGAACGGACTAACCTTGCATTACCATAATTACCAGCGGCAAAACGAATAATATAACTTCCAGGCGCTACAAACCACTCCACATATTAAAAGACAGTTGAACAGCAAGGAAACGATGTGTACGCACAACACCCATCAATCCTCGCTCTAAACTCCTCGTCAAACTCCGTACAAAGCGGATGATACTTCTCAAGCAACACCTTAAACTCACTCGGCCCACCAACCAAGACGCTTTCTCGATCCAAATACGGCAATAACGCGACCAACCCTTCGTTCAATACACGGAACTGAATTTGTGCTGCTCCTTCACCATCAGCAGCTGCCTTTTCACGCTGAGCCTTCGAGTTCCCAATTTCCGATTTCCCAAAGAGCTTAATACCCGCACTGACAAGCCGGATACGCGTGTAGTCTGTTTGGGTCATGACGGATTTGACAGCGTCGTTGACGAGGTAGAGAGCGCGGAGGGGTGTACCTTCGGGGTTACGCACGAATATGTTTGAGCGGGGGAAGGAATCTGATAGTTTTAGTCGTTCTCTGAAAAACAAATGGAAACAAATATGTTTAGTTTAGATGAAAGGCTAGGGTGAAGATGAAGATAAATGGACCGACATGCAAGATACGAGGCTCGGATCGTTCGGAGAGATAAACGTATATGGGTCTTCTCTGAAGACACCGCTATACACGGCAACAGGTTCTCCGTCAACAGCTGCTTCTGTGGTGGGTGTAGGTTCACCCTCATCCTTCTCTGCCACGTCAAGTTTCGTCTTCTTCGCAGCCGGTTCTTCAGTAGGGTGTTTCTTATCATCCACCTCGGATGTCTCAGCAGGTCTCTTTCCTTCTGCCTTAGCATCAGGAGCAGGGCGCAGAGCGGAATCGCGTCGTTGAATCACCGCAACGAAGAACCCGCCAGAGTCTTGTAGGTGAGGATAAATTCGCATACTACACGACGTGTTTCAGCCTTCATTACGAAAGGAAATGTATAGTAGACGATAAGACTTACCATCGTTCTAGGTTAAGCTCGCCAACGTTCTCAGGCGGCCAATGCGTTTTCAACAACTTCTTCCGAACAGGGCGATTTTGATTCTTATCCCTCCTGCGATCCCTCCCTTTTCCTCTATGCTCGACAGGTTCACTACTTCCGTCGCCGACAGGAACGTCCTCTGGTGCCGCATCCCCGTTAGCAGCAGCCTCTGCAGCAGCGGATTCTTCGGCGATGCTATCACCGTACTCTTCGTAAGTCGCGTAGGACATGTCAACTTCGCGACCAACAGCAGGTCGCCAAGTCGAAAGGCCAGGACGTCGAATTAAGCTCGGGAGGGTGTCAGATACGTCGACCAACTCGAAGCCTAAGACGATGTTGATGTTATACTAGAGAAAGTCATGACTAAAATCTTGACTCACCAGGAATGCTGTTCAAAGCAGCGGCAATGACAGCCTCATTTTCAACAGGATTAAGAGAACATGTAGAGTACACGATTCGAGGCCTATCATCTGGAGCTCCATGCCAATTTAGCATCCTCATAGCGCGTTGCAATATTCGTAGTTGAAGTCTGTTTATGCAATAAATCAATTACCAACATTCCTACAGAAAAAGAGCGCATACATACGAATGCAAACCATTCCCCTCCTGAGGCTGCCAACTCTTCCAAATACCCAAGTTCTTCCTAATAGTCCCATCTCCAGAGCACGGTACATCAGCAAGGATCCTATCAAACCGAAGCGGCTTGTCTTTATACTTGAGCGTCGGAAAGACAGATGCGTCCAAGTTGGTGACCATAAGTCCTGGAGAAGGCAATCTCGAAGATTGATGTACAAGTAAATGCGCACGCTTGTGTTCTGCGTCGTTCGCAACTAGAATCCCAGTCGGTGGGTCCATAGCCTCCAAGAGCTGACTTGTCTTAGACCCGGGTGCGGCGCATAAATCAATTACTGCATGATGTGGACGTACGTCGAGAAATAGAGGCGGGATCATACTAACTGCCTCCTGGCGCGAGATGTTCCCCACCTCCGTCTCATAGACCAGAAACTCGTGAAACTTCTTGTATTCAGGAGACTTCTTGAGCTCCTTACGACCAAGGTTGACATGCCAGGCAAGACCATCCGGATACCACGGTATAGGCTTTGGAACAGGCAACTGCTCGCCATTTAAGTTGGCCTTCTCAAGCTGCGGGACGAACGTATTCTTAATCGCATCGCTGAGGACATCCTTCATCTGCCTACTCGCAGCAATACGGAACGTCGAAGGCAAAGGTCGACGCAGTGCTTGCATGAACGCGTCCCATTCGTCTTCAGACAGGATTTGTTGTGCCTTGTAGTAGTTTTCGAATCGCTCGTTGGACATCTCGAGCTCGCTGCTCCTATCTAACCATCGTGCAGCCTGTTCTCGCTTTCCCCTTCTCTGAGAATTTGATCATGTACGAGTTAGTTTATGTGCACTACTAAAATTTCTAAGAGAGCGACTTGCCTTTCCGCGTGCCATCGCGGTCAGTGCAGAGTGCGATGCGAGACTTGACTCCTGCTCTCATCTCACTCAGTCATTATGAGCGACTCAGACATCGACGACGACCTCTCCTCTCTACCTCAGGGAACACTCAAGCGCATCGACGATGCCTTCGACCGTGCAATCCTCGAATCACAGCCCGAAGACGAGCCACCTCAAAAGCGGAGACGAGTCGAACAAGATGTGGAACCTGAACTGGCTGGTGGCTTCCTCCTCGATGGCGAAGACACTAACACTGGAGATACTGGTGGTGGGTTCATCGTAGAAGGCAACGACGTCGACGTCGAGCAGTCTGAGCCATCCACCGTTCCGACTCACATCCCACTCTCTCTCATCCCGCGGGCGCTACAACTCATCGACTTTGACCCTTCCGACTCACAAGTCCTCTCCGTCTTCTCTAACGCTGCCTCTTCCCTCTCTTCATCTGCATCCCCTCGCAAATACAGATCGTCATCCCGGGTTGCCGATGACGAGGAGGAAGACGAAGACCAATCCTCGCAATTCGTCTCCAGACAAGACTGGCGAGCCGTCTGCGCAGCGCTCATCCCCACAGAAGAGGGCCAACCGGCCGAAAAAGAGAACCCCGACTTTCCACTCTCCGCTCTCGAATTCGAATACGACTCAGGCTCTTCAGACGCAGTACAATCCGCCGACCTAGAAGAAAGCGGCTCTTCAGAGGACGAATACGTTCCCGATTCCAAGTCTAAGCGTTCCACCCGCGCTCGTGCTCAACGAGGTACCAGCTCTCCAACCAAGTCTACATCCAAGTCCAGCACAAAGGGACCACGCAAGAGCAAGGGCAAGGGAAAGAGGAAAGCTAAAGACTCGTCCCTCACTCCAGAGCCTTTCGAAGGTGGCAGTGGTCGCACACTCACACCCCGCCAAGTCCAAGAAACCCTCTCGACATTCGCTCTCTTCTTCCCTAACATCTCCAAATCCAAATCCAAGAAGAACAACAGCAACAAGGATAAAAATGGCAACCTAGACGATTCCGACCTATCCAAAAAACGCCTCATAATCCGTGATATCGCCAACGCAGCAGCTTCAATCAAAGAAAAGCTCACCGCCGAGGAGGTACGTCTAGTCTATCAAGTCTCTTTCTACTGACTATATGCCGGTGTGTGGTTGTTGTATAGATAATCGAAATGCTCTCGTACTTCTCTTCATCTTCGACATCTTCGTCTGCACAAGCAAATCCGTCACTTTCGTTCCAAGATTTCCAGCAGTTGATGGTTGCTGCTAAACTCGCGTAATTAATCCCTCTGGACTCAAATACAAACGGACAAATGGACGGACAGACGAATGAACGAACGAACGGATGGATATGTAGACAACACATATAAAATTCAGTAACACGTAAATATGATAAAAAGACGAATTTAAAAAAAATCAGATGAAACATGCCGAGAAAAGAAACGTGGATTGTATGTATGAGTATGTAATACGTATGTAGTTGTAAAAAGAAACAAGTTAATATATAATATACAGTCATCCAAACAAGCCCCAGTCCCAGCTTTGAAGCACGGCAGAAATATCCAATTATCCATCCACCTATCCATATGCGAGACAGGAGCTGTAAGTACAGCAAACAGTTTTATGTACGCTAGGTACATAATAATGTACCATGCACGTCCCAAGACAAAGTTCAAACGAAAGCGCGATTTCCGTACCACTACCATGCTATACGACGAAAATCGAGCCGAGTACGAGCGCAGCACCCGCAAGCACTACCGACACAAGACGTACACCTCCCGTAGATAACACCGCTCCACTAGATCCAGAACCACCGCCCGAAGACTGGCTCGAGCGGAGCGTCTGGTTCCGTTGTTGCGAGAGCGTATCAAACTCTGCGTATGCTTGGTTCTTATCCGTAGTCTATACACGAAACAAAAGACATCAGCATCAACTTTGCAAAACCAAAACCAAACAAAACCAAAAGGAGAGGAGGGAGAGAAGAAAAGGACGAAATACTCACCGAAAGCAACTGCACATACGGCGTCGCACTCTCATTAAAAAACCTCCCATAATCATACAAACTAAACACATTCCTCAAAAAACTATCCCCCAACAGAAAATCCTCACTCCCACTCGTCCCAAACGTGAAACCCGAATAACACAGCACACCACCTGCGTCATCAGTGGTAGCCGCAACAGTATCGATAGGATGGACTGGGTACTCCGAACCGGAGAAAATGAAGGATACGTTGAGTTTTGTGTTGCAGGGGAGGATGTAGACTCCTGAGGAACGGACGATTTGCGAACCGGGGACGGAGCCGTAGATGACTTGAGCGTATTCTTGTGGGATTTGGCCGAGGGAGGTACCGGTGTCGAGGTTGACGAGGGTTTGTGAGGACGTTTGGCCTGGTGCTTCGCTGTATGCAAATAATTCTCGTCAATACACGCAACAGTTAAGAAGGACAAGGAGGAGACGCACAAAGAGCTCCCACCACTAACACTCCTCCCATTCACCGTAATCCCATCCATTAACACAATCCACCTGTCACTACTCACGACATTCAACTTCGGCGCTTGCAGAATCCCACTCAAGTTCCCGGGTACCTCGCCGACAGTGAAGACTCCACCATCAGTCTTACCCGTCGCGAAGGACCGCGAGAGGGAGAAGGTAGTGAATTGCGGAAGGGACGAGTTGGCTGCGAAGATACTCCCGAGGAGTGTGTTGCTGAATGATTCGTAGGGTGTCTTGGCGAGTGCTTGGGTGATGGAGGAGAGTTGGGGAGGGCCGACGCCGAGGAGACCTTTGTCTTGGTTCGTCGTTGCGTTCGTTCCTGGGGCAGAGACTGACCACAACGAGGCATCAGCAAGATGGAGGTGATGAGAGTGTGGAGAAGGTAAACGTACTGAATGCAGAGTTGACTGTAAAGTTCCCAAAAGTAATCGGACCAACGTACACAGGCCCCTGCGCAACCGTACCGTCTCTACACCGCCGTCCATCTCAATCAACACCTATACTCATTCAAAACAAAAGGGCTAGCTAAGCACTCACCCATACGTCAAACCCGTCTGCACCCCCGTATTCGTCAACCGACTCAAATCCAACCCCGTCGTATCAATCCACAAATCACTACTCCCCGTATCCAACTGCACCTCAAACTCACTCCCATCTATACTCAAACTCGCAACATAAATGTCCGAACCCGTTACGTTATTCGAGTTCGTATATTGGAAGACGTTATCCCCGTCTTGGTCTTTTTCGCTCCCTGATGGGATTTTGAAGTTTTCTGAGTAACCTGGCTCAGAGGAAGAGGATGAGACGCGGTTGAAGGAAACGGAGACGCCGTGGACGGACGCGCTGCTAAAGAGTACGGCGGATACGACGGCGAGGAAAGCACGTCTAGACAACATGGAGAGTGAAGGAATGGAAGAAGATGGAGATGGAGAGTCGCCGAGTCGAAAATTAAAATTAAAAGGGAGAGATGGGCGGTCTGAGACCAGAGACCAATGAGACTCCCCGCCAAGCATCAGCGCCTTTCATCTCTTTCTCTTGTCCATCGACAACACGGCTTACGACCATGCCGCCTGGACAGCAACCGGTTTCAATTGAGCAACGTTAATCATTCACTTTTTACCAATCCACCGACAGGCAGTGTCAGCGCTGGTTTAGTGGCAGTACGACCACTGCGAATCGGAGTCCGCGAGAATAATCAAATCAAACAGAAATAGGATGTGGGATACGGAGAGTAGTACTTAGACCACCGTCGAACGCTAAGCAAATGCAACTAAAAAAAATAACAGGAACGAAATGTTTGTAGAGGTCCGTATGCAAAGATAATTAGCAGTAGTCTGTGTGTGGTCGGAATAAAATGCCCGAGGGGTATGTTATGTTATGCAATGCGTCCATATCACCATATGTCACCAAGCTCCAGTCCAGTCCAGTCCAGTCGACCCCAGTCGGTGAGACACTACAACAGGACCGCAGCAAGCGCAACACCACCCAACAACAACGTGCCTACCGCATTCATAGCGGTCCGCTCGGCGCCGTTCGAGTTGCCCGTCTGCGACGCGCCAGACCCAGTCGCAGTGCCTGACGCGCTTCCACTCGCCGTCCCGTTCGCGCTCGAGTTGCTCGAGTCTGAGCCAGCAGGGACAGTCACAGACGCGATTTTCGTCCAGGTCGCACCGCTATTATCGCTTCCTTGCGTATATGGTAAGAACTGCAGTGCACCCTGTGCAGGACTCAACTGCACGAGCGATGTAATACCAGCAAAGTATTGTGCCTTCGCGTCCTTGACATCAGGTCCCTTCAGCGTCTGAGTCGTGTTACTCTCCACATTCACAACGTACGTCGCACTTCCATCATCAGGAATGAACGCAAACTCCTGCTGTACACCTTCCTTCTGGAAGAAACTCGCCGTTTGACCATGCGTCTCAGGGAAGTTCGCACCATAGCTCTGCGCTTCAGGTTGGAAGAACGAGAAATGGATGACAAAGATGTCCGCTTGGCCAGGGGAGAGTCCCGGTACACCAATGAAGTGAACGTGATTCTGCGCGAGCGCCATGGTAGGTTCGTAAGACGAGAGATCACCCCACGCCGCTGGCGCACCGACATCAACCCAGGAAATCGCCGAACTATTCGCAGTTGTCGACGAGCCAGTCATATCAAGGAAGAACACCTCGCCCTTCGACATGGCGTCTACCATTCCGTAAGTCAAAAGTTAATTAGCATTGCAATTCCAGTTCGACTTCCATTCAACTTGGAAGAAAGAGAAACGAGAAGTGAAACGCACAGAAGACATTCGTATCATGATCCAAAATAGCTTTAAAGTTCGTCGTGTCAACCGTCTTCGTTCCCTGTGGCTGGTTCACGCTTTGCTTGCTCCACGACTTGCCTCCTACGTCATAAATAAACACGGACATGTTATCCGACGAGTCGGCATTCAATACATAGACGGCGTTGTTGAATTGGCTCAGGTAGCAAGTCGTGTTCGTGCCATCAAAAGGTCTGCAAAACACATGGAAAGAAGGGCGCCGTAAGCCCGACACGCCAAAAGTCTAATAGAGAATGACACGTACGGACGGTTTGCAGCCGTAATGTCCGCAGCAGAACCTATTCAACCGAAAAGACGAAAACAAAAAGCAACTGAGTTACCCAAACCAGACGAGAGGAATGGAAGAGGAAGAGGTATAGGCGCGTACCAGAAGTCCAAGTATCCTGCGTGCCGGCATTGAAGTCCTTCCCATTGACACCAAAGACGAGGAGGTTAAAGCTCGTGTCCATAGCAATGCATGGCTCTGCGGCCACGTGCAGGAGAGAGGAAAGTGTAGGTAGTAAAAGAGAGACGAGGGTCAGTGAGTGCATCGTGTGTTGTGTCAGTCAATAGTTAGAGATAGTTTTTTTGGAAGAAATATGCTGCGGGAGGTGATGGTCAGAGGTGGAGGAAGGCAAAATCAGAAGAGACACGAAATGAATGGAGATGGAGAAAAGATGGGATGAGTGAGAAAATGGCCGCTAAACATACAGTAAGTCAGTCCTACGCTATTTTTGGACTTACTCCTTTCATCTCTGTTTTTCATACAACTCCATTTTCAGCCTTTACACTCATTTAACAACTAAAATTAATAAGTACGGTAACGATACAGAGCCGTTTACACGAAACTTCAACACCAAAATGATTTTTAAGAAGCAAAAAGTGATCATGAGGTGATCCACACTTGCCTTGCACACAGTTGGTGACGTCAGTACTATCAGTACCCGCTCGTCCTTCTTTCATAAGACACTCACATTATACATATCTTCACAGCTTCAAAACCGGTCAAACTCCTTGGGAGTTGACTACAACATGGGCTTGGCCTTTGAGCTTCGTCCGACGTCCCAATCCAACTCAGTATCTGCCTTATCGTGAGAAAACCCGCCTTGATGCGGATAACCCATCCTGTCTGTGGCGACGTATGATTATCTATTCCTCTTCATGAGTGTACTTTATACATACTACGCGACTATCTAGATCCTAGATCCCGACGTGGCAGTTCAAGAAATGCAAGCAGACGAGCAACTCCTTGACAAGTGCCTGTTCGAAGACGAGCCCAGAGCATTGGATGAACTCACTGATCTGAAAAACGTGGTCAAGTATCCAAGATTCATAAAAGACGAAAAGGTCGATTTATGCATCTACACATTGTCTGTCTGGTTCTGAAATTCGTGTAGGTTATCCAAGCTTTCGCTACTGTTAAAGAGGATAAGGTGCGGTACAAACATCTTTGGCCCTTCCACATCCTAATGCCTTCACAGATCAAAAATTCAAACCCTTGCGAGGACAACTTTAACTTTGAAGACTGGGTTATCTCTATTCCTGAGGAGAAGTTTGAAAGTGGCGACCCATTTTCCTTCCAAGATTGCTATGAGTCTCTGCTTCAAGACTGGGAGTTAGTTATCAAAGCTGGCGCGAAACGTGAAACAATGCATGATGGACAAAGAGGAATTAATTTCTTGCTTCGGCAGGCGTTTGAGCTGCGTCCAGGAGCGAAGCACATCTACCAGTACGTCAAATTTGAACTTGATCCTCAGTAACTATACTTACAAAGTGCAAGGCTAGAAAAAGAGTTAACCTTGCCTGGTACTGACGACCTGACCCGAGCTGATGTAATACCAACCAGACATTTATCTCAAAACTGGTACTCATTCCAAAGAAGACTACCAAAATCTCAAGTACTCAGGTCGCTCACAACGAATGAAGAAAGGATATCTTTTGTTACCTCGCTCCTGCACTTCGAAGAAGACGACGACGCATCGACTATGAAGCGCGAACTGATGTTAAGATTCTGCTATGCTCAGTGTCAACATCTTGCTCTAGGATTAAAGGATTTGCCTGTCTATGGTGCTCTTCTGACAGACTCAATGTTGACAATATATGCTTCTATCTGGAATGAAGACAGAATCGTTAGCCTCCGGCCCTTTCCTTCCCTGTGTTCGGCTACTAATCCTGATATATCTGCAGATTATATGCCCGACAAACATAACCTTCAATCTGAAATCATTTCCAGAATTCATCGATTGCTATTTCTTCCTGTGCAAACTTTCGGACCACATAGCACATCAAATTGAACGAGCGTTCGAACGGCCCAAGTCAGAAGAGCCCAAAGACGAAACCCAAAAACAGCAGCAAGAAGAATCTGCTAACTCTTGGTCTTTGTCGTCACTCGAAACTCAAGAAGAGGAAGATTCTTCCGACCTCGACTTATCGGACGAAAGTCCACGCCGCCTAGCAAGAGACCAGTCTAGTGACTCGGAAGAATCTGAAGTAGAGTATAGCGAAAACGACCCTGAAGTCTTGAAAATTGCACAGCAAGTTGAGAATGGGGAACCTGCACCGGAGGGTGGGTATCAACTTGACCGGAAGCATTTACTCGCGCTCGACGTATATAACAAAAGGCACGAAGCGAATAGTACTGGTCATTCCAGGGTACAGGACTGGGTGAACTCTCTCCCTTCATTCGAGAACGAACCGCCACCTCCACTCTAATAGAATTTGCCATATGCTATGCCAACTTGAATGTATACAACATCAAGCCTCTAATATCTTCGTCGATATTGTCTAGTCATTGAAACCACCGCCATGATGTGTATAGACTATTACACAAGCTTCAACATTGATCAGTCGATCTTAGCATTGTAACAAAGTCGGGGTGCACACGTTCATGTAGAGGTCATCGCCAAAATTAGTCTGATTTGCGTAGACCGCTCCTGCGGATAATACAAACAAGTAATACACCCTCAATCAAGAACATTGATTAGTCCACGAAATATCCTCAATCAAAGCGCCTCAATCTGTCTCTTCGTTTCCTCCGCCTTCTCAAGGAAAGCCTGTATTCTCCTTTCCCCGTCCTCCTTTAGTCTCTGATATTGCACTGCCATCTCGTGCCGAATCCACTGTTCGACAGTCATGGCCCTTTCTTCCTCAGTCAATGCTGTTAAGGTCTGAATTGGCTTGTCTGCCAGAGGTGGAAGGAACATATCTGCCGGAGAAGGAGGGACTCGTAATGAAGTCTGGAAATCGATTGCATTGTCGGCCTGCTTAGGCGGTATGGAACGCATGATTTGGGCTTCGGGGGTCGTGGGTCGGGATGGCGGTGCGTCGGTGACCTCAGGTGCGGGAGGACGCCGCGTCGTAGATGCGTCGGTCGACCGCCGTGACGACGATGTCTTCTTCGATGTGAAATCTACTGGTTTAATACCTTCATCGTCCACATCCATGTCATTCACGTCCCTTTCAACATATTCCGAGTTGGTCCTCTCTCTACTGCTCGAACTAGCCTTCACCCCAGACTTTGATTTTGTAGAGACAGGCTTTTGCTTTTTGCTTTCTTTTTGATGAGCATGTGTAGGCACTGGGCTGGGCGTCCGTGAGCGCTGATGATTAAGAGGGCCGTTAACGTCTTCAGAGCGATTTGCAGTATCCGGATTCGGTTTTGAATTGGCTTTGCCCGATTTCGCAGTCTTCGACGGAGCAAGCTTGAAATCTGATGGCGATTCAGGATTGGGGAAGGAGTGCTGAACAGGAGTGCTAGTTGATGGCTTTTCCGCAGCAATGTCGAGATCTATATCCATTTGTCGATTGTCATCGGCGGCCGCTCTTCCGTCTGCATCATGTAGTATTATCGTATGCTCATCTTGTTCTTCGCTATCGCCAGTGGGTCCAGTTAATTCACCCTCCTTCAGTGAGCTCGGGTCCGATGCTTTCGTCCTTGACTTAGCCGAGGATGGTTTCACTGATGTCCTACTGGACTCGCTTGATTTACCAGACCTTGATTTCTCACTCCTGACGCTTGCAGGCTTGGATGTCGTTGCGCTTGTCTCCTGTTCAAGCTCATCTAATTCCGACTCTGCGGGCGCTTTCTTCGCCCGAGTTTGCCGTCGCGCCTTTGAAGATGGCTTCTTCTCCATTGTACGTTTCGACTCCGGCTCCGGCTCTTGCTCTGCCTCAGTCTCCGAAGGTGGTTCAGCAAGCATCTGTTCCGTCTCCCTCTCGTCGGCCATTTCGGTAGTTACAGAAATGCGTGAGCGAGACCTAGCCCGAGCGAGAGGTTTTTCATTTGGATTGGCCACGGAAGATGCTCTCGCGCTAGTTGACCGGGACTTCGACTTGGAAGGTGGTCGACCTCGTCGCTTCTTCTCGCCTTTGTTCTTTTCTTCCAACTCATTGATGTCGACAACGAAGTCTTCGTATTGCTTGGTGATTTTCCCATCAACGTTAGAAGGCGGCTTGTCATGCTCTTCTCTGCCCACTTCCCGCCCTTCCTTGGTGGAAGTTGATTTTGCCGACTTGGTCCGTGATCTTGCACGTTTCGTCTCAACTTCAGCGCTGCTTTCTTCATCCGAAGCTGAAGGCACGCGCTGTTTCCCTCTCCCTGTGGATCTAGAAGTGGGCCTTGACTTCAATGCAGGCTTCCTGGTCGATTTTCGCGGAGCAGGATTGGAGTTGACTTTGAGTGAAGGATCATCGTCCTCCTCGAGTTCGTCGGTATTTTCTGCTTCACTCAATTTCGATGATTTGTCTGGACGAGCAGTAGCGGTAGATGAAGGGGCTGTGTATCAAAATTTTAGAATATATAAAACTAAGTTTGCTATGACGTGCTTACCAGCTGCACTAGACTTTTGTTTTCCTCTCCTCACGGGTGCTTTCACAGTAGGAGGTTCGTCGTCGTCATCATCAATGGTATCCGACTCAGCGTCGATTTGCTTTGGCGCACGAGATTGTCTTGAAGTATTTTTCGTTGATCTCGTACTCGCCTGAGATTTTGGTCGTTCTGTTGCATTGAAGAACGGACATGGCTTGCCCGATTTCTCTACACGTTTGACATGCTCTTCCCTGTTAGATAGCGTGCTTTCAGCAGAGAGAATCTCTTTGAGACGTATTTGCGTACGTTGGATCATCTGATTCATCCCAACCAGACAACGAGAGATCGCAATAAAAGCAGGTTGCAGTATCATCTCCTTCTTTCTGAGGGGTATACACAAAGCCTGCCTTGGCCATCTACAGTGCTAAGCATTAGTTCGCATCTTGAAGTATATGTCCATAGCAGCACCTTCTTTGAGGCGGCACCATGATTCTTCACTGAATCGTGGGGCCACCACTTCTTTCCTCCCTTGAATGTGTCCGCTCTAGCCTTCTCCAACACCTTGTTCGTCGGAAGGCGGGAAGAGTCAGTGATCAGAAACCTGCAAGGCAATGTAAATGGGCATGTACATGACATAGCATTATACATTTCTGAACGCGTACTTTCCATCTGAATCCACGTCGAATTCCAGCGAGCAGCGTGCAATTGCCCACGGACACTTTGGACATTTTTTCACGTGGATCTCGAAAGGATTATCATCCTCCTCCCAGCCGCTCAGCTCCTTCTTACAAATAAAGCACTGCACGTTATCCGGGTCTTGCTTGCTTGGTTTGAAGTAAAAGCCAGCCTCGGCGAGGGACGTGGGAGTCGCAATGAAGGAGTCTGGATGTGTCCATTTTCCAGAAGACTTTGACTTGCCTTTCACAAAAGAGCGCAGTCTTGCGTCGAAAGTTTCCATTGTGCCGAGGACGATTGAATGTTGTTTGCAATGTTGCCGCCGTTGTGAAGTAGAGAGTGTGTGTAACTAGGACGCGTCTCGGTGTGACATTTGTATGTTGCAACTGTGACATATCGCGCCTCGTCTTGATTTCCACTGCCAGTGCCATTCACTCATTAAAAGTTCCTATTAGACAAGTCTGAGGATGAGCTCATCTACAAAGCCCGTACGGACATACAGTAGACGGCAATCGACCAAGTATGCGTCAGGATCATCTACTGTGTCCCCTGAGTACAGTGGCAGGACCACGTCCTCGAATAGAGTTAGCGATGTGGATGAACGTCCTCGAAAGCGCAGAACACTCCTCGATACTTCACGGGATGCAACTAGCCAAGAGGAACTGATATCGCTTCTGAATACACCGTCAAAGCGTAACAGCCAGAGTTGGACCGGTGAGGACAGGCTTGTCGCATTCATGCGTTTCATTAAACATTGATGCGATGTCCACACAGGTTCTCCTGACCTGGCAACAATCCCATCCTCACCGACTGGTGGCAAGAGTGCAGAAACTGTTCGTATAATCTCACGTACCCTCATAATTATGACGAATTGACGTTCATAACCAGGCTGTCTCCCGTAATAAGAAAGGGAAAGAGATAGAGTTGCACGGTGCCCTGAACCGAACGTCCTCTGTGCCTACCGCAACTCGTGATCCATCACCTTGCTGTAAGTCTGCTCAGCTGCTTATGAATATAGCCTGAATTTTCTTTAGCGACAAGTGAATCGTCAACGTCGCACCTTACGACTCCGAAGAAACCCAAAGACCTAACCAGCATATTCGAAGCCGCATCTCCGCAGCGCAGAACGCAGTCACAGGGTGACAGCCCCCTGAACTCACCGAGGAAGTCTGGAATTACAAAGAAGATGCTCTCACGTTCGCAGACAGAGAGTTCAATCGAATCTTCGCCTTCCAAGACGAACGAGCTCACTCCTAAGTCCAAGTCTCTTGTGATACCTCGAAAGGCAGGCGCATCAAGGGATAATGGAACCCCAACTACATCTCCCGAGAAGGAACTTTCTCGCAGTATATCTCGAAATTCCGTCACATCCACTAGTGCTCAACCTCAACGAGAAAGCACTAGCAACACTCGCACATACGCTGGGAAATCTCGTTCCTTCCTCGTCGCACTGCCAGCAGCTGGACTCCTTACTCAAACCGGTGAACCGGGTATGAAGAAGGAGACCTGGGATGAAGATGATGAAGAGAATTTGAGAGTCAGTTATGCGGAGTTGCGAGAACGATTCGGCATAGATAACTCTGATGGAGTCGATGCCGCAACTGGTGATGCTGACTCCACTGGAGAGGGTCTCTCACTCTACAATCCTCTATCTTCCATAACAGACTTACGTTCCAAAGGCGAGTCAAGACGCTTTCGCGACGAAGTAGGCTACCTATTCGAAGGTCTTGAACCGAACGGGGCGCTTACTGTCCGCCGGAGCTCCGCTTTTGATATTGTGTCAAAGCTAAGCGATCAAGAATTCTGGAGAAAAGCAAAGGCGGCAGGGTTCATACCAGAGATTTGGGAACGTTTACGTGCAGCAGGTGCTGGTAATGGCGACAAGGTATTTTATAACTCCATTCTTTAATGCATATCTGAGACCCTTTTGAAGGTCCTCGATCCGATTTTATGCTGTTTCGTCTCTCTGGCATCAGAGGATCCACGGGATGTCTCATTATTAGCCAGTGCTGATGACTTAGTTGAAACAGTCATTACGCTTCTTGCAACCCATGCCATAAATGACCCCTTAGCTTCGAGCTTGTCAAACGACAGGATGAAACTTGATAAAGCAGAGACTTTGATAGTATGCGATTTCCCCGAGATTATGCCGTCTTACTGATTATGAGTACAGTTAAAACGCCTGCGTGACATCATATCTACAAAACATAACATCGTACCCGAAGACTGTCAGGCAAGTGCCAGTGAAACGTTTTGGCCTTCGGGGTTATCTGACTGTCCTCTTTAGCCATCCATTCGCCTTCTGCTATCCTGCTTGCTTTCGTCCGCGCCTACGCTTGCTTTGCCTCAAATAACTTCTTTACTAGACAGCACGATCAGAGACTTCACAAGTGTTTGCAGCCGTTTGGCGGCATACAAATCTGGTCTGGAGCTCTTAAGCGATACATCACATTCTGGCGGCTCCTCCGAGAAACTTTGTTTCGGCCATATTTATAATTGCTTAGTAGTTTTGGATTTATACCTTATTGAATTGGAAGCTGAAGGGAGTTCGTTGAAACTGTCGAAGATGGATTTACGGGAACGGTACCGAGCAATGGCGAGTTGGCTAGTGGCACTGCTCGTTGTTACAGACATCATGAATCGAAGTGACTTGTCGGACGGTCTCCGCGCACAAGGTTGGTTCTTAATTTCTTATGATTATTTGGCGTCTAAGCGGAGATAAAAACTTACAGCATCTCGATGCAATGAACTTGCCTTCCGCATCCTCATAAACCTTACCAATGGTAGTTCGACATGGACAGATGCTGTCGCAGCAGATCCGTACACTCTGTCGTCAACTGTCCGGTTAACTGTTGCCGCACACCGTGCAGTACTGAGCTCGAACGCCAAAAAATTGGACACAGATGCCTCGACGCATGATCAGGATGTGCTGACTTCTCCCATGGATCGATTGTGTCTGGCTCTGGCGCTGTTGACGAATCTTCTGCAGGAGCGAGATAACTTGGCGTATTCACTCCAAAATATCGGTATGCAGGCGCAGATGCAGTGATAATATGATTCGTTCTGACTAAAATGGGGGCAGTAATTGATCCCGCGTGCGATGGACAAAGGTCGTGCCTGGTGGGTTGTCGATGCGACAACAGCATAAGCGCGGTCTCAGCCCTCGTCAACATGTACATCTCATTCCTGAAGAGTGAAGTTGATGATTTGGTATGTCCCTGATAGCATTTATTTTATCAGGGCAGAATACTTAGATTTATCAGGAATTGGATTTTCATTTCCTACGGGGTCACCTCGCAGTTATCGTCGGTCTTCTGCTCCTTCAGTTACACAATCCGGATGTCGACTCCGCTCCGTCGTCCTTGCTATCTACTTCACCGGCTCAAACCCCTTTCCAATTAATCATGGATGCTCTCCCGGGTCCAAGCAACTCTGGAACTAAAAGACTTGACGCACTCATCGCAAATGTCGAGGAGTTTTCCCATTTGTATACGACGCTAACGAGTAAGATAGGTCGCCACGGTCAGCACCATGCCTCATCCATCGGAGATGGTATTAGAGATGGGAGTGATGACATCATTGCAAAGGATCGGGTCGCCTTGAGTTCGGAGTTGGGCTCAGGCTCGGACGTTGTAGCGGAAGTGGCCGTTTCCTTGCGTGCGCTCTGTGCAGAGCTGCGAAGTCGATAGGACCATTGTATTTCACTGATACATTAAGAAACAAGGTACAGGACGGGTGGATCGACGTCCGTGAACAAACAACTCCTTAGCGTTCGATGTCACGTAATGCATCAACCAGTCGCATATCGGAAACCAGACTTTTCTCAATACTTGCTAACCTGATGAGGGTCACTTTATCACATGAGGGCCAGAACGCTTCTCCGTGGTTGATGGCTTCCTAGCCTGTTCTGGATCGTTGAGACAACTGATATTTCCCAATTGCTGATTGATGTCACTCTGCAAGGTGGAATTTGTCAAAACAAGGCGCTTACGAGCCTCTCGTCAATTCAACCAGGTACCAACAGAATCAAGAACCTTCGGATAAAAAATGCGTTTGGCTGCCGAACCCGGCAGATTATTTCGTATGTATGAAAATTGATCATCGTAGTTCCCCTTTGGGCGTTAAATGAAGAAAACTCGGCGGACCTCCGCCATGACTGCGTCGTATATAAGGGCAGTATTGTGTGTTCATTGTAAAATTTATCATACTCAAGGGCAAGAACGATGTTTACCCAACAGACTGGCAGTAAACTAACTCAAGCACTACACGCTCGCACAGAAGACTTAGAAGTGCTACAGTCCTTCCTCTTTGAAACTGTGATCCTACAATACGTTGACTTTGCAATGGTGACTGTACTGATCTATAATTCAAGTATGTGAAACAATCTTCTTCTCAAAACCCGCTTGACTTAGGCTACATTTTTAAGTCATCACGATAGATAAAGAGGTATGTACTTCAGGAGCTTAGGACTTTGTACGCAGGCTCATTGAAATTGGGTTGCTTCAGGTTAAATACTTCTGGGTAGGTGACTTCTCGGAGATTCTGCTAGGTTACGGATTAAACAGAGTTGGAGAAGTTCAAGCCATGGAACTCCGTTAAATTAATTTACTTTTTAGCAAGTATTGTACTGGTTATTAATCAAACGATTTTGCTAATTGCTACACTACAGAATCATGTCGTTGGGATACTTGGAGCGATTTGCTTTCTTATACAGTGGCAGACAAAAGTATTGCACACTTTTGTCCGCCACTGTAAGTAGGTTTCAGCATGTCAGATCTGCCTTGACTTCGGAACATCGTCTGAAGTAATCCTTTCCAAGAGGATACTTTTGTAGTAAACAGTACAAGGTAATGCAGGATATCTCAGGAATAGTCCGTGTCTGACGTTTAGGCTCTGCCCAGTTGTATGTTACGATTATGATGGTGGAGACATTGAAGTATGACGTTGAAACAGGTTCCTTTCTGTTGAATACTCAGTTCGTTGGTACTAAAACGGAAATCATCACCAAAATGGGCGATGTTGCATCTTCACTCATCTAATCTCAATACTTTCTTTGTTGGGTGACACAGGTGGCCGGTGAGTATTCTATTAGTCTTGTCGAATACACGCCTTCACGGAGACTTCAGGAGCAATTACCATTATTTTAATCGATTGTGAGAACGCGAGTTCATTAGAAGTTGAAGGGATAAGTGCTAAAGGTGTGCCTATAGATATCCTCCTCATCCGAGTTCTAGCTCTCTATGAAGGGAGTACGTGTTCTTCCTCTATTCGTCTACGTTATATTGATTCTGCCAGACAAGAAATTTGGAATATTTTTAAAGATATTCCTCGGCATAGAGGTAGTTGCCGGTCTTAGCCTCCTCATTTTTCTTGGGATATCTAATAAAGGTAACTGACTAGATAGATTCACCCACTCCTACTGAAGTTCTTTTTGGTATTAGTAACCGCATATAATCTATTACCTGGTATAAATATCTGTGTCAACGAAGGTAGCTTAGGGATAATTATACCATTAGCTATCATTTCATAGTGCGTTATCTGACATCTAACATAACATTTTCTCATGGATGGCAGGACAATATTGACACTGTAGGGAATAACCTTGCTGAGCTTCGCACTGTATAAGGCAGCAGGGTACTGGAGACTGTCGTCCGGGTTCAAAGGCTTCCATCTTGTCAAAGTCCTCGTCCAAGACCAGATTTTGTATTTTGGTTTGTAAGTCGCGCTGTCTAAGTAACCTATGTTACCCGGTCTTATTATCCGTAGTTTCGTTTTCTGTTCACTGGCAAGGGTAGGCGAGCTTACCACTCCCCTAGTCGGTGATATCCTGGAAAGAGCTGGGTGCCCTACTCTTCTTTGCGTTCTTGGAGGCCATCTTTTGATTAATCTGAAAGAAGCGGCAGAGTTGGGAGTTAATGAAGGGACGAACTATAGGGCACACAGCATTAGTGACATCGAGTTCGCCTGAAGTAAGCTTTCAATCTATTTCATTGAATTTGTCCGCCTTATCCGAATTTCACAGAAGTCATTACCTCCGAATTGGGCTCATTGAAGGTAGCTGGTCCCAGTTATGGTTCAGGCTCTGACGCCGTTGTGCGAGTGGCTGTCTTCTTGCGCAATCCGCGCAGGGCTGCGAAGTCTATAGGACCAATATATTCCACTTATGCATTAAGAACAGGACAGGGGACAAGTGGAGCCGATGTTCGTGAACAAGGATTCCGTGACCGTGGTGATCAGTATCACCCAATGGATCAATCAGACGCATGACGGGAACCACGACTGTTCTCAATACTTGTCAATCCAATGTTGCTTTGTCCCATGAGTGAGAGAAAGCGAGGTATCTTCGTGTTTGCTGACCTCTTGGCATGTTCTTGATTGATAGAGCAACTGCCGCTTGATCTCGCTCTAGATGATGGATTCTATTGAAACAAGGAACGCTAATACATGTCAATCGCCAACCGTATTGGACAGATACTAACAGCACCAAGAGCCTTCTGATACAAGATGCATCAACCTTCTTTTTGATACGTCTCATGACCAGATACCTTCAATTCCCGACTCAAGTAAACTATATAGCCCACTGGAACCGAATCTCCAAAGCTCCTTTATTATGCCAAATGAAGGAACCTCGGCAGATCTCGTGAAAAATGGGGTGCTGTGTATAAAAGAGCCTCCGCTCTTACCACAAATTTGTTGCAATCTAACGCAAGGACTATGTTGCCTTCACATGCTAGCAATAATCTGACTCAAGGACTGCATGCTCGTACTGGAGACGAGATACAGTTCCTTGTCTTTGAATTTTTGGTTTCACGTTACCTGGACGTCGTAATCGTGACCCTTCTAATATACAGTTCACGTATGTCTTACAACTTCTTCCACGAGACCTGACTGAGGTAGGCCATACTCAAGTCATCACAACTGACAAGGAGGTACGGTCGTCAGAATTTCAGAGTTTCAGTTCGCAGCCATACTGAGCATAATACTTTCAGGTTAAATATTTCTGGGTATGCGACTTCTTGCCATTCACTTGAATTATGAATTGAACAAGCTTACAGGTTAATTCATGGAGTTCCACCAAAGCGGTTTACTTTTCTGTGAGTCTTGTAATATTATCTATTAGACTCCTTTTTTATCTTTTATATGATAGAATCGTTTTGTTGGCATACTTGGAGCAATCGGTAATATGATGAGTACGTTTTACCCCATTGAAAGAACTCGATCTTTGGATCAACTGTCTGATGTAACCATTTTCATAGTGGATGGGTTTGTGGTAAGCCGTGCGAGGTAATGCAACGTAATAAATATAACGGAAGTCCATGTATTGACAGTTGGATCCTGTCCAGATGTATGTTACAATTATGTCAGCAGCAGCACTGTATTTGGACCACTTATATCGCGAACAGGTATCTTTCTTTTCTGGGCATCATGGGTGGCCAGTGAGCACTCTTTCGTCATTTACAAATGCATGCAGGCCTTCACAGAAATTTAGCTGGAATTATTGTTGTTTTAATCGATTGTGAAAACACGATTGATTAAACTTTGAAATGTCAAATGCTCATAGGACTATTACAGATATCCTTCTCATACGAGTTCTGGCTCTCTATCAAAGGAGTACGTCTTTTTCCTTTTGGTCATTTACAGTGATTTAATTATGTTAGATAAGAAATTGGGGCCATTTCTCAAGACATTTCTTGGTCTGGAGGTGGTTGTTGGCTTTGGCCTAATCTTTTTTATTTTGGCATCTAGTGATGGTAATTGCTCGAATAATTCCGCCTACTCCTATTGAAACAGTCATGGGTTTTAGTAACCGTGCATAACATTTTGCCCGGTATGGGCGTCTGTGCCGCCGAAGGAGACTCTCAGATGATTCAACGATTAACTATCATATTGTGGTGCGTCCTCCGGCATCTAATATAGCATTGATGTTCTCTCATGAATGGCAGGACAATACCGACGCTGTATGGATTGACCCTGCTGAGCTTTGCACTGTATAAGGTAGCAGAGTACTGGAGACTGTTGTCGGGTCTCAAAGGCTTCCATCTTGTCAGCGTTATCATCCAAGACCAAGTTTTATATTTTGGTTTGTATGTGGATTTTTCATTGCAATTCTATGCGACCAAGCCTTATTGTCCATAGTGTCCTATTCTGTTCACTGGCGAGGGTGGGCCCGCTTGCCACTCCCCTTGTCGGTGATATCCTCGAAAGAGTCGGGAGCCCCACTCTTCTTTCCATCCTCGGAAACCATCTTTTGATTAATTTGAAAGAAGCGGGAGAACTGGGAGTCAATGAAGGGACGAATTACAGGACACACAGGACTAGTGATTTCGAGTTTACCTAGTGTAAGCTTTGATTGGATTTATCTACCTTATCTGACTTCCTTTCAGGAGTAGATTTTCTGTGCACGTAGACTGATCAAAACGACCAGTCCACTCACTATCAGGTTTCCGTGTACTGCCATTCGGTGCGAAGAATGTCTCAAAGCTTCGTATAAAAACAATTGTTATTGGCCCTTGAGTTATGCTGGGGGTTGGTCGACTGTTTGATCCATGCAGATCTTGTACTATCCAACATTTATGTTGCTTCCTTCTCTTTTTCTGTTTCTCACTATCTCATTTGTATCTTGAATGTTATGTGTGGCCTCTGTCCACATGGATATCTATTTACACTTGGTGTTTTTATTCAGATTGAATTTTTCGGCGTTAATGTCCCTTTTTGTATCGAACTGTCTATTGAGAAAGTAAAAAATGATCGCGAATTGCTTCTCCTGCCTGAATCATACGAACATTAAGGATCGAATGCTTCATAAGTATGCATATATGAATAGCTTTGGGTATGGTACGAGTCCGTAATCTTTTGGAAAAGGAAGAGAATAACTAGATAGGCATACTTATGAAATGTTCGACGTATTCTATATTTATACGCGTATCACGAAGGAACGACAACATAGAATACAATACATAACCGACCGTCACTCTATCGTTCGTTATAAGCAGCACATAATGAAAAATAGAAAGCGGTATCGCACTGAGTGTGAATGAAAATGAGGATCAGGGGAATGTAGAAGAAAGGCGAGTTCAGCAGAAAATGTCGGTGCGTGTATGCGTATATACGATGCAGAACATTATTTTCCATAAGCGTGGATTGGTAACGCATTTTTCTAGAAAGGAAAGTACGAGAGCGAGGATGAGGACAAAGAACAAAAAGTCATGTGCGAAATGGAGAGAGAGCCCAAGATACCAAGTGATGATGATAGCGACCTCCCAAGGAAAGATAGAAAAGAGAGTTCAAAGGAGAATAAACCTCTAAAGCACAACCAAAGCGCCCACCCAGATGCCCAATACAATCATAAACACACTCATCCATGCCCACTCCGCGGGACCTGCCAGTCGTACTCTCTTTCCATTATTAGCTACTGCGCCAACAGTCTGTGAAGGAGAAGAATCGAAAACAGCCGTGGCTTCAACGAGTCCTGGGGCAGTGGTATAAGCCCTGAGATGTGAGATCTCGAAGTAGGCGTCGTCATAATTAGAGCCGGAGCCAACCACGTTGTCGTTGTACTAATATGACGAATTAACCGGTTAGTAAGACGGGTGTGAAGAGAGGGACGGTTTACTTACACAGATACCCGTTCGGCCCGTATTCGCACACGTTGCGTTGTACACCGCAGGTACACCAGCCCTACACGAGGAAAGCGTCTCAAATCAGTACTGCATTTCACCATGATTGTCCTTCATCACAAAAGAACGCACCAGTCTCCACAAAGTGTAATATCAAGTACGAGCTGCTGACTTGTGAAAAAGTCCTGTATTGTACAGCTGTCGCTTAAATAACTCGCACTCGGCGTACCCCAATCGTCGAGCGATATAGACGAAGTTGATGTTGAGTCAATGATGGACTGTGGAACTTGCGATCGGGGCCAGAACCATATACTGAGAGCAAGATCAATACATTGTTCAAAGCAGGGGAGGGAGGGGTGTGTGTGAATCGCACTCACAAAACGCCTGCAATATCGAACTGTGCCGCAAACACACCTCCACCTCCATCCCGAAAGTCCTCACCAAAGCTCCCATCCTTTGTCTCAGTAACAGTGCATCCTGCACCAGTCGAACAATCACTCGCATTCTCTCCGTCGCTATTCAGACCCGTACCGCCCACATTCCCAGGCCCAAGGCCCGCTGATTGCCCCAATTGATTTGTGACGGGAGTGGTATGCGTACATCCAGGTGTAGTGTGCAGTGCCATTTGGTTCGCGGACATGAGGTTGACAGCTTCGATTATGTCTATCTCACCGTCATTTGGCCAGAGTGGACCTTTCGTCCAGAACGCCGGCCATACCTGCCATTCACGGTACACTCCATCAGTCTGGACTTTTCCGGAAATAAAATGAACGATTAAAAATTCCGAATACTCACCGAACACCCAAAAGGTAAATGCAAAATGTCAATCACCCATAGGCTTCCCAAATCATAAGAATCTGTGCTCGTGATCCGCACAGTATTGCGCTTCTCGTTAACAGGGACAGTGGAGAAATTATCTACTCGGAGAATAGCGTTTCCGGCACCGTTTACATAGGTGAGGCCGTCGTTGGAGGCGTCTTGTCGATCGAGCCACCATACATCGCCTATCCGTGCACATCGGAAAATAAAGTGAATTTGGAAGTACAAGTGGAAATTAGAAAATTGTGAAGGCCTGAAGGACAGGAGCAAGACGTACCAAGAGTCAAGTTATCCCAAGACCCGAAGAAGTCCCATCGGTCAAAGAATGAATCTCCCGCATATTCACGGGCGAGCAGATATGCATGGCATCCCGAGCCCGTGAATACCAAAGCCGCTATCAGCCACGCGAGTGTCCGGTATCTCCACATCTTGAGTTCAAATAAATGAATGGCAGATCCCGACGCAAGGGTCAACAAGCTAAGGAGAGACTAGTACAGCGCAAGGAGAGAATACAGACAGGCCAGGGCGTCTGTTTATAAGACGAACTACAAGTCCAGGCACGCGCCTCGACGCGCCTCGGTTTGAGTAATTTTTGTACACAGCTCCACTCCTAGCAGAAACGATAGGTAAGGAAGCGCGTGGACCACGCAAGCCAGTACAGCCTCAGTTCCAGTCGAGAACGTGGTTCAAATACAAGTTGGAGATTAACGCCAGAGAAAAGGGTGCGCATCCATTCTTCAGTCGCTATTTCGGTCGATAGGAGGTTGAACACAAATTTTTGCGTGATTTGATTTGCTTCAGTCATTTGAGTCAACGCCTCGTGTTTGTTCCGCCGTGTGCTTGCAGTTGGCTTCCTATCCGGCCGCAGTCTATCCGGCCCCTCTAACGTGCATCTCACGTGCGCATGTTGAACTCGTGTTGATGTCGTGTTTCATGTCTCAACGAAGAGCCCGAGGCCAGGCAGATGGGTAGAAACATAGATGGCATAGAAATTGAATAGCTTGGTTTGCCTCCGTTATGACTAAGCGATCTTCACGATCGACACTTCAGAACCCCGGCAAAGTCTGATACCATGGGTCCTTGATCAAAGGATATTCCGTACACGAATTTCCGTTTCGTTGTCTTTTATATAAATATCAATTGTCCAATTCAAAAAGTCCATCATATATACACATCATCCGCACGCAAATAAAAATAAAAGAATAATCAAGAAAACCATCTGGGCCCAGTTGTGAACGAAGAACAATCACTCCTGCAACTACAACTCAAGACGGACAGTCATTAATGTTGAGGTCTCCGTCAGGGCACGCCGGAATTTGCGTCGCTGAGCCTGCATCTGTGGACAGCGATGGGAATGCAGACGTGCATGCTTGTTCGACGTCGTCTTGGCTCGTGCCAGCAGGGAACCTGGGGGACCGTGGACGTGAGTAAACTACTTAGAAAGCACGAGCTCGACTTACACAGCAGCAGATCCAACAGGAGCAATTGGGTCTGGGATGACTTCCGAACAGTCAACAAGTGTGCTGCTATCGAACCCAATGACAGCCATCTTCGCCATCGCTGACTGGAAGTTGCTCATCATAAGTTGTTGATCCGCTTCATTCAAGATTGACATAAGTTATTGTCATACAATGCATCCAAAGCAAGGTAGTACATACCAATCATAGACTGCCATTCACAAGCTGTGCGAGAGTCGCGCGAGAGTACGAAATCTGACTGAAGGCGCATCTCGCCTTCATCGGGGAGAGGCGAGTCCACCTCTGCACCATCGGTATTGTTCACACCGAATGGGATGCCAGTGCCTTTAAGCAAGACTTCCAAAAAGATCTGTGGGTCGAATGTAAACGGTGTCGTATCGAATGGTACAGCCGTATGATTCGGGACGAGTGTATCCGAACGAGCGATACTATGCGACGCAAGCAAATGGATGACCTCTAAGTTGGAGATACCTGCATCGGCCATTCGAGAAAGAATCGAATCTGCGCTATCTTGCGGCAGTGGGACGGTCCCGTCCGAGGCGGGAGCAGTCGCGTTTGCTCTACCTGCAAGGAACTGCAACTTTGGGGCTCCAGGACAGTTTGTAGTTCCCACCGCACCTGCAAACTGGATCAAGTCACCAGCAGTGACGTTATGGGTCTGCAAGAATGGCGCGAGCGCATCCACGCCATCGTCAACACCAGCATTTGCAACAAACGCAAGCTCGGTGCCGGAGAAGAGTATGATGGAGCCGTCAGCACCACCCCCAGAGAGTGCACCAGAAGAGGAAAAGCCGATAGCATCATGGAAGGTAAGTCGCAACGTTTCGTGCACGTCTTCTCCGCAAGTATTGTTGAACAAATTCGCCTGGAGGTCATCTCTGAGCGCGAAGAATGGACAGCACTGGAACGAAAGATAATTAGTTCGTTATCGGGTAGATGTAGAGAGAGTAGGAATGAAGACGTACCGCCTCGTTGGTTGCGGTATTGACCCCATCTGGGCAAGTAACACGTTTGTAGTTAGCAGCATTTACTAGTGCTGCAAGTGCGACGAAAGCGACAGAGAGTTTAGACATTGTCGTGCTTTGTTTCGATGTTCGACAGATATGAAGGGAATCCGCAGCTTAACTGGCGAAAGTACGAACAATCTTTGCCCATTTTATATGTTTCCCCCCCTCTCAAACAAGTTCTCCACAGAAAAGAACAAGACATATCAAGGCATATCCGTCGCTTCATCCGCCATGCTCGTCCAGAACATAATTCGATCGCCTTCCCACAAACATAACCCCGAAAAGCGTGCTTCCAGCCACTGGCATGGCAAGGAAATCAAAGCGATAGCGCAGATTGCCACGCGAATCAATCCTCCGTAGCAGAAGTTTCATTTTGCAGCCCGACTTGGCGACCTAAAGCGCGTCGTGAACGTCATGAAAGAACGCTTTGATCGGCCTCGCCGGTAAGTAAACCTGGCAAAGTGACCGCGGGTGCCGGTCCCGCGAGAAAGAAGCCTGTGTTACGAGAGAATGGACTGCGCATCTTGTGAAACGTAGCGCTAGCCCGACATATCAAATCCCCTGTTGTGTGGGTAGCCCCAAAGCGACGGGTCCGAAGCTGTATACAGCCCTTTTTCGTGCAAAAGCCGATGCAACCATGTAAAATTAAATTACGTGGACCGAATGGCAAGTGAAGCATCGCGTTGCCTAATCGACAACATAGAACAGGCCAAGCATCAAGACAGGATGGAGAATAGTGCGAAAACATCTTTTCGGGGTGATGGATCCAGCTCGGGAAGAAGGAAAATCAAGCATTTGCCGTGAATGTTACCATAGTCGGCAAATGAGATCTTCTCCGTTGCGCAGCAGCTTCAGTTTTGACAATACGTACACTTTCATCGTGTGTTCCAGTGAGAATGTCTGAGAGATCTTTACAAGCGAAACAACCCTGAAGTGCTTTGATCGTCTCATAGACAGCGTGGCCGCCAGTGCAAAGTCAGAGGAGCCTCTTTCTGAAGTCCGACCGCCGCGTGACAGACAAACGACGATGAGAAACAGTCAAGACCCAGCGTGAGAGATAGTGTGAGAGATACATTGGAATTTTAAACGAGTACAAGAGATAGACCACTGAGAAATGTTGACGAAGCCATTGGTGAAATAATGAACTTAGTCGAGAAGGCCTCCGGCTTATTGCCTGTGCAGCGGGCGAACGTGATGTCCAGACTGATGGAACATAAGAGAAATATATGCACACTGCCGCAGGCCAAGGCAGAGATACGGATTAGTGCATGGTCGGCTGCATGTTTGAGGAAGCAACTTTCGAATATGAATTGACAATGACAACGGAGAAGCCATTACGGTCCGTGCAATCATTTGACGGTGAATGTAGTAACGTAGTTGTGCTTCACCAATATGACAATCATTTGGTATCCCCTCCGTCACGTGAAAAGTATTTGTAGTCGTGGGAACTGCTGTACAGTTTTCGTTCATCGTGACACTCAGTCTTGCTCATCGTTATCGTCGTACCCTGTCAAGCTTCCCAAAACTCAAAGGAAAAATGGTCAACATTCCGAAGTGAGTTGTTGTAAACAATGCATTGAGATCATCTTCTAACCGACATTTAAGAACCCGACGGACCTGTGAGTTTGTCTCGATTATAAGCCGGTCATGCTAGTATTGATGCGGAATGCCGCTCGTAGATTGCAAGGGGAAGGCGTGCAGGAAGCACACGTATGTTCCATTGTTCATATGAGCTCATTTCTTGCTCTTAATTCAGTTCATGCCGTATAGCCCCCATAAAGTCACCCAGTACAAGACTGGGAAAGCTTCTCTATTTGCACAGGGCAAGCGCCGTTACGACCGTAAGCAGTCCGGATACGGTGGTCAAACCAAGCCCGTCTTCCACAAGAAGGCAAAGACTACTAAGAAAGTCGTATTGCGCCTTGAGTGCACGGTCTGCAAGTACAAGGCACAACTACCGTTGAAGCGTTGCAAACAGTGCGTATCTCCGTTTTGTCAGAGACTTAAACTGTTGTATCTGACTCAGGTTTTCCTCAGTTTCGAGCTTGGTGGAGACAAGAAGACAAAGGGTGCTGCACTCACATTCGTACGTCTCTATTCACTATTAGGAATAACCCCATGTACTCAAGCATGCAAACCAGTGATCCGTTTCCTTTCTCGCACTCTCCATTATATTCCCGTCGTCCGAAACACTTATGTCATGTATTCCATGCACCAAATAACCAGTATATGCTCGTGGTACACTGTATCACTAACTCTTCGTTTCGCTTGATATATTACCGAGAACTGCCCTCTTCTCTGCAGGATCTCAACATCGGTGTCCTTTTTGACTTTGGTTCCGAATCATGCAGAGTTCATCCTATCGATCAAGTGCATTCTTTTCTTGAGGGCCATCAGGTTCTTCTTGCTCCACAGCCTTCCCTTGTCGCGGTCCTATGATATCCAATCAAGGAATTGTTGCCACGAAGTTAACTGGCTACCCCAACCGGGTGCATTCTCACATGCAGACCCTTGCTGAAGCCCGAAGTCTCGCCTTAGTTCCTATCTACTCCCAATGTCGAGTACCTTGCCATCTTTTTGCGCGTCTCTTGACACCTGTACTAGAGCCGTGAAGATCTTCCTCAAGGACGTTGTCTCGACGCAACTGCGGCATATAACTAAGTTTGTCTAATTTTACAACGAAGAGCGCTTTCAAGGCCTGCCTCCGTTCCTTTCTTGGCCTTACAAACTCCTAATTTTCCGTGCTTCTCGGGTCAGTGCGGGAGTACCCGCGTTCTCTCTTGCTTGCTGGTCGATTGGCGCTCTGGCGCTCGCATAAAGACTGAATGAAAGTGGAGACAAGATATGCCAAGACTCAGAAGCATTCCCGGAATTGCCTCACTTATTTAAGCGCTGGAGGTTGGGATGTTTCAGATTTCTCATCCAACCAACGTTCAAGCTTGAAATCTATCACCGCACAGAACAAGTTGAAGCAGATCATGATGCATGTTGAAAGCTGATTGGTTTCAATTCATTCTACTCATGAACTCCCTATGCTAATGCGGTAGTGCTGTGACTCTTCTCGAAGCTTTTGTGTTGACAGCCCGTGAGTCTATATCACGCCGCGGAACCTAATAACCTTTGGACCGCGCTGGCATGCAAAGGTCTCCTTTTCATTTTTCTTTTCCTGTGCAACATGAAGTCTTCATATAGAGAGCCCTGCCCTGCTATCCACCACGAGGTCCCTTCGACAACTTCCTCCTTGTCAGCTAGCTGATCGCTCTCCAGTACGCGTCTCCTAGCGATGAACTTCGCAAAGTTCGGGATCCATGATCTATCTAACATTTCCGTCCGAGCTACAAGCCCAGAGGTGGCGATCACTTTTGAAAAGAGTGATCAACTTGCCTCGTACTTCGGCATGGCTGCTACGTGCTTGCTGACTTATGACATCAGTATGGTCCTTACGTGAAATCCATTTCACTGTTGGCTAACATGCAGTCCCTACAGTGGCGACGTTTGACAAAGAAGTAAGCCAGTAATTTTCGGGGTTCTTACACTTTATTAACTTGCTCGCCTCCAGATTCATTACTTCTGGGTACGAGTGAATAAACTTGACATCATTGAACCGCATTGACGACCGCAAACTAAACTGATCAGAAATCTACTGGCCTCACTAGATGGGTTTTCTTCCTGGTAAGCTCCAAGGTCAATGACTGGCAAGTGAGAATAAGGAACTCACACCTCTCATCAAGAACCGATACATTGGGTTTTATGCCGCCTTAATTAATACGATATATTTCTTGAACGACAATCGTAAGTATCATCACTTTACACACTCCGAGTGCATTTTGACTTATATCCCTCCTGTATAGTCCCATTCTCTGATCGTCCGGTCGCCGATTCTCGCTTGTGAGTTTCACGTTTCAGCGTTTAATATGTGAAATGGACTATTAACATTCTCATCTCTAATTAATAGCTGTGAGCCTGAAACAATTTGCTGTAATATGCTGTACTGAGTGGAAGTTCCATAGGCGCGTTTGCAGCCTGGACTCACCAGCTTGCAGGTAAGCAGACTGCAGCTTCTCTCGCGAAACGGAACATGGACTCATCGACATCCTAGGATGGATGGGAATTGTCTTGATTGACGGTAAATCCAAACCTTTCAAAGATGGGCATGTCTATTGATCGCGACATAAAGGGATTCTGTTAATGAGAGTATTAGCTCTCTGTCCCGATGGTGAGTAAGCTGGGCCCAACTCTATTGTGTTCTCTAGTTTTGACCATGAAGTTTGGCTTCAAAAGACAAGAAGATCGCTCGGTTCCTAGTAGCTCTCTTCGCAGCAGAGAGTATTGTATATCTAGGTCTTTTACTTCACATTGAAGTTGAATACAGACGTAAGTACCAACTAGAAGCGTTAGCATCCTATCATAAAGGTGACACACCATCCTTCTGTTTCTAGCGGGAATAATTCACGTCCTCGATCGCGTCTACTGTGGACTTGGTGGCCACTTCGAGAAGCAAGAAGCGACGGGCTACTGGTAAGCCGGGAATAATAAGTGCTTGCCCGTGCACGGTCTAATCATATGATTGCTTTGCCAGGGTCGTTCCGCTGTTCTTCGAAATTGTGCTACTCACCGTAGCCATCCGTAAATCAATCACCTACTGGGGCTCCCTCCGAGGACTCGGTAGATTCAAGCTAGCATATATCCTTCTCCGAGATCAGATCATCTATTTCGTCATGTACGTTGAATGCCATCCATCTGCGCTAGAATCCATATTCATCGTCTCGCCAATCCGTACAGTGTAATGGCCTGCAGTGTCGCTAGTATCACCGTCTACTGGATCGACGACTCCAACTTCCAAGCAGTCGTCTCCGGCTTCGCAAACGCCTCACTTCCATGCGTTCTAGGCAGTCACCTGTTGTTCAATTTGAAGGAAGCTGCTGAGAAGGGTTTCAACGGGAGTACTGACCGTGGGTCTACGACCGTCAGTGACGTGCGCTTCTATTGATGAATATTAATGATTTCTCTGGATGATTCATGCTTTGTGTCTCATGGGCTTATGTTTGCTAGCGTATGTATGTATCCTTGCGACTATCGACTAATGCTGTATTGTGAATCAGGTTAATTATAATAATAATATTTGATGATCCATGGGCAAAAAATCATCCTAGCAAGTACTTTCTGCGTTCAATAGCTCGTGTCGACCCAACACGTATTTATTTTAAGCAAGAACGAGCCGAGGGAGCTATAGACTCGACTGATGTCACACCAACTAAGTGTATGCACCACACGGTGAGAACCTACTGTCCTCTCTTATCTGAAATTGACAGCGAACGTGATGGACTGTAGAAGACTAGTCTTTCATTTGACATTCATACTCAAGGCTTGATAGCAATCTTCAGTGCACTTCGACTACGCATCTTGTCCAGCGCTTGTTGGAAATCTTCCAATGCAAATACATCTGTCACCTGGTGCACAGATCAATATGAGTAAGTCTCTGGTGACCTTCATGAATGGCAGATGAACCGTACCATTCCTTTGACGTTGATCTTTCCTGAGTCTAGGTAAGCTACTGCACGCGGGAAGCAGTACGTCTGCGCAAATGAACCAATGATCTACGAGCAAATGTTTATTTCAGACAACCCGTATCGTACATACTTATTATTCACCTTTATCTCGTCGCCGAATATCTTTGCTGGCGACCAATGCACGCGTGCATCATTATCATATACACCATACATCATTAGCACGCCACCTCTTCTGACATAGTTAATTGAGTCGTTCGCAAGTTTCTCTGCGCCGGTGGCTTCAATCTATGTGATAAGACACAAATCAGTCATGAGTCAAGGACCTAGCAACGAGTGTCCACGAGAATATGATGCGTACAACAACATCAAAACCATAGGGGTTCTCCTCCTTTATCTTCTTCCACTGTTCATCAGCAGCCTGTCTATCAAGTTCGATGATCTCATCTGCAGCATTGATGTTCCGTGCTATTCGTGTCTTTGGACCTGCATTCGCCGCAATGACGACTCGTGCCGCACCGTTGAGACGTAAGAGCTGAGCTAGAATGAGGCCAGTGGGCCCCGCACCAAGCAAGAGGATCTCGAGACCGGAAGCTCCAGCAGGTAGCGCTGCCCTTAGTCGATCAAGTCCATGTACAGCGCAGGCTGCAGGCTCGACGAGTGTCGCTTCAATATGAGATAAGTTATGTATTTTATACACCTTGCTCTCGTGGCTGCAGGAAATTTAGAACTTTTTTTCTTTCGAGTTGTCAGTGACAATCAACCACGTACAATGCAATATACTCGGCGAACCCACCATCCATAGTACATCCTTTACTCGCGAAGTTCTCGCACAGAAGGTCCTTTCCACGGCGACAATAGAAACAGAAACCGCACTAATAGCGGAACGATGTTAGATTAGCTCCCTGCTCAGATAGAGTACGAGCGATCTAATAATTACAGATGCGCAGTTGTCTGCGACGCAACTATCGCCAGTTGTGAAGTTCTTCACGTTTTTGCCGACTTCAGCGATAACTCCGACGACCTCATGGCCGGGAACGAGCTAAGTTTCCAAGTAGGAAAATCAGTTACTTGTCCATTTTGTCATCCTTTCCTTACAGGGAACTTTGAAATGAATTCGCCTTCGTGTATGTGTGCGTCGGTTCCGCAGATCCCTAGATCGATCAGTTCACGATTTACTTCCGCGTTTGATCAACGATGGAACCAAACGAACCACAGTAGCTAACTATCAATAATGTATCATTGTGGAGTAAGTGCGATAGTCAATAAAAAAGAAAAATCTTGATGGTACGGTAAAGCTCACCTCTTACAAGTACCTCATCGTCACCAATCCGTGGGATAGGCGCTTCTGCTATCCGGAAGCTTCTTGGCTATAGTACGATGCATTGTGATTTAGATACAGGAAAGAGTCTTGCTTGAGGGCAATTAGATCACCTCATCATAACAAAGTGCTTTCATTATGTTTGGATCGTCAGGAACACAGGGTTGTGCTAGTGCTAGTCAAGACGGAGATAGCGGAGTAAATTGATACTTGATTACCTCATCGATTATTCCCCATTCCGTAAAAACCCATCCGCTTCCGGCCTGGTCAGTTTTACAGACGGACCCAGCCACAGTAGATGATTTCTTGTTCTTCATACATTTAGAACGAATTAGAACGTGTAGCAGAGCGTGCATTAATGCGCATGTGCTTCTTTAAATGTTAGTCTGAGACATAAAATAAAGATTTATTGTTTATCTACTATTTATATCTTAGATCGCTCTCGACCTAAGACAGTTGATTCAGAACAAGCCATCTCCTCGTTCCGGCTCGAGCCAACATATTATGTATGGGCTTTGAGACATACAAGACATATCTATAATAAGGCATGAAGAACGAGAAACAACTCATTGCTTCTTGCATTCTTACCCTACCATCGTCACCCAACCTCCCACATTTACTACCAAACCTCCATCTGCATATTCCGTACAGTACAATGTACACCATCACGTTCAACGAGTCGGTTGTCCTCGTGCCTCTCGAGAACGGGATTCTGCCTTTCCCGCTGAAACGCGACGTCATCGAAACGCTCCCTCCGTTTGGAAGACCAGAGTACGGGTCTGAAGATGAGGGCGAACTAGCCAACCCCCCTCGTTAGTAAGTCCGTGCGAAGGTCTTCCGACGGCCTCAGTGGAGTATTCCGTCGTCGTAGTCACCAGAGCGGAGTCAAGGTCGTCATCCCTGCCAAGGTCAACGACGCGGACGATGTCGACAACAATAACGCGACAATGTGGTTCTCTAGCGCCGACAACTGGCGTCCTGGCTTGGTGCCTCTCGAACAGGCTGTGCGTCATGCAGACATTGTAAGGAGACCCGAGGTATTCGAGCGCGTCTGAAGTTGTTCGCGAAGGGAGGGCGTTTTCTGGAGATGCATATCCAGAGAACATACCGCCCGAACTGAGCTCAACCTTCTGGCGGTCCAATTTCTAAGCATCTTATAAGTTGCTCACCGCCCTGCGTCTAGAACGAGAAGACTCGGATTCAGCGTCACCTGTGGTTGGAGCAGAGAATGAGACGAGTATCTGCGATTCTAGTTGTTACAGTTCACTGACGTTTCTCTACCGATTTGGAGCTGAACTAGTGTCAGCTATCGAACGAAAGGGCATGTCCATCGTGGGCGACGCGGGGCAAGTCGCGCCTGAAACAAGCATCCAAGTACGAGGTGACCGGGAGATCGGGATTCCATCCTCCCTATTTAAATGCGATACCATCGACGCACTCCCTCGGTTTGGCGAGCCAGAGTATGGGTTCGAGGATGAGGGTGAACTAGCCATTCCCTTCGTCAGCGAGTCTGTGCCGAGGCTTACCGACCGCCTCAGTGGAGTCCTCCGTCATCGCGATCACCAGCGCGGAGTCAAGGTCATCCTCAGAGTTCCTGCTTTTCTAGTGGTCGCGTTTCACTAAATGTTCCGTACAGATTTCGAGTTACCTTCCCGCTTATACGCGATACCATCGACGTCCTTCCCCGGAATGGGAAGCCAGAGCACGGATTTGAGAAGGAGGGGGATCTAGCCATTCTCCTCGTAAGCAAGTCTGTGCCGAGGTTTTCCGACTGCCTCAGTGGAGTCTCTCGTCGTCGCGAACCATAGCGCTGGGTCAAGGTCATCTCTCCACTGAGGTCGATAGCGACAATGAATTAACGTGGTTTACCATCCATGGCAACATGGCATCCTGGGTTGCTACCTGTCGGGCAGGCTGCACGTCGTGCAGACATCATAAGGCTTTCGAGCGTTTTTGAGGCTGTTCGGGAAGAGAGGTCGGATGCCTTTTCTGGAAATGTCTCTCCAGAAAACGTTTGCACCCGGACTGAGCTAAGCTATCCGGCGCTTCAGTTCTGCAATATAAGTACCTTCCTTTTACGTTGTTCACTGATTTATTTTGCGCCTAGGACCAGACGATTTGGATTTGGTGTCACCTGTGGTTGGCACGGACACTGAGCCGAGTACTTGCATTTCTAGTTGTTTCAGTCCACTGATTTTCCTCTACAGGTTTGGAGTTCAGTCAGCGTCAACTACCGAACGAGAGAGCTTGGCCATCAGGGGACCAAGTTTCCACATTTCCCGCTTATCCGTGATTCCATCGACGCACCCCCGCGGATCGAAAAGCCAGTGTACGGGTTTGAGGACGAAGACGAACTGGCCACTCTTCTCGCCAGCGAGCCTGTATTCGGGTTTTCCGACCGCGTCGCTGGGACTCGCCGCGATCACTAAGGCAAGAACATCCGGATGCAGCGTTGGTAGCGTTGCCTGTGGTCGGCGCGGATAACATGAGACGAGTGCCCGTGTCTCTACCTGTTACAGTTTGCTGGTGTTCATCTGTGGATTTGGTGTTTGAGCCAGCATCGGCAATCGAACGAGAGAGGGCATCCACCATGGACCCACCATGGACAGATTGAGTCGAAGGCGAGCACCCTAGGACCAGATGAATAATAGACCGGAATTCCGCCCTTTTCACGTAACCGCGGCACCATCGATGTGCTCCTTAGAAAACCAGAGTACGGCTTTGAGGATGAGGGTGAACTCCACTCTCTTCGTCAGCAAGTTCATGCCGAGGTTTTCCGACCGCACCGCCAAAGATTTTCGTCGTCACAGCTGTCAGTAACGAGTCGAGGTCGTCCTTTCTGCCAATAAACGTTTCGGTCAGAACTGAGCTAAGCTGTCCGGCGTTCCTGTTTCGCAGTCTAAGAGTCATAGAAATTGTTCACTGACTCGTCTAGCGCATAGGGCTAGAAGAACCGGATTCGGCGTTGCCTGTGGTTGGCGCAGACACTGAGCTGAGTACCGGTGCCTCTGCTTGTTACAGTTTGCTGATGTTCCTCTGCAGATTTGGCGTCGAGCCAGCGTCGGCTATCGAACGAGAGAGCGTAACCACCATAAGTAGATAGAGTCGAATGCGAGCGCCCGAATACGAGATGAACAGCAGACCAGAATTCCTCCTTCCTCGCTTAAACGCAACACCATCGACGTGCTCCGCCCGATTCAGAAAGCCAGAGCACGGGTTTGATGATGAGGGCGAACTGGCCACTCGTTTTGTCAGCAAGTCTGTACCGAGGTTTTCCAACCGAATCGCCGTCTTTCGCCGTCGCGGCCGTCAGGGCCATGTCAGGGTCGTCCTCTCTGCCAGGAAACGCTTTGGTCCGAACTGAGCTAAGCTGTCTGGCATTTCAGTTTCGCAGACTGAGAGCATTAGAAGTTGTTCACTGACTTGTTCTGCACCTAGGACTAGACGACCTGGATTAAGCCTGTGGATGGCACGGACATTGAGCCGAGTACCCGCGTTTCTACTTGTTTCAGTCCACTGACGTTTCCCTACAGGTTTGGAGTTGAGTCAGCATCAGCCACCAAACGAGAGCTTGGCTTCAAAAGACCAGCTTTTCACCTTTCCCGCTTATATGCGACACCTTAGACGCGCTTCCGCGGTTCAGGAGACCAGAGTACGGGTTTGAGGATGAGAGCGAACTGGCCACTCCTCTCATTAGCAAGCTTGTGCCGAGGTTTTCCGACCGCATCGCCGGAGCCTTTTGTCGCCCTGATCACCAGCGCCCGGTCAAGGTCATCGTCTCTACCAAGGTCAGCGACGACGATAAGCTAACGTGGTTCACTAGCCCCAACGGCTGGCGCCCTGGTCTGCTACCTCTCGAGCAGGCTGCGCATCGTGCTGTTCGTCGAGGGAGAGCGGGCGTCTTTCCCAGAGATGCCTATCCAGGAGACGTTTCGATCCGAACACAGCTAAGCTATCCGGCATTTCAGTTTCTAAGTCTATGGGTCTCAGAAATCTGTTCACTGACTTGTCGTGTACTTAGGACTAGAAGACCCGGATCCCGCGTCCGATGAAATTTGCGCAGACAGCATGAGACGAGTAACCGTGTCTCTATTTGTTACAGTTCACTGATGTTTCTCTACAGATTTGACGTATCCCAGTGCCGCCGCGAGAGGACAACGGGGATCCAAAAAGCGAAGGTGGAGGGCGAGATTGTTGCGGAAGAGGTGTTCTGGCAGTACACAGTTTAGTAGTGTAGTCTCCTCGGCGACAGTGAGACCGTCGGGCTTGGGTGACTTCAAGGCGTCAACAGCAAGACATCAAGGCACCACGTGGTTCAAGACTCAAGACGTGTGCGTCAAGACTGTGAGGCTTCAGAGTCAACGCAGGCCCCCCCCCCCCCGAAGTCCTGAGATTAAGTAAGATTCTAAGACTGGTGTTAAAGGGGGGTTTTTGCCTGCGTTTTCCCCCAAAGTCGTGAGATTAAGTAAGAGTTTAAGTTGTAAGACTGTTGAGACCTGAGCTGTAAGCAGTGAGGTTATTGTTAAGTAACAACTTATGTTGTAAGACAGTCGTCAGTTGAGCCTCTAACAGTCTAAGATGGAAGGGGTGAGATGAAGTAGTAAGAGCCTGGGTCGTAAGAAAGTTGTGAGTGTCTGAGACTCTGAGCTGTAAGTTGGATTTATCATTTAAGTAAGCTGAGAACGTGAGATGTAAGAGGTGAGAATTAAGATTAAGTAAGAGCTATAAGCACGAAGAACGTAGGTTGAGAATAACGATTAAGAGAAGAAAAGCTGAGGATAAGGTTGGACAAGAGATTATGGCACTATAGGACCAGAGGCCTGTATCCAGTCCAGTGATAGTGACAGGAGCTCAGTACAGTCACATCGCGTCCCGTACATGCCAGGCATCCGTTGTACTAATTTGTAGACGTTCAGAATAAAAGTTATGTGTAATTTGATTATATTTATTTCCACTATTGTATAGTACTATCCTGTGGATTGTAAACAATCGCATATATACGGTGAAACTAAAGTGTCACAACAGTTTCTGTTTACAAAAAGGAAAGTCGAAGGATTGAACTCGTGCTTTATATGCAATGGCAACATGCATACCTACGAAATAAGTATTGGCTGGAGAACGAAGACGAAAGCGAATGGGGTGCATAAGCATAATGATACAAGTAAGGGTAAGCTTTCTTTTTAATAAACAAGACAAGACAAGGAATGTTAGATGATGATATATGGAGGTAAGATAGCGAATAGAGAATAGCGAAAGTCGTGTAATGCGGAGAGTAACACTCTAAAAATGCGGGTCAGACTTTATCCAAATGAGTGATGTGGGCGGTCAGCTTGAATGCATTTAATCTTTTCTTCCTCCCTTCGAATCTGGCTCTGGAGCAGGTTCAGGTTTCATGTCACCGTTCGCAGTAGCTGCCGCTACAGACTGCTCTGAGGCTGAATAGGCTGGGAGACTAGCTTCGCTTTCTGTCCGGCTCAAGCCATTCTCGATAGCCACTGCTCGTACAGCACGCGTTGGCGCGGGTGTATGCACACCAGAGTACGGCATAAGCGGTGTCGAGATACCCAAAGCCTCCGGGGCAGGTGTGGCCGGCACAGGAACCGTCTTATCCGCGGAGGCTTCAGGTCCAGGCGTAACGGGACGACTCGTCGCAGGCGTGTTCACCGTTGACCGGTTATGCGCCATATGTGCTTTGATAAGATGACCAGCAGCGAGAGCAGAGAGAAGAGAAAGTTCACCAGCCATGACGGCGGCAGCGATAAGACGAGCTAGACGTTGCGCGTTTGCGCCGGGTTGGGTGGGATGAGCTCCACGAAGACCGAGCATCTCGAGAACAGCCCCCTGTGGTTTGAGGATAGTTCCTCCGCCGACTGTTCCAACCTCAATACAGGGCATAGTGACCGACATGCGAAGATCTGCGTCGTCGTTCGTCGGCTCCATGAGAGTCATACAATTTGAGCTTTCTACATTCTGTGCCGGGTCCTGTCCAGTCGCGAGGAAGACAGCCGTGAGGATGTTTGCCGCATGTGCATTGAAACCACCGATGCTGCCTGCCATCGCACTGCCAATTAAGTTCTTCTTGATATTCAAGTTGCACAAATCCTTGACGGTCGTCTTGAGTACGCTTTGCACAACCTTGCCCGGGATAACAGCCTCTGCAACGACACTCTTTCCTCGCCCTTCAATCCAGTTAATGGCAGCCGGCTTCTTGTCCGTGCAGTAGTTACCCGAAAGCGCGAGAACAAGCATTTGCGGGAACTCTCGGCGCAGAGCTTCCAACGCCGCCTCGGTACCCTTGCTAATCATATTCATACCCATTGCATCGCCAGTGCTCGTCGCAAATCGGACGAAAAGCGTCCGTCCAGCCAACGCACATTTCAGTCCCCTGAGTTTCGCGAACCGGGAAGTGGCTTCGAAAGCCCCACGTATCCGTTCCGCGCCGTCCTCGCTCTCGATCCATGCCTTCGCCTCAGCAGCCTCACGCATGCTCGGGAAGTCAATTGCAGGTCCGCGCGTCATGGCATCCTGGGTAAGTACAGTAGTGACTCCTCCGCCTGCGTTAAGTGCTTTGCAACCTCGCGATGTGGATGCAACGAGAGTGCCTTCTGCTGTGGCCATCGGAATCGGGAAAGCTTCGCCATCAACGTTGAGCGGACCGGCGATTCCGAGCGGGAGAGGCATGTAGCCGACGACATTCTCACAGCAAGCACCAAAAACGCGGTCGTAAGCGTAGTCATTCATCGGCACGTCCGAGTGCTCAAGCGTCTTGGTCTTCGATGCACGAGCTGGAGATCATACGAAATTAGTAGGCATTCTTAGTGTAATTTCAATCCAATGCTTACAGATCAAGGCTCTCCGAATTTTCACTGCCCTAGTTAAGTCACCCAACATCTTCTCGAGTGCGTACGCCTGAATCTTCCCTGCCTGACTGAGCAGAATAACTTCCTCATCATTCAATAGTTTGAGACTCTCCTGCACAGGTCTCGGTCCGTTCTCGAAGATGTCCAAGCACTCCTCATACGAGCGTGTCTCCTCCCTCTCAGGTCTGCTCGAACTGTCACTATCTGACGGCGACGAAACAATCCCGGACACCTGCTCAAGCTTACGATCAACGAGATCCAAAGCAAGCATGTTTGCTTCCGGTCGAATAGGATGTGGCCTGACAAGTCGGGGAGGGGGAATTGCGGTCATTGCAGGCCGAACCTGAGTCTCCGAAACCGGGGCAGGTTCTGGCACAGCGGCTGATGCTACAGGTGTCTTTGGTCGCTCTCCATTGTATGCCCTTGTGTTGGCGACACCTGCGCTAGCATTCGCGATTGCTGCTCTAATTGGTGGAAGATTGCCACCGATGCCAAACACTGGTTTCTTCTTCTGCTCACGCGGACGCTCCATCCTTCGCTCAAACTCATCGCTATCCCCACTGGTTCTTTCTTCTTCAGATTCAGCATCCTTGTCCTCCTTCACGACACCAAGGTTCGCAGCGCTGAATCGCACCCCAGGAACAACACTCGCCAAGCTAGCTGCCAGTGTTTGACCAGCCTCACCGGTTGCAATGCCACGCAGCAGCACTGCATTCAGCGCAAGCGACAGCACGAGTGAGAGGGAAATGGACTTCGACAAGACAGGGTCGCCCACAAGACCGGTCCATGCAGAAAGGAAGGCTTCCCACTGGCCGCCTTGTGCATCCCGTTCCTTCTGTGCTTGTGCAGCAGAGAAGCTCGGAGACGGGTTGGCTTGAGAATGAGCCGAAGACTTCGAACGTGGGGTGACATGAACATAGAGTGGTGGACTAATTTGCACAAGGAGATCGGCGGGATGAGCGTTGACCCAGCCTCCGGTCGAATTCTCGATTGAAGCAGACGTGGAGGGAGCAAGCCAGACTGCCGCAAGACGGTCAAGAGCTCCTGCAACTTGAGGACCGGAGATATCCACCTTCCTCGCTCTACCAAGTACTGGTTCTCCGAAATTCAACGCCCCAGCAGTATTAATACGCGCAAGAGTTGTTGCAGGAGTGAGCGTCGTGCACAGGTTAAGCACATGTAGCGTGACAAACGAAACAATCTGGATAATTTGTTAACATTCATCGCACATGAATTCGAATATAAACTAAACTTACAGTAAGCAGCTTCAGTCTCGAGACAGGGTCTTGCTGGCCTTGCCTCAGTTCCCTTTCTTTCAATTCTTTCTCCCTAGCACGTTTCTCTTCCGTAGTCTGAAGCGAGCTCCGTCTACGAAGTGCACTTGGTGGACGCTGCGCTGGCATGGCAGGCATTGCCACGGGTTCCTGCGCGGCAGACAGACCAACGAGCTTAGACATTGATCCAAGGCTTGGCAAGGAAGGTAGAGACTTGAGTGGTTTGAGTGTTGGGGAACCAAGACGTGATCCCGATCGAGATGGAGCAGCGCTTGCAGCTACGGAAGCAGCTGATGTAGTTGCTCGCCTATGCTTGATCCGCTTGACCTATCACAATTGGAGGGCATGTTAGCATGCAGAGCTTCATCAAGGACATGACAAAAGGCAGAAAGAGAAATGCATGTGATCGATAAGGAAAGTATGACAAAAGATTAGCAAGGCATAGCCCGCATCCGACAGGGGCTCTTCATAATGGAAGAAGCTCCCGAATTAGCTGCTGCTGGATTGGGAATGCAAGAAGAACAGAAGAGCGCTCAGTGATGAGCAGAGACAAGTCGCCGTCACGTGAGGCCAAGAATAGGCAGCCACGTCGCGACACGGCTCCGAGTAACAATAAGGAAAACGAAAATCTTCAAAGCTAACAGGGGCAAGTGGGAAGGGCCTAGAAATGGAAGTGTGCACCAGTGCGATACACAATAGGCACCATGCGCAAATCACCAATGCTCGAGGCAGAAGCGAGAAAGAACCTAAATGCGGGGAAGGGCGGGGGAGCGGAGAAGCCTGGCGAACGAAAAGCATGATGTAGAAGTAGCAGACGCCCGGAACCAGGTATAGATAAAACCCGTGAAACGAAAAATTGAGATGAAACGGAGACGGAAACAGGTGTGTCACGGTCCAACTTGATGATTGATGAATAAAGATAGCGGCACCGGTGTGCCTATGACCGCGTTGTGAATCATATGTATGATTGTGGCGGAATGAATACCCTTGTCAAATCGCCGGTCCGTCGTGTAATGATGGAGTAACGAACGAGGAAGCAAGAAAGCAGGGTAGGAGAAAACGCCCAACGAGAAAACGGTTGGGGAAATTGAAACAAGACATTAACTTACCTCAATCATGACGCCCATAACTGCGACATAGAATGTCACACCGCTAAGGCAGTCCAGGGCCAGGATGATAGCCGCGAAACCACACATCTCACGTAGTCCTCCGACTTTGGAGCTCGCTCCAACCGCTAGAACAAAAATCTCCAGAGCATAGTCCCTGAGAACCGCGTTCCCGACACGGTCAAGCGCCTCAAGCAAAATCTGGTGAGCAGGCTTCATGACAGGTGGCGCAGGCTGGTTACGCGGTCGGCCAGTAGGTGTAAGTGTTCCATCGGAAGGCACAACAGATGATGAGGGGACTGGATTGAAAAGATGCTCGTGGGTAAACACAGCCCGGCCAAGTCGGAGGGGCTTATCGAATCCAACTGTGCAGACAAGGAACGGCAGTGCTTCGGTAAGGAGCACTGGATCCACGGGAATACCAGCATGAAGAGCAACGGGGAGGGCCAGCACAAAGGCCAGCGTGCTACTTGTAAAGATCGCTGTTGCCAGCCAGAAATGCGAACCAAGTGCACGAGCGGAACTAATGAGTCGGAAGAACGTGATATGCATAAGAATGTAACCCGCTAAGACGAGTAAAATGTCGAGCGAGTCTGCAGCCCGGGCGAGCTCAGAGAACCGTGTGACAAGCGCACGGAGGGCGTACGCTGCCCAGCGGCCATGCTGCAAGAGCTCGGGGGCGGTAGGAGTGGTTTCCAAAGTGAATTTCGCTCCATTATCGTGGGGCAGTCCCCGCTTGAGCGATGAAACGAGTGCTTCGCGTGCAGAAGATGAAGGTAGGGCAAGCGTGAGAGTTGCGGAGCGTTCGCCTGTACTGAGGAAATGGATCGCTGCGTGTTCCGACAGACGCGCAGTAGCATTCTGAAGCGCATCCTTGAGCTTAAGGTCACCAAACGTGAGCTCTCCATCTGCATATGACTTCCGCCTTCTAACGTTCACGTCGAGTCCGAAGACAACCTGTTGCAGCTCCAAACGTTCTTCATTGCCATCTGCAGACCAAACGTTCTCGGGGACTGCTGACCATTGTGCATCGCGGAATAACGCATGTGCAGGCCTTAGCGAAGTTGGAATAGCCGGGGAAAGAAAAGTGGATTCTCGAATAGCAGCAAGGACGTGGAAATAAGCAAGAGTGGCTGCAATGAATCCGAGGACAATGGCTTCAATGGGGTTGCGTGCTGCGGCGGAGGCAAGAGGGCGCAGCAAGGCACGCATCTTCGCTGCCTAGTAAGTAAGTGCGTCGACTCGCTGTCTCGAGCGACGACGACAAAAGTTGTGGAGGACGGGGGAAGGAGAGCCGTACGTACTGAGGCGGGGGAGTTTAGCACGAAGACCCGAAAAGTCGCGAAATTATATATAGTAGTCCCGCTAATTATGTCATCTTCCTATTGTCGCCCGTTTTTTCATTTCGTCGGTCCATTCCCCACATAGATGAAAATTCGCCAAAAATTGACAGAAAAATAACAAATGAATCGCACATCGTGACTGCTATCGATCCGAGCCCTCCAATGCATTTATCTTGTTCTCGAGGTGACTGACTCTGGCCGACACGACAATTTTGCTCCCATTGTCCACAAAAGGGAGCGCCAATCATGCAGCGGAAAAGGGAACCCAATCAGATCCATTTCTTCCGGGTTGATGACCTGCTTCAATGTCTGCCCCACTCAAACGGACAATATCAAAGATGGACAGCATTCGAGTCTTAACTCCCGCACATCCCGCACATTCAATACCACTGTAATCCCCACGTCGTCCAGCGAGTCGCCGACATATGAATGGTTATGCATGCACCAGTCTCAGACTGTCTCTTGTCGTGTCTCTGTCAAATTTCAATCAGGAGAACGTATTCGGTATGCTGGTACCGAACACGTATTTCACGCAGAAGCAATTTCGTAGTCCGCAGTCAAAACTCGTTATCGTATCAATTCCAAATTGTCCAAATATTGCAACACCCTCTCCCCAACGTGCGCTCAATGCTCTCCAATCCACTTGGCTAAAACAACACCCTCGGCGGTATTACGACTGTCTTATCAATATCCCCAAATATCTAACTGTCCAATATGCGTCGAACGCTCCATCACTGTTGTGTTTGGGCATGTAAACATAATAATCGACATGCAGAGCATGCCAACCTGCCGAAGGCTCACCAATAGATTCGCCAAAGTACGACACCATTATCGCCAGCGCTACATGCAAAGAACAGTTTGAGCGCCATTTTGGACAGGCACAGAGACACAGCTATCTTGCGGCTGTGGCAAGTTTATTGGGTGATTTGAGTCCACCATCACAATGCACTAGCCGGTTTTTCTCACCATCAATCCGTCTTTATGCTATAACTTAACGGTTTTGCACCTTATTGCGATCCGACTTCCGTAGGTTCGCAATAGAGTAGTATTGATATCACGTCGGGAGTCATTCTAAAGTCCAGACTTCCGCCAGTCATTTGGCGGCGCACCCGCCAAACCACAAGTGTCCGAGCGGTGTCGGAAACTTACATGACTCTACATAACACCACAAGTCTGTCTCGCCATTAGTGCAATAGTGCCGTCGTCCACATTTCGAACAGTCTAATTCGTTAGACTAGTCTCTCCTTTCTATTGCAATAAGTACCCCAACACACACAACCTCGTTCAGTTAGAACTGTATACCCGCACCCGCGAACATACTAATACTTCATGGGGACAATCGAGTATCTATATTTAGTTAGAGCCTCACCGGGATCTTCTAATCCGCCCACGTATAAATAACAAGATAGAGAAGTTGCTCCATATGCGAATATTCTGAATACACGGCACGAGGCATACATGAGTTGCGAGAGAGAGAAATGCCCATCCAAAGTAAGTTTACACCAGTGATCTAATTACTAGCTAGATCTAGTGGATAAAGTGTATACTGCTCACATGAACCGTTCAGCGATATCCATGGCGATTTTGAATGGAATTATCATTGCAGTGGGGAGCATATACCCGCACACCTCCCGTCCTCTCTACGAATTTGATAATTCCACAAATAGTCCACGAAAGCTCAAAGACATTACACGGTCGTGACGTCTCCAGGCCCAGACAGTCTTTAAATATCGCTAGGATGTCGTCAGTTGCATGGTCAATCCATTGTCATACTCCATGATACTGCAACAAACTTCGGAAGCGAATGGAAGAAATGCAACGTACGAGCATGCATCAGCCACGGAAGCGCAGGAAGCGGGTACAAGTGTCAAACATCCTCGAGAGCATCCAGTCCGAGCACCACACCGGAGTCTGCCCTCCGAGGTCTAATTATCCACGTAGCCAGTGCTTGTATTGCAATATCCTCAATTCTCTTTACCCAAGTATATCCTCTAAGCCTTGAACGGATAAAAACCCACTTATCCGATTTCATTCTGCATTCACAATCTCTTGTCTCTCGGAATTAAGTGTCGATCCACATTAATGACCATATAACCGACTTCGACGGGAATACGTCGATACAGTCCGAGACGGGTTAGATGTGGCAGGACAAAGAGTCTTGGGTCGGTAACCCCGATACGAGAATCGATAACGGGACGTGTTTCCATAATCACCGAGTCAGAGCATTGGGCGTTTCAGACAGCCACACAACTATATCGGAGACTGATGTAATGATACGCAAGTATACATGTTCCAGAGACAACCAGAAACGAATTCGCAGTTCGGTGCAGTGCCAGCTCATAGAAACGATTTGATCGCGGTTCGAGAAAGCCAACCCGTCATCTTGGCGAGCAGAGCCCCGGCTTTCAGCGGCGATGATTCAAGAAGACTCAGCTCGGCCGTTTAGCATTCGGCCTCCTTGATTGTCTGTCGGTTGCAATCTTGGCCCGGCCTCGAGTGTTGTTCATCCGCCATGCTCGGCCGTCCGCAGATGATTCTCAAAATTTCACCGCTCCGCCGGCTCCGAAAACGGGCTCGCCGATAATGGTGGAAGTTGAGCATTATACATGTGTTCCTTGTTCAGCGACCTGCTTGAGGCGGTCCGACCGGTCCGAACCACAGGACTCTAAATAAAGAGGATCGTAAGTCAAGACAAAGTTATGGAAAGGGAATGAGTTTGATACTTATAGTAAGTTATACCTTGTCGGATGGCAATACGTATCATCACGCACTTTTGTTTCTTTCGATTCGATTCGAAGGAGCTCTAGACATTCATCATGACATTACATAATCATTGCCTTTTCTGTTCCCAGCTAAGCAACTCCGTCACGCGCACCAACTTCACTCAAAACCATGTCCTCCAAACGAAAATGGGACCAGGCAGGGCCCGACGACGAAGGCTCCCCAGCTTTAAAAGCACAACGTGCAGATGATTCCAAATCAGCCAGTGAAGCAGCAGCAGCCGCTGCTGCCATCGCTGCCAAAATCGCTGCGCAATTCGCCAACGGCGGCGCAGGCGGGGGTAGTACAGGAACGATGCTCGGTCCTCGAGATCCCCATGATGGCGCCTTCACACACGATATCGACATAAACGACATCCGTAATAGATACTTATTGACGAGAGGGTCAACTCAAGAGCAAATTCATAGCGAGACTGGCGCGACTGTCACGACGAAGGGTGTATGGTATCCGGATCGGACGAAGGCGTCGGAAAAGGACCCTCCTCTGTATTTGCATGTGTCTGCAAGCTCGAAAGAGCAGATGGACTCTGCTATTGCGAAGTTAAATGACCTTATGAATGCCGAGTTGGGATCACTCGTTGAGGACAAGAAAGACATGCGAAGAGAAAGGGTAAGAAATTCAGTTGAATGTCATTTTCGATAAGTATGCTCACAATGAAGTATAGAGGAAATGGCCAGAGGAAAAGCTTACTGTCGGGCTTGAGACTTTACGGAACTTCAATGTGCGCGCGAAGGTTGTCGGTCCGTCGGGGATGTTCGTCAAGTACATCCAGCAAGAAACGCAGACCCGTGTACAAATAAAAGGCGTTGGGTCTGGCTTTATTGACCAGGAGACGGGTCGAGAATCTGACGAACCAATGCATATTCACATTACGTATGCTTTTACTCTCTTTTTTATTTATTACTTGTAGTTCATTTTGTATCCAGCGGACCTGATGAAACCCAAGTGCGACGTGCAAAAGTCCTGACGGAGGACCTTCTTGAGGTCGTTCATTCGGAGCACGCAAAAGCAAAAGTTCAGATGCAACAGCAGCAAATGGAACTTCATCAAGCGCAACAAGCATATGCCGCGTACAGCGCTAGCTATACTGTATGTATCGCTCGAATTTCATCTCGGTCGTTTCTTTGCTTGCTGACTTTCATTTTAGGGTTACACACCCCAACCTCCCTCTGCACCCGCCCCGCCTCCTCCTCCAGGAGAAGCGCCTCCACCACCGCCTGGTGCACCCCCTCCGGCACCAGATGGAGCACAACCGCAGCCTCCAGCTCCTGCAGGTTCACCAGTAGGAGCCGCCCCTTCAGCGACCGACCAGGACGCGTATGCGCGGTATTGGTGTGTTTTTCCGTTTGTAAACAAGAACGCTGTTCTCTAAACTGTTATTGTAGGGCTGCGTATGGCTATGATGTCACTTCACCTCAGTTCAAAGAATGGCAAGCTCAGCAGTATGCACAGTACTATAGCCAGGCTGGGTATAGTGGTGCCGCTGGTGCAACAGGTGCATCCCCAACTCCGCCGTCTGCACCGCCTGGAGGTCAGCCTCCGCCGCCGCCACCGCCGAATGAACCGGCACCCCCGCCTCCACAATAGAGGTAGCTTTTTACGGTTTAGTATAGTTTTGGGAAATGTTGTGTATTTACATACTTACTGACATGGGAGTGGCGGAAAGTACCGTTCCTGCCTTTTATAATGCTGTCTGGTTTTTTTCTGGCTTCACCTAAATGTACCTTGAGAGTGAGAGTATGTAAGGATACGTCGCACGCAGTAAGATGGGAATGCTTTCGGATGTATTTGCGATTTGCCTTAGCTATCCTTTGCGTAAGCTGTAGTTTTACCTTTTGCCACTGGTACCTCCGCGAGGACGATGGCCAGCTCGTTCCTCGTTGTCCTCGCTGGTCTGGCAGCTATTATTTACGTTGCACTGTGGTACGTGCAACAAAATGACCGTAAGCTATGCGCTGTGCCACCCGCCGTGGCAAACGTAGCATCCCACCACTGGTCAGACGAAGAAATCAAGGCAGAGTATGCGCGCATACAGGCGAATCCCATAGACATACGCTCCGTCCTGCCACCACGCACAGGTAGGAAATACATTGTCATCGGTGGTGCAGGGTTTCTCGGCGGCTGGCTCGTCGTGCATCTCCTTCAGCGTGGCGAGCATCCGCGTCGGATCCGAGTGCTCGACATCCGCTCTCCGACGCGTCAAGACCTCACTACAGGCGCTGCAAGGCTCGTTGACTTCCGCATCTGTGACATCTCGGACGAAGATGCTGTCCACGCCGCCTTCTCTGCACCATGGCCCGAGTCAAATGAAAACGACGGATCAGAGGATCCTGATGAGATCACCGTCTTTCATACTGCAGCAACTATCCGGTTCTACGAGCGTGTCTGGTCGCTCGTCCCTTTTTCTGCTGCTGTCAACGTTCGCGGAACGCAACATATAATCGACGCAGCTCGTTCTATCGGCGCATCTGTCCTCATTTCGACCTCGTCTGGCTCTATCTCGTTACAGCGCTCACGCTTCTGGTTATGGCCTTGGGAAGAAGCCCCTCCTTATTTCGTACAAATCATAGACGACGATGACAAGCTAATTCCTAAGCATCATGAAAACTTTTTCTCGAATTACGCATATACAAAGAGGCTTGGTGAAGCACTTGTTAGGGGTGCGGACAAACTTCCATCAAAGAGAGGCAAGATTCTCCGAACAGGATCGATTCGACCCGGAAACGGCGTATATGGTCCTGGGGGTGACATCCTCCTCGGCGCTACACTCGTGCGCGAAATCAACCCATCATGGATCGGGACCATCGTGCAGAACTTTGTCTACGTAGAGAATGCATCACTTGCGCATTTGTGTTACGAACAGCGACTTCTCACCCCTCCAAAGCACCTAAGTGATGACATTGGTGGTCAAGCATTCTGCGTAGCAGACGAAGGTCCACCTCCGAGTTACGGCAACGTTTACCATGCGCTCTCTATCCTTTCACACGGACGGGTAACATACCCAACCCTCTCACCAACTCTAATGCTCTTCATCTCACACATAATCGAGTTCATGTACCTCAGTCGTCAATTTCTCCTCTCTCTATCAACCCTACCCACCCCTCTCCACCTTCTTTCATACCTTACATACCTCGTCCCACGACTCCCCGCAGAAGCACTCAACCTCCAACCCTCCCTCTTCGCACTCGTCATGGTACACATGATCTTCTCCGATACGCGCGCACGTTCTCCCTCCATGCTCAACTACAAACCACAATGGACGACCTTACAGGGCGTCTGCACACTTGTTGATTCTTTTGAGCGGAGTGGACGCGCGGAGGAGGCGAGACAGCGTTCGGGAGGTGGGATCGGTCTTGGCCTTGGACTGAGTAAACTAAGAGCTCGTTTGGACCTGGAGAGGTTACTTGGATGGAGAGTGGGTTTGAAGGGGACGAGAGCGGGTTTGAGGAAGGTTGAGAAGACGGCAACTCCACCCGCAAGAGACGTTGACCCGGACCTTGACTTGCAGGTTATGAGTGGCGTACACAGGGATACATGATACGCGAAATTCCTGGCAGGTTCAAGTCTTTTCCCGTGTGAAAGCTGCAAAGTACGAATACACTTTGGAAAACCTGCTGCCATTGTTTTTTTATCCCTTATGTCGGGTTCAATTGTACTTTTCATGTGTTGTTTTCTGACATTGCACTTTCCCGTGGAATCCATAAAATATCAATATGTACGTATAGAACAAAGCAATGTACTTGTGGAGCTGGGGTGTCATTATGGAGAACCTATCAATTAACCATCCTAATTACTTTTAATGCCCCAATCTACTGCTATAAGTATGCACGTCTAATAGCAAGAAATGTCAAGTGATTAAGAAACAAAAGGCCGTTTTCAATTTACTGCCTGATTAAATGCCTATAAGAACTCCACTCCAATACCAAGTTGGAACCCACGCCTATGCGCATCCGTTTTGTTCGCAACGAGGGGGACGCCGAAGTTGACCTCGACGCGGACAAGATCGAGGCGATAGAGTAAGCCCACTCCGGCAGAGACACAGGGCTTTGAGATGCTATCGCGGACGTTGTCTGTTAATGACCGGTCTATGGATAACACAACATTCAATAACCAATATCTCTCAATTGTTAATCGAAGAACGAGAGAAGGAAGTATCCATTTGGATAAGAAGGGACGATTGGAAGGAAAAGGCTCACTTACCTCGATTAAGAGTGTCAAGTCTCCCAGCATTTACAAACACATGTGTCTTCACAGGCCATTGTGGTCTTCTCGGCAAATCCGAGATAACACTGAGCCCAACGGCCCAGAACAAGTCACCACCAAGTGCGTTCGACCCGTCTCGAGGACCCAAGCCACTCTGTTTGAACATTCTCACATCGAGAGGTCCACCAAGTTGAAACCGGTCGTTGAAGCGCGGGGGGCTGGCAGGATCGAGGCTGTACAAGCATCCTGCTCGACCTGAGAGAGATATCGAGGAGTGAGGGAATAGGCGCCGCGCGACCTGAAAAGAGGCTTGTGATTTGAGGAACGCGGTATCGCCACCGAGCCCAGCCAGTTCCTGAATTGCAGATAATCAGCTATTGAAACGGCCATTGTGAAAGAGTATGGCGAATTACATTATAGGTACGGAAATACCCTCCACGGGATGGAATAGCTTTATCGTCGCGCGAATCATAACTCCAAGTATGCGATAGAGAAGACTTGACAGAATGCCCAGCGGCTTCCCGAATACTCAGCGACGCAGATTCAGTTAGCGCGTGAATATGCCGCAGCGCAGCTTCGTATGAAACCTCGTTTGTTGTATGCCGATTGATAGACTAAAAATACGAATTAATTTAATTTTCGTTTTAATGTAGTCAGAGGCTGACCTAGCTCACTTTAATGGCAGCACGAACGCCGCGGATCCCTTCAACGCAGCTTGCATATGCAGTCAAATCTTTCTCGATCCCGAACACGGATAATTCGCCGCGTGTACGCAAGCTGGGTGTAAGAGGGGCAGAAATCGAGACATGTCCCGCGAGACGTGTTCGCAGACCAGATGAAAGTGTCGTCTCCAGAATCTCCGCACCGCCAAATGCATTCCGTATACGTCCCTGCACACTCACGGAGCCTTCTTGATCTCCAATCTCCGTTGCTGTTTTGAGAAAATATTTGCCCTTTGGACGTGTATGCAAAACTAGTTCGAGGTCACCCGGTCCAGCGAGTTCACCCCTGGATTGCTCGAGCCGTGGAACGACGATAGAAAATACATCTGACTCGAGAAGTTTATTACTTATGCGTTTTGATACGCCGAGGACATCGTTGAGCGTCGAGGCGTCTGTGCGGACGTCTGAAAGGTGGGGCTCGATGAGCCAGTGGAGGAAAGACGGGCGTGTCTTCCCGGCACCTTCAACGCGCACCGAGGCTATCCGCATGCGTGCATCCAAATTATCATCTACCTTGAAAAAAAAATCAATTCACACACTCCATCTAATTGTAGTACTAGTAGGATCGCAACGTACCAGCTCACCGAGCCGCAGAAGGGCAGACTCATATTCACCACGTAACTTGCGCCCAATACGCGCCTCCTGCCAAGTTCTCAGTTTTTCAAGGTCTGCTGCGTCGGGCTCGCGGTCACGCGGGGCCGAGGTGTCTTGGAGAGGAGTGACGATTCGTTCCGCGAGCGGCACCCGTTCGGTGTCATCAGAGCTCATCGTCAACGGAGCACTCAAAGCTCAGTGCAGACGGCGAGGCAGAGAGCTGACTTGTAGTTCAGGATGACGAGACGCGGATCACGGGACTCGATAACCACGACGCGTCTTGTGAGTCTGACTGCACGTATCTCGCAATGCTCATAGTTAGTTCTCCTTTTCTTCCGTTCAACTTCGAGCATCACAAAATGAAAGCAGGTGGTACATAAAATGACATGGAATTTCCGACACATGTTTTACACAGCACAGATACGTGCAAGTCCAGATATACAGACACGCAGGTCAACGAGACCCTCAATTGAACTAAAACCCTTCCCACCACTTCTGTTGTGTCAACTTGCCACTACTTCTGTTGTGTCAACTTGACAACGTTCAAGCTAAACGGCGGCGCAGTAAGAGTAAGGTCTCTGCGTCCATTAAAGTTCGACGTCTTCGGTACGACCGTGTTCGGAGCCGCAGGTGTATTACTATCGTTTTGACCGCCGGAAAGTACTGTCAAAGTTGCCTCTTGCGCAACGTTGAACGGAAGAGAGAAGTTTACGTTCGCACTGTCTGACCCGGCATTTGCGACCTTGATGAAAACAGTTGACGTGTCGACATCGCGTGTTATACTCCAATGCACCGTCCCTCCGTTCTGAGGAAGCGTACTCGGAAGGTATTCGGTACCCTTAGACAGGCCGAAAAGCTACACAGGGGTGACATGAGAAGAAGGAAACACAACAAGTATCCTGCAACACTGAACATACCTGTTGAACGTAATAACTAGTCGAGCGGACGACGTTCGCAGCACTGCAAGAAAGAGGAGATTCATAAGAAATTAAGAATGTCCTTTAATCAGGATAGAACTAGACTCACTCAAAGCTGATCAGATCCGGGGTCTTGGAACCTCTTTAGAACATTGCAGTCTCGCAGTCTATTAGATTTCTTACCCATTGGAAATTATTAATGTTCTAAAGTCCGCAATGAGAACCAAAAACGTATTCGCAAGTACTAGAGGCTGAGGATCACTCGACTCACCTGAAGGACGGGTGCGTATGACGCAGCAAAAACGATGTCGGCGTTCCGTTCAAGGCCAGTCATAAATGCGGCTTCGCCGGCTGAACCTATTTCAAACCAAGCATATGTCAGTGTTAAACCTGCACTTTACCGGCACAACAGTAGCAATTTGAGGACGAACGAACCAGACATTACTGGGAATGTGAAACGTCCATCGGCAGGTGTTCCAAAGATATCATTCGGGTTTGATGATATAGAGGCGTATTCACCCTACGGATGCTTGGAAATTAGCTAGCCGACCGGCGAAGAGAAATCCGAAGAGCGCCACCTCAAAGTATTTCGTTCCATTGCGCTAAGGAATCTTAGTACAGTGCATCTAAGGTAATGTTTAAGACACGTACTTCAAAGCCATCGTAAATAAAGGCGTTTTGGTAGAACCAAGCTTAATGACCGCTATTAATTTTCATATGCGAAACAAAATAAGAAGGACGCACTAGGTGTCTGATAGACATGTATGTCGTAAAGTTCCGAGTTCGGAGTCAGAACAGGGTCGAATGTATCCGTCGTTGCAAGGAACTCTGTACGGAAATGACTAGGCACGGTTCATTTGCGTAAATCAGCGACTCTGGTACGTACGAATATCCGGAAAGGCTGCACTGAGGTTTCCAACGAAATCGGGCCAACGATATGTGGCGTATGTATCGGCTGCAAAGAAGTCCTCATTCCCGATCTCGACCCATTTAAGCGCATAGGGTTCCGGATGACCAAGCGATGCACGTAAGGCAGCTTAGAAACACTTAGAAGGTTCAAAGACATTTGTACTCTAACTAGGCTTGCTTACCTGCGTCACTCTTGGCCGGGTCGCCAACTACGAAATTAATCTAACGAATCATATTAATCTGAAAGCATATCTCGCAGCCGACTTGCTCGACTAACCTGGTCGATCGCAGCTTGTATGTATGGAGCAAGGTCATCCTCGGCCACGGTTCCCCCGAATGAAAAGCCTAATAGTAAAAGGCAGTACATTAAGTCGCAAGGGGTCATTAAGGAGAGCGAAGAAACCGGACCGGCCCAGACAGCCATAATTGACTGCATTCCCATATCCTCGATGAAGTCGAGATACTCTTTGAGACCAAGCCCACTTGAAATATAACGCAATTCAGCTCAACCCCCAACTGACCTTGTAAAAAGTTGCTTACTCGGTGTTGATGTAGCCCCAGTCACCTAACCGACCTGGTCGATTGGCGAGCGGTCCAACAGTGTTATTCCAGATCCATCGACCGTCAATGGTTTGTCCCTTCAAAGAATTCAGGTCCCTAAACCCAGTAACATTAAAAACAATCGTACCTCCTACTCAAGTCGTCAGCAAACGGTATCGCAGATGACGAAGAAGAATAGCTCTCACAAGGTTGTTTCCGCCGGGGAATCGGAAGAATGCCGGCTTCATGTCTGCAAGCGTCTCACAGATGAATCCAAATTAGCTCGAGCCCACACAATGGGAATGGAAGATGCTCGGAATAACCTACTTCGGCAAGATCAATTCGTATTCCGTTTGGCCTGCCCTTGAAAGTGGGTGGGAAAAGGGAAAACAATGAGAAAAAGATGGTTTCTCCCGCAGCAGACTCTCCATCCACAGTGATAGTGAAGGAGTTATTAGTGTCCCGTGCACTAGTCGTTGGCTTGAGTGTCACGAAAAATTCCGTCCAATCCGTTGCGCTGGACCCCGAGACATCCTGAGACGAAGAGGCGAGTACGCTGCCATCCGAGGCGACAAGGGATGCCGTAAGGCTACCTGTAAAAGTAGATCCTTCCGCAAATTTGAAGTTGACTGATGCGTTGTACGTCCACGACTCATTGACGTTTATACCTATTTACCAGCGAAAACATGGTAAGAAACTTAGATAGAGGGTAACTTCCACCGGATGTAGTTGTACCGAAATAACCGGAATTCGCGACCCCGACGCGTCCGGAGCTGCCTGAAGGGATCTGGACCTGCAGGGAGTTCGGAAGCGCGGAGGACAGCGGAGTCGTTGAATCAATAACTTCAATTTGTGCACCATTAACCGCGGACCAAGCGTTGAGGGAGTCAGCAGAACCTACAGAATGATACATGTAAGTCACGAAACGTGTCAGCCAACGTGTAGGCCCAACGTACCCGGCGTGACCTGTTGAAATGCCCGGTTTTGTAGGACTAGTCAATCGTGAGAGAGAGTGGGTACTAAACAACAGTTATTATATCGTACGTTCTGCATAAATGCCCCCATCACCACTCTGAAACTCTGTCAATCCCAGTTGTATCACCGTGAATCAGCTCATCCTTACATGCTATAGTGATTTCCATGAGCGATGCGTTGGAAAGATGCAGTTGGAGAGTCAACTCACACTAATATCCTTTACCATACGTAAATGCAATTCAGCACTGCTCGAACAGCTTGAACAACGGGAACACCCTTACTTCAAACATTACCCCAACTAACAGTCTTCGTCAACGGCAGAACGACAGCCACAGTAGTAGTTTCACTCACATAACGTCTCTGGTATGGCATGACTGGGCGTGCCGTTGACTACAACAGAGAAGTCCGCGGCACGGACCGTAGTAAGGAGGATGCACAGTAGACCGACAGTGGAGGGATGCATATCTTGACTCTTGCCTCAAGAGAACAGTTACCGCTACATTTCTTGAAGTTGAATTATTTATGCTCTGGCTGAAGCGCTGACGGGCCGCGACGTCACCGTGAACGACATGGTCAGTCCGTGAAAGAAGTAAAACATAAATTGAGCACTGGGCATGTGCTCGCATTGAAGAAGCATACTAGCTCTCGGTTGCGGAAGAATAGTCCCGTGACCGATGGACAGAACGATGACGGGACCAAAGGTCAGGCTGGTCAGCAAGGACTTTGGGTCCTGGGGATCCATAGACCGCTTATGTGGTTCTCATTCTTAACCTTTAGCCCTACGAGGGAAGTCCTTGGTAGACATGACGCATTGACTGGCCAGCAAAGCGCGGCCGAATTACACGCACATGGAGCATTCTGCGGGTACATTCGCAATTTACTCGCAAAAGAGGAGAAAGATCTCGCAGGCTGCGTAGCCGAGTCTGTATATATCGTGTGGTCAGTGTGGAGCCGGTCCGTCGAAGGAAGCCACGAAGTTGTGATCTTGCGAGTCTACTCGCCGAAAGTCGGCTGAGAGGAATGGGCGGGGACACTTGCAAATATGCCAAGGTCAAGAAAGCTGGTGACTGATTCTGTGTTGGTCTATCGTTGTGCTACAGTGCAAGTGTCGGTCAAGTAAGCTAATCGAAGCTGTAATAAAGAATGGATGATAAGCCTTCCAGTGTTCCAACTTCCAAAAAGGAGAGGCAGAGGACTGATGGGTCGCGCGACTCGCGGGCGCTCCCTGCAACTACGCTAACCTTGCATTTTTGAAGATTGCAGTAAAAATGCAATACTTCCCTTGCTGTCCATAATTACAGTATACCCTATATCATGTGACAAGGCTCGATTCACCGTTCAAGTACTGTCAAGGCGCCTATGTAACAAAGTGAAATGTACCAGCTTCTTTATTTATGGAGCTTCATTTAGGTACTGTACCAACTTAGGACTCTGCACAAAAGTGTAATGTAGTCAATCTGACACACTCAGGCCGTGCAACTGACAACTTGTTTGCTTATACACAGTGTGTCTGGAATACATACAACAAAGGGGTTGTATATAAAAAGTATCAAGCAAGAGCAAACATGTATTCCGATTATGTCATTTTTACCAACATTGCAAAATTATAACAGGACTAGAACCAGAATTTCTGTGTACTAGAAGTTGCTGTCAGTTCCTTTACATCTAATGAGACTTCCACTATTGTAGTTTAGTCAAGGAGAATAGGGAAAACAACAGTGGATATGGAAGAAAAGTGACAGGCATGTATATAATCTTGTACTTTTGTCAGTATAGTTTTGACAAACAGGACTGGTAAGTTTGCAAACAGCTCTTTTGGTCACCATCATTATTAATTATGGCTCACTGATGGTGATTGATACCACAGTGTACAGTCAATGTTTCTATCTAGTCACCGCTAATTCTCACTTGTAGTACTTTACTGTAGACAACAAGCATGCATTTACAGTAGTTGCAAATACATGCAGGCTGTGGAGCTACTATATATTACGAAAGCAAATACACATCACCTTACCATGCCCCAGTAATGCCTCATGTGGGTTTTGCATTATTGTATGTGAAGGGAAAAGTATGCAATTCATTTACTTTGTATTGTTTTTGAATATAAAAGACGTGGAAAACTTGCCAGGTTCCTGATGCACATTAGACCCAGTTCTTTGGAGAGAAATCACTATGCTGCTGGATGAAGCAATAGTGACACTACTAGCCCATGACCCTTATGCACTTTACAAAGCGTTAGAAATTGATACTTCCAGCTGCCAACTGGCATCACAAGATGATATCAAGAAGGCGTACAGAAAACAGGTTTGTAATCTTGCTAAAAGCCAATGCAAGATGCTTACAGTTTAGCTATGATCCTGTAGGCCTTAAAGTGGCACCCAGATAAAAATAAAGGTGACCCAGTAGCAGCCGAAAAGTTTAAAGAGGTATTGCTAGTTCTACATCTCAAGAATAGCATTCAGATACTCTTTTCCTTGCAGGTCACACAAGCGTATCAGAACTTATCAGATGAAGAAAAGCGTCAGGAAGTGGACATGTGGGTTGGCCGCGAAAAGTTGAAGCAAGACATTGAAAGAATGGAACGAGAAAAAAGAGAAAAAGAAAAGCTAAAGCGAGAAAAGAAGGAGCAAGAAAGAAGAGAAAAGAAGCTGAAGCAGGAAAAGGAGGAGCAAGAAAGAAGAGAAAAGAAGCTGAAGCAGGAAAAGGAGGAGCAAGAAAGAAGAGAAAAGAAGCTGAAGCAGGAAAAGGAGGAGCAAGAAAGAAGAGAAAAGAAGCTGAAGCGGGAAAAGGAGGAGCGAGAAAGAAGAGAAGAAAAAGAAAAGCTGAGACAAGGAACGGGCAGAGCAGGTTTGATCTTTTGCTGCATCCCGTTTCCCACGCCATTATGTCCTTACAAAGTATGTATTCTTGCAGCACCTTCGGTTAGTGCAAGTAATGCTCGGTTCGGTGAGCATATTTATTGGACATCGCCATCATAGACTGTTTTTATAACGACAACAAAAAAATCTAGCGACTGGTTTCGATGGGCATCCTCCTTTAGATGATCGTAAGTAAACGCTATGATCATTGGAAGCATATACATGATCTATATTTCATACAGGGGCCGAGGCAGCCGATTTCTTCGCAACTTCTCGGGGCCAGTTCACCAGCTCACCGGATTTTATTGAAACGTATGTGTACAACTACGATCTACTTTTCAAATTAATCAGTATCTCATCATTGTGCGACGTAGTTCTGGTCATGGGAAATCGAAACCAGCTGAACGCGAACGTGAGTTGTCATACAAATCTCTTTCTCGACATGCACCATTTTACTTAACAAATAAACAAAACACTAGATCATAGGCCTCATAAACAAAGTTAGTTTGTTTGATAGAATCCTCAGTTTTTGTGGTTAGATCACTGACCCGCGAAACTCAGATCACGGGAGAAGCCATCATCATTCAAGTTCAGACGATTCATATGATGCGCGCAAACACGATGAAAAGAAGTTTTATGGCCAGGGTACGTCTCTTCCCCCTTTCTCGTAAGTAAGGCAGACTTTCGGTTACCTTATAATAAATCCACAGGATCTAGCAGAGGCAATGGTGAAAGATCGAAACACAGTAAAGAAATACCGACTGGAAGTCCTGGTGAGTCCTTTTATCACTAATTTATAAATGGCTCCTGGCTCAAAACGGTGTTGGATCAGGCATATCAGTTAGCAAGAGTCACCGTGAAAGAGAGAGACCCAGCACCGGATCTTGTGAGTCGATCATGATCGCTTCAGGTCCTATGTATGTAAACAAGGACAAACTTATACTGTAAACGATAGATCCTGCAGGCTACGGACTTAAAGAATCTGCGACATTCCATGGCCAATCTTCCGCAAAGTTGCCGAGAAAGGCAAGAGCATCTACATATGACGACTACAAAACCAAGCAAGCAGCAAGACCATCACAGCCGCCGCCGTCGCCTCCGCCGTTCGATTTTAGCGAGGCAAGGCGTAGCGCAAGGCCATATGGTGGCCCTGGCAAGTCCTTTTGTCTCTCTGTCTCATAGCAATCCTTGGCTTATCTGGTTATTTTATTAGACATATCAGGTGTCAAGAGCAGGAGTCACTTTGAAGGGGCAGAAACGAGTCGTAACGCTGGACCCTGTAAGTCGATCAGAGTAGCTTTACAAACTGTCTATGTTAATAGGAGATGATGATATTGCGAATGACAGATCCTCAAGACAGGTCTTTTACACTACCTCACCGACCTCCTGAAAGGATGCAGGGCATACCAAGAGCAGCAACGCACGACGTATATGGCACAACCGGAGCAGCAGGTCCATTGCCACAAGATTTTAGCATGCCGAGATACAGTCCAATGAACACTCGTGAGTCCGTCTCAGTCTTTCCCGAATAGAGTAAACAACAAAATTTAAATGTATTTGTAGAACGACTGCTCGAACCGCCTCATCGTGAGCATCGCAATATGAATGTACCCGCACATACCTACTATGAGGTAACAGATAAAACATATTGGACATACTTAGGATGTACGTTAGAGCCGAAATACTCTATTGGCATGTTTCAAAGCCGAGGAACAAAACCAATGCCAGTTAGAACACAGCTTCGAAATTTAGTCATAGACAAGCCGTTCACAAACTTGCATTTTTTGTTTGGCAAGAGAAAGGCTGATAGGCCTGTAGATTATGAAGGCAAAGAAGGAGACATGCTTTGCCTAATTTCAAATGGTATGCCCTTTCCTTGCCTGCCTCAAGCTCCAAACGATACAGTTGTTGTTGTGAGTAACATCTCCTTACTGTATAACCCTTTTTACACTCTGAACTCACTCAATTCAAGCATTTCGACCCAAAATTTTATGATCTTGCCTTCTTCCATTACAATGATCCAGAGACTGTTGCTTGGATAAAGTATGGAATACCGCCTAACTGTTTTGACATTAGAGAATCCCAATACATTTACTGTCGGGGTGTAAGGGTGCGTTAAATAGCAGATCATTACTCCTTGTATTTGCTACAAGGAGCTAGTGATGACGTGGAATAGAATTGATAGTTGCTAAAGCTTATGTTGATCTTGGACACAATGTTAAATTTGAATGCCATTTATTTATTAGCAATCCTTGGAATACTGAACCAACTTTGGCGGCTTTACACAGCACAAAACATATGGACTGTTCACTTGCACCTTGTATACATGCAAACTCATGGCTGCATCTAAACAAGTATATTACAGTTGCTTACATGCATATGGAAGATGTGATCGTTGTTATCGTTGACCAGCCTGCGATGGAATATGAGCGGACAAAGACATTCTATCTTGTCGGAGCTAGGCTAACGTGGACGCCTGCCTAGACCACCAGTTCCTCCCGAGTTCGTACCTTCAGCGCCGTCATCGCTTCTGCCAATACTATTAGTACCAATTTCAGATGACCGCGTCTGTTGTGCCACGGAAACCGAGCCCGAGGTTGAAGCAATGTTCGGAGGAGCTATGCGCCTTGTTGAATTGGGCTGGAACTGGAAAGCTGGACTAAGGCGTGAGGTGAAACCCTGTCCTGGGTCAAACGGCAGGGCACGGGAAGACAAGTTCGAGGAAGCATTGCTACTTAGATTGGTGCTCAAATTGGATGGAGCGGAAGGAAGTTTAGAGTGATTCTGTCGACAGGCTGCAGCGGGGGTAGAATTCACCATTGCCATCGATGAGCTGCTCTGTTGAATCACTCCTGGAGGTCGGCTGGATGGAAATTGCTGTCCGACGGATGGTGCACTCAGGTCAAAACTGACTGGTCCATTATCAATCACCTCAAACGCTCCAGCATCACGTGCGACAAGCTCCACCTCTCTGATTAACTTTGCAAGTTGGTCTTCCAGCTTTGGCAAAGTATCACCAGAGAGCTTTGCTTTCTTCGCTTGCAACTTCTCCAACCGACCCGTCAACGCCGACAGCTCATTTCGCAATGCTTCCGTGCGAGTACGGTCAGAACGTAGCGCTTCTTCTGCTTCCTCCTGCGCACGCGCCGCCTCCGCCTTTACATTCGCGTGTTTCTGCGCCACTTCATCAGCCAGGGCACGTATTGCGGGGAGCGACGACTCGATTTCGCAAGCAGATTCTTCTGCATCTCGTGCGGATGCTGCAGCCTGCTTTGATGCTTCCTGTAAAGCGCGTGTCTTCTGTCGTCCGCGAAATTCCGCGGATGCATGCTTTTCTGCAGCCCGTTTGAGCATCTCAATCTCGTTCCGCTTTGCGGCATCGGCCTTGTGTGCTTCCTTTCGCGCAGCTTTCAGTTGCCCTGCTAGACCATCACGTTCAGCATTCAGTTGACTTAATTGAGCTCGTAGCTGAGACGCGTATTCGTCCTGAGTGATTGTGCGTTGGTGAGGAGTAATAGCGGAGTTAGATGATGACGATGATGGAATATTGGACGCAGCAGTCATCGCTGAGGAGGAAGAGTCTGTTGAAATGTTCGCAGAATCGTCAAATCCTGGTTGACCCGCTATAATGATATGATAATGAGCTTAACAGAAATGTACAATTGGTAAGTCAGGTAGAGATAAGTTCCGCACGTTGGGGTTGAGTGACCATCCGACTGTGTAAAACCTCCTCTCCACCATCTCCAAAAAGAATCCCTATCTCAACATCATACTGCCTCCCGGGCATGAGTCCATATAGCACCAAAACGGCCTCATCACCCTTCTCATCCATGCGCATCAGTACTCGCTTCCATGCAGCACCATTTACGTTCACAGAGAGACCCCGTCCCAATGCGTCGGACACCAACGATATTTTCGACATCCCCAGTCGAGTGGCTACGACTGAAGTTCCCTCTCCTTCTTCGTCATCGGAGTCAGGTACAGAGGAAATGCCAAGTGAAGCAAGGCTAGCGTCAACACCATCTCGAGCACATGTCGACGAAAGGACGAATGTAGTTGATACGGATGTTATTTCTCTGACAGTGAGGAGAAAGCGAGGCGACCATGGGCGAACTGTATGCCATTGTGATTGGGCAGAAACATCTGGCATCGTCCTCAGCACTGTTCCTTGCGCCGTCGTGCCGGTGGTTTGCCAGTAGTAAGTGAGCCAACAGTGCAGTGAGACCTCCTGTCCACTGGACAGGTCACGTGTATGCTTGCACGTGCAGAACAGCATCACCCAAAAAAATGAACATTTTATATATTTTTTAATTCTCTTCTTGAAACTGCAACGCGACACGTACAGATCACGTATGTAGCATAAATTACTCATCTTTAATGCCGCCTATATGGCCATCCGCTACGCCGCATGTTTATGAGCGTATAAGTCTCTGTCACACCAGGAGCTTCTTTTAAACGAAGAACATACGCGTACTAATCCGTCCTGGGCATGTTCTAAGTACCGAAAAGATATCCATGACGGCACCACATGGTCAATGACCAGTACTGTACGTAGGAACTAAGGAAGGTGCTGGTGCCGAAGTTCTTCGGAGACAGAGTTCACAATCACTGGATCAGTGTTTCAGCTAGAAGAAGGTTGGACGGGAACTATGACAGCACCGGCGGTGCTGATCAAACAGCTAGTCGGAGAGTAAGGAGCAATTGAGCTACTATCATCAGGACTGGACACATCTGTGATACGTTGTGCTGTACGGCATCCGATGGGCAGATAGGAACGTAAAGGGTGTGGAGAGGTATGGGCATACATCATCCAGGCTCCGATCATACCTAATCGTGGGTCGGTCCGCTTGCACAGATGGAACGTGAAAACACAACAGACCCAAGTGAGTTGATTGAGCGCGTATCAACCAGGGCAGATGATGAAGTAATTACAATATCGCTGAGCATCTATAGACGAGACACAAGATATATTTGGACTGACGAGGTAGAGACAGATTGCTGGTGATGTGAAGATGGATGGCAGCCGGACGCATGCGCCACGAGTATCGGACCTCACTTGCCCAAACTCACGGATTGACGGAAGCAATAACAAGGGTGCATAACCTTTTTACTGTAATTTACTCGCTATATCTCTCTTTGAGAACAATTGCAGGCCCATGGGCTGTGAAGATAAGATGCATCCTGGTTACCGTGGACAATAAGTCGCGGATAATAAACACAGGCCGTGGGATTGTGACGCTCAGCCATTTGTCATGTTGTTGCTCACTATTTGGCTAACCGACATTGCAGTCCGACACAAGTCGACTGCGAGCACATTCCAAGGACATCATAAAGGGAGGTCAAAAGGGGCAGCGGCGCATGCGGGATGAGAAGCGGGCCGCAACAACAAAGAACAGCATAGACAGATGAATGGACCGGCCGAAATGGGAGAAGGACAAAGAATAGCGGCTCGTTGTATGCAGCCTCCTGCCAAATATGGACATCCTTAAACAATAAGGCGCACCAACAAAAGCTCGGCACTCTCCTACTGCCAGTGCTAAGTACTATATAACAAACAACAATGTGCCCGCCTCCGTCCCTTTCTGCCCGCATTTGCTCCTTCGCCCTCGAGCATTCAGCTCATCACATCATCCATGATGGCTTATGGTCAGTACTACAGTAACAGCACTCTCGCAGTGGTATTCATGTCTGACCGCTCTATGCTCATTGCCCTGTAGTCGCTCATCCCTACGCCGCTGCATCCGCGAGCAGTAGCACAACCGCATCCACGATTACACGCCACAAGCGACCCACAATAACGACGCCATCCATTTCTCCAAGCTCCTTTCTGGATGCGACCTCACCCACTCGCTCTCCATCGCCGATCGTCTTTGCTCGTGCCAGCGTCGTTTTTCCACACCCCTCTGCTTCCACATGCGGCAATCATCCCGAATTCGCAACTGCACGGGAAAAGGAGAAAGAAAAGAGAGACCGAAGACGAGGTCTTATGGCAAAGGAACGCGTTGTACACGCAGGTCTAGACGCCTTGCTACGCGCACCAGAGGCTGCTCCACGCAGTGCCCCGAAGCCGCGTGCTCCACACTTAGTCCGTTCGCCGACGAGTTTCAGCGTTGCACCAGTCATTGAGCACTCAGAGTGCAGCTCCACGACACGCAAGAGCTGTGACAGTGTCAGGTCTGGACGTTCAAGTGCTGGTAGTCCCACGCCGAGTTCGGGATCTGGCTCTGCGCCCTCAACGCCTGGCCAACCCCGCACGCCTGTGTCAATCGAGTTTGACGCCGGTTATACTTATCCATCTATCCCACCTTTGACAATTTGCAAGATGAACCGCACTCCATCACCCTCCCCTCCTGTCAAGCATCTATCTTCCTACGTGCCTTCTCCAACGGCCAAGACGACAGAAAATGACCCGATTGCAAGGGCTAACAAACGGCGAAGCCGCCGATTTAGTGCACGAATGGCAACTGCTGCGCGTGTTGAACAGGTATTTGCGCCGCTCGAAATCGACACAGCTGCTGCTCGTTCTCTCGACCTGTCGCTGGAGTCACCACGGGGCAAGCCCACTCTTACAGGTGTCCTTGCAGAGCTTGAACGTGAAGCAGAGGCCATCCCGCCTGTACCAAGTCTCACTGCTGCAACTATGCCTAACAAGCAGGAAGATAATGATGCCGAGAGCGAATGGCTCGACATCGAAGATGACCCTCTTGCAGATGCCGAATTCTATCGTGCAGACATTGCCTCTCATCTCCAGCTCTTTTCCTCAAGTTACTCCTTCCCTCCTACCACGCGCAAATCGTCTTACTCGCGTCATCAGCGGAATGGCTCCTCTTCCTCGTCGGTATCGCATTGGCAGCTCCCACCTGCAAGACCGGATTCCCTTCCACCGCCGCCTCATTTCCTTCCCTCTTTACCTGAGCCTGCCACTGACTTTGCTGCGCCTGTTCTATCATCCGAACAAACACAATACTCATCTCTCCGGCGAGCTTCGGCCTCATCTCTTGCATCAACTAATTCTGGGCGTTCTGTGCGATCGACGGGTTCCGCATCTGGTAAATCCAAACGACGTGGTTCAAGAAACTCGAGGCATTCAATTGCACGTCGGAGTGCTGCAGTAGGAATTGGTCGTCGGCGGAATAGTGGTATTCTTGGCGGAACTAGGCCTTCAAGGACGACCAAGGAGAAGCAGCAAAGACGACCTGGTCCGAGTGCATTGCTCGATCCGACATTTATGGAGGTTGAGGAGACTGTCGAATGTACAAGGCCACCTCCAAGGTTTTCGATGCCAGTAAGCATTGACGACGACGTTTTCGACGATGATGTTGCCGTTATCGGTACGAGAGCCAATAATGGAATGGGGAAACTGGTCGAAGAAGACGAAGACGATGATTATTTACTTGATCCGTTTCTCCTTGACAAGTTTCCAGTCATTAACGCCTCCAGCTCCGCGCCTCAGGAAGAAGTAGTTGATCCATTCACCATGCCAATACGGACTGCAGATGTTCCCATCTCCCCTTCGTCCTTCTCACCTCTCTCGCCTAGTCCTCAATCCCATCTTGAGCCTCAACCATTCCTCCTTGTCCCCGACTCGCCAAGTGCTCCATCTTTCCCAAAAAGCGGGTCTTCAACAGGTACCTTCGACGCTGAATCGCTTTATTCTTCCTACGCCGCCATGTCCCCTCCTCCGTCGACGGATTATTCAGGTGCTTCAGATTCAAGTAGCATTCGAAAAACCAGTGCATCAAGCATTTACTGCGATGCATCTGGTCGACCTCTGCAATCCCGTTGGTCTGTCAGCACGTTCGCATCCACCGTTCCTGCCACAGCTTCCTCCTCTCGCTCCTTCTTCCCAAAACTCACGACTGTCCCGTCTCGTCTCTCAGCGCGTCTCAAGGCAGCTCGTGAACGTGCCATGCAGCAAGCCCGAGAACGTGAAGAACGAGAAAAGGAGAAGCCAGCAGTTGTTCGTCCTTATCCGTTCTTCCCTACACCTCAGCCCGTCGAGCCAAAGAGGAAGGCGCCCGGCCCGTATGTGCCCAAGCCGGAGCTTATGCCAGCCTCGCAGAGGGCGAAGCTGGCGACGGAGTCATCTAATGCTAGTACGGTTACAAGCTTGCGTTCACCAAGGACCTCGAGCTCCAGAGGTTCGTCACGGAATAGTTCCGAGACGGATGGCACATGCGTGCCGTCCCCGCCTCCCAAAGATAGACCCGATGGCAAGGAGAGAGTAAAATATGTCGAAAGCCCAGCATACAAAACGCAATTCGCACAATACCACACACACAAGCACTCCCCTGCCCATGCCGCTCATGCTACACCGTCTCCATCGCGTTCCGTGAAGTCTAGGAACGGTTCAACGGACTCGCTTTCGGCATTCCCTTTTACGTTAGGTGGTGAACGACTTAGCTTGTCTGGTTCCAGAGCAAGTTCCGAGGCGACGCGAGAGCGGACGATTAGTGGTGGGAGCGATACGAGCTCGGGTTTACGGAGAAAACCCATTCCTGTAGAGCTCTTCTCGCGAGCGTGAAAGTCTCACTCATCCCACTCTCCTATCTGGAAAGACTTCCTCATTTGTTCTTGATTCACGAGTATTTCTATTCAGTACTATATTCGTCCTTTAAATCCAGACCACTTTGTAGCATTTGTACCAATTTTTTCACTTGCAAACATTATATATTTTTACTGGCATTTCGATCTCTTGAATTGACTTTTGTTTCACAATCACAAATTTTCATTGGGTGGTCAAGTCATTAGTATTGTAAATACCTACAACATGATCGTAATGATACACACGAGGCCGCATTCATTAACGACAAAATCACAGCAATTATCTCAAACAGCCTGTTTTGCAGTGCTATGCAACCAAACCTATTCATCCTTATTTTCAAATCGAGTTACCTTGATTTTCGTATGCTAACTAACGCTGTGTGATTCATCAAACGACCCTAATAGAAACGATGAATAAGAATAATGCTTGCTTTTCTCAGCACGTTTTGTCTACAGATAATCAAATCTGAATTTGTAGGAATGACCCAAATTTGAAAACGGGCCAGTTCTGAACTTGACTACTAATTAGGATGTTTTGTAATTCATTCTTGTTTCTTGTTTCAATGTTTCTTTGTATTTCTATAAGCGGCCAAGTTGTTTTGACCAACGAAGTGGCAGAAGTAACCAAGTTCTACAAGATACATTTTAAATTACCACTTGTACATGGCACCTTATTCTTTTCCTATATTTGAATAAATTTTTATGCACCACTCCTCCCAACTGCACGCACACGTGTGCCTTCCTGCAGGCGTATGCTCGGCAGCTTCTCATCTGAATCGTCCGCGGATGGCACGGGCAAGAATCCCGACTCTACCAACCAGGCAAGGTACATGCCCATTAATCCACCATCCACTGTAACATTCTCTTTTGCTCCTCTACTCTTCAATAATGCACGTGTATTTTCATCGCTTAGCTCCGGTGCCTTCGTGCTCGTTGGTAGGTCGTCAAGTACGAAATGCAGAAGCGGGAATAAAGCGTTGTCCTGTGATGCAAGGACGTGTTGCTCAAGTCGTCGCCTCCAGACCAGGTATTCGCATTGAGAGACGGCATAGCCATACCGGCGAAGAGATGAGAAAAGCGTATTGTACGTTGGCGGAGGGCGGGCAGTGACATGTAAAACCGGAATGCCGTGCTTTTCGACCGTAGAAGGGGACACAGCAGCTGCGGATATGATGTACGCAACATGGTCTACTGGGACCATGTTGATGGCGTTGTTTATATCTGGCACGAGCCCAAGCTGGATGCAGCCTTTAACCAGTCTCCAAATAAAATCGTCCGTATTGGTAACTAAGCACAGTTAGAAACGAATTAAATCTCACGTTTCCCGTATTTTAAAGTCGACGTACCAGCAGACTGTGAATCTCCGACAACATATCCGGGACGCACAATAGACCCTCTGAGACCCCTCCTTCCTGCTTCATTCAAGAGCTTCTCAGACACCCACTTTGTCTGTCCATACCCGCTCTTCAAACCTGTTTGTGACCCATCGAGGTTGTCGCTCTCTGGCACACCCCCGCCACCACCAGTACGCGACGATTGGTCAGAAAGTTGGACGTAATGCGAGCATTCAAGCACTGCCGTGGATGACACAAACACAAGGGCCTTCGACTTTTGTCCTGTGGAAGCGAGGTCGATAGCTGTTAAGGTGGAGAGCACATTTGCGGAGCGAAGCTTCTCATATGGGTAGACCCAGTGAACCTATCCAGAACAAGTTACACGTTAGTAAGTTTTGGTAAGTCGCGAGTTGCAATTAATATGGGGCCGTACCAAAGCGCCGTTATGCACGACGACGTCCACTTCGTTCGAAATGCGTTCCCATGTTGCATCGTCCAAACCAAACCTCTCACTTGCAAGGTCGCCGTTAACGACTTCCAAACGCTTTGTCTCTAACCATCTCTCATCCCATACACCGCGATCACCCGCGCCCTCTTTGAGCCGCTCCAATCCTTTCTCTCGTGATGTTGCGCGAACATGACAGATTACCTTCTGCACACACTGATGTGACAGTAAGTCGCGCAGAATGAATGCTCCGAGAAAGCCGGTTGCGCCAGTTAAGAAAACCGTCAACATTGACGACGATGGGGATAGCGCGTCATACTTCCCCCTGAGGCGTGGAATCAGGGTCTCGAGGTCCTTCGCGTATTCAACTACCTGCGCGCGTTTCTTGGGAATACCAGGAACATTCAGCAGGTTCCCATCCTGCCTCGTAAGAGCTGTCGTGCTTCCCTTGTCCTGGTAAGCCAAACCTAAATCGGAGTTGCGCAAAGCATCGAGCTCGGAAGCTTGCTCTCTGATTGTCGGATGGTCAAAAACAAGACTTAGAGGAGCGTCGACGACGAAAGCCTTTCTAAGCTCAAAGATGAGCCTCGTTGCGAGTATGGAGTGTCCACCGAGGTCAAAGAAGCTTTCATCCAGTGCAATTGGCTGCTGCATTGTAGTGAGAATGGTGCCCCAGATAGTCTGGATATGCCTTTCTGTCGCAGTCAACGCGCCGGCTTGTTCAACATTGGGGCGTATGTCAGACGTGGCAGCTTCAGCAGTATCCGGGAAGGGAAGCGCCGGTTTATCAATTTTGCCGTTCGGGTTCAGAGGCATGCGCTTCAAGGGTACAAAGACTAAGAACATCAACAGATGCAACGAAAATTAAGTGAGAAAGCAGATTTCAAAGCGGAATGGGAATTGCAAACCTGTAGGCACGCTATAACTCGGGAGCTTCCTCTTCAGGTGTTCCCTAATGTCTTTTATGAGTCGACGATAACGCCTTATACCAGAGAACAAAGCACGGTCTCCCTCCGCATCTGGCACATCGCTGGCGTATTCATCAAGTGCAGTACCTTCCAGCGGTACGAAGTAGCTAACGAGCGTCTTCTCCTCATTCTTGTCGCGCCTGACAAGCGTGACGTTTTCGCGTATGAGAGGATGCTGACTTAAATGAGTATCAATTTCGCCCAATTCAATGCGGAAACCGCGAATTTTGACTTGATCATCTGCTCTACCAGTGCATTCGACAATGCCGTCAGGTAGATACCGGCCCAAGTCACCAGATCGATACATACGGTCGCGTACACCCTTCCAGTAGCGTGATTCCGGTCCTGCAAGGCCTTTGGGTGGATGTAAAATCGTGTCCGGCCAAGTTCCAGAAGCGAACCAGTTCGTAACAAACTTTTGTGCCGTCGCCTCCGGATCGGAATAACCCTCCGCCAGACCACCTGAACGGACGTAGATCTCACCAACTTCACCTATCGCGCACGGGATGCTACGGTCATTGCGATTAACAACGAGTAATTGAACGTCGACCATGCCTTCTCCAGCGGGCATAATGTCTTTCTGTGTTGCGAGGAAGGTTGGGTCTTCTGAGACGCTTGGGATGAGGAAATACGACACAGCTCGTTGCGTCTCCGTTGTACCGTACATATTGATGATACGCACGTGCGGTGCGAGACCCTGCAGGCGGTGACAGTCGCGCTTCGTGAGTACATCACCAACAAAAAATGCTGCACGAAGAGAAGGTATTTGACGTGTCGCCTGTGCAGAAAGAAGCTGACCCATAGCAGGTGTGAGATGCGTTACAGTCACTTGACTGTCCGCCATCCACTCTGCGAGGCGTCCTGGTGTTCCAATATCCTCAGCCGTAGGTACGTGAAGGGATGCACCGAGGAATAAAGGCGTAAACACTGTGATATTATGAGAAGATGATTACGACTGGGTGATTACAACATACTGTCTCGTTGAATAGGATCGTGGGCAATCCCACTTAGCATTGTAAAGCGAGATTTCTCATCCAATTCAAAACGTTCGCCCATCCAAGGGAAAAAATGCGTAAGGCTGTAGTGTCTTCCGCGAACACCCTTTGGAATGCCGGTGCTGCCTGTTGTAAAAGATAATGTTCCAATACTATCGGGGCCAATAACGACATTTGGGTCTGTGTCAGCAAGGTGTATGTGTGCTTTCAAGACATCCTCCGTGGAACCCGGCGCTTCGCCTCCGGCTATAGAACCATCTGGAAGGAGCTCCAAAGCAGGAACTTCGACACGAATATTTGCTTCCTCCGAGATGAATTTACGGACAGATGGATTAATGATCCCTGCACCCTTGAGTACAACCAATGCTCTTGGTTTGGCCACCTCCAGGTAGATTGTTTGTCGAGAAGGTGGATACGCAGGGTCAATCACGGAGAATGTCGCACCGGCTTTAAGAACGGCCATAACTGCTACAACAAGGTCAACACTGCGATGCGCGTATACCATGACCACTTCCTCTCGTTTTACGCCACCCTGAAGGAGATGGTGAGCAAGGATGTTAGCTGCACGGCGGATCGTCGCGTAGGTGTACACGATCTTGTCGCGAGTCGGCGTGTACTGAACGACACACGGGCGTTCAGGATGCATGCGTGCATTTCGAGAGAACACGTCGGTTATTGCGCCTTTAAAGTCGCACCAGTGCAAGTCTGCTGTCGGGTCGGGAAGACGCGACCGTTGTGGAGGAGTAAGAAGCGGAATACTCCCTACGGCGGCAATGGGTGATGAACCCAACTTGCGCAAGAGCACAGAAAGCTGATCTATGATGCACTCTATCCGAGAAGGAGTAAAAAGTAGCGAGTTGTATAATATTCTTAGAGAGATGCGCGGAGCCAGCGATGCGTGAGACGAAGAAATTGCTGGGCGAATGACGGAGATGGTCAAATCAGAGATTAAACTCGTCGAACGTACAAACTCATCGTGAGGCGAATCTGTCTCGTCGAAGAATCGGACTCGAAACAAAGGCCTGTTGTCTTCAGTCTTAAGCGCCTCTGCTATCGTTGAGAATGGGACGGAGTCATCCTCAGCCTCTTTTTCCACCTGCTGCACACGCCTTACAATCGCCCAGAAAGGATCTGTAGGGTCTACTGATAACCTGAGTAGCAAGGGGTCACTCGCAGATGCCGAGGACGAGGCAATAACGATATCAGTATCGCCGGTGTATCTATGCAGCAGTACGGTAAATGCTGCTAGTAAAAGCTGGAAAAGCGATGGTCGATTTTTCAAGGCCAGATCATCATCGTCGTCCTTCTCGCTATCCTCCTCATACAATGCGAGTTTCAATAGAGATAGCGATACCTGTTCCGAGAGCTCAACCGTCTGGACAGCTTCGACGACTTTACTCGTTCCAGAGGGCCTTGGGTAGTCGGTCGGCAAAGCGATTGCAGGAAGATTCCGCAGTCTTGACAGAACACGCTGCAGACGAGCGTCACCCATACTCGCCAGAGCCAGCGAAAGTGACCACAGAGGTGTACGGCGCCAACACGTACTTTGAATTCATTTTGATGACCCAAAATATTCGGGCGATCGCCTTTTTGACTCTTTTTTTTTTTTCTTTTTCCTTTTCCCTTTTTGCGCCCATTCTCCTGTCACGGGACCAAGACGCGCCACGATGCGGCATCTGTTTGTACTACAGGTGTGTGGCAAAAGTGTTCGTCTTTCCTCAATAGGTAGGTACATTATTAATCGATTTGTGTTACCTATTTGAGCTGTCGGAGACGCGTCAAACCTTCGTCTCGTGTCTCTGACTTGCGTGAACACAATATACCTACAAAAAAACATAAACATTAATTTTTGTAAAGTATATACTTAAAACTTGAATACATTAATTAAAATTATAGTTGTCTATAGCTTGTTTAGAATGAAAAAAAATGAAAAAAATGACTTTAGTAACCAGTGTTTCCTCCACAAGCAATAACAACTGCATCAACCCTCTTTGGCATGGATTCAATCTGTTTATTAATTTGATCCAATGTAAGATTATCCCAAGCTTCCCTAGCCATTTCCTTCAATTCCTCCTTAGATGTTGGTGTCCTTTGTTGACCTTGAAAAATGTTCTTCCAATCAAACCAGACTGGTTCAATAGGATTGACATCAGGTGAAATGGGTAGATTATCAATTTGAGGAATATTGTTCTCCTGCAAGCATTGCTTTGTAACTCAGGCTGTGTGGCATCTAGCATTATCCTGTTGGAATAAGAGGCCAGGACGTTTGATTTGAAGCCAATTGAAGATTGGAATAAGGACAGGTAGCAAAACTTGCTCTTTGTACCTTTGTACAGTCATTCCTCCTCCTCTCCCTCCAGGATAATCAAGAATAACAAGAGGACCTTTGAAGTTATGAGCAATACATCCCCAAACCATTATCCTAACTGGATTCTGGTATGGCTTTTCAAGAATGCATGATCTTTTATAAACTTTATGTGGTTTTCTGGTCACCCAAACATTTCCAATGTTTCTATCCACACAAAGGTAGGATTCATCAGAAAAAACCACATTAACCCACTCCTGAACCCTCCAGTAATGATGGTGTCCTGCCCAAATAAGGGCCTGTTCAGTGCACACATTGCACTAGATCACAATCCTGTAAGATTGTGATGTACACAAGTGCACATTATGATGTCAACCATAGGAATATCTTGTACTTTTTTCTCACAGTTAGCATTTGAGTCGTCACTGATTGCTCACTTTTTGTGAATGGCAAGATAAGTATATTACAATGCTCATAAAAATAAAATAAAGCCTGATTCTGAAAGGCCCCTACAACTACATTATTTTTGAGATTTTTTGAGATTTTTTTTGTAGTGTGGTGTGTGCTGAGTGGATGAAAAACAAAATGAGATACTGCAATCTCATTATGAAAAATGGGTCTGAGCTGTTTTTCATTTTTGGCAGGAGAAGGGCAATGCATTGTGAGATACTGTTTTGAGATTGTGTGCACTGAACAGCTTGTAGACTGTGACGTGACACACCACAATCTTGCAAGATTGCACTCTCTTTTTTGGCAGGAGTATCTTGCAACATCATGCGCACTGAACAGGCCCTAAGTCTCCTTGCCTCCTGAATTGCATTTCTCTGCAAACATCTCCTAACTCATCTTCTGTAATAACCATCCTTTGCCAACTCCCTCCTAACTGTTTCCCTACTGATTCCTATGTGGTTTGCAAGGTTTTTAAGAGGCATGAACCTGTGAGTAGTAGCCAAATGAATGAGAAGCTTGTGTATGATTCCATCAAGGAGTTTTGGATGTCCAGAATGTGGTTTGTTAGAGGTAGACTCGGTTTCCTTCCATTTCTTCCATATTGATTGAGCAGTGGTACAGGGGATCTCCAGAACTGCAGCAGCATGACAGATTTTTGCTCCAAGACATATAGCACCAATGAGTTGATTTTTTTTGGGTGAGCTGAGTTGAATACAAGCCATTTTGTTTAAATTGAGCAAAATTCTTTATTTTTTTTGTGCTTCGCAACATGCAGATCGCGCGTCACGAAGCTTTGATCTACCGTCATGGACCGGTCCTTGTAACACTACATTTTAATTCTGAATCTACTTCATTTTCACACCTTTTAACCTCAAACAAAAAATACTAGATGAAAATAAATACTGTTTAACATTACTCTACAAATTTCTGTGACAAATAAATGAGAAATAAATTAGATATAAAGGATAGATGTTTTGTGCCCAAAAGAGCACGTCACTATTCCTTGTAACAGCCATTTTCCCACGATGTACACACAAGTAATCTACCTTGTCTGCATTATTTTTAAAGTCATTAAAGCAATATAATATTTGTATTGGACTTCTATATTAGTATACTCAGATATTTAAGTCAATATTTTAACTGTGTGGCCCTTGGTAATGAGTGTATCTCTTGACTGAATATTGCTCAGTACAGTCATGTGACTAAAATAAACTGTGATTTGTACTTTTTAATTTTTATAAATTGCAAATCTTAATGAAATTGTCTAAAAATTTGTATGTATACTTATTTTAACATAACAGATAGTCTTGTATTTTTTAGTTGAAGTTGTGTTGTAGGAGGAGCCATGACTATCACTGGAAAATCTGAGCATTTTCTTGATTATCTAGTTTTTACCCTTATTTTCAACATAGCTCAACAAATTCTAATATGTTTGCCACAATTTTTTTACATACACTAGGAAGATATAATAGAAATTCATTTATATATTTTTTGAGGTAAAATTGTTGTGAGTAGTGGCACTATGTATAGGGTGTTACAAGGAATGGTGGTGTTACAAGGACCGGTCCATGACGGTACCTCTAATTTCTACATAAGGTATGCTAATCACTTACAAATGGCCTTACCTTTTGAGGAAAGACGAACACTTTTGCCACATACCTGTAGTTACGTATTGCTGCTTGCCAGGCTGATAAATAACCTAAATTCAATGTCAGAAATAGACGCAGACATCATTGCAACTTTCCACCAGCAGTGCTTGCAGCTAATATTTAACTGTTCACTCTAATCCCGGTACAGAGCATTTGGGCCAATCTTTGCTGCACAAAAAACATTTGACTTGGTTTAGGTGTGATTGTGACATCAAGTCACACTATGTGACCAGAAGGGTGACATCATTGTGGCAATGATGCTAAAGTGCTACTACAGCAGACCACTACTTAGTGACTACTATGTTCATGACTTCAACCATCTCTTCGTTGCGATCCTCGCATCCACGCTCGTGGATTTGATTCCCCTCAACTGCCACACAATTCTGGAGCATTTCTTCTTGTTGCTGCAGACCTTCCTCAGTTCAACTTCCTCTAGCTATTAGTAGCTAAAGGCCACAATCACATACCTGCGTTATGGCAAATTTTGTGCGCCGAATTGTGTCAGGAAACAAGGCTCGCTTCAAAGATAAACAATTGGATATGGAACTCGACCTAATCTATCTAACTGACCACATCATTGTAATGGGATTCCCAGCCACCGGCGTGGAGGGCTTGTATAGAAACCGCAGAGAAGATACCAAGAAGTTCCTCGACCATCGACATGGAAAGAACTATTGGGTATTCAACTTCTGTCCACTCCGGGAGAACTCCTATCCTGCTAGCTTCTTTGAAGGCCGAGTAAGTCGTTATCCTTTCCCTGACCACCAGTGAGTGCTGCTTTCAATTAGCGGGATTGGTAAATATGACTAACTGAGTTGCAGCGCGCCTCCTTTGGCCATTTTCCCCCTTTTCGTTCGTGAAGCTCGGGAATGGCTCTCCGCATCGAAGGATAATGTTGCCGTTTTGCATTGCAAGGGTATGTCAAAAACATTATTATGCCTTGAGAATGTGCACGATTAACCTCTGTGTTTAGCTGGAAAGGGGAGGTCAGGCACACTCGCATGCGCGTATCTTCTCTCCCTCGATGAAACACCCTCGCCTCCAAAGCTCCAGCGTAGCATGACCAAGAAAGAATGGGCAAAGAATCGGGCTGAACGAGTAATGGAGACGGTTGAAATCGATGAGATGGACGAAGTGCTCGTACAGGAGGATACGAGCGTCCCCTCGGGAAGGGATGCGTCCAAACCCATGTCTGAATATGTCGGTGAAATCACACTGCCTTCAACCTTAGAACCAGAGGCCGAAAATCCAGAGCCGAGGAATAAAGGCAATGGCGGTGATGGTAACGCTGCAGCCACGATCATCGGAAAACCGAAAACCGAGACACCCACAAGTCTAAGTCCTCGTGGTGGATCTATCGCAGACAATATTGACCACGATGGTATGCAAGATGTGAAAGACAGGTCGAAGGCTAGACCCTTTACACTTGAGGATGTACTTGCTCTCCACACAGCAAGGCGTATGAAGTCACCTTCCTCGCCGGATAAGAAAGTCAAACATGGCGTTTCCATCCCAAGTCAGAGACGTTGGTTGAATTACTGGTCGTTACTTCTTGCAAACGAGGCACCGTCAGCCTTCTGGCAGTCACCTCTTCCACGAGTGCGCTTACGTGAAATACACGTACAAATTCGCGACTTGGGCGGACTGAAAATGAACCTTCTCAAAATTGCGAACCACATAATTGAGAAGACAGGTTCTGCAAAGTACGGCGTTCACGAACATGGTCAAGGCCCTATATGGGTTTCACTCGCGCGGTACAATGACGAACTTGTTGAACTTTTAGAGAGGTGGGAGCATCATACGAGGGCCGAGGATGGGAATATGGGTAAAAGACGGCTTGGAACGGAGTACATGGCCGGAACTGCATTGCGCGAGATTTTTACAGACGGCAAATGGGACAAGAGTAAAATGATCAGAAGTTTTGCACGCCTCGGTGCTTCTGACAGTAAGCGGCCAGAGGTAGGTGCTTGCCTATTTGCTCCACTTAGTCATAGCTAATCATGTATGCATTTATTGTTATCTGACGGCTTCAAGGGCGGGAATGTGGTGAGCTATAAGTTACAACCGCTTGCAGACCAGACGTGGGAAGCCCTCCAAGAGGAAATGCAAGAGTCTGACAGAGGTCCAGATCTTGACCCCGAAATGCGTCAATCCCTCTCAGCGGCAGAGTCAAGAGCGAAAGAAATAACAATGTCAGCCAAAAGCTCCGTCACCGACTTTGCGCATATAATAGACGATACAAATACGGAAAAGGGAGTGATATTGGATGCCGCTCGGGAGGTTCGCGCTAAACTCTACATGGGCCAAGTCTTCATGGGGTGGTTTTGGTTCATCCCAGCCTTCCACATGCCTCCACCTCCTGTAGACTCGAAGCAACGATCCTTGCCGCCTACCGTGACAAACTTCGTACTTTCGCGTAAAGAGATTGATTTCCCTATCGGTGCGGGTGCCGCACTGGTCGACATCGATGTCGCTCTAGAATGGGTTATACCGGACCTGGATCCGGTAGCCGCTAGTCGTGGTCCGCCGAAGACACAGACTAGCGGAGATTCTGCCAAAGGTACAGGCGGGGAACCCGGCGGTCCTGGTGGTATCGCTGGTAGTGTTGTTGCTGGTGTACGAGCTGTTGTCTCAGATTCTACCGGAAGGGAAGTGGTTGAGGCACTCGAGGCGGGTGAACAGTAACAGGCAATAGATTGTGGTCATTTATTGTACCTTATGATACCCCTCAAAGCTAAAGGCATCATAAATAATGACGTTTCAAGATTCCTCCTGGTAATCGCATGTTGACCTTGTTGCATCTATGCTCTATTGAACGGTCCGAAGGAATATATTTCTGCCGTGTTGTCACACAAGGCAATACGTTCGTCTGAATTTGTGTCGCGTTCAGCCAGAGGGAAGAATACAGGCACCGCTCGCGCACCGTAAGTGGTGAAATTATGCTTTGCGGTTGTTTCATCGACACGCGTTCCGCGTTTTTAAATTCCCCAAGTCCCAGGACATTGGTGTACAATTTGTAAAATTAAAGAACAAATTGTTCCTCATGCCGGATGGATGTTTTTTTTTCTAGTGGAAGGTGTCCGATATCGGCCAGAGGAACAATTCGACGGAGAACTTGAAATTGAGGGCGGGAGTTATTGAGAATGGTTACATAATCGAGCCAGTGACGGAGCGAAAAGCAAATTTCGGAAACAGATCTGACCTAGCGTGAAGGGCAAAGGTCCGAGATGTGAACTCTGTTTCCGTATCTGGGCGCGCGGAGATCCTCTGCTTGCTTCAGCGTGGATCGACCTCTGATTAGCTTTGCTCTGGCGGCCTTCTCTTCTTCATCGAGGCTTCTCTATCACCTTCACAACTGTGCCTACTGCAGTGCATGTGAGTGCGTATTCCTACGCAATTCCAGTAAAGTTCATCGAGTACGCGTCTTTTCGAGTTAGAGTTAAGTTTCCGGGTGAACAGAACTATATTCTACCACGCGGAAAGCCTTAGCCGATTACATAGTGCTAATACTTATCGCGATTCAATCCTGCCGTTTAGCACCCCTGTTTGTCAGGTCCATGTTACTTAGGTGAACACAGGCTATATATATGTATAATCAGAACTTCCGAAAGACTCGGGTTGCGCCAAATAGACGAATATAGGCGACGGAAGAAGCAACTTTTCAAATTCTCAGGTGAAAATGTCGAAACACGGGGGTATGGGAGATTGGAATGTCTTGGCCGCAGCCAATAACCGATCCGTCGGCAAAGGGACCATAGGAATCAGATCCCTGATTCCATCAAAACCACATTTGCCTCTTTACCAAACTTGAACCGGTCAGGGTAGAATGGGTTACTGTTCTTCTCGTACCTCCAAGGGCTCTCTTGGTACAGCCGTAAAAGTGCGCCCTGCCTTACCTTCTTCGCGAGTTTTGCTGACCAGCATTTCTGATGCCGAAGTCGGTGTTATTCTCTCACCTATATTAAAGTCCTTTTTGCAATAATGGCAGCGTACACTGGTCCATTACGCTCTCGCGCGATGTCCTTCCCTACGAAGCCAGTCCTTAAAGATCTTTTTCGTCGACGTGCTTCCGTGTCTCTTGATTTTCTCGTCGTTGGAGGCAGTATCGCAGGTCTCGCCTGTGCGTACAATCTAAAACAAGCTGGGCATAATGTACGCGTATTAGAGCGGTCTAATGGTCCAGGGAACGTACGTACCAATTCACTTGAAACGTGCATCATAGATTGAGACGTTTTGCCTTGCATGTGCGCTATGTCCTCGTGTATTGATTCAACAGGTATCTGGAGGCATCCGAGTTCCGCCAAATATGACGAAACTTCTTATGCATTGGGGATTGGGTGACAGATTGATCAAGACTGGTGTGCGGTGTCCCTACATAGAGTTCCTCGAAAGTATGTGTTTTCGCAATCGGCCGCCTGATTCAGTCTTTCTTACCGCCGGTACCAGGCGATACCGGATCGTTCCTTAGTTCTCTGGTGTTTCACGAAGAAGTGATGAGAGAGCTTCAAGCTGACATGTATGGATTGACAGTGAGTACAAAAATAGCTGGCGATCATCTCGACACGGCACTCATCCGACGCCCCGATCAACAGTATTCGGATCTTTATTCAATGATATATGACATCACGGTTGCATCGGGAGTTAATGTAGAGTACAACGGCGAGGTGGTAGATGTGGACGTGGACAAGCCAAGTGTTACATTGGCATCAGGGCGGAAGTTACGTGCGGACATTATTGTCGGTGCAGATGGAGCAACAAGTATAGTGCGCGAGAAATTGGTTGGACGTAAAGAAAACCATAGACCAGGGCCGTTAAACGGCTATACGTGAGTGCTTGAACAGCATGTGGTTTGTGTCGTTTGATCCTTAGATCTGTTCAAGATATACTGTCCCTGTCAGTAAGATGATGGAAGACCCCGAACTTAGGCCACTAGCGGAGAACAAGGGAGTGGTACGTCCCCGGTGTTGTGTAGCCCTTAGTAGCTCATAACTAACCATTATTAGTGGATAGTTTGGATGGGAAATAATACCTGCGTCTTGACATTTTTGGTTGTAAGTTTATCAACTTTATCGGAGATGAAGATTGACATACACACATCTCTAAAGCGACCAGACGAGTATGCGATTCAACTGATTCATCCCACTAAGAATGCCAGGCATGACTGGTATAAGCTAACGAATATGGCGGCAATTGTGGGTAAATTTGATGACTATGAGCCAAGGTGAGATTCTTATAATTCGCCTTGCTATCTGTTAGCGTTGGACTCGTTTTGACAAGACTATTACTACCTGGCAGAGTGAGACGTCTTTTGCGGCTTGCAACGCAAGGTGTCGAAACACGGCATATCATACAAGAACCGCTGGAAGATTGGTACAGTGAAAATGGCCATGTGGTAGTCCTTGGGGATGCAGCCCATGTATTGAACGTACGCTTTTACGCTCCAATTTTTTTTCGTTTAGTTGGGCCCTTAGATTTCTTTCTCAACTAGCCTGGAACGAGCCATGGTTCTTCACTGGCTGTGGAAGATGCCGCAGTTCTCGGTTCTCTCTTCTCTCGGTTGCGTACACGTAGCTCACGCGAAATTCTGCGATTGCTGGCTGCGTACCAAGAAATTCGAGAGGACCGCTGTATCGAAGTCACGAGAACCGAGTACGAAACTTGTGCATTTTCAGTTCTGCCCAGGGGGGATCCTAGACGCGAAGAGCGAGATCTTGGATTTGCTGCCTCACGGGATATGAAGGTTCTCGATTGGGAAAATCTCGACGACCCGTTCCTACAACGCATTTGGGAGCAATTCAAGGGTTCTTTCGGCTACGAGGCGTACGATGCCGCGGATGATTGGTGGGTAGATTGGGGTATTATGCAAGAACGGATGGCTGCATCATCAATGGCTGTTATCGAGAGCTACGAGTCCTCGCAGAACGGCGAAGGCACGGATCTATACAACTAATGTTCGCTTCTTTTTAGACACTACGTCCTTCCTCGCTTTTTTATATATCCTTCTTGCTCAATCGATGACTTTTGAGTGTTGCTGTCATCTCTGGGCACAATCTTCGTTCCTCAGCCTAAATTGGTTACCGTTCTTTACCAAATTCGTAGACTTCCTTTAACTCTTTATATTTCGTGTACAACTCGGAAATTTCTGCTTAGTCGTGTTTAGTATAATAGCCGGTCAACTGTTCTTTCATTTATTCTCGGAATTAGGGGAAGCAATCTTAGACGATGGTCTACTTTGGATAGCATGAGTTGGGAGCTTCGGCCTGGCCACCCCCGGATCTTCAGTTTTTCAGGTAACAAGAACACTAATTGATACGTTATGTCATTAAACGTCAAGCGGAGGTTGCAATACATTGAGACAGCAAAGTAACATAGAGAACAGATCTCATAAGGATGCCAAGTACAGTACAGCGTTGAACAATCTCGTGCAGTTGTCGTGCTGTTCCTACGAGCCAGTTGATCTAGACAAATTGGGCGGAGGCGGCAGCTTGACGAATTAAGGCTTCCGCCTGGGCAGAGCGTGGAGTGATGGAACATGGGAACGGCTCAGGATGCCTAAGAACAAGATGATTAGTACGAACTCGGCAAAAGTACACATGCGGTCTAAACGCACGAAATGACACCAGAACCAGCATTAAGAGAGACAGGAATGGGCATCCCAGCCTTATCCTTTGCATTCGTGATGTTGAAACAGTGCAAAACGAGTGCTATTGTAATGAATATCGTATTCTCAGCGAAGTGCCATCCGGCGCAAATCCTTGGATGAGATCAGTGGAGAACTAGACCACTCGGTTACTTAAAAATAAGTACGCACCTTCTGCCATAACCAAAAGCGAACTTTGACGGGTCCGTGGCGCCGGAAAAATCGAGTTTGCCTTCTGAATTAATAAAACGTTCCGGCTTGAACTCCATAGGGTCTGGGTAGAGTGCCGGGTCATGCGTAATATTCCTGGTGTAAGCAGCAGCTTCAGAAATTGTTTCGCAGTTACAACACCAATGCAACATTACCAAGTATTGCCGATAACAATGGATCCTGCTGGGATATGATAACCATTATATACGTCATCTTCTCTGAGGGTATGCGGGAGTGCTGAAGATCGCGTGTGAGTATCTTTGTAGATAATATAGACAGAAGACATCCGAACCCTGCGGAGCTACTGTATGCCATCGTATTGTCTCCTTCATGATGGCTGAAATATATGGGAGATCATTGCGATCAGCGAACGTAGGGAGCCTCGAAGTTCCAACGACTGCTGCAAGCTCTTCCTGAGCTTTCTTTTGAATTTCCGGGTGAATAACCATTGCGAGAACGAATGCAGTGAGCGTTGCGACGGACTAATCAATAGCCAAGTATTAGTATTTGATCATTGGCAGAGCTTTGAGAAGTGATCGTACAGTGTCGGATCCCGCTACAAGTTCAAGGTCGTACATCAATGGTCGAAAGTGTAGTCATAAACTTCAGGCTTACCTCCGTATGCGACAGCCGCACAATCTTGAATCATCAGTTCAGCGTCTTTCTCGTCATAGCCGTTTTCCTCTAGCTCATCAGCGACAAAGGACGGAAAAGGTGGCGCTTTGCCGTCGGCCTAAGAATCGAAGAATCATTAGTGCCAAAGAATTCAGACCCACAGTCCAAATTACCAATTGGTTCTTGCTCGCAAGAAAAGGAATGAACCTAAGCCTTCGAACTTCCGCAGCCCAGCCCTGAGCAACACGCTGATAATGCGCTCCAGGGAACCACGTTGGTACTTTCTTCACTAAAGGCACAGTCGTCGTCAGCATGGACATTCAACTTAATTATAAAGTCAGGTGGCTGGAGCTCACGGATCGGAAACGCGTCTACCAGGTATGCCCCAGCTCGTGCAGCATCAGAAACTGAGTCCATCACGGCTTGGGCAATTTGAATATATGGATGCTGTCTTGAATCTACAAAAATACCGTATGTCGACATCATGATAATCTGACCCGCATGGCTGTCAGAGAAACAAATTTAGCTTGCTGTTCTGTGAGCTCAACAAATTACTAACTTACAGGCGAAGATGATCTATGAAGTCCTCTGGAGTATCCAAAAACCGCTGTAGCAATAGGCCCGAGACACGCTCATGGATTGGATTGAAGATATGAGCAGCGCTAGCTCCGAACTTGCCCACAAACATGCGTCTATACTTTCTCCACTCCTCTCCATAGGGCATAAAACCGAAGTTCCATTCAAAGTCTAGTCTATTAACTTCGCTCAATTATCATACGAAGAAAAGGATACGGATACTTACAATTCTGTGAGTAATGGTAAGCGAGGTTTATCAGAATAGATAGAACCCCTCTTGTCGAACAGGTCGTTCACAACTTTGGCAGAATTGAGGAAAATAAAGTTCTGGCCGAAGACGCTGACATGAACAATATCACCTGCAAATTCTCCTTTGTCATCTCGAGTCAATTTATAATCGCCGAACAGAACGCACCATATTCATTCGCCCATTTGGCAAATGCCTCCCATTCACGTTTCACAGGCATATCAAGTGCATTCCCAAGAAACGGCAGTGGCTTAGGCCCAGGCGGAAGCGGAAGACCATGTCCTCTGCTCTGTTTGCTGGGTGCTTGAGCTCGCTTGCTAAGATACACGAAAAGACCCAAACATAGGGTGCAAGCAATTCCTGCGGCACCTATGATTGGTGCCATGCCCAGTTCTGACGTTACCAACTTGGAGATGGGATACATTGAGAAAACAGTCAAGATGTGCGAGCAAGTCCACAGCCAGTAACAACTGAGTTGCAAGGAAACGAGATAGATGGTGCACAGAGAGCAGAAAGAAGGCGCTGAGCAGTACACGGAGGAAACAGGACTCCGTTCGTCAGGACACCAGCATCCTTTATTCGTTTGCACGGCACTACTTTAGGTCGGAGAAGTTTGGAGTTAGTGAAGTCCATCTCAGGTGCCCAACTTTCGCATGCGGCCTGCGGACCATGCCGAAGTATTGTGTCTCGATCATTCACTAACGAAGTCAGTTACGGAACAAGATTCACCGATTTCCAAGGCCCGTGCGCCTCCGATAGTATTTCGACATCACGTTAGTATGTAAAAGACTGCTTGAGTCGTTCATAACCCTGAGATATCTGGCCATGTTAAGCTAGGGCAGAATGCGGCAGGACAGACCCAAACGAACATGTGAAGGCGCCATGTGGTGTCTGAAATCAGTAAACGATAAGGAGAGATGAGAAGACGAAGACGAAAGAGATCTAGTAGAAAGTAGCACGCCTCAAGGTCGTGTTGTCCGATCAAATGAGAGTAGATCCTACTGCTCAGTGGTTTAGTAAATAATAGATGTATTGACCGATGGTGGCCTATGTTCTAGGGCGCATTCATATCTTAGCTTCAGAGCGGAGCGTGGAGGCTTCGGAGTTAGACTTATTCAGTTTGTGCTTCTGCCCCATCTTGCTTCTTGTCGAGCGCGGGTGAAAGGTTAGGACAGAAAGGGTCACGAAAAGGGTATCAGTCATCAACGTCACGCCAGACACGTGCCAATTTATTTCCTTTCTTACTCAGCATTGAGTAAAGGTGCCAAGAACTGTCTAACTCTGTCAAAAACACGACGCTTGACTTTTAATATCTCCATTCATATTTATGTATAGCTAGGTACGCCAGTGCTAGGACATGACATTAAATGAGGCCTTATCAATCGGACATTCGTAGGAAGCCGTGCAAGAGACACCAGATACCTGAAATCGTGAGATGATTAGGGACGCGCAATATGTTAAGTAGGCAAGGACGCGCAAGCGAGGTTACTTATGCAAAATTGGCATTGGCAGCGGCTCGGCGAATTATGGTCTCCGCTTCTGTAGAGCGTGGCATAATCGAACACGGGAATGGCTCGGGATGGCTGGGAGGAGCGATAAGCATTTGACCCTCAAAGTCTTACAACTGCAGCTATACTCACGATATGACACCCGAGGAAGCGTTTAGAGTAACAGGGATAGGATTACCGGCCTTGTCTTTTGCATTTGTAATACTGAAAACCTGCAAAATGAAAGCGATTGTAATCCACAGCGTGTTCTCAGCGTAATGGTATCCTGCACAGATTCTATATTCAAAAGGACAATGAGCGATGGCTGTTTAAGTAATTGGCTCCACTGCAAACGTACCTTCTGCCGTAACCAAATGCAAACTTTGCTGGATCTATGGAGGCGTAGTCGAGTTCACCCTCTGAATTGAAGTAGCGTTCTGGCTTGAAGTTCATTGGATCTGGATAGACTGTAGGGTCATGCGCAATTTTCCTGAAACAGCTAATTAACGACTCCAGACAGAACTGCCACGCAAAAGATGTTACCATGTATTTCCAATAACAATAGACCCCGCTGGAAGATAATAACCATTGTAGACATCATCTTCTCTGAGAACATGTGGAAGAGCTGAGGTACTATTGAGTCGCATTTTGAAAAACCAAGCTGTGACACGCACCCTGTGGAGCAACTGTGTGCCAGCGAATCGTCTCCTTCGCAATTGCCATGATATATGGTAGATCCTTTCGGTCAGCGAACGTGGGGAGTCTAGACGAACCAATGACAGCCTTCAACTCGTCTTGACCTCTCCTTTGAACGTCCGGGTAAAGAACCATTGCGAGGATAAATGCCGATAAAGTGGAGACAGACTGAAAAAGGAAGCTACTGTTGAGCTGCCACGTCTTAGAAAGTGCATCATCAAAAGGCACACCGTGTCCGACCCCGCTACAAATGTGGCTGCGTGTAAGTAACGCACAGCACTCCTTGAAATGCAATCATACCTCCATACGCGAGAGCTGCACAGTCCCGGATCATATTCTCAGCGTTATTTTCATCGTAACCGTACTCCTCTAGCATATCAGCAACAAAGGTTGGATAGGGCGGTGCACCATCTTCCTAAATTAATCGGTCAATTCCGATGTCGAGAGCTCAACTGTAGGACCAACCACCGACCAATTTAGTCTTGCTCGCAAGGAAAGGAATATACCTGAGCTTTCGTACATCGGAAGCCCATCTACGTGCAATGCGTTGGTAATGTGTGCCAGGTAGCCATGTTGGTAATCTTTTCACTAGAATCGTTCTCGTCAATGCAAGGAATCGCTTTGAAAATTCATAAGAACTGATCTAACGTACGTATTGGGAACGCATCAACGAGATATGCACCAGAACGTGCCGCATCGGAAACGGAGTCCATCACTGCTTGAGCGGTCGTTATATACGGGTGCTGCCTTGAGTCGACAAATATACCGTAAACGGACATCATTATCAATTGACCAGCATGACTATCAAACAAGATGAGTCTAGACTTCCATCCGCACGAGGCTTATATCAATTCGAACGCACAGACGGAGGTGGTCAATGAAGTCCTCGGGGGTCTCCAAAAGTCGTCCCAGCAGAAGACCAGAAGCACGTTCTTGGACTGGATTGAAAGTATGAACCTTCGTCGGACCGAACTTGCTCACAAACATTCGTCTATTCTTTCGCCATTCGTCTCCATAATGCATGAACCCGAAGTTCCACTCAAAGTCCATCCTTGATCCGCTGCATATCAGTTGCACATAGAGAATAAGCTCTTAAGCTACTCACAGCTCTGCAAGTAAAGGCAAACGTGGCCTGTCGGAATAAATAGCAGATCTTTTCTCAAACAGGTCGCTCGCAACTTTGGCAGAGCTAATGTAGATAATATCACGTCCAAACACCTTGATATGGACAATATCACCTACGATCAAGCTAGATGAGAACCGGTTCCGAAAATACTAGATAAGGCGCACCGTATTCGTCTGCCCATTTTGTGAATGTCTCCCATTCACGCTTGTTGGGCATATCAAGAGCATTGCCAAGGATGGGGAGTGATTTTGGTCCTGGAGGCAACGGGAGACCATGTCCTAGACTTTGTTTGCTTGGGGTATAGGCTCGTTTACTAGCGTATAATCCAAGACCGAGGCTACAGAAGAGACCAACGAGGCCGATAACAGGGGTAAACGTCTGTTCAGATGTCATCCATCGCAGTACGGGATCCATTGTGGTGAGCGATGAGTGACACAGAAAATACAGTACAACAGTGACCAACAGAGCCGTCAGACGAAAACCGGATCGATAATTGTACAAGGTAAGTTATGTGCCATTAAGGCTTGAAGTGGGAGACAGAGCATCAATTGATGTATTGGAATTATTTATTACTCCAAGACGCGGTCGTTTACGCCGGAGGAGCTAAGAGTCGAGGAAACTGATCGCAACCACGCGCTATCCTTTTTTCTCCTCACATGCTGCGAGCCGACGCGTACAGTTCCTCCGATGACTAAATATGCCATAACACGCACAGAACACGAGTTGTTGGAATAGGATAAATTTGTTGCCTAGTCAAACGTTCCTCCGGCGCCGCCGGAAGGCCGCCTCAGACCCAGTTGCCCAACGACACAAATGTGCACTTTACAGGAATCACGCAATCCGGCCCTGAGAGTCGTACTGGACCTGTCAAGAGGCTGAAGGAAAGAAGCAGATAGGCAGGTCGGACCCAAGCAAATGTACAAATATAACAGAGGTTACCCTGGATGAGACTAGACAGGAATCAGGTGGGCGGTGAGGCAGATTTAGCAAAACTTCCGCGCGCCCCCACATTGTGGCGTTCACGTCTAGATTGATTTTTAGTACGGATTTCAAACCACGTTGCTTCCGGGGCGTTGTGGGTCTTTGAATACGTTCGGCGGGACATCCGGAACACAATCTTGGCCTAGATTCACTATGAGTGTTAACTCCACAGATAAGTTCGCATCAAGTGAATCTAATAGACTCTTGAACAAGTATGGATGAAAGGGACATATCAGAAAGGCAAGACAAAGATTACGATCGAGTGAGATTAGATACTATGCTCAGTTTGATGACGCGTAATTACCCTCACGCCGAGGGCACGTGCCTTTTCTTTTTTTGCTCGTTATTGCATTTACACGACGAACACAATTCGACCTGCCCGTTAACGGAATAATTCACGAAAATGATTCACTACGCAAATACTGCGCTTACTGAAGGGTCGGCCTCGACGTGATAGAACAGCAGCAAAGTGCATTGGAGGGATTTTGCGTATACATGAGATCATTCGTACAAGAGCAATCGGTGTCGTAACGTAACAAAACAAGGAAAGCACGTAGCAAAACACATGAGAGTAAATCGTGGCGGCTATCAAACATCATGATTCAAACAATCAGGAATGAAGAAATGGAGTAGAGAGTCTACGCAAGAGAAGCAGAAGACATTGATTCCTGGCGAGAAGAAGAGTGACTAGGAAAGAAAGATCTACGCGGAGAGAAGTAAAGGTAGTGTGGTTGGCAGATCGGTAGGTGCGCATAGACTTCGGCCCGCTTGTCTTCAGCAGCCTTCGGCACTATGTCCTTTTAACAACAGCTCCTAGAAGTTGCGGCAGAGGAGTAAGCTGTGTGGTCGTCTCCAAGGCTTCAGAACACTGGTGCCTGAGCGATAAAACGGAAATACGCTGGTAATGCGTGTGCGACGGATAACCAAACCTATAATGCACAACTGAGCCTCGGGAAAGGAATTCTGTCGTAATGGAAAAGGACGTACGTTGTAGAGATAAAAACTGCGCTGATCTGCCTTGATGGACTTAAGTGAAACGAAACGTGCTCCAACTGCTATGGCTAGGACATTGAAAGCAAGGGCTACAGTAGTGCTGAGCTGCCAAAGCGTGCTTAATCCGATAGACCACGCCAAAAGCGCGAGCAGAAGAGTAGGACGAGCAACTGTCGGCGCAACAATGGGTAAGGTTTTCCGGCCCACAAGTCGATCACCTTCAGTGTCCTTGAAGTCCTGGGCCTATTTTTGCAGTGAGTTAAACTCATCCCAAAATTGCCTCCATTGTTTGCTTACCTGGATCGTCGTTGCAAAGATCCCTGCACTGCATAGTACAGATAGCCAACTTATATGATCAAGCGCATGTCGATTCGAACCTTGAGATGTGCAGAGGGGGTGTAGACGGTAGACGTTAGTCTCACACGACGTGAGCTCGAAGAATGTAAGAATTACCAGCAATGAGACAAGCTCCAACTTCGAATGACATGAAGCCTAAGGCATTCACGAAATTGCGACCGAACCAGTGACCAGCAGCATAACCCATTTCGTCGTATACATATGTCAGAATGCACAGTGCGATACTCGCATACACAGTTTCAACACTGTAAAAGGATGAGAGTATCCAACACGCCGGGACGAGAACCCAACGCAAAATCAATGCATTGCGCCAAGTGATGCGCTTTGCGGGCAGAGGACGGTCTCGCTTGTTGTACTCGTCTTCTTCTGGTTTCAGCGTCTGGTTTGAGACGTCGAACTGTAGGACATGAAACCAAATCCAGAATATAACATGTGGAAGATGTGAGATATCGCCAAGTGGAGCGGACGCGACGGCCAGAGAAGTCTAAACAGCTAATGTGTGAGCGTGAGGTGTATAGTATTTTCAAAGGGGAAACATACTATAGGTATTACAGTTGTCTTAATGTCTGACTTCGTGAATAAAAATAGCGTCCATAGATGGTACAAGGCGTATGAAGGGAGTTTGACAATGAAACGTAGCACTGGCAAAGCGAAAGACGACAAGAAGTCGACTTCAATTACCAATGAGGATGGCGAGACAGAAGGGAAACAGAACTGGGTGAAGGTACGAGACATCTTGAGATGGGATTCTGAAAACATTCGAGTGGTTCATCTTATATCGCATGAGGCGAGGACCAGCTCTAAACCAACGCTATAATCATAGCGCTTCGCAGTTGTCTCCTCCGATGTGAGTCCGGGACTGCGTACGTCAAAACCTCGTAGGCGGTCCATAAAGAGAAGAAAGGAACACATCAACGATTTCGAACCAGCTAGATCTTGGGAAAGATTGGCGCTCTACCGAATCTGGTCCTCTTTACATCAGGGACAACGAACACGAGGGAAAGGCGGACGAACAGGGAAAGGATATGCCGTCGCTTAACGAAGGTTTGGCGAAGATGCCGCAAATGCTATTTCTTTTAGCCGAAAACCTAAGGATGTACCTACCTCCTAAAGATTACCAAGGGCAATAGGGAAGTCATGCCGTGCACGCATGCTCCTCAGTGTCCCAATATCAATCGAGTCCCAGCCCTCAGTCATGATGCGAGGCAAGTCCAGGGCCGGTTTCCGATCTACTTCACCACTAGGAGACCCTTTTCTGGATGAAAGATGAAACTAAACTTGCACATTCTAATCATGCAGATACTGACACGGCCCATAAACATGACATGTTGTGCTTCACGATTTTTCTAGGTAAGAAGAACCTTTGCAAAGTAAGGATATGCCATGGTACAGTCAAAGTTGGAGAATATTCCTAGCACCTGGTCATTTAAGACGCAAACTCTCGGTTGATCGCCTGCTAGGCCTTTGATCTACTGCCAGAGCTTTTGGCTGCTGCATCGCACCGTTGTATAATCGACCTCCCGTACCCTTGTGCCAATCCTTACCAGTTTGAAACTATGTATTTGTCGCGGTTATTTTTTCATGCGCCTTGAATAGAAATCGACTAGATAACTCCCTAGTGCATGCTTCGTCGGCATTAAGCGATGGAGCACGGTAAGTTCGAAGGATAGCGGAAGTAAAAATATGTCAAGAAGGACATGAGTTATCCGAAGCGTGTACTCACCAAACGTATTTCCGCGCAGGAAATCTTCGCGGCGTCAGGTAACATATATTATTTGGACGATGATTGGCGAGGGATATCTGTACCACGTGGTATACTCTTTACAATCTGTCCGAGGCTGGTAAGGACAAACTAACAGCACACTCGTCATTATGAGCCCAGTGGAAGACTGTTCTTCGGGGTCAAGACAAGTGGTCAAACCATCACAGGACTCACGTTGAAGATACGTTCCTTCAATAGTACTCGCAAGCCTTGTACATGGTTCTAGCAGGACGGAACAGAATGCTGCACCTCTCAAGATAGTCCACATAGAAAACCAATAGTTTGAGGTTAATGCTGGGGAAGCACCGGCTGGTGGTAAGCATGGGGATAAGAATGACCGTTCTCGTAATGCCTGGCAAGTACAAAGACTACCACGCTGTGGAAATTGTTCCATCAGACCTCTATGTTTACTCACTTGAAGCACTTCTGACGCTTTATTTTCCTCGGACATATTGTATTCAGGCATTTAAGGAGAATACTCTGTTCGATTTTGTTCATGTGTTTCGTCCTTGTTACTTCTGAACCGCTGAGTATCCTGGAGCAGCGTCATCTGACGGAGTCTCGGTCAGATTGCGCCCGTTAGCAGACGATTATCGATGCCTAGCGCTAAGAAAGCCGTAACTCTCGGACATGATGCAAGTTCCTCGGTGTTCCGGTTAAGAGTGTCCTTCTTGAAGCGACGACGGCTTTCGAGAAAACAGCGCGGTCCTGAATCAACCGCTTTGGATCCTTGCTCTCGGTTATATGACCCTTTCAGTATCCAGGACGCCAACGAATTGGTACGGCGGCCAGAACGGACAAATCGGACATGAAGGTGTCTGTCTGACTCCCAAGTTTTACTATAATTTTTTCTGTTTCTGGTAGGGTATCACGTGCGAAACGCTTCATTTTCTTGACCACTAGCAAGCCGTCAGAATCGTCGAGGCCATGGTATATATCGGTACATTTTCGATTTTGCTCTAGGAATTCCAATATTTCGTTATTCTTACACTGCGGGGCTCAGACACCAACAAAAACTCGTGTCAGTACCGTATACGTTTGCTAGCACCTGCATTCCGGCAACTCAACAACGACTAACTACATCTCAATTTACCTTACTGCCTTATTACATGCGCGGGAGTTTAACCACGTATCTTCTGGCCACTTAGGATACCTGATTGATGCTGTTTTGTGCATAAACTCATAGCCGAAAGTGCTACAGCCAATCTAGATGCACGGCGTTCCTCCTGTCCTTTCTATACACTAGACTAATTGGACCTATAACGGGCCTTGGAACACGTTGAGAAAGCCTTGCCCATGACTAGCTTATCCTGTATCTCAGTATAGCCGGTCGACAAAACTCACTCATGCCTAGTCCTCTGGTGAATAGCTTGGGGCTATACCACGATTCTTTTCTTGCGGTGCACGATTAGGTGTACGTTACTTTTCTTTGATGTATCTTACAGCCTCATTGGGTAAAGACCGATTCCCGCCGAAGCTTTCACCTGTAGTAGGGATCCATGACGCTCGTCTTTACTACTCAGTGCCCCAAATCTCACAAACGCCATCTTTATGGGCCATCGGCGACCTTAGACTTGCGCAGTGGAATGTCTTTTGCCCTGCCCGAGGACCCCGTTGCAGCGTCAAGAGAGTTGATTGGTACTTAGGTTTGTTAGGAATATTCAAGAGCACAGCTCTTCTTCATTTAAACCACTTCACGCTTTTGGATCATGCAAGATAATCCAGCACACTCATACGAAAAACTGTAAGGTTACAGTGGAGGACCCTTGCTCCGCAAGGCTTGACTAATCGAATGTAATAGGGGCTAAGTTATCATGCACTTTCTCTGGCCTACCCATTAACATGGATGTCAATTGAGTTTAATGCTATTCGAAGGCATCGTGGCTCAGCCTACCAGGCCGAATTTAGCAGTCGATTCACAAGTAGACTCCGACGATTCGGAAGTTCTCCGCGATAGTCAGATATTCCAAAGCAGTCGGAATGCCGGCATCGCCAGCTAACGGCGTCACTGACCGTGTACACCAAAGACACAGGTTTACGACACATGTATTTACGCAAATATAATGCAAACCCGCGGAATGAAGTTCTTGATTGTACTTGGACATACGATAAAGCAGGCGTGATAACTAAAGCATAATGGGCATAGTGGGCGACGGATGATGGTGATCGATGATTACGACACTTGTGTTACACTCTACGTAAAAAACCTCCAAAGCAAAAAGGGACAGCAATAGCCAACGGTGAAAGTAGAAGGATCAAGGCGCAGTGATGTACAGTAGTGAATGTCATGACCAATCGTGGTTAGAGCATAGGTTTAAAACCAGAAAAAACATGACGCTAATTTTCCACAGTAGTAATAACAGTCTGTTTATGCAGTCCATCTAAGATAGACGTGCGGAGTCCGGCTTGCAACGGTGACGAGCACTCTCCATTAGAAGCATCGCCATCATCGTCTATGGTACTGGCATTCTGAGCGGCTGATAGGCGATGTACCACGATGCCCCAGTCAACCCACCAGTCATCCGCCGCATCGTAAGCCTCGTACCCGAATGAATTCCGAAACTCTTCCCACGCACTACGCAGAACGTCTTCGTCCACATTCTCCCAGTCAAGCATGTTCTGCTCGGATGCCCTGGCAAAGCCTGCGTTACGTTCGTCACGAGCAGATCCTGGGGGCAGCGTGGAGAATGTCAAGAGCTCGTTGTCAGTTTGTAGTATGGCATTGCAACGATCCTGACGGATTTTCTGATACGCGGCGAGAAGACGGAGAATTTCTTCCTGATCTCTCGACTGAAGTCGCGAGAACAGGCTGCCCAAGACCGCGCCATCCTCCACCGACAAAGCAACTTCATTCATAGACCCTGCCTAAAACAACATCAGTTGGTATTTATCTTTCTTCACTAGCCGTATTTGACATACACTTGAGAGATGAACGGAGTTTCCGACAAGGACTAGTCTGCCATTATTAGAATACCAACTTTCAATGGGGGTTTGTACGATATGCTGGTTCTCGGCCGCATGAGTACTGAGAGACAGAAGTCGTTGCACTCTGAAAGTAACACATCTCAATCGGTCTGACAACAGCAATTGCACGTAGCTTACTAACCTCTCTTCAAACGCAGAAAAGTCAAGTTCGGATAATGGAACAGTTTGCTTCCATCCATGTGTGCCTGTGTTTTTCGTATCGATATGTTGCACGAGGTAATGATCCGGCGCCTAGGACATAGTCAAAATCGTTACTGGAGCAATTTATAAACAGGTGGATCGCTTACAGCAAGATAACCAAGGGTACATTGTAAATCCCCCATCCATAATGTCCACTACCAGACAGAACTTAATTAGCCCACTGAACAATTCATGAGCAAGATACTGACCGATCCATCTTCTGTTAGCGGTTGAAGAAGCGGGTCCTTCTGTAACGTGTCAACGGGGACAAGATAACTTCGAATGGATGGGAAGAACCCTTGCGTAAGCCAACCTAGTGTCCACCCGCCAAGGAATTAAGCACTCACTTGTACATTTTAAATGGCCCAAGTGGATGAACTTCTTTTTTCCCTACAATCTTTTCACGTAGGAGGCTATAGGTCCCATCTGCACCGACAATCAAGTCTGCATTGATTCTTGACCCGTCCTCAAGAAGCACAAATGTGCAATCTTTATCCACATCAATCACAGTCGTGTTGTAGTCGATTTTCACACCGGAGCGCAATGCGATGTCACGGATCAACTCATACAGATCGCCATACTGATAGCGTTCACGAAGAGAAGGGTAGGTTATAGTTAGAACCCCGGCGGTGCGGGACGGTGAAGACCATGGGAAAGATGAAAACGATGCGTACCCGCATATTGTACATATCAGCTTGTAGCTCTTTCATCAGCTCCTTATGATAAATAAGGGTGCTCTGTAGCTCGCCAGTCATGCCTGTTGAGCCATTCCCGATAGTATTGCATACGGAGGTACGAATAACGAAGGAAGCCAGTCGCACAGACAGAGTTCAAATCAGTCAAACCGCGGCCCGGGAAGAATGATCGGAGAGAACCCACCGTCGACGAAGTTTATTTTTGGGCATTGTGTGATCCCTCTCGCCTTCAGCTGTTCTCCAACACCCCAATGCAGTAACAACTTCGCCATATTCGGTGGTATACGCATCGCAGTACAAGTCTGCGTGCTGACGTCAGAGCGCAACGCTTATCTGATCGGTTGAAGCACTGCTCACCGTAAGTTTTCCATTTGACTTCTCCAATACACGTACGTTGTGACCAGCTTGCTTGAGGTTGTACGCTGCAGACAGGCCTGCAATACTCCCACCCACGATGACTACATCCAGCGTAACAGCTGCACGCCGGTGGAAGAGGTTTTCATAAACAGGAGAAGTAGGAAAAGGCATGACAGGAATACGAGGGTGAGGCAGTTTGGAAGGCGTCATTGCCGGAGAAGTCATTGGCCTTATATGTCGGATGTACGGGCGTCGGAAAGAATCGAAAGCAACGATGCTCTCACGGCCTCCTACTAGGAAACGGGGAGCTGGAAAGGAGAGTTAGAAGGTTTGTTGCAGATGTACGGATGGTCGCTATAGGATAGAAGCAGTCTATGGACATGATATATTTAACGGAAGGGCAAGGGTTCCAGAACTAGGACGTTTATGTCAAGGAAGACGCCTAAAAACCGACTGTCAATAGGATTCCAGGGGCGCAGGCGCTTGCCTCGCGAGCTAATTGTCTGTCCTCTACTGCGATTTCCCATGTAAACATGACCGAAATCCATCTTCCACGATCATATACAAGGGTATGTTCTCCTTGTGGAAGGGCTCAAATGGTTAGAAGGGTCATTTAGTCTCCTTCGTCATGCCTTCATTCAAGTTCGTTGATTTCAGCCTTTGCAAGGATGCTGAAATTAAATCAAACGCCCCTTCTTTTTACTTGATAATTCAGGACTAGTGCAAACTTCACATCAGAGATGAGACAGTTGGACTTATGCTTCCGAAATTTCAGGGTTGAAATTTCTACAAAGAAACGACGTAACGCGTAGTACTAGTCACGCTTATCAGACGCCCAAATTATTTTTGTCCATCTTGCACGGCACGAATGGGTTTGCTTCAAAACCGTTTCCACAAGCGTTAGTTTATTAATCACAATATTCGCATGATTCATTCAGTGCCGTGCAGAAAGTGTGTCTTGAATAAATAGAAGAAGTTATCAGTCAGAATTTCGACCAGTAGAGGCTTGTTTGGTCCCTGCGACGTAAAGCAACAGTTACCCGAAGTGTAAGAGCTCACAAGTATGCAGCAGCAGTATTTAATTAGAACTGAGAGGCAATGTCGGCTGAAAGGGACAGAAGAAAAAACGCCTGCTGGGAGACAATATCAGGGATTGTATGATGGCAATACGTAGCAATCGTGCCGCCTTACTGAAGGCATTTATATACTATCACAAGTATGAAAGGAAAGATGCCATGTGCAATGAGAGTGATCAGCCTCAAATAACAGCCTCCAACCGGGATACGCCTGACTTAAAAACTCCAAGGGGTGGAACGTTGTTCTGAACATCAGAACAATGTGTCCAGACCTTGACGCGAAGGACGGCCTACCAAGCAAAGATGCAGACTGAGCCTGAATATATAACTATATAAAGACACTAATTGCGAGACTAATATGACAAAACAAGGAGAATAAGAAATGGAGAAATAACAAGACATGGAAGGAAAGCATATATAGACATTGGATCCGAGGGGTCATACGGACTTTCTTGAATTTATGGATAGAATAGCTTACGATTGCTTGTCTGGTTTGCGATGGTGTACAGCGATGCAAATGCGATGCAATACGAATCGAAGACGATCTAAGATGACGGCGCATGAGGGGTATGGATAATGAAGGTTGAAGATATAGTGCATTGAATCCCACGATGACGAAGTGTGCAAGGTGAAAGAAAAGAATCAAGGAACCCATATAAAATTTTGGCGCAACTTTTCTCCCTATAATGGCTGATTCTCTGCCTGCAATGCCGCGACTTCCAGAGCATGTCGACGTGCCTCTGTCTTGAGTTGTGGTAAATCTGTCGCAAGGTCCACCATCGACCGTTCGTCCCAACGCGCAAGTGCCCACTCGCGTACAAACACGCTCACCTGAGAAAAATACTGAGCAAGAACTATTGATCGCTTCGCTGGCAAACATACCTTGAGGTATCGCTTAGAGGCATACTTCTTGTAAAATGACTCATGAGCAATTGGCTTTAAGATGTAGTTGAGCATAAGATTGGCGGTCGGAATAAGCGCTTCTTCGGGGTATGACGAGTAGTGTCGGAGGTTCGGTGTCTGATTTCACATGTCAGTAAAAATCACGTAGTATGCGCAGCGCTGCTTACCCAGTCCGGACAATCAAGTACTAGTCGCGCAAGCCACATTGAGGCAGCAGCCAAAAGTGACGGCGGAGCAGCAATCAACCGCCACTCAAGGCACCCAATTTCAGTGAGGTACTTTCCAATCGTGCGCACCTGCACATTGTAGTCGTCGGCTTTGCTTATTCGTCGTAAGAAGTTCAGCGGGCAGGGATAGCTCATGTTCCAATCAATAGTTTTGAGGATGTATTTCTCAGCCTGAAGAATTTCTTGCTCGCTGTATGACGAGTCTGCGCAGTAAACAAAATTTGTAACTGACGGCGCGACCGTCTCCTCAACCTTTGCGGCGACGAACATGCACGTGACTCCAACCAGTTGGAGTTTTGCCAAAGAAACGACTCGAGCAGACAAGAATCGGTCGATTAAGTTGACACACAGGAATAATGTTTCCGGTAGAAGCTTGAAGCGAGAGTGCACTTGAATGAGCCAGTCCATGAGGATACCACGCATTTTCCATGCAAGTTCTTTTTGGTTCTCCATGTAGTTAGGATTAGGCATAGTTGTTTGCTGCGACAATGATAACGTCAGCTAAAGGATACAAGTTATATGGCCAAATGAAACATACCTCTAAAGCCTTGAGATAGTCAAAGATATCCGCAACGTACTCGGCGACCATGAGGGGATCATCTTCATCATCCTTGTCTAAATCGTCCCAATCCCGTAGTTCTTCTACTTTCTGCTGAGAGCTACCGGGAACGGCATCGTCTTCCTCTAATACGGGTTCGGATTCCTCCACGATGTTCTCGAGGAGAGCCTTATCGCCAACTTCTATAATTTCATCGCCGATTTCTGAAGACGTCTTCCTACGCTTAGATGCTGGCTCATCGTCTGTATCGGGCTCAATGCGGGCCACAGGAGCTCTTCGGTGGACCGTCCTCCGGACGGTGGTTGAGGTGACTGTAGTCGATCGAACACTGCGCCGAGTAGATTGGGTCGGCTTAGGTACTTCGACAACCGGGACGGGTTTCGTAGGATGATCAACGGACATAGGCTCGGACTTCTGCACCTTGTTGTGAGTAACAGTACTTCTCGTATTCCGAGTAGCCACGGGACGCAGTGGTGCACGGGATGCCATCGTCGACGTTGTATTTGAAGAAGCTGGTTTGGACGGTTTCGCCGTAGTTGCCTCCTTGCCTTTGCCCTTGGAATCGGGAACCGCTCGTACCCTGTTGTTGACGGACTTGCCTGTGACTTCTCCTAAAGCCTCGCGCTTGCGCTTCTGTATGTTAGCATCGGCCAGAGCAGAAGCACGAGTAGCCACGCCTGTAGCGGCAGCGGACGATGAAGACGGCGGTTTTGAGCGGGTAGTGATCCGGGAAGGACGAGCATTAGCATTTTCGTTATCCTTCGTGGTGACAGCGCGAGTCGCGCGAGTTACTCGCCGAGTCTGCAGAGCAATCGGAGTGGATGAGTTGAGTGACCATGACTGATGTTGAACTTTCGCCGAAGACGTTGGAGATAACTTACAGGTATATTCGACGACATGGCGACCGGCAAGGGGAAAGGATGATCGAACAGAAAGGCTCTGAGGGGCGAATGGTCGTCGTTGTCGGCGTCGGTGAGGGAGAGCAAAAGAGATGGTAGTGGCTGAAGAGCAGGATCGGCTCGGGCCATTTAAACAGTGGCAACATGAACCGAACGCGTCTGCACAAACAGGCACAAGCAACGCGTAACGCGCGCGTCACACTCTTTTTCTGTCGGCCACTGCACACCTCAAGGGTCAAGGAGTCATGCAATAATCTATTATATTTGCATCTCTGCTGCTTTCGACGATTATGCTAATATGCAGGGCTTGTCGCAGACAATTCCATTCTTCTGCACTAGTCAGGGCGACGGACAACTCGAAGGCGTACGCAAAGACACTCCGACTCCCGAAGTCAGCCTTTCCGCAGTGGTGTGACCCGCAAAAGTCTGAATTGCCGTTCCGGAGTAAAATATCGGGTAGTCTGTACAAGTGGCAGGTACGTATAAGTTGTGCTTCTCGCAAATCTGGATGAATTGATGAATTTCTTCTTTTTTCAGGAGAAATTTACAGATCGTCCACTCTTCGTATTTCATGATGGGCCACCATACGCCAATGGAAACCTTCACATGGGTCTGTCGTTCCCCATGCTCGCATTTATTATTATATAGTAACTGGTTTCGAAGGCCATGCGATGAACAAGATTCTAAAGGACATGATAAATCGGTTTCAGCTTCTTCAGGGTAGAAGAGTCAAGTGAGTATGTTCTCTCGTTTTCTTACTTCTCTCTTCGCGTTAGCGATGGATCGGAACACCGTCAGCGAGCTCTCAGACGTCTCCCCTCTGTGTTGTATGATCTCTCAAGCAGGCTCAGTTTTGTATAACTCTTCAGTATACTCATTAAGGGCGTTTCAAGTTATCTTGCGATGCTCGAACGCCTCTGGCTGCTTTAGCTGCTCAGTTGTGCCCCACAACGCTCGGTTGCATGTGAATCATATCTTAGCTATACAATCTAACATTACTATGGTACATTCTCGCTAACAACTCGTAGTTATATTCCAGGATGGGATTGTCACGGATTACCAATAGAAGCTAAAACATTGAAAGAGCTGAAGGTTCGCAGTTCTCCAGTTTCTGAAATATATATTAATAAATAGCAGAAAGAAGCGCACGACCTTCCGGCTCATATCATTCGTTCGGCCGCGAAGACCGTAGCAGAGCGTGAGATCGAGGTACAAAAGGAGGAGTTCCAGGAATTAGGTATCATGGCGAATTGGAGCAAAGAAGGAACTTACCGGACCCTTGGTAGGCATGCGAAATTGGTCCAAATCCGTATCTCTCATACTCGCTTTTAGACAGATCCTATGAGCTTCGACAACTTCGCATGTTTCAGAAAATGGTTGAGAAAGGTCGGATTACTCCGCCTGGCTTCATACCAGATATTTAACTATTCATCAGGGCTCATTTACAGGCAATACCGCCCGGTACATTACTCGCCATCCTCGCGTTCGGCACTGGCCGAAGCCGAACTCGAGTATCGCGATGATCACGTCTCTCGGTCTGTATACGTCCTCTTCACCTTGGATTCGTCAACAGTCTCTTTCAACCCTCTGTTCGCGGAGCTTTTACAAACCAATAGACGTCCCATTAAATTGATGGTCTGGACGACTACTCCATGGACTCTGACTGCAAACATGGTAAGTTGGCGGATTAACTTCGCCTCCTTGTTCTGACATTTCGTTCAGGGGATCGCAGTTAACCAGGAGTTACGGTACAGCATCTTGGAGACAAGATCGGGTGAAAGCATTATCGTTGCGCAAGACCGTATTCTGGCCCTGCAAGCTATTCTTGGAGATGTTAAGGAGTCACTCGTCGTCAGAGGTAATTGGAATAGTTGACATAACTTTGAATTTTCAGATTAATCCCGAGTCAGGTACGGACCTCGTTGGGTTGAGCTATCTTCCTCTGTTTCCAGACACACCTCGAAGCATCGCACCTTTCAAAGTCATTTCAGCGGCGCATGTGACCTCCGATTCTGGGACTGGTCTTGTTCATTGTGCTCCAGCTCACGGTGCAGAAGACTATTCGTTGTTCCGTGCTCAAAATCTTCTTCGTGCTCAAGGTCCGGGTTCGCTCATTTGCCACGTCGATAGCGAAGGACGCTATAATCGTGCCATCATTGATGCCGTCGGTGAAACTGTTGGACAAAGACTATTAGGCCTTGACGTCTTAATGCGAGGCACAAATTTGATTATAGAAATGTTAAAGGAGATGAAAGGCGTGCTAATGAGTGAGGAACGGATCACTCACCGATATCCTTACGATTGGAAGACTGATAAGCCAATTATCGTGACGTACGTTACCACATATATAACCACACCCATAACCTCGTTACTAATTCATGCCTAAGTGCGACTTTGCAATGGTTTACAAGTCTCAAATCCATTAAAGAGGAGGCGTTGGATGCTCTTAAAAACGTGATCTTCCATCCGGCTGAATGTATGTTTCTGAAAATTGATGATAAAACCCACACTGACTGACGCTGGCTCCTGATAGCTCGCAACCGTCTTGAGTCCTTCGTCCGGTCCCGTTCGGAATGGTGTATTTCTAGGCAGCGCGTATGGGGTGCCCCGATACCGTCTTTACATCATCTACCGAGTGGTGAAGCAGTCTTGACACAAGATTCACTAGCTCACATTTTGTCTGTATTGGAGGACAAGGGTCCCGGATACTGGTGGGATGGTCCTGTTGCTGAATTCATTCCGTCTTCCATGCGCAAAAACCGGAGCGTGTCGTCTCTGAATCGCGAGTGGGCTAAAGGCTCGGATACTATGGATGTTTGGTTCGATAGTGGGAGTTCCTGGTCTCTTCTCGAAGAGAAAGGATTTCGTTCTGCGAGTGACGGTGCCCCCGCATATGCAGATGTGTGCCTGGAAGGATCGGATCAGCACCGTGGATGGTTCCAGAGTATGCTGCTCACCGCAATTGCAGCCAGTGAAAAGGATGGATATACGCGTATTCTTCCATATAAGTCGCTCGTCACCCATGGGATGGTTCTTGATCAAGCAGGCAAGAAGATGAGCAAGAGCTTGGGGAATGTCATGAGCCCCATGACGATTATCCGGGGCGGAAAAGTATGTCCATTCGCCAATCATTCATATAAAGCTGTTGACTTCTTTCATTTCAAGGATAAGAAGAAAGAACCTGCATACGGCGCTGACGTGCTGCGATACTGGGTCGCTTCGGTGGAATTCTGGCGTGATGCTCCGTTAGGGCCAACGGTACTCGCACAAGCTGTCGAGGCATTGAGGAAGATACGTAATACGGCAAGATTCATGTTGGGCAATATCGGTGACCTCGGAAATCAAGGAGAGATCATGTGTGTGGGTGAACAGAACATGAACATTGTAAGCTCTCGTTGATTGGCCGCAGAAGCGCAACTGATTGTCGCTGTAGGCAGACAGATATGTTATGCGTGAACTTTTCCACCTCGAAAGCTCTGTTTTGAACCATTACAAGCAATTGAACTTTCCTAGAGGTTTGTGCAGTGTTGTTCGATGGGAATGAAACGCTGATTCTTGTCTGTGCCAGTGGTTCAAGCGATCTCACGCTTCGCTAACATTACTTTGTCCGCTCTGTATTTTGATATCACAAAAGATGTCCTGTATGCCCACAGGCTTGACAGTACAGAGAGAAGAGCGGTTGTCTATGTTCTCAACCAAGTAAGTGGGCATGCGTGCTACGTATTTGCCATACACCTAACCATCTTCACGGCAGGTTTTGGAACGTTTGACTCTCATGCTTGCACCTATCACACCTCATCTTGCAGAAGAGATCAACCACTATCGAAACGGTGCTCGAATAGAAAAGTCAGACTGGCCGTCAGTATTTGTGAAACGCTGGACACCGTTGGTGGGCTCTCTTCCTTAGACTACCTCGATAGCCTCAGCTGAATATGTTACATCAGTCGAGTGACCCTAGTGAATCTAAATGGGATAATGACCGAGTATTAGCGGATATGGATGTTCTCTTGAAAATACGTGATACGGTTCTGGGTTTGCTGGAACAAGCTCGTGGCCAGAAGTATGTTTCGTATCACACCTTTCCCTTGCTATCATTAAAGTGGAATTTCCAGAGATTTGCGAAGCTCGCTTGAAGCGGAGGTGGATATTATCATTCCGGATTATGAATGGCTAGACCGTGAGGGCGAACTGGCAAGAGTACTTCGTCAGCAGAGTGCGTTATCAATCGCTTTCTATTTATCACTTGCTTAAGGCGAGTACAGGAGACTTTCTAAAAACGTTGTTCATCGTTTCGGACGTTTCAATCGTTGACGAGGGTTCTCTTGGGGCGAGTGGTGACGGGTGGGTGTATACATCGTCGTTTGATGCGTCTGGTAAGAATAAGTGCATCATTCGATTACTTTGAGGACTTACGCTTCGCTTAGACACGGAAGAGAGTTTGGGAATCCGACTTCGACCGGCAACTCGAGCAAAATGCCCGCGGTGTTGGACGTACACACGTCACGACTCGGACGAACTGTGTGGAAGATGCAGCGACGCAGTGCAATGTACGGAATAAAATAAGGATAGAAAAACCATACAGCATAGAGTACTGTAGATGTGAATAATTTGGTAATTACAATAACGCACTCCCCCTCTCATTCTTTTAGTCTTGCTGACGCCAGTACTTCGACATCTCCGAATTTTTTCAGAGTCTTCTTTTCATGTGGTGGGTGATACGTACTCGAGTGGCCATTCATCCTCAATGCCTATCTGTTCGTGGCAAACGTATTTTACTGAAGAAAATATGATCGAGCCTGCTTCCTAGACTACAGCTAGAGTAGTGTTGTTGACATAAGTATATTTACACTGTATGCGCAGAGTTTTTGAGTTTGTGAGACGATCACCGGGAAAATAGCTGATAAATTCGACAAATCTTTCACGACGCAGACTCTACCGACACAACGTTGACGCCAACAAACCCCGCTTCTTCATTGCCAAACGCTGGATGCTGGCACGAAGATGCGTCGCTGGCGTGGTTTTGCGTCTGACTCGGGCTAACTCATATCACATACCAGCGTTCTGCCGCGTCCCACTTCCCTTTGCCCACGACCTATCACCAGTACATTTACAACCACGTCTTCGACATCGTAAATATTCTAGCAAAAGCATGTCTAGCGTCGGCATCGTCGCTGATCGGCTATCAAAGCTCTCAATCGCACCCAGCGCATCCATTAAGCATGCAGTGACGAATTCGCCAGCAACATGGCGGGACGCGCTCGTTACTGCGGGCAACACGCCTGAAGGATTCCAGCTCACCAAAACGCTTGTTTTCAAGCCGAAAACCGCAAAATCGGCCACAACTGTTCCTGTGGTAGTCATTGCACGCGAAGAAACGGAAACAAATTCAGCGGCTTTGGGAAGAAAATTGAATTTGAAGGAGTTGCGCCTTGCCTCGCCAGATCTGTTGAAAGATTTTTTCGCATTGGATAAAGACTCTCGTAAGCATTATCCATTTCAGTGTAGAAGGTTTGTTAACGATAACATCGCAACCGTTCAAGTGTCTCCACTGGCGCTTGACGCTACCACATTCCCTAAGGTCGTCACTGTCCTTGATACATCGCTTGCATCTTCTCCTGGTCCTTTCGCCGTTCACGCGCTTGCCTCTGACTCCACCATCTTTCTCTCTGGGAAAGAGATTGCAACATACCTACGTGCTCTTGTAACTTCGGAAATTAATCTTCACGAAGTCGATTTTGCTGCTCTTAAAGCTGAGGCAGCCGCCGTTCCTGCTGGTCCTACGAGTGCTGCTGCAGCTCCAGAAAAGGCGATGAGAGAAGAGGGAAAGATCGAGGGTGCTGTACAGATTGCTGTCGGTGTGAAAAAGGAAGTTGATTTTGCTAGCTGGTACACCAATGTTTGTCCAATTAACTCTGTCACTCAAACTTTTTGTCTAATGTACGTTAAAGGTGCTAGTAAAAGCCGACATGTTGGACTACTACAGTGTCAGTGGATGCTACATTCTCAAGCCATGGTCATACAGCATTTGGGAGGTGATCCAAGGTACCGATAGTTCCGTGATATTTATACTGTCAGTTCTCATGCGTTTCAGAATGGTTCAATGCGAGAATTAAGGAAATGGGTGTAGAAAACGCTTATTTCCCCATGTTCGTCTCTCAAAAGGTGCTTGAACGTGAGAAGGACCATATTGAAGGCTTTTCTCCAGAGGTAGCATGGGTCACGAAAGCGTAGGTTTTACTAGTCGTTACATCAATACTCCGTTAAAATACCCTTTCCAGAGGGAGCTCAGATTTAGAGGAGCCAATCGCGATTCGTCCAACCTCTGAGACAGCAATGTACCCCTACTATGCGAAGTGGATCAAAAGCCATCGTGACCTCCCACTCAAACTCAACCAATGGAATAGCGTTGTTCGCTGGGAGTTCAAGAACCCACAGCCGTTCCTTCGTACGCGTGAATTCCTTTGGCAAGAGGGCCATACTGCACATCTTACAAAGAAGGAAGCCGACAAGGAGGTGTTGGAGATCCTCGACCTGTACAGACGCGTCTACGAAGAATTGTTGGCTGTTCCTGTCATTCCTGGAATTAAGTCCGAAAAGGAGAAATTCGCAGGTGGACTCTATACGACAACAGTGGAGGGCTTCATTCCGACGACTGGTCGTGGCATTCAAGCCGCAACGTCCCATTGTCTGGGCCAAAACTTCTCACGTCCCGAGATGTTCAACATCGTTGTGGAAGACCCTGACGACCCACAGGGTACTGGCCCGAATGGTGGAAAACTCTTTGCCTGGCAGAATTCGTGGGGGTTAAGCACACGCACGATTGGTGTCATGGTCATGATTCATGGTGATAATCAGGGACTTGTCCTTCCTCCACGTGTTGCGAGTGTACAAGTGGTCGTTGTGCCATGTGGTATCACTGCGAAGACTAATAAGCAGGAATTGTATGATCGAAGCGAGGAACTCACCAAGACACTGAGAAAGGTTGGCATTCGTGCACGGGCAGATTTAAGAGATGGGTATACACCAGGCTTCAAGTTCAATGACTGGGAACAGAAGGTACAACCATAGACTTCTCTTGCTTCTCGTACGATTAAAAAACTGATGAGCAATGTTATCTAGGGCGTGCCACTCCGGCTTGAACTTGGTCCTATTGATATCCAGAAGAAGCAAACGCTTTCAGTCCGACGGGACACAGGGGTTAAAGCACCTATACCGCTCGCGGACCTCGGAACTGCCATTCCCGAACTCCTAGAGACGATCCAACGAGAAATGTACGAGCGCGCGAAAGCCGCTTTCGTGTCCCGCCTTCGTGTCGTCACGAAATGGGATGATCTTGTTCCGACGCTTGATGGTAAATGTGTTGCTGTACTTCCATGGTGTGAGGAAGAGGCTTGCGAAGACGATATCAAAGAAAGGAGTGGGCGAGAGTGCGTATTGACACTTTTTAGTACTTTTCGTTTCGCTTTACAGCGAAATTTCTAACGTTTCATCGTTACAGCTCTGAACCACAAGATGCACGTGCTCCGTCAGCAGGTGCCAAATCGCTCGCCATCCCATTCGACCAGTCGCAATATCCGCCGATCCAACAGGGCGTTACGAAGTGCCCGGCTTGCGGAAAGGACGCCAAGCGCTGGACAATGTTTGGGCGATCATATTAGCGGCGGAGCTGGTTAAGCGAAAGAAGGCGAAGTGCTGTCCTTGTTGCATCACCTGTACTGAAAGTTCTTGCTGCTTGTATTCGTGTATGACGATTTGTTGTCGATTTACTCATTAGAAACTAGACCAGAAAATAAAAGATCGGGGAGTAGACATGAAGGTATATTGGATGACTTCCCGTAAGGCTTTCTAACGAGAAAAATACTAAAAACCGTGTCTAAATCATCGGTCCGAAGGGAACCGACTAGTGTACCATAGTTTCGGTCAACAACACCCCATGAATAAACTTAAAATCTGTACAGGGCCCCCCTGTACAAACCTCTAAACTTGAGAAAAATAAATATGGTAATATAGCCAACACTTATGACAGTATCCCTGATTGCCTGTCACTTTGTCATCAGAGTTACATCTGTATTATTGATGATCAACATGTTCTCTCAGAACATTTGCCCTTAGCTATAGCATCTATGAATCTTGGTGTTACGGGAAGCAAATTTTGTCTAAATCTATCCTATCTCGCTTATATACAGAGTTTATGAAAATAGGATGCCTTTTTTCTAGCAGAATTCTTACGGGAAGTCATCCATTGTCTATTCGGAGATTGCCATACATTGGACGTTGGAGTGTAGGCGTCATATAAGTAATTGTGTATTTGAGGCGAAATGGCAGCCTGTACAGATCCTAGGGATACAAGAATCAATTAAAAGCTGCACTCGACTCGGAGAACGGGATCAATTTCGTCTTTCTCAATCGGATTGAAGTTCGCTAAGTTGACAGACAATTGTCCCAATGTGCTACTATACGCTACGATCGAACGATCCTTAATGTGAAGCCAGATTGATACCGACAGGCGACTTTGTGCCCCTTACTCGAATGAGATTTTGGAAACACGGGAGCGGTATGCATGAACAAAGGGAATGGGAATATTGGATCAGGTCCCGTGATCCTAGTGGTTCCTTTCACTCTTCGATCGAAGTTCATCGAAGTTCGCTTTGCCTTCTGGCTTCAGCCTACGCAACGATGGAAGAAGGCTAGAAACCAGATCGTCTAGATTCGTTCATGGCAAGTGAGATCTGTAGCATGGCCCCTAAAAGCATCAAGCACAACTCTATCTCCTCATTTCAAGTCCAACTGTCTTGACAAGAACGACCATTGCGCCCTCCGTTCGGCTGCTGCATCAACATGGCAGACTCGTTTACAGACATTGAAGGGCCAATCACAGCAGTAGCAAAGGTCTGTGTTGCAGATTAACGTTGCACTAGTTTTCCAGTTGTAATATGTTCAATGCGATTTGACAGTTCATTGCGAAGCCAGAGCACGTCGACGAATTCGCAACGTGGCTTTTAGCATATGCAGAACGTGCAAAAGTGGCTGACGGGACATATTGCTTGTCAGTTGAGATTGTGCGGCATGAGAACTTGTTTATGTCGTGGGAGAAGTACGAATTCAATCTACTTCGAGCGTATACTCCTGACACAGTCTCTTTGCCTTTATTGCACACCAACTAACAGATTCAGTGGACCAGAGGCAGTAATGTGTACGTATGCCGAACATGCAAAATCACAGGAGCTCGTCAATAAATGGTTGGCCGACGTGAGGTTTCCTTTCCTCTGTAAATGAATCGGATTTTGCTGAATGTGTCCTTTCCTTGTAGTTACCCGAGTTGAAGTTCTTTGCAACAAATTCCGTCGCAAAATCTTCATGATGTCAATTTAATTAATGACAGGTGCTCCCACTTTCCAGGCGCTTTACTAGTGAGAGTGGATGCTGGAATTTGTTATTTGGGACACCTCGTCCTTGATTCCTTATTATAAGCTTGTGACTTTGTTTTGATTGCTTTGAGATTGCTTTACGCTGAACATATATATGCTTTAATCAGTTGGCTTTATGTTGTGGATTCTGCCGCACTAGTTTATTTTATTTTGTATGCGAAAAGCTATATGGGCATGGCATATTATTATTTAAGAAATATGTCCGTCCAATACAATAGCTTTATCAAAGATCCGCAAACAACAAGTAGCGATCTCCTTTCAATACCAAAGCTAAACAATTAGTGGCAAAAGTTCAATTGGCTCTGTTACCTGGTCAATACAGTAGAGGCCACTTAGCTGCAACACCTATCAAATTCGAGTGTTGCAGCACGTAATAGAATAAGTTACCGCCATTAGAGGTTATCAATAGCTTACTATATGGAGAGTATGATTTTAACAATTAGTAGGTGGTGGCATGTCTCCTATTCCACAAGCTTGATTAGAATTTAGCTTCTGATAGACTCGAATCATTTCCTAGACTAGACATATAGCTGTAATTAGTTTATTCCTCTACCTAGTTCCTATATGCATAACATGACAACTTTGTCACTATGATAGTCCATACAAAACCGAGGACGACCCTGTGAGAATTTGGGAAGATAATCTTTAGCTCTCAATAACAGCAATTCTTGTCCTGTCTCAGTAGATAAGGCTTTTTCGTTAGGAATAGCGCGTACGGCGCTGGTTTGCAGTACCTCATGAACGACCACCACACAGCGGTTGACTAGCATAGACCAGGACGTCTAACACATTGTATATCATATGATACGTGCACACTCCAAAGGTGCTGCGAGTCGGTAATCGGGGTCTTGTGTAAACATGTGAGTCTGGTTTGCTTCCGGTTGGGGAGGACGCGGCTTGGTCAGCAGTGTACTGCTTATTTCGTGCTAACTTTTTTTAGCAATTATGAAGCAGTTTGGATAGGTGCAAGGAGGGTATCGGAGTGCGGGAAGCCGTCAAGAGACGTTGGCAAGAGAATTGACGAAGAAATAAAGGGAGAGAACGGGCGAAAGCTTCCCCACCCCGGAGTACATTACCAAAAGAGGAGTACTCGGCAATGACCGAATCCCCAAGATTTGCACTCTGGTCGCAGTTCTAAATTGGAATATAAACAGCGCGAGTGGCAGAATCTTCCAAGTCCTCGCCCACCTCCTCTATTCCTTTCTTTTTCCTTGTCTGCTACCGCCGGTGATCTAGTCGACGTTGGGGACACGAAACACTCTTTTTCATTTTTTTACCGTGTTACGAAAAAGGACTAGCCATGGCCGAAGCAGTTACGCCCTCGCTCAAGACGCCTCCACCAGACATTGCAGCCAACTCGCCACCTGAGTCTCCCAAGTTTCTGGTGCGCAAGGCAAAGGCTTTCAAGGAGGAGAAACCTGCCGACTATGACATTCCCGACAACTATGTCGCGTGGACTCTCAGGAATGCGAAGCCTCGTCCACCTCTGTCGTGGAATAACATTCTTGGCGAGCTCAACTACGTTTCTCTTGCTGTCCTAACGATCACGCCTACCATTGCTCTCTTGGGTCTCATGTACGTTCCGCTGCAGTGGAAGACGTTCTGGTTTGCCGTTCTATACTATTTCTTCACTGGCTTGGGAATCACTGCGGGTATGTTCAATTCGGTTTGTTTCCGTGCTTTACGTCAACAGATTTAAAAAAAAATTCTCAAGGCTACCACCGCCTTTGGGCACATCGCTCGTATAACGCGTCGAAGCCACTGGAGTATTTCCTCGCAATGGCTGGTACTGGTGCTGTAGAGGGTTCTATTAAATGGTGGTGCAGGGGTCATCGTGCACATCACCGTTACACCGACACAGATCTTGACCCGTACAATGCCCACCGCGGATTATTCTGGTCGCATCTCGGTTGGATGCTCGTCAAGCCACGGATTAAACCTGGTGTTGCTGATGTTAGTGACCTCTCTAAGAATGTGGTCATCCGGTGGCAGCACCGCTGGTATATCCCGCTTATCCTTACTATGGGCTTTGGCGTGCCGACCATAATTCCCGGCCTGCTATGGGGCGACTATTTGGGTGGATTCGTCTTTGCCGGTGCACTCCGCCTTACCTTTGTTCACCACTCGACCTTCTGCGTAAACTCACTTGCCCATTGGCTCGGTGAGACTCCGTTCGATGACAAGCACACTCCTCGAGACCACATGATTACTGCTTTCGCAACTATTGGTGAAGGTTACCACAATTTCCATCACCAATTCCCGATGGACTATCGAAATGCCATCAGGTGGTACCAGTATGATCCAACCAAGTGGTTCATCTGGTGTGCGTCGCAGCTCGGCCTTGCCAGCCATTTGAAAGTCTTCCCGGATAACGAAGTCCAAAAGGGTCAGCTCACAATGCAGCTCAAGAAACTCCGCCAGACACAGGATAAGATTGCCTGGCCGAGCGATAGTAACGATTTACCTATCGTGTCTTATGCAGACTGTATGTTTCATGCCCTGCAGTGTCGCCCGTGCTGAACTGATTTCTTCGTCACTAGTCCAGAAACAAGCCGAGAAGCGACCCTTGATTCTCATTGCGGGTTTCATTCATGATGTCGGATCGTTCATGGATGAACATCCGGGTGGACGACATCTACTTGCTAAGAACATCGGTAAAGATGCAACAACGGCTTTCTTCGGTGGTGTCTATGACCACTCGAATGCCGCGCACAACGTAAGGACTTTCTTCCTAATAGGAAGCAATCAGACGTACTGACTCGTATCAAGTTACTCGCGATGAAACGGGTTGGCATTCTAAACGGTGGAATGCCGCACGGTTCAGAAGAGCGTGCCATTCCTCCTTCACAAAAGCTTCGTATTGCACGATACAACGAAATGGCCTCTCCGTACTGCTCGTCAACTGCCGTGTCTGACGGCGAAGGACTGCTGGGTTGAACATTGCTTTCCATACACCCTCGGAAATGATCGATCCAGCTCGGATTGAACCATCTCATGAGAATGAAGAATCTCTGTGGCCAAATGCTTATTCAATCAATCACCATGCACTTCTGTTTTCCTTTCCATTAGCTTATGTCTCGCGTCCAGTTAGAATGTCAACTCCTGCATGAATGCCCGTGTTGAGTAAAGAGAAAGCGGACACAGCAAATTCGGTATTTACTGTACTAGATTAAAAGTCGAAAGGCGACTCAAACGAAACATCACTGCTTTAATGTCAATGTAATAGAAGTTGAAGTTTTTTGGCGATGATACACGTTCAATGTGTCCATATGGATAAAGATTATTTCCTTATTTGGCCAATATTGATTTCATGTGGTCCTTGCCGGCTGTTGCCGCTGCATACAAAGCGCTACCTACCAATGTCCGCAAGCCACTTGACTATGCAGGGCACATGGATTGCTCTTGCACCTGAACATACTTGATGCATAGTTGGTCGAATGGTCCAGTCGTTCCTTACTTTGTTATGTTATTCTATACTGGTGTCTTCAAATCCTCTGCCTTATGCCTCAACTACAAAGACTGAGACATACAACCCTCCTAACAAACCCTATGGCTAGCAACTACATCAGCTTATCTTTCCCTCGGAGCTTGTATTAAGTACATATCCTCCGCACTCAGTGAAAATGCTTCTGCAAATACATTCCATTTTGACTAGATACAATAGTAGGCAAGGCTCACTGGCAAAGTTATTGATGAAGCACTCTCTGCATGAGTCTAGGAATGCCTCCTTGACGTCTCCGCGGTCAATCGCCTCAATAGATGGCCACAGTAACCCATCTGTGAAAAGAAACGTGGCGTTAGGCGCCTCTAGACCCTTCGATTCTACATTTGTCAGTATTATCCAGAGTTATAGTAGTTATCTTATTAGTCGCCGCTCTCGGGGTGTACTCGTTCCGCCTGTACCGATAGCTAGGACCAGATTATTCGAACCCTCTCGATTTAGATCAGAGTCGTCTTAGGGAATAGGTGAGTCACATTCAATAAGAGAAAATAGGGGTTCAGACAGAAGACAGTGGCTTTGCCATTGTTGTACGCTGTTTTCTTCAGTAGTAACTCTGCTGGAAAGGTGTTCCACTGCAAGTTTAACCAGCGTCCACTAAGTCGTACAATTGAATCGCCAAGGCCAGATCACTATCCAGGTACCCGGAACTGTAGAAATTTTGTGTTCAGCCAGGGGGTAAATTTTCTCGTTTTAGAGTGAATGAGCACGGTTTCTTCCTCGGAGTAAGGTTGAACGACGTGTCTTCCGCATTGAGGTGGATCAGAGTGCAAGCATATATTCTCCCTTTCCATCTTAAACGTTGAACCTAGCTGTTTTTATCTTCTTTGGTTGGATTGGCCACAGGGCTTTAAGTATATCGCCTTAGCCTGAAAACATTCGTTACGGAAGAACTCCACCGTTGAGTTTCATTTGTACTCATTATCAAGGACTGATTTCAAGACAAACGGGGAGCATTTTCATGTTTGGAGTGTATGTATAGACACGGGCTATACAATGTCCGAAGAGAACTGAAATGGCCTGCAGGAACCGAGCTGGAAGAGTGGCAGTCGAAGGTTATTGAAATCTTGCTAAAGAATGGGTCGGTAAAGTATTATCAGATAGCTGCTGAGGTTGGGTACGACCTTCGCATGAGATGCAATAACGTGCATGTAGCTTTGACATCTCTTTGCCCGGATATCTGTAGAGTTTAATGGCCTGTACAGCCCCGAAACTGGTCTATAGTAACCTTTGATAAAAATACCAGCGTTTTGCGTTTCTAGAAAGTTTTGGGCTGCATGTGTTTAGGGTTTAGATGAGCTTAACAGCAATCTATTTTCAGAAAAGGAAGTAAGGACTACGGAATTATGCGCCGTTCCCTTGTCATTATGCCATGGAGTCTATAATCTACGCATACGGTCGACAAGAGATTGCGTCCGAAGATGTTCACAAATGCGGAAACAGTAGGATGAATCTGCGGGGCGTCACTAAAACATGCCACACCGATGAAGTCGTGGAATGATGGTGCTCCGCCGGTAAAAGTCGTCTCAACAAGACCGGACTTGACGCTCACACTGTGCTGTATAAGATTCTATTCAAACGTTCGTCACTGACATATTCCAACTTACCCACAGCGGAATTGACTCACATGTCTTTTGATCAGGCGGAGCACATACTAGAATAAAACTCGGCAGCATGGGAGCGTCCAATTCGTCGCAAGCTCCGATTTGACAGTGTATGGCAACCTTCCGAACCATGTTCCTGTCTGACATTGCGTAGAAATGATGTTCTGTGTGAGAGTTGGATTGCGATAATCACTTACGGGGCCGAATCTAACGCGGGTAGCCGTCTGAGGTGCTCCCACGAGCTCGAAATCACTGACTCGAAATAACGACTTGAATTGAAGAAGCGAGCGTATCCTTCAGAAGTTCAGGTACATGGCAGTTTTAACGCGATTGAAAAGACAAGTCTGGAACGGAGGCATGCCTTCCTATGTCCGGCGGCTTCGGAAACGATGGTCCCTGAAGGTGAGATCTCAAGTAACTCGATGGATACAGATACAGAGTATAGGGCTTAAATGAGCCCGTGCCGGCAGCACATGTGGCAGGCGGTTGTGGGAGGGAAGAGCCTATGATATATGCTTGGGTAGAACCGTAGAAGCAGCAATGGTCTTCCTTACCACGTGATCAATATTTCCTTCAATCCGGATCCGCACGAAGGTTACAACTCACCAGCGTCTTTCACGTTCATGAACCGCTAAAGGTAAGAACTCTCTGCGCACGAATTTCCCGTAACTATTATGTTGCTTTCCTGCACATCGCCTCACCTTGCGCTGATCAAGCTTGGAGAGACTATTGATGGCATTTCTTGTACTCAAGATCGGTCCAAAAACCAGCGGATCCTGAGCTAGCGAGTAGCCTTTCGTTGTGACTCGAGCTTGGTATCATCCCGGTCCATATATCCATCCACGACATTATATTACTTCCGGAGAGCTTTAGTTTTCAACTACAGGCGAAGACCAGGGTGCCTGCATTTGTCAATGTGTCTTACGACTTGTCAATGTCCAATTGTGACTCTTTTATTCCCCGGGAAAAAGTTATCGTTACAGGGGATTGCTCTCCGTGTGCTTGAATGAAGTGATACTTATGGAACAGAGCCCTGCAAGTCTGATTGGAGCCAGCAAGCGCCGTTGCACGGAATTGCGGAACCCCCCTCAACATTCCTTCAATTCCGATTCCGGCTCATTCGACTGTATTTTGATCTAGCCGGTAAAATGCCTCATGCCTCGCCGACGTTTATTTTGATGATGCAAAGCAATATTCGAGATCGGCTTTTCTCGCACGCAAACGATGCCAAGGTCATACGTCTCCAAACTTGTGGGATTCGTCGGTTCCGAATTCATCCTGCTTCGTCTTCCTAGGAGAGCGGCCACAGTGTTCCGTAAACCTTGCATGCTTGGCTAGAATGAGATGCCCCTCAGCAGCACCGGTATAAAGAGACGTTCTGGAGCCACCAATTTCTCCAGTCGTTCCTCTAGAACCTTTCTCTAGTCTCTAGGACTCAATATGCGCTGGCATACTTCGCCTGCTTCTTCCGCCCTCGCTGCTGTGCGACTCGCTGCGCCAGCAGTTGCTGCTGTCCAACGATTTGATTTGGACATTGTAAACGCTCAGCTAGCACCAAATGGCTTTAGCCGTCCGTAAGTCTCGAAGTCTTCTATCCTCTGACTTGCTATCTGATGCCCAACACACCTAGGACTGTCGTCGCTAACGGTGGATTTCCGGGGCCACTCATTACCGGAAATATTGGAGATCAATTCCTGGTATGTGTCTGAATCTGACTATGTTAGCCATAAGGAGAGTCTCGCTGATGATAGCCATATCTAGATCAACACCACTGTCAGCACAACTGATACAACGATGCTGAGGGCAACGTCTATCGTATGTGATTCCCCTTGGGCAATCAGCGATACGACGCTCAGAGCTGACCTTTTGAATTGGTCAATAGCACTGGCATGGTCTCTTCCAAGCCCATACGAACGAGATGGATGGGCCTGCATTTGTAAACCAGTTCGTCGAGCCGTTTGTGCTACATTGACGCAGAAAGAATTTTACACAGTGTTGCAGGTGCCCGATTATTCCGGAGCATAGCTTCTTGTGAGTCACTTTCATCTATCTACTTGGATAGTAAAACTCATGCTAGGTACGAAAGGTACAATTTCTCGGTTCCAGGACAGGCCGGAACATTCTGGTACCATAGGTGTGTTTAGAATTTCATGCTCTACTTGATTCCGAACTCAGAACTCTCCCCTAGCCACTATTCTACACAGGTATGTTGTCAAAATCCTTACTAGATGGAGTCTAAACCAGTTCGCGTCATGACATCAGTACTGCGATGGATTACGGTGAGTGATTTCACAGCAGAGGGTGAAATGAATATGCTTAATTATTTGCCTCAGCGGAGCCTTTGTCATTTATGACCCGAATGATCCTCTTGCTAATATGTATGACATAGACGACGGTAAGAGCTCTTCCGTACATTGCCTTTCAGTTAGTTGACAAACTGTTTCTTCAGCGTCAACCGTCATAACGCTTGCAGACTGGTACAACCAGATAGCTCCCGATCTATTCCCCAACCACGGGAACGCGACTCCGTAAGTTTATTCTTCACGTTCGTGGGTCACACCTGTTAATATAATTATAAAGGATACCCGACTCCACATTGATAAACGGGTTGGGTCGTTCGAGCGCTGGAGGTGACCTTGCTGTTGTACGTGCTCAACCAGGCAAGCGTCATCGGTTCAGGCTCATCAACACTGGGTGCTTCCCTCCGTACGTTGGATACTACAAGTAAACTTGATTGCTTGCTAAGAGTAATCTAAGATACCAATTCTCGATCGACAATCATCGAATGACCATTATTGAGGCAGACGGCATTGAACACGAGCCTCTCACCGTTGATCAATTAGAAATTCACGTCGGTGAGCTTACAGTCTGACACCCGATCGATGTTCTTTCTAAGTTTTTCTTCTATTACCAGCTCAACGTTATTCAATAATTGTGAGCAGACTGCCCTTAGGCTAGAAACGCAGTAATGACCTTAAAAATTAGGTGACCGCGGATCAGCCAGTCGGTAACTACTGTGAGTTCCTATCCCTGCCGTTGTTTCCTGGGATAATCAACAGTTTCGCAATCAAGGGATCCGAGCAATCCCAGTGTTCCCCACGGAGTCCAAACTTCAAGGAACTCCAGGTGGAATTAACTCAGCTATTCTTCGTTACGATGGTGCACCCGACGAAGAGCCTACTACGAGTGCACAGGCGAAACCTGTAGTTATGAATGAAGCGGACCTTCATGTATGTGGTGTACAAATATTGCACGTTCCAACGATATACATATTACTGACCTTTTCACGGACGACAGCCCCTCATTAACCCGGGAGCTGTGAGTAAACCCTTAATGACCTAATTGAAGATGGCGATTGACTGACATTGGTACTATTCGCCAGCCTGGTCCACCGGTGCCGGGTGGAGCAGATGTGAATCTCAGACTGCAGGTCGGACGTTCGCATGCGGAATTCAACATCAACGGTAATACTTTCGTCCCACCGAGTGTACCTGTTTTGCTCCAGATTCTATCTGGCACAACGGACGCCCGCCAGCTTATGCCCCAGGGCAACGTGATTGGCCTGCCTCCAAACAAGAGTATTGAAATTGTCGTTCCAGGACGCAATTTCCACGTACGTTGATCGTTCTTTTCGAAGGAGGGACCAAGTCTGATAAAATTATTTTAATATGCATGAAACGCAACGATTGACATTGCATTACGGCAGCATCCAGTTAGTCTTTTCTATCTCTAAGCGTTCACGCACAGACTCATGGTCAAATCCAGTTCCATTTGCACGGACACGCGTTTGATGTCATCCGCGTTGCAGGTAGCAAGACATACAACTTTGCCAACCCAGTGCGCCGCGATGTCGTACAAACTGGTCAAGGTGGGGACGAAGTCACGTTCCGCTTCTTCACGGACAACCCTGGCCCATGGTTCCTCCACTGCCATATTGACTGGCATTTGGAGAACGGCCTTGCAGTCGTTCTGGCTGAAGATCCTGGCGACACTGCGGCGGCGGACCCTCCAGGCGGTAAGTCATGTGTTTTTGCTCGCTGTAGGATTGTACCGCTCATAACTTCCACCATTAGTCGACTGGCAACAGTTGTGCCCATTGTACGATGGAAACAACCCCGACACTTCCATCCTTGCTCACGGTTGAAAGCATCGAGGTTCATGCCAGATGGATCTGAACGTACATCTGTTAACTTTTAATTTCAACACTTCCCAAGTTGAACAGTTTTCTTTTGTGTCATGAGAAATTGTTGCTAGGTTCTTCGAACACTTGAAATAAATCCTATGTTGCGTATTTACATAAACCGAGGGACGATATATTTGATTACAAATATGAACTGCTTTCATACTATGGAAGAAGGGGTTAGGCATTGATGCCAAATGACTCACTGAAAAATAGTTGGCGGATCACCACAGTATTACTTTTTCGAGTTGGAACCTTGCAGTGTCCATCTACTGCAGGCTGTTCCTGATCTTAACGACTCAGCGGCCGCAAATTGTCACATGATACTATTTAAGACAGGCTCTGATCCGTTACTAATAGCAATGACCTCAGCGCTGAATGATTGAGCATTTGAGTGTCCTCGGTTAATTCACATCAAAGATTGTTCATTACGCGTACATTCGGCAGGTCTCGAGACTTTCATATAGCCAATGATGAATCAGGGCATCCAATTTCTTGGTAAACGCTTCAAAGACCTTGATATAATATGTAAGAGACAACTGATGACCGACCGAGCCATCCTAATCGTCCTTCTATAATTACATCGATGTCTGGGTACCGAAGCTTCGCTGTTGCTGGCACGGGTAATGTTGGCAAGTTCATCATTGATGCCCTGCTGGAAAAGAAGGCCATAGGAGTAATTTCCTCCATCACTGTCTTAACCCGCTCTGTGAGTAAAAACACACTATCGACTTAAATTTATTCGAGTGGACTTGCTCATTTACTGTTATTACCGGTAGTCTGAGGGCAAGAATGAGCTAGAGTCAAAAGGAGTGAAGGTCGTTGCTGTCGACTACACTTTCCCCTCCTCACTCGAAGCCGCCCTGTCCGGTATCGACATCGTAATCGCAGCTTTGGGTCTCCACGGAATCGAACATCAGGTCGCACTCGCTGCAAGCGCAAAAACAGCAGGCGTCAAGCTTTTCGTACCGTCAGAGTACGGATCCGATCCACACGGACAAACCGATCATCCACTCTTCAAGCTAAAGGAGGTAGCTAAACAGAAGCTGAAGGAGCTTGGATTGCCATATGTCGTCTTCTTTGCTGGACTCTTTGCTGATCAGGCCCTTGCACAGTAAGGAGGTTATTCACTTTATCATTGAGATCTTAAGGATAAATGATGGTTACTGATTGCAGAGGTTTCTCGGTGGCATTGGGATTTGACTTTGTTAACGGAGTGTTATCCATCCCAGGAACGGGAAACCCAGCTTTATCTTGGGCTACGAGGGCTGATACAGCGAAGTTCATCGTACACACACTAACCACGCTTCCACAAAGCAAGCTCGAGTGGCAGACATTCCGCATCGAAACGGACCGTATTGTAAGTCATCCCGGCTTATTTTATTCCACACTCGAAAATCGCGTTTCTCATCTTCTGGTGGTCCCTATTAAACGTAGTCCTTCAATGACCTCGCTGCAATTTGGAATGAGCGCCAAGCGAAGGCAGGGAAGCCTACTGCAACAATTACACATCGCCCTCGTTCCCAGTTCGAAGAGGCTCTGAAGAAAACCCCGAACGATATATTACCCATGTTCTGGTTGCTCCTCGAAGATGGACAGCTGGTTGTTGGTCGTCCGGAAGGCATTTCAAATTTCGATATTCCCGGTTGGTCTCCCAAGCGCGTTTCCGATGTACTACAGGACCTGTATAGATAAATCTAATGTGAATAAAGAGCAGGAAGGAAGGAGCAAGATCTCTTTCCTGAAATGTGTACTAGCAGAATCAATATGTGTACTGTTCGGCTCTAAGGCCAATGGGAAGTCCGCGTACATTGGACGTTTGGCCCAGCAGTTGCACTTATTGCCTCAAGTCAACTCATTCCTCAAGAATAGGTGCCCAACTTTCCAGACGTTTACCGTGCCACCAAAGTGACGGACGACTGTGAATCATAGGAGTCTGTGTCATTTCCCATCGCAAATCGACATCCCCACCCAGAACACCTCCGCTCCCGCCAAGAGCTGGATTCCAAATAGCAGAACCGAATGAATCAAGGGGGGACGCTGAGTCTGATTCCTTGTCACTTGTTTGAGTGGGATGAGAGGAAGTAACACGCGGAAGATGTAATAAAAAGAAAGGAAGTGGAGACGACATTGCACATAAGATAGTCGCTTTCGTGAATGCTGATTCCGATACCAGAAGCGCAACAGTCGGTTGCAGCTTCGTATTTCTCTCTTCCTCAGAGCCAGGAAGATGAAGATGCCGGTGAAGTACACCTTCCATCTCACGCACGTAGTTTGGACCGAGCTTCTTGCGCTCAGCTTTACATTGCGCGAGTACACGAATGCGGCGGCGAGGAATTCCAACACCGTCAGTGGTGCTACCGGATTCTTGCTCGTGAGCTATGGGAGACGGGTAGGGTACCCACCACCAGCCCTGCAGGTCGATACCACCGTCATTTCGACCACCGATTCGAGAAAGTGACATAGATAGATTGCGTAGCATGAGCATTGCACGGTTCTCAAAGGCTGTTCCACGATGTACGTTTGAGAGCAAGGTATCTTCAGATGACAACGTCGACGCGTTTGAAGACATGAGACGTTTCAACGGATCGCTGTAGCAAGCCATCTTGATGCAAGTATTTCGTTTGGGAGCAGAAAGCAACGACGGCAATAATTTTGCCACGCCCATTGCCAGTGGTAGTTACAGGTAAAGATAGCGTCGAAATGAAAAATGGCGGAATTATTATTTAATAAAGTATCGAGGTCGGGTCAGGTGATCGTCTTTCAGCGACCATCTCCAATCATTACTCAGTTTACTGCCTTTCTCTGTCCTTGCTCTCATCACCAGCCTGAGCATTACGTCTACGGACTATCATGTCAACATTTAATAACGCCGTCTTTAGTGCGGATTCGGACGATGAGCATGACCCAGACTTCGTCCCTAATGAACATTCAAGTGCGTGCTCTTAAGTCTAGTCTTGTGCGTATGATGTACCAACATGCTGCAGGCAGTAGTGACGAGGAAACCACGAAGACAGCAGCAGCCCCTGAATCTGACCCTGTAAATAAGGAAGCAGAGACAGCTGCTCAGAAAGAGTTAGTTCTTTATTTTCTACACCAAAGCCAATGGTTGATTCATGTGACTGTCAGAGCTCGTGCGTCCTTATGGGCAAGTTTCCAGTCCTCCGTTTCTGGGACAAATGGCGAAGGTTCGGGCGCTTCAACACCGCCCGTCAAAAAAGCTAGGCTTGTGAAGGTGGAGAAAAAATACAGATTCGCGGGTGAGGAGGTATCGTGAGTGAGTTTTTCGCAACCTGGGGTTCCAGTTTTGTTCTCGAATTTAAATGTTGACATTGCGTTTCGCTGATATAGAGAAGTGGTTGAAGTGCCGGAAGACTCAGAGGATGCAAAGAAATGGCCTTTGTGGAGGCAACCTTCTCAAGATGCCGAAAGGGCAAACGAGGCCGAGCATAAAGCAACTCCTCCGGACAACATGGCAATTCAACCATCTCTGGAGTCTGCATCTCGAGCTTCTGGGCCTTCCGGACCGACTTCCATAGCAGAGTCTTCATCTCGATCCTCCACACCTGTCACAGCGCGCCCCAAACCAGGCCCACGAAAAGCAAAGACTGTGCTAACGCCAATGCCCAGCGCAAAACCCAAGAAACTCACAACACTGGAGAAATCGGCGATGGACTGGCGTGCACACGTCGCATCGGAAGGCGAACAGGGAGAATCGAGTACTAAGGTGCAAAATGGCGGGGAAAACCTAGCTGATGAACTGGAAAAGAATCGACGAAGTGGAGGCTACCTTGAGAAGGTCGCATTCCTTGAACGAGTTGGAAGTAGGAGGGAAGAACTATTTGACGAGAGTAGGAAGAAGCGCAGGAAGGGTTAAGGTCCCGTCCCTTCCCCTTCCACCGTTTCCTACGCAGGTTTAATTTTACGTATATTTATCTTAATTTTCTTGATGTTTGTATTTGTGATTTTTATTAAAACTTACATGAAACTAACTTAAAGTTTCGCACGTGACTTGTATGAGTTATGATAAATAACAAATATTCCTGAGACGCCGAGAGCTGTTCTTCATTAATCCTGTCCTGTTGTACTTGATAAACCCGTCCTCGTCGGCTCCCGACAGTCCAGCGTCAATCGAGTACACAGCTCTTCAACATGCAATAACAGCCTCAACACACCTTGTCTAGAACATCCACCACCCTCACTGTTCTGCAAATTTCTTAGCATCTGAGGCAGGAGTTCAAGTAAACCATGGAAGCACCCTCAGACGTTATTCGTGATGCAGCCATCGTCGAGGGCGTTAAGGACATCGCTTTTGGCAGTGTACGCATCTATTTACTCCTATTACTGTTGCACGTTGAGTTCTGACTTGTTGCGAACAGATAGCCGGCATGGTCTCAAAAGTCTTCGAACACCCATTCGATCTCTGCAAGGTGCGGTTGCAGGCTCAAGTCCTCGACGAGACGGCACGTTTCAATGGACCTATGGACTGTCTAATGACGACGTGGAGAAAGGAGGGACTGCGAGGATTGTATCGCGTAAGTACGATCATTGCTTGTGTTCGGATCGGAACAAGCTTCAACTTGTCTCCGTGACTTGGCCGAACCGAAAGACATATTATACAAGAAGGTTGTGCGTGTAACGATCATGCGGAACCAGTATGCATATTTCCTTGGCCTGGTCCCACAAACAACCGCTACCTGTGTTCATAAATCGGGCGGCAAATTCAAATTCAAATAGCGTTCTTGGCCTAAATTGCTAATACTATTCCTCTTCTGCAGGGCCTTCCGGCGCCGGTGGTCGGTGCCATGGCAGAAAATGCCACTCTCTTCCTAGTTTACGGCCAACTTCAACGATTATGTCGCTGGTGGTCAGGTGCCGCCTTGAATGAGTTCTCAACCGGGCAATTAATGTTTTCCGCCGCTGGTGCCGGTGCAGTTACAAGCTTCGTGTTGTATGCTATTTCTATCCTTGCTTTCATATTTTATTCATTTTCAACTGACTAATTGAAATTCATAGGACTCCAATAGAACTAGTAAAATGTAAAATGCAAGTCCAACTTCTCGCTCAGGAGGCTTCGAATCCAGCAGTCGCGCTACAACAGCTAGAGAGTGCAGGCGCGGGAGCGGCGATACTCGGTGCTGCTTCCCCTGGTCATCCAAAGAAACCCAATTTCAGCGCTCTCCCAGGGCCAATATCCGTCCTACGCACCGTTCTCAGGACACATGGTCTACGTGGTCTATGGCTTGGTCAAACAGGGACATTAATCCGTGAAACAGGCGGTGCCGTTGCGTGGTTCGGTACAAAGGAGGGCGTTTGCGAGTTCCTCTTACGTCGTCGAGCACGTCTGCAGGGCCCTCTAGATCAAACTGAAAGGAAGTTAACGAGCAAGGACCTTCACGCTTGGGAAAGCGCAGTGGCAGGTGCATTTGCAGGCGTATCATACAACGTCGTACTATTCCCTGCCGACTCTGTAAAGAGTGCCTTACAAACAGCCGAGGAACTACGCCCTGCCAACGGACATTCAAAAGCTGGTGCTGCTGGAAAGACTCTACATGTCCCGTCACCAACGTTCTGGGGCACTGCACGCGAAATGTACGCGTCTAAGGGCATACGCGGGCTGTACGCTGGAATGGGCATCACTACGGCACGCGCAATTCCGAGTAGTGCTATGATTTTCTTGATTTATGATGGATTGAGCAAGAGGTTTGGGTAGGAAATATGTGGAAAGAGAAATATATATAATATAGAGCTTTCTTGGATGTAAATATAATTCCATAGCCATTATGCACATTCTGATAGGGGACCAAAGCAAGCGTAATGGAACTGCTGTGCTCCCATATCATGATTAAATTCAAATTTGAGGTCGTGTCTGGTTCAACAATAGTGGAGTATGTGGTATCGAAATTCACTTTTCTGGTGTGCTTGCATTGCATTGCTGTTCTCAGAACAATCGAATGAAACTCGGCCTTCGGAGACGTGACAACGTATCCATAAGATTATAGGATGTCATCTATTGAAATAATGCATTTATATTCCGCGAATCGACGGATACACGACGAGTAACTGTTACTCCTCCGTCACTCGTCCTCATATCCCGATACTGGTCGCCTTGGTCGTTTTGGCACTATAAACGCACGTCAGCACATACATACCAACGTCAAAATACAGTAGAGCAGAAAGAAAGAAAAGAATATAGGGCATATACAAACAGAGTTACGAAGGTTGCAAACAGAAGTAGAAAATGTTATAACAAGGCAAACGGAGACGCACAAGGATACGAAGTAGGTATCTCCGGCGTAGGTTTCCATCCCAAGCTTTTACGGATAGGCGGGACGGCAACCGCGAGGACAGGTCCAGCGAGTCCAAAGACGCATGACCATAGGATGACTGGATTTTCGTGTGCTTGGCGTTGCTATTAGACGGATTAGACGGATTCAAGTAGTATATGTATGATGGAATGAGGTCATTAGGTTAGAAACGACACAGCAAAGGGGATTCGTTGAAACGTACAAGGTAGCGGTACGTTGACCGAAATGGGGATACTAGCGACGCCATTGTCGGCTTCACTTCCCTCAACGGTGGATTCGACGGGCGTTTTATGGCGACGTTGAGTTCGTTAGCGTTGATGCCTAACAGCAATTGGACTTTGTCCCTTCAACGGCAAAGGTTGGATAAAGTTTCTCACGGTAAGCGCGTATGGTAATCTTCGTCGTAACACCTTGCTCTATATTTCATAGCCATTGCCAAAAACTCTACGCAGTTCAAACAAGTCGCGTTTCTTCCATTGCCTTACTTTACAGTCATATCAAAAACAAAAACAAACAACATTCTACAGTTAGCAAGAAAAATAACTGAAAAACAGATAGTCCTTTTTTAAAAATATTTACATTCGCAGTAAGTTCTTAGGTCAGGTATCTGAACAATGGTGCCTACAAAACAAATAGCAAAAGACTTCAGAACAGTATACTTGGAAGCGAACGATGTGCCGTACTTTGTCAGCTAGTTCACTGGTATCAACCTTAGCTTCTGGCTCTGGCTTTCCATAGATGCGATCGCGACGGCGATTATCCCAAAAGTATGACGCCTACGGAAATTAAGCGTGGTTTAACCGGGAAGTCAGTATGGAAAGCGCTGCACGTAGAGAAAATGTCCTTACAGATAGGATAAGAGCACAGATTGCAGCAAGGAACTCGAGTGCGCAGGACACTTCGGAGAGTTATTTAGTTGATTCTGTTTCACTGTTCACAAAGGCACGCTAAGTATAACTCACCAGCAAATCCTTTTCTGTATTGACATGGTTCGGAATGAGTAATAATTTGGGCAGAATAAGCGATGAGATGAACGCACATGTATCGCGGCCCCTCTGTCGATGGATAAATATGTGAACCAAGGACACTTCCACATTGTCCGATAGCCATGAACATCGGGATACCCGTCGCACGTTTCGTCTCCGAACCAAGATTATGCGCGACTAGATGCAAGCCGATTGAGGCTTAATCATGATAAGATTGCAAGAAGAAGACGTACACCACGCAATGATGAGTCCGATGGTCGTATAAGTCCCACTAGTGATGCAAAAGACTGCAAAGTATTGTGCATGTACATTGTTATGCACAAGCAAGAGAATCCTATACATTCCGCGTCCTGAGTGAGTCTTGTGAAAAGCCAGTTGCATCCCGTACTTACAAATATCCAATACCGCCCACTGCACTCGCGCCCGACATCAACATCCCACGGTGCTGCAGACGGTCAGACGTATACGAGGTTATCGTAAGCACAACCGCGGCCACTGCATACGGCGGAACCGTTAAAAGTTGCGCGATCGCGTTCGCTGAGATATCCCGTCAGCCGAATCCAAAGTTTATTATAAACAGTAAAACGCACTATAACCAAACGTTTTAATGATAGTCGGTAAGAAAGCCGAAATGGATGCAAGAGCATTGTTGAGACCGAAGTAGATAACACCTCCAACATAAATCTATTGTGTACAATCACTTCAAGTCAGTCAAACAGCAAAAGGGACGCAGAGACAGACAGTGCGCATAAGCTCACCCTCCAATCCTTCAAAGCGGCAAATATGTGATCTAAGAAATAATATAACTTTACTCGTCAAGCGCGAAAAAGGCAGAAGCAACGTACTCTTATTGACGACAAATCCCGTATCTCCGCTTATCGCACGATTCATCCTCGCGATTGCGATCTTGCGCTCATCTTCGTTAAGGAAGTGAGTTTTCTCCGGCCTATCAGGAAGGAAGACGAGTGCGACTAAGCCCATTAGCAAGGCTGGTATTCCCTACATGCGCATATTTAGTTAAATGTGAATACTCTGATAGCATACTTAGCACCTCAACGATAAACAAAAGTCGCCAATTCGCGACGGCAGCATGCGCATGTTGTATCCCGAAAGCAATTAAGCCTCCGAATGCACCTGCAACCGCGGCAAAGCCGAACCAATATGCCATGCGCAGTCCCATCTCATGCTTGGTATAAAAATAGGCTGACAGAAATGTAATCAGCGATTGAATAGAGTGCCAAGCTTTGCGGACAAACATAAGTACAGAGGGACGCCCGGCCCGAATCCGGCCTCGAAAACACCAAGACCAACTCGAGCAACAATCAAACCCGCGAAGTTGAACGCAGTGGCCTTACAGAATAACAGTCAGAGCCAGTATATTATGGCTTTTTTTAATTTGAACTGACCATGAGAGTAGAACATAGGCCCCAGCCAAGAGCAGCGGATCCGAGCCACAGGCGAGGTGGAAAAAGCTTCGAAACTACAGAAGCTGGGATTTGGCACAGGATCTGACCAGACAAGGAGGATCGTCAGGACCAAGCAAATCGAATGCGTGTAATGGAACGCACATATGAGAAGAAGAAGGCGGAGTTGACCCAGTCGAATAATTTGCCGGTTGGATCACCGTGGAGTGTATCCTGCGGTAATCCTTGCAGACGTGCATTACCCAAGTTTGATCGGTCCAAGTCTACAAGCAGAGGTCGTAAATACAGATCCGTATCAGCGAGCGACAGTACCAAGGCCAGACGTACAAGCGAAGAGATACATCATGCAGGTGATGGGCAAGATTCGCCAGTCGAGCTTTCTAACTAATCTCCGCTCCTCGTCAGAAACGATGAGGCACTTCTTGCTCTCGTCAGAGTAAGCTTCTGAGCCAGCATCCTTGACTGTTTCCACTTCTGGAGCAAGCTTCGGGTCGTTTGCGCTCTTCTCAGAACTGCTGTTGGGTTTTTCGGAGCTCATCGCGGGCGGAAGCTGAGCGGCAAAAGACTATTAAGACCCGTCTGCAGCATGACCGTCAGTTTAAATAGGTTATTTATGTCTGAGGCCGGCTAAATAAAAGTTCACGAGATCTAGTTCACATGCCGGGCCTGCCGGGATAATCGAAGACAGGATGAGCAGATGCAGGCTACGTTCCCACATGGCCCCCTAGGCTCGCATAGCCGAGGACCCCATTCGGAACCGAGGCAATCAGCGCAGGTTGTTCTGGCCGAGCATACAACTCAACTTTGACGATTTACTTCCCATTCATGGTTTGCCCTTGGGCGAGAAAAGAGTTTAAAAAAAGATCTTGACCCGGTCCATGTCTCTGTACAATTATTTTGACTCACTGGTCCAGATGATAACGGCCTCGGATGCAAATCGCGATTATCACATCGTTAAGACATTACAGTAACAAAACATATCGAAGATCTACATAGACAGGCACCAGTGACGTCAGAAACAAGGATTTTAAGTATCATTCCGTCGACGAGACTATGTCGCGGATTAATTGAAACAACCTTGCGGAAACTCATTCGTGCTTTTTAAATTTTTAATTCAATTTTCTTTTTAGCCTTTCTGACTTCCTCAATAATGCTAATCTATCTCAGACCATATGCAAAGGGAGTGCTGCCGAAGTGCCTTCTGTATGCTAAAAATAAAACTAAACAAAATTAGCAAAGCTCACAAACACCATACGGAAGCACGGGCGCAGAAGCGTACCCTGCTGTGTTCATAGCATTGCCCTTTGTGGCGTATTTGATTTGAGAAGTCTCAAGCCGAACTGCCTCATTCTCCGAAGCTGGCGGGATAGATCTACTGCCAGGAGCTTAGGGAGTCCCGAACATACTCTAATCCTGGAAGCGTGAATCGAAGGAAGAATAGTAGTCGAAAAGGTAATGCATTGATATAAATACACGGCAATCAACGGTAGCTTATCCACAAGATAACTGCAAGAATAGGAAATACTCTATCCTAACTCGCTGGTATCCGTCCGATAAACTCTAGCCTAGCGAAGCGCCAGTATAAGGACGGAATAGTTGTAGGAGCGGTTCAGACAAGATCCCGTATGTCCATCGGTAGTGTAAAACACGGAAGAATCGCCCGCAACCTCGAACAATGTCCATGTCCAGGTAGCTGATTTACCAGTGCTTCTCGCTAATCGACACTTTGTCCACGTCTTCGTCGGTCATATTTTCGTGGAAAAACCTCTCGTGCTCCGCTATCTTTACATTGTTTCCGCTCATCTGCCTCTTCCGCATTAAGCCATCCTCGTTGTAGGTCCAATCCTCTGATGACAAGAAAGGTTCAGCAATCCACCGCGCTTTCTCCAATTGAAGCGAATATCATGACTAACCTAGACCATAACACCTGTACCAACTCTTCTCAGCTTCATCATAGAACTCATACCAAAACTGTACGGCAATTTTGTTGTCCGTCCAAGCGAATAGCTCCTTTCTGAGTCTTATGAAGAAACAGTGTCCTTCGTTAATATGATCTATTCTTAGATTGAAGTCACGCGATATGTAGCTTACTTGTACCGCTTCTCCTTCTGCCACTTCTTCGTGAGGAAGTCAATTATTTCCGCTCTTCCACACGGGAATTGGTCTCTGTTGCGCCAGATAGTGTCCTCAGTATAAGCCAGAGCAACTTTGGCTGGGTCCTTCGTATTCCACAGCTTCTGGGCAAGTTTTACTTTTTCTGCATTTTACAGGTCAGAAAGGTTATTGGGATAGAAATGCCCATTGCTCGCCATGTGCAGTTTCCTTCGTGAAAGGAGGAACGGGCGGCCGCAAGGTCGAAAAGTGAAGTTTTCGCGGCAAGGTAGACACGAGTCGTGAAGTGCGACTACAGAACATGATTTCGGTCGACGGAAGATTGGGCTGCAGGACGGCGAACTTTTATATAGGGTGGGCACGAAGACGCAGTGACCCGAATTCTCCATGCTTCCCGTCCAATCACCGTGTGTGTTCCTTCCATACCCGAAGGGGTCACATATTCTAGCGCTCCCACTGGAACGTATGCGTTCATGAACTAGTATTCCACTTACATATCACTGGCTGAGAAAGCTGCGTGGACAAATGGAAGTTGCTCATGGAGGAGGGTGCACCAAGCGTCAACCAAGTGAAACACGACTCCGCCGTTCGGAAGAAACCTTATTAGAAAGCATGATAGAGCTTCATTTTGCCTTCATATTTCAATTTCTGTCGCTTCGCGAGACGTAGGGCCATCCGGACTCGGAATGAACGGACTCGTGCCGTTCCTGTGTAAAAGCAGAAAATAGTAACACAAAAGTACTGAATAATACGGTAGTCATGCACAAGAGGTTAGGGCAACCAGAGACTAAGGAAAAGAGAAAGAATAGAGACTAAGTACAGAGGACCGCGCTTAATTCGTCGGATGAACAAAGATCAACCGAGCGGTAACGATGTGAATGGAGAAATGCTCAAAACTCCATTCATCTTGACGTATCCTGTCACGTGACTAGACGCTTATCTGGCTCCTCAGTGAACAGATGGTCGTTCTCCTTCGATTTGGAAAGCAACATGAGTGCAACAGAAGCCCAGACTGCCGGAGATGTGCGTATACTATTGTTACTCGAGTTTCATAATTCAAATCGCGTGTCTATTAGAAAAATCTACGCGAGCAACTCGACCCATCTCAAGTGAACTGTTTGAACGAAACGCAGGAGCATACACTGAAGAGCATACTGTCCAAGGACGCTGCAGCAGATGCATACTTAGAGAGTGATGCGGATGAACAGTTACTGCTGAACGTTTTTGTGAGTTTCCCCCATGCATGCACGAGCCGTTGCTTGACATACCCCACCTTCACAGTTCAACCAGACAGTGCGACTACGAAGTATAGCGATTCGAACGAATGGAGAGCATATTGCGCAAGCTCCGAAGAGTTTGAAACTTCTCATAAACCGCCCCTCAATAGGCTTTGAGGATGTAGAGGATGCAGACGAGACACAGGCTGCCCAAATACTCGACATCAGTGAGGAAGACGTGCGAAAAGGAGAGCCAATTCCTCTCCGGTACGTCCGTTTTCAAAACGTGTTTAGCTTACACGTGAGTAATCATATAGAATCATGCGCTTGTCACGAGTAACTTCTGATGTCTTTGCTCAAAATTTCGCATAGATTTTTGTGGTGAGCAATCACGGAGGAGAAGATACGACAAGAATTGACGGAATCGACTTCTTCGGTAGCCTTTATGGGTGAGTACTCCATTTTGACGACGCTTTTCTGAATCCTTAAACCCGTTTACCCGGTAGAGGCACAAAAGACTTGAGCGGACTGAACGCGCAAGATGAAGAATGATCGGGTGCCGTTAGAATCTATCAGTAGTCTACATTAGAGACAAGTGACTATATGCTGTAGCATGAAGGGAATAAATAATTGTAAGATAGTTCGATCAACGAGTGACTCGTCATTTGCCATCGATCTGCAGCCACATCCTCCAGTATCTCTCCTGTACCTCGTCACCTTGAAATTGCCAGTTGACGATCTTAACATCCTTGAAACCCTCTTCAGCGGTCGGCTCCTCAAAGGCTTGAGGAAAGGATGCCAATGCGGTATACGGAATAAGTTTTGGCTGGTACAACCCATCAGTTAACGCCGATAAGGTATCAAGAGATGAAGAGCCACGTGAAATTTCACCTTTGTGTTGGATGAGTTCGTGCTAGCAATTAAAGGAAGACAGTATGCTCGATAAAGATTGTTGTGCCATGCGAGATCTGTGGAAACCTTGAAAACGAAACATCTATCAAAGATATCAGCGCAAGTCACCGGCTAAACAGCAGTCCAGTGAATACCTTATAGGGACAGATAATGACTTCGCCAGGTCGACATAGTATTTACGAGTTTTCTTGTCACGATTCGTGTTATCTGAATCATACTCATTAAAGCAGGCACGGAGGAAAATCCGTTGACCAGCTTGACTACTTACCAACAACACAGCTAACCCCCTTTCTAATAGCTGCTTCGGCGGCCTTCAAGCACTTCGGGCGGCTGCCTAACGTATCTTGATTGACGTGCTCATATCCAGCAGGTTGGAATGAGCTTTCAAATAGGGACGTCTTGCCGGATGCTGGAGGGCCAACGAAAATGACTATCTCTGGTCTTTCTTCAGTCGCAGGTAAAATGGGCGATGATGTAGGAGTGATCCTTGGGCCTGTAGACACTTTTTAATTTCGACTAGTAAAAGCAAATAATGCCATACCTTCATTTGGAGGCAGCTGATTCGGATTGAAGCCTTTTAATTCGTAGGGCTTAGCTGGCCGCTTTAGGAAGTATTCCTTTATCGCAAGATACGTTATTTTTGAATATGGATGAACTGCAAATTGAACGTACTTCTGGGGTGAGGAACTTGATTCCGACATTTCCCGCGAACTTTCTGTCAGTACCTGCATGGTCTTCTTTTCGTCCTGCCGCGTCACCGACGAAAAATGATTTCTGCTTATCTATAGTCCAAGAGGTCCAAGGCCAGAATTTCAATGGAAAGCCGATACCGTTCATATTATTGTTACGAACCTAAGGTAACGCCAGCCTCTCGCGCAAGCTTTTCTATCGCTAGCCACATTCCAGGCATGGGTTTCCTGTAGCTATCTCTCGCTGTCGCAGCAAATAGGAGAAATGGTATCTCGTGCAGCTGTATATATTCAATGAGACAATTTATGTCGGAATGACCAACATACGAACCTCTTTTGCAATAAGTTGGATCTTCTGTCGCCATTGTGCCAGCTTCTTCTCTGGATAAAGCTGGTTGCTGAAGAACACGACAGTATGTCTAATGAGGAAGCGAACGAATTCACGTTATCAATATGTCCGTCGTAATGGAAGTATCAAAAAGTGTCCAGACCCAGCATCATAAGCTTCTTTCAAGAACATGGGCACGCATTTATGCCAGAATTCCCATTCAGTTCCGCTTTTTGAAAATGCAAACTTGATAACGGTGCCATCAAGGTCAAAACCAGCAATAGACGGCCGGATTTCCGCATTCAGGTTTTCGCCAAGTATACAAGTTGACGGCAGGAAAGGGGGCTGCTTCCATCTTAATGGACCAGCGGGTTCCGGCACGGTAGCCACGTCGCCGGGTTTGGCAAAAATAGGAAACACTGAGTCATATCCGTCAAGTCTTTAGTATCGATGAATATCTTTGGCTACAAATAAAGAGTTATATCTCACCTCGCTTGGTAGGAGGCTCTTGCCGTGAAGCATCTTCAGTTTCAATATCTTTCGCCGAACGTTTCTTGACTGCCGTTGCTGCAGAGGTTCCCACCTTGGCCATGACCGAGCGCGGTTTGGGTCTACGTTCAGGTGCTTTCAATTCCGTTGGTTTAGCTTTTAGAGACATGCCGCGCATAACTGGAACGCACCCATGGCGATGCAAACGGTGAATCATCAAACTGGACAGAAGGATCGACGGATCCGACCTAAAGAGCAGCAAAATACACACAAACATGTGCAAGCAAATGTCATGTAACACACTATTTCATATACCTATACACTATTATTGCCTCTACACGTGTAATACAAGTGATCCTAAACATGATATGGGGTAGGTTGAGTGTATAATTACACCACCTGAGTACCTCACGAAAGCACAATTTTGATGCATCGTATTAAAATGTCCAGTTATTTCACGGAGTCCTTTACAACATAATAAATCTGCTTCTAGAAGCCATGAAATCTCGAAACAACAATTGCAACAGAACATCACTTCAGAGTGCCTTGTCTAATTATTCCACATTCAATCCTCTCATCTTAGTTTGGACCCACAACAAACTGCTTGGTCTTGTTTAGGTGAGCAATTGTCTCGTCATCAAGGTCGAGATGAGCTTTCACAAGAGCAGGCGGGGTGAGTGTAAGCCATTGTTGCAAGCTGATATCTTCTACTCGGTCTATAATTCGAGACAGTCAGTTCAGTATACCATTGTATTCGAAAAAGACATGGAAAATTGACCCGAAGCAAAGAGCTCCAAATAGGTGAGAGTCGTGTTTCCTGTGTTCTCAATATAATGCCCATAAGACGGTGGAACGTATCCTGGACAGTTATAACACGTTAGTAAGGAAGGGAACGAAGGTCAAACCGAACAAACCGATATCGCCCGCCTATGACACTAAGAATTAGCTCTATGCACTAAGCATTTGTTTGTAAAAGCGTACCCGATAGTCAAACGTATTCGCTGTCGCCGAAGATGCGAAGAGAGTCATACGTGCTTCTCCCGAGCTAAAAACGAAGGACTTAAGCAAGGAAAATGAATTGAAATCATCTGGCGTACATGAAGTAACTCCACTCCGGCTCAGTTGGATGCCACTAAGAAAATAATCAGGAATAAATTTGTACATTTAGTGAGATCGACTAACATGAAGTTCCCTGAAGTGCATAATAAGTATCCATACCATTGATCACTACAAATATTGTGAGGCACGTACCGCATCCCTCCAGGTTCAACGGTGACCAAAGCTCCAACAATTGTGGTGGCAACCGGGAACACGCTTGGGTCAAATATCTTGATCGATCCACCGGCAAGAGGTGTCGCAGGCTGCTCCGAGAGTCTATATGAGAATGCTTGCGGAACTTGGCCATTCGGATCCGAGGGAGCAGTCTCGTTCTTTGGAGGAGGTTCTAAATGGGATTATTCATTATTAACACAACCAGAGGAGAGAGTACGCCGCACTTACCGGATGGGAAGATATATAGTTGCTCAGATGGTATGTGATCGAAAGCGGAGATATTGGTCTGGAAATCCTTTGCCAGTACTTCCTTCGGTATATGTGCCGTCCAGTCGGTTAACTGGAATGTTGTATCCTCCGAGAAAGTGCCGGAGTCAAAAACCTTCAAATGCATCGATCAGCTTTCATGATACTATATTATTCAAGGAATCAGTACAAACCAGAAGAAATTCGGTTCCATCGGGGTCATCGTCTGTTCCTTGAAGTGAATGAGGTATTCCAGGCGGGAAGTACCAAAGATCGCCTTGACCCTGAGAAAATGTAGAGGTTACAAAGTATTTTGCCGAAATGCAGATAAAACTCGTACAACTGTGGCAACGTAATTCCTACCGTCTGTGTCCACAGCAGTGATTGAGGTAGTTCCCTACGTAAAATTTCGTTGGTATTAGTGTATTGCAAAATTCTTTGGACGCCTACCTTTATCACATACGCCCACTAAGGAATAGGAGAATAGTCAGTAATAACTCGACAATGGTATGCGGTCAAGCAGAGTTAACAATACCTCTGCGACGGAATGCCAATGGAGCTCCCTATGCTGAGATTCAGTTTTTTTGGGAATAAGTCAAATAAGGGCCAACAAACCTAATTGCACCAGCCTCAAGGCGCATCTGAACTCCGGCCCTTGGTATTAGTCAGTAATGCACATTTTGTGGGTTATTAGACGACAAATTCACATTGTCGTAGCAATGGGCATTACATCCACTATTTAAAGCCGATTAAGACACCTTCCAGGCATTGCAAATGCCTATAACATTACCGTTCTGTTGTCTAGCCCATCCGCCGGTCTGAAGACGATTTTTACTCAGGGCAAATGGCCACTTAGCATTTTGACTGATGAGCAGAGGTCGTTAGCTTTTAAATTATAGTAAATGTGGAACTTCACTTACATGAGCCCGTTATCGGTAGTAGGGGGCGCAAAGAGGTCTGGGTTTTGCTGGTTGAGCTCGATGTCGTCGGGGACAATTTGCGTAGCGCCAGTTGTGTTCCTTATAGGCTGTACATTGTCATGTGTATCTTGCGACCACTCCGGAAAGTTAGGATCGTCGCTGGCCGGTGGTACGGTCTGCGCCTCGTTTGGAGCAGAAGACACAGTACTACCGCCTCCCGTTGAGCTGTTTAGCACAGTGGTGGACGATCTGGTTACAGACGAGTTCGAGCCGCTAATAGCAGGTGCTGCAGCAACGGTAGATGCGAGGAAAAGATAATACAGGATGTTCCCCTTGTACATCTTTGAAGACAGGACAGCTTTCGTCGTCTCCGTCTGTCGAGTAGCTCCATAAGATTTGGACATCTTATATACCTCGCAGTCTCTTCGTTCCCCCGACATCGTGGTCCGGCAGGTAAAGCCACAATCAAGATATCACCACGCACTCCACGCAGGAAATGCCATAGAAAAGGAAAAACACAAGAGTACTTCGTTCCGACCGCAGTACTGCTGCTACGCCAGCCGAGAATAGGACAAAAATAGATCCATGTATACTTCTTCTCTTTGATCTTCGGCCAGACCACGGATGGTCCTCTCAGGGCAGCATACGTTATCTAATTCCGAGTTTGAATGAATGACGTCCTTTCGGGTGAAGGGATACTACTAAGAGACACAATTCACAAACAACAGCAGCGCAGAGACGACAGGGTCGCCGTCTACCTCCGTAACAAGGTAGTAGGACTTGTGCTGTTCAGATGGACGAGAACCGGAACAACACCTGAAACGTTTAATATTGACGCTGGACTAAAATTATCCAACCTTTCCCGACAACTGCAGCTATTGGAGAAACAACCAATAGCTGTTAGGAATGTTCATACAAATGCCTGGAATGAGCACGCCATACCTGTTAAAGTGACCTCACAGATTCGAGTTCTGCGATGGCCCGGCAGACTTAATGGCCTATTCAGACTCGTCGTAACTGTGGGCGTCAAAACGGAAGATGGAGGAGTCCTTAGAGCATACACTTCGGGCCTGAAAAACCGGAAAACATAGAGATTTCGGAATGACGAACACGGTTTATATTTAGATCGATACGAAAATCGAGGGGAGCATAAGAATAGAACGTACGTCGGCCCCGTAAGATTAAAAACGACTTGTTTAGATATGATTTGTATCTGTTGGTCAGTAAACGTCGGCAGCTCAGCTCCACGCTTACGGGAAACTATTCATTCATTCCATTCATATAGCTCTGAGGGCAATACCGGTCGCAAAGGTACTACAGTATAGAATGCAATTTTCAAGGTGGGTCGTTCCTGTATGCGGGTCAAGATAATAGCCGATATATGCCCCTGTGCTGCGCATTATACCGGACTTCGTGTACAACGGAGAGGTTCGGAAAACGTGAGGATTTATACGGATAAACCAGCGGGAAATGTAGATGAAGGTCTAGCACTTCCAAGCAACCCATGGACACAGCAGCTTGAAGACAGAGGAGGCGCTTCGATCCATCAACCGTGAATATGGTAAATCGTGGATTATCGCGACGAAGTGTCTGGTAATGACCACCTTGCAAGACGAACCCGAGATCCTCCTTGCCCCGAGATAATAGACATACAATCGCGACACGGGGGTGACGACCAACATGCCGAAGTTGCACGCCAGTACACGATTCTCTGACCATTGATTGGCCTGAGCGCTACGCAGCAAACTCCTTCCGAGCAGCTCCGAGAGTCTCAAAGCGCATCATTGGCTTTTGCCCAGGGTGATGCGACATCACGGAGGGTAGAAATTGTATTAGAGTTTGGCTCTGTCGAGTTTCTAATCACCATGACGGAGGGAAAGGCATTCTTGCATTTCGTTTCTTCGCGGGTGATTGATGTATCCGAGAAATTGCACACAGGGAAGGACCGGGGTGCGTGACCAGTCAGTATAAAGTGGGCAAGGTCACTGGTCAGTCGCATCGTCAAGTTCAAAAGAACAAAAGGAATTTTGTCAGATTGACCAAAATGAATTCACGTGACTTTGAGACTTCCTTAAAAAGTAATGGGGTAAGTTTTTGCAAACAGTCTTACTCTGACTCTGAGTCTGATCCAAACCTGTTGCGGCATTTCTGTCAGCTGTGCTGAACTTTGGAAACGGGAAGTCGACTTTTTTTCTCCATCTTTCTTAAGAAATGGTAGCCCTGGACGATTTGGACTCTGTCAAGGTTTATACCGTCAATGGCGCAGCGTCCGGTTCGTCTTCGTCTCTCCCGGACTGGCTCACCCGAAAGCGAGTCGCAAAGAAGGGGAAGCGTGCAGTCAAAGAACATGTAGAGGGAACCATTGACCTCATTCAAGAATTCCAATTTCCTGAGGCGAGCAATAGAATCAAGACTACCCGTGACGGTCACCATGCAATTGCAACGGGTGTATACAAACCGCAAATGAGGGCGTACGACCTCGACCAATTAACACTTAAGTTCGAGAGACACACAGATGCGGAGAACGTGGATTTCATAGTGAGTGAGTGCTACTTTCTGTATCACAATATCTGTTACTGAATTTCGTTGCAGATACTTTCAGATGATTGGACAAAGACGTTGCACTTGCAAGCCGACCGGTCGATCGAGCTACACACACAAGGAGGGTTTCACTACCGTACTCGTATACCCCGGTTTGGGCGAGCCATTAATTATCATTTCCCTTCGTGTGATGCGCTCGTCGGAGCTTCTGGACCAGAGGTCTACCGCCTTAATCTCGACCAGGGCCGTTTCATGACTCCGCTGGTTTTGGAGGGAGAAGGAGGAGAGGAAGTCGCTGGTGTAAATGCAATTGACGTCAACCCGGCGCACCAACTTTTAGCGTTCGGGATAGATGGAAATGCAAGCGTTGAGTTCTGGGATCCGCGATCTCGATCTCGTGTAGGCTTATTGCAACTTCCGCGTCATCAACTCGCTGTGAATGGGTCCATTGCACCTCCTCTGCCTGGAGTTGACGATGACAAAACAGGCAGGGGGCTTTCGGTTACTGCCATTACATCGCGGACAGACGGTTTGTCGTATGCTATCGGGACGTCTACAGGTCATACATTGCTATATGATATTCGATCACCAAGACATTACGCGATGAAGGATCTGGGGTATGGGCTTCCCGTAAAGAATGTCTCCTGGATGGAAGGAGGGAGTCGGATGGCGGGAGATGGGCTAGTACTCAGTGCAGATAGGAAGGTAATCAAAATATGGGACAAGAATAAGGTGCGGCTATCAACCCGTCATTATAAATTTTGCAATTTACCTTTACTCAGCCCGAGGGTAATTTCGTGTCCATCACACCTGCGTACGACATCAACCATGTGCATCACATACCCGCAAGCGGATTACTATTACTAGCAAATGAAGGCATTCAAATGACGAGCTATTATATTCCGCAATTGGGACCTGCTCCGAGATGGTGTAGCTTCTTGGACAACATCACCGAAGAAATGGAGGACCAGACCGTACGTAATGTATACGAAGATTACAAGTTCGTCGAGAAAGACGACCTCTCTAGGCAAGTAACACGCCTTTTTAACGTTTACTCATGCTGACTAGGTAAATGTTAGACTCGGACTGGACCATCTTGTCGGAACACCTGCGCTGAAACCTTACATGCATGGCTATTTCCTCTCGTTACGCCTGTATGATGCAGCCCGTGCGATTGCAAACCCATTCTTATATGAAGAACATCGCGCGAAGCGTGTACAAGAGAAGCTCGACAAGCTCGCAGAAAGCCGAATTCGTGCACGAAAGGATATCCAAGTACCGAAGGTGAACAAGGTACTAGCACAACGTATACAGAAGGAAGAGGGGCGTGTAGCTCGGCACGAAGAAAAGAAGATGGAGAGGCGGATAAACTGTGCTGCAGCCGAGGAGACCAGAGATGACCCGGGAGAGGCTGGTGACCTGGAGATGGAAGAAGTGCCCACAAGGAAGCCCAAAAAGGCCAACCTACTCAATGACCCGCGATTCTCAGCACTCTTTGAAAATCCAGAATTTGAGGTCGACGAGGAAAGTAGGGAGTTCAATCTTCTCAATCCTTCGCTTTCTGCACAAAAGAAAGCACCAAAAACGGCTGTGGAAGAGGAAGAGGAAGAAAGCGATCGTCGATCTGGCTCAATTGAAGGCAGCTCGACCTCGAGCGACGCTGGGGAAGGAAGCGGTTCTGAGGATAGCAGTGATGCAGGTGACTTGGATCAGTATAATCCTCGTGCACGACCAGAGAACTCGGCGTCCGCCTTTCCAACCGCATCACGCCGCCCGACAAAGCAGGTGCGTATGGTCGCGGCGGCACCAGAGGCTGCAGGTCGCAGTGGTAGAACTCGCGCACCTGCATTTGGTAAAGATGCGACGTTTGGCCAGCGTCGCCAGGGAGTATCTGCATCGACAATAGGGAAGGGCAAGCATCGCGCGTCTGGTGCCTTAGCCGATCCTGGTGGCGACTTGGAGATTTCATGGATTCCTCAGCACTCATCGGGCGCACAAGACGAAGATGAGCCCGCTGGCGTGCGCGGCAATTCCAAACGCAAAACGAGCAAACAAAAAGGTACGACGTTCGGTGCGGGTCTTGAACGTGGCTGGGACGAAGGAGAGGACAGACGAAGAAAAATCATGCCGGAGAGTGACAGACATGGAAGGACGCATAGAAGGAGCAACGTCAGGAGTGGCAGTAAAAATGCATTCCGAGGATTATGAGTTATCCCTATTCGTATTTGTATTACATGCGTTCTCTGTTATGCTGAGATCATGGAAACCTGTCGTGCCATCAGACATGAACAATGTGCACCTACGGCAATATTAGGAACAAGCTAGTCGTAACGTATTCAGAATGACGTTAACGCTGCAATTCATTCCGACGCCATGTCTTCCCGACCCGGCGATAAGATTCTATTTTTATGCGTGATGAATCATCAAAGTTTGAAAGCGCGACGCGTCGGAAGCCGGGTCTCGCCACCTCCGAAAATTCGTCGCTTTTCTCCTCGTGCGACCAACGACTCTCTTTCAGACGACCATGACGTCTACAATGTCTAAACGGGGGCGTATCTACACTGTCGAGGACGTCGCTGCACATAATACACGTCGTTCATGCTGGGTATCGCGAAACGGCAAAGTGTACGATGTCTCAGGATTCCTTGCCGACCATCCTGGCGGAGACGACCTTATTCTTAATCACGCTGGGAAGGACGTGGGCTCTGTCATGGCAGACAAGGATGAACACGAGCACTCGGAGTCGGCATATGAGATGCTAGATGACTTTGTTATTGGAAGACTTTGCGAGGGAGAAACGGTTGTCCGTGACGGTACGCGTTTTCAGTGTGTGCATGTCGACTGTCTCTCAGAGCTCACTTTTCTCGTTTAGACTGGGTTGCAGATGATAAATTCTATCCTGAAAACACGGATTCACTGGAAGACTTTGAAAAGAATCAGTTTCTCGACCTTCGTAGACCCTTGATGCGTCAAGTATGGGAAGCTAATTTTAGGTATTTCTTTTCATTATTTTTATCGAAGTCTTGCTGATACCATACACGTTCATAACAGCAAATCCTACTACCTCAAGCAGGTACACCAGCCTCGTCATCTGCCCGAGCCAGTACGTCTGTTTGGTCCCGCCTACCTTGAAGTCAGTATGTTTCACCCACCTTGCAGTTGTTCTTTCTTATTGATAATATACTGTATTCTTAGATATTTACTCGAACCAAGTGGTATGTCGTACCGATCGTCTGGCTTCCTATTGTCTTCAACCTCTTCCTGCGCTCGGCGCTCGGTTTCTCACGTCCACTGCCAAACTTCGTTGTCGCGCCGCTCTTTCCTTTCTCTGCTTCCGTAATAGCATCCATTACACCAACGGCTCTCGCGGCCACCGTAACATGCTTCCTTGCAGGAAATGTCATCTGGACGATGCTGGAATACTCGTTGCATCGGTTTTTGTTCCACATCGATGAGCTGCTGCCTGATCGGCCGATTGCGATTCTTCTGCACTTCATGTTGCATGGGATCCACCACTATGTGCCAATGGATAGGTTAGTAGCTTGGATTATGTAGACGTGATTCATATTATTGACGCTTTGGAGCAGGCTTCGTCTTGTGATGCCCCCAGTGCTGTTTTCAGCACTTTCATTCCCTTTTACGCGGCTCGCATACTACCTCTTTCCGACGGCCATGGCAAATGGTGTCATATCTGGTGCCTTCGCATTCTGTGAGTTTGGCTACACCTTCATAATTTTTAGTTCATTATGCCTTATGTTCTTATAGACGTACTTTATGACTGTATGCACTATGCGTAAGTGATACTCCGCCATGTCCCTGTTTATTCTAGCACTGAATAATTTGTTAGCCTGCATCACACAGCACTTCCGGCGTACATGCGCGAGATGAAGAAGTACCATCTTGCTCACCACTACAAAAATTTCGAGCTTGGTTTTGGTGTGACCAGTGCGTTCCTTTTCACCTATTACCTTTCGTCTCCTGCTAACGAACCTCTGTCGCATGTGTGATAGGCAAGATTTGGGATTACGTCTTCAACACCGTGCTCCCCCTCTGAAGTTCCACATCCAGCAAGCTCCTGACTACCGATTGACCCTCATTATTGACGCTCGATGGTTGTCCGAGATTGCAATGTATCGTTTTCCAAATATACGGTGCTTGTCGTCTGCAGTATGCTTGTGATACCCACGTGTGTAAATTATATGTCGTGCTTAATCGTGCATCTGGATATTAGATGTCGTTTCGTTTGAATATTGACATCACTCATCTTTGTATTGTGCCTGTTCTTTCTATACTAAAGTGATAGCGAACATAGGATGGGCCTCCTTGCCTTCGTATGCCCAAAGGATATCCAGATTAGATGTGGAATATTCGCAGCTGTTTGAGACTCCGCCTGAATTGGGGTTCTTCTGTGCCGCCACTCATCGTCTCTTTTTACACTCTAAGATCTAACTGCGATTGCAACGGTCCCGTCCGTGGTCAAAGGTCCAATCTGTGTGCATTTTGCTACTTAGCCGTCTTATGCCATCGCCTCTCTAGCTTTCTGAGCGGTGATGAATACTCATTCATACGTGTCGTCACAAACTCCCTGCCATTCTGCGATAAATTTTACTCTCGTGGATCTCTTTCCGCCTCGGGGACGTCCTAATCACCGCTTTCTGTCCGGATGATTCTCGTCTTTGGGCAATTTGCTTCAATTTCTCAACTAATTCTCCTCTGGGAAAAGGCAGTACTTAACTTAGTATCGACAAGCGATTTCCGTGCATATTGCAAGAACACTTCTGTTGAAAGTGTCTGATACACACAATGCACCTCGTGTAAGTGAGTCAAAAAGAATTCAATGTGCTTCTCACTGCGCTGTAAACACTCTTCTATATTTGGAGAGCTCATCCTTCAACATCATGATGTTGGGGGAAATATAGCTAATCTGCGATTTCGATTTTCGACAACATTTGTAGAACAACTCATCGCCCACTTTCGCAACTTTACGGGCCCCGACAGTGCCGATGCACAATGCCTGATCATCGACGCAAGCCGTTCTTTCACTTTACGTTACCAGAAGAACACTTCTTGCTGATTCGTCCCAATATGGCGCGTCGGCTGTTGCGGCGCTCTATAATAACATGAAGTTTATCCAGCCCATTCAAGCATGGATAGTACCAGAAGTCGGCAGGGCAGAGATATAAAGTAAACAGCGTATTTCCCCACAGCTCGATCCTACCCCGCTCAGTCTGCACTCCATCAGATTTGACGATGCAGTGGCAAACTGTTCCAGTGGACGGCGACGGAACAAAGCTGGGATATATCGACTCCGGAGCACCGCCTACATCTTCGTATACAACAGTCGTTCTGGTGCATGGGCACACTTTCAATGCACGTAAGTCGCGTAGATTCAAACTCTGCAGTTCTGAATGCAGATATAACTTTGCAAATCGACAACAGCTGTTTTTTCCCGCCTTTTACCCCTCGCACAGCAGAATGATCTTCGTCTGATTGCTCTTAACCAGCGAGATTATGTCAACTCGACACCGTTCGCCGATGCAGAGCTAGATATACTTTCCAGTAATGATGAAGTAGCTCACATGAATTTCTTTCGCGCAAGAGGCCTTGAATATGCAAGATTCTTGTGTTGGGTTATCAAGGAATTGAATATCCCGCGTTTGGATCCTGCCGAGTCGTCCGGTGGTCTTGCGTTTTTGGGCTGGTCGCTCGGCAACCTCACGACTATCGCGTTTCTCGCGTATTTGGATTCCTGTCCGCCGGAGATCATTCAAACACTGAAGCCTTATCTGAAATCATTTTTCATCTATGGTGTGTTCTGCGGATAAACTCTTGTTCTCTCGATTGATATCCCCTCAACATTCAATGCTTTTCAGGCGCTCCACATATGTTCCTTGGATATCCTATCCCTCCGGGTACATACAATCCATTTTATGTACCAGAGAATCCTATGAGGATCGCCCCGCTCTCCTTCGCATCATGGGTATCAGCGTACTACAAGCATCCGGCTGATTCCGAATCGGGCTCTACTGTTACTCCGGACGCCTTCATACAGCACGAACCAGAGAAACATTATCGTCCCTGTACAACTGATACGATGTCAACCGACGAGCTTTCGATGACGCTCGACTTGACGCCAAACGCTCGCTCCGAGAGATTCTACTTTGACATGTCGTTTCCTATGCTGCACAATATGCTCGAGAAAGCCTTACTCGGTGCGAACAATAGCCCACTCCCAAACATGAAAGTATACTATATTTTCGGTCTTGAGGATATCTGGCTCATTCATTGGGCTGCCGTCGAGTTCAAGAAGGACCTTGCGAAGTGGGAAGACGAGAGGAAGGATCCAAGGCCGATAAAGGTCATTCCAGTTGCTGAAGCAAACCATTTCGTAAGTTGTGACACAGGTATTATTGGAAGTCTTAGTTGTTTACTCATGTTATACCATGGCAGATACATTGGGACGACCCCAAGGGTTTCTTGGACCTGATCGTGAAATGCGTTCGCCAGTGACCTCAGGAATCAGAGTGAAGTACTTTGTTTAGTCTGCAGAAAATAAATCGTTCGCGTGTAACATATACTAAATAGCAACATCAGGATCCTTTGGTTTAGGTCCTTTCTTACTGAGCGTGCTTTCTAGGCCATATGGTAGTGCATATAATTGCCGCTTAGGAAGAATCTGAGCAAGTTTTTGATTAGGCAATTCGATCACAAAATTGAATACGCAAAAGCGAAGAAAAGAAAGTCATAAAAATGCGGTACTGTTAATGCTCACTATTCCGATCTAGTGTGTTGGCCAACGTCGGCCTATGTCGTGTCAGACATACGAAAGTAAATAGATGTAACCGAGCTGTTGCTTATTTGACGCCCAGATTCTTCTTCATATCAGCGAGTATTGAATCTGCCTCTTTTAAATGCCTCTGAAGGAGCTCATGGAACTGGGATGTTGCGCATTAAATACTCGCCTCGATAAAGTAGATTGTCAAACGCACCTCATCTATTGCTATTGAGTGTTTCTTGTAGTTTCCTTTCTTTACACTTGTTTGTTCGACGCGACGTAGTTGCACGCGAGTATCTTCGGCGAGTTTCGTAGCGGACTTGACAAGTTCTGCGCGTGCTTCGACTGTTGGCCTGCAAGCTGTGTTAGGAAGTAAAACATCTACGAGAATCGAAAGCGACGTACTTCGGCATTGGAATTTTAATAGTCCGGTTATCCATTCTTTGCGGCACAACATGAGGAATACGTGCGGCGTAGATCGCTTTCTCGACATGTTTGAGCGTCTGAGAAAATCAAGCAATTTTAATAACAAAAACTCAATACGCCGTTAGAAGTAAGAAATCTAGGTACGCACATCTTCTGCAAACACGGTCACGATAAGCGTCGTACCCTCGCGAACACCAACAGTTGCCAATTCTGTTAGGCCAGACGTCTCGCCTTCCGGCATACCGGGAAGAGAGACGCGTACAGGCTTAAGTATATCCGGCGTAACGCGTCCACTCCCTTGTATCTCTTTCGATGCTACCTCGCGTCGGAACCAGTCGATCGCACTCTTCATCTTTCCATTCGCGTGGTCATACTCAGCTTGTGCCTCACCCGAGAGCACTTGCTGGGAGCCAGGGACGAGTCCATCGGTATTGGTACTATGACCGCCCCAGGATTTGTCTCTCTCTGCTAGACCAGATTTGACCGAACGTTCTACGTTTTTCTTGGCTTTCGTGTCTTTTTCTTTCCCTTTCCCGCCTTTTGATTTGGAGGCGTAGAGACGGGTAGATTGCGAGAGGCAAGGGTGGGGAGATAATAGCACAGAGGTTCTGATAGAATATATGCAAAAAGATGAGGATGGCTGTCGAAAACGACAGAGTGTACGAAGAGAACCGTACATAACTTAAGGACTTACACTTTGAACAAGAAAGTTTTGGTATGGTTTGCATCACGTGACTGACATGGCGCATTTAGCCGCGCGTAATGCCGACCCGCTGCCATGAAGGCCTTGATTCTTTGAAAATGAATATAAGAGCGGTTGCTTCTGAGCACCTACCTCGTTTTCTGCTTTTATGTTGACGCACCGGAACCTGCTACAATCAATTACCTCTTTTTTGATACATTGCGCTTCGCCTGTCGAACACGAAGTATACCAATGATGCCATGATGACCAAAGATTATTGGATAGGAGACACCTCAAGGCTCCGAGGGTGTGTAAAAATCAAACAGCGATTACTGGAAGTACACAAGGCGGGAATCAATGGCTCCACAACGGGCCTCCGGTAATGCCTCGAGCTACCAATAATCACTGAATATATTCACGAATCTAACAAAAGGCTTCGAGAAAACGACACACGTGTGCTCCGGCATTTATACAGTGGGGGGATTGCGCTATGGATCATATAGGAATCTCCTAGCCCATGTATACCGCGGAATCCGTCCAATGAAATAATGATATCCAGTTTCCTAACCAATTACATCCGTTTATTCGAACGATCGGATTATCAGAGATACACTAACATCCAACCCTATACGACATTACGCAGATAAGGAGAGTTTCTGATAAGCGATGCCGAATTTCGAAGGCGTGGGGGTACTGGAGTGGGAGCCCGAGGGGAAAGTTTCGGAACGTGGGCGGTCCGACTAGATAGAGCCGTTAATACTTTCTGGCCTATGCAAGTTGCAACTAACCATTCAAATCTAGGCAGCCGATACGATGGACGGGATTGTCAGGATCATGACGTTTATCCGCGTCCTCCATCTGTGAACGGGTCTTCGGGTCTTCCTTTAAGCTTCGTTTTCTCTCCTCGTTCCCTACATGCTACTATCCATACGAATGGCGCTATTTAAGAACGTCAGTTTCTACCTTCTATGACTGATTTAGCAAAAGGATCTACCTAGTACCTTGTTTTTCTTCATCTTTTTTCTTTATTTGTCCATCTATTCTTGATCTTCAGAGTGGAACGGGCCACTATCGAATATCAAATCAAAATGAATAAGATTAAAGATAGTGGAAAGCAAGGCGAAAAAAAGACACCGAACTTTTGCATCCATAAGGTTCTTTCACTCGCTTACGAAAGTAACTCAAGCTTCTTGATCTTTATTTCACTACAATTCAATGTAATTTGTTCGAGAATGTACTTATTTTCTCATTGTTCATATGCAATGAGTCTGACGGACGACGATGACAAGGAAGCGTGTTGCGGGATTTAAAGCCGCGGGATTCGATGATTGATTCAATCGATATGTATTAAATATTTGGTCCTAAAATATTATTGCTCATCTAGGGGGCTTTGCAAGCGAATATAATGCTTCATTGATTTATGGTACGATATGTGGGAATGGAGTCAACGGACTCTGTTGTACGGGCGCTGAATTTCGTTTTCTTTCTTATTTCTACACCCGTCTTTTCATGCACGACACGGCCAGTATCGGTCTCAAAGACCAGACGGATTTGAAATAAGAATTGATGGTATGATATTGCTTTTTTGGTGCACTGCACTTCCCTTTCTTGGACGAGACATGCGTTGCACTGATGGTGGTACTTCATGATATTCGTATTACTTGTTTGCAGCAGGGGTGACGTGATATTCTGAAACGGATCCGCTAATAATGATGGAGATGGAGGAGAGTCCAGCATTCAGTATCAGCAATGCATTTTACAGATGCGGAAAGTAATGACCTGCGGTACTTCGGTGAACATGCTCGACACGAGTCCTTACAAGGCCTAACATGCTGCATTATGCATCCCTAGTGGGTCCCTCCCTCTCCTGATTAATTTGTGCTAATGCTGTTATTCGGGCCTGAACAGGACCTACACAATCCCTGATAATCCAAGTCACCCTGTTTTCTACCGCGTGGCTACTTATATACAAAATGACTAAGACTGGTTTCGGAAAGGTGGATCTGCAAGGTCAACTTGTTTCAGCGTGTTTGGTTCTCCATGATCGAGCCATAAAGATATCCCGAATGCAAGGCAGTTGCTTCAAATGTGTTACTCAACAAAATTTGATGAGGATCAGTGCAATTACACATACTTCCTTTGGTATATCGCATCCGCTAGGTACGAACAAGATGCTAAGCCCCCCGACAAGATTTTTGGAGTTACTCTCAGCCGCAGTTCCATCCCCTTCATTTCGTTTCGGGTTATTCGTCGGATCGGCGCGGCGTCCGAGAAAGGGGGATGGGGTTTGTGCAAGGAGAGTGGAAGAGGGCTGAAGATCGAGAAATGTGCCCAAATCTTGAATTTCTTCCAAACTAGGACTGAGAGCAAGGTACTTCTGCAGGCCAAGACTAACGAACGGAAGACCGCTCAATAGCAATAGGAGTGCTGATCGGTCTGGACAGTTTACAGTCTCTACAAGAAGGTTGGAGAAAGAGACTGAAATTTCCCAATATATCCGATCCACTCGCGCGATGACCTCACCACATTCGCATCAGCGTACCGATGACCCGAGTTTCTGAGGTCTGGACTGGAATTTCCAATGGTAGTCCTGTTCCTCTTATGAGTAAGGAGAAAGAACCTCTTGAATGGATCTTGAGTGGCCGGTTGGCTGTGAACGGCGAGAAGGTATTCCGTTGCATATGGGCGCAGAGATTAGGAAGAATAATACCTGGTCGCAAATAATGCGACTTCGGGTCTTCGGCACAGTGGCTGTTGGAATTTCACTTCATCTTGATTGCGCATTGCGGAATAAACTAAATTAATGCAATTATACCGTCCATGCACAGGCAACATAGCTACCCTTCCGTTCAGAAGACCTCGCAGAAATCATCCTTTACTGAGCCGTGAATGAAAAACAAGCGCCTAAAACTGTATAGCACTTACTGCACACGTCATACTATCCGTTAGGAAGTTCGAGGGCTCATTTGAAGATGCGATCGGGGTGCTTTTGGGCAGGCGAGATTAGAATGCAAAGGAGGCGGTGCTGTTGTGGGGAATGAATTCTTTCTTCGTGCTCCGTAGAATGCATCTATTTTAATTTGGGCATTCCGTTGTGGTGTCCAAGAAATACCTTCCTGATCATGGAGATTGAGGGAAGATATGGACGTCGACCAGCTATGTATATGGAGAACGATTTGCGTCACTGCGAAGGAAGGCGGGTTTTGAGCGATGAGTCCGCTAATTTATATATTTATTTGCCAGGAAGACAGGGATTGAGAGGACAGAGAAAGGCAACAGACATCGATTGGCGCGCAAAAATTGCGAGTGGAATTACAGTTTCCTTCGTTGGATGGTTCTGGAGGCTAAGAGTCAGGCTTGGCGACAGGTTTGGCAGGTAGAGGATGAGTCACTGCAGTTTGCGAACATTTTTTGAAACCGCGCGGAAAGGCACCGCAAGTAAGTAAGCACAGAAGTAAGGTAAGGGTGATTTCGGGATAAACAGATGTACTGTGTCCGACCGGGAGCGGCGGATGTGTGCGTTGACTCATTGGCCAACAGCTTGTAACGATGTTCGGGTTTCTATAAATTTCTGTTTCGAAACGTGTATGAAGGGAGTAGAAGGGGGGCCAGTTTTTTTGGAGAGCGATGACGTCGAATGCTTGCGTGGAATGGGGGGCATTAATATTTGTTCTATTTAGAGAGTGCAATGACAGAGACAGCCAGCGAATTTAAGATGGACCACGCAAACAAACGACGATAATGCATGTTCGTGTTTAGTGAGGACTGCGGAGCAGGGACATACAGCGGCGGAGCAAGGGAGGACGCATGGGCGCGGAATGGGTGTGACAGGCAACAGGAAGGGAGGCCAGAGTGGGGACAAAGATAAGAGGAGGACGATGATTAGCTGGCAGGATAATGGACGAAGTCTATGCGGACGACCGGATCGATCTGGGGTCACCTTTGGGGTCCTGCTTATTCCGGGGAAATAACATTTGTGATTTACAGATCATTACGTACATGCGTCGGCTACCACGGCTTGCCCGCACTTGCGTGACAGTCCTTCTTCGGTCTCAGCCGGCCGTTGGCGCCCAGGTCTTCTTTATCGAGGAGTCGCCTGCTCTTCTCGGCTCGTATACAGACATATCTGACTATATATGTGCCCCTAGATAGCCGGATACGGGAGGGAGAAGCAAGAAGTGTGACATGTCCGTGCTGCCGGATGAGGCAGGACGAGTGCATTCAAGTAGGGCCCCGCATTATAATATACTGCTCCCCGCATCCGACCCCCATCCTCAGCGACGCCCGTCCTGTCCCTCCACGATCCCTGTCTCCTCGTCCTCCTCTTGCCCTTCTGCCACCCGTTTCTGACAGTCTCGCCGCTCATCTGTGTCGACAGGGCTTCGTGGTGACCTCGAACGCTTGTACATAGGTTCACCATCTGCTCGCCATCACCAACGACGACAGACCACGCGGTTTTGGCGATACTCTCTTCATCTTTGATTTACATACCTCAGCTGTCTTCCACCGCTGCTCATGGCTTTCTTCTCGCCGCCCTCAAGCTCATTCAGCGGCATCTCGCAGCCGAAGATGCGGCAGGAGGGCTTCCATCTACCCTCGCCCTCGCCCAGCTCTGGACAACCACCCTCGCCGCCCCCCGGTCCATTTGACCTTTTCCTCACCCATTCTTCGCATCATGCGCATCAGGGAGTGAGTAACGCGAACGGCAGTGGAAATGGGAACAATGGTGGGAACGGACTTCCGTCACTCTCCTTGCCGGACGCCTTTTCGCGCTCAAACGCGATGGATCTCACCGACGAGCTTGCAATGTCACTCATGAACCCTGCAAGCCCCGCGACGTCCAACGAACGGTCAACGCACACTCCGCCTGCACGTCAGTCCCAAAATCAGGTTGGAGAACAGACGCATATGCACAACATCTTTGACATCTCCGCCCCACCCTCTTCCCACTTTTCCAGTACAAACGCTGGTGGACACGCGTTTTCCCTTCCGCACGCGACTCATCGTCCAGATTTACCTCCGTTGAGCCAGCCGGCATCGCTCGCGACCTCTCACTTACACGGACATTACGATCACCATCCTGGGAATTTCCATCACAATACGCAGAATGGGTTTTTGGGCGGGCGCGATACGTTCCCTGCACATTTCAACAGCACCATCCCGCCTCTCTCGAATCACCATGATCCACATCCCCCTCCGCTTTCACTTTCTGCTTCAGGCACGAACGATTTGGCCGACCCATTTGGCCCGTTCACTCCAACGTCTACGAGTAGTATTCCAGCTCGCGATAGTGCGAGTCCTCAGCCTCTTGGCGGCGGTAGGAGACGTGCAGGCAGTCGGACTGCTACTGGCGGCAATAGATCGCATTCAAGGAGCCGATCCCGTGTAAGAGCAAGTGCCGCTAGCTCACAATCGCAGGGCCAAGTAAGTGGAACTGCAGGCGGTCCGACGCGTACGACAAAGAGCACGAGCCGTCGCCGAGACTCGTTCACTTTACCTCCGCACTTATCGCATTCGCATTCACAATCGCATTCAATGGCACACAATCAAGCGCACATGGGCCATCACTTACACAATTTACCCTCACCTCCATTGGGCGGGAGCGGCAGCGCCCCTCGACCTTCGTCCATTGTCATTCCGGCACACGGCGGTCCGGGCGGGGCGCTGAGTCCGCTGGGAAACATGGGCGGACTGGGAAGCGCTCTGAGCCCGCTCGGTCCCGGGCCCGGTCATATCAATGGAAATGGTATTGGTCAAGCGAGCGGGTGGTTTGATGTCAATGGGCTTAAGACTGTGAACGGTATGAATATCAATGGAATGGGAAATGGGAATGGCCATGCTATGGGTGCCAATCCCGGAAGTGCACCTACTGGCGCGGAATACAGCCTTCCGACGCCAGATAGTGTGGGGCACGGGCCATTCGGGGCATTTGGAACAAGGTATGCATACCTCTTTGATACAGTCTTTATTACTCGTAGGCTTGAAAGAAGCATCCGAGTAATACGGAGAATCTAGAGATTCGACCTAACAATGTCATTTTTTTTGTAATGCCAGTGTCGGAAGTATGGGCATTTCCCCGAAGGATACCGTCACTTCTGCAAAGGATGATCCGACTGCACAACTGGATCCTGCGGCAAAGCAGTGAGTTTTCTGCAAAGCCATTGTTGGCGAAGAATACTTGACCAATGCACATTCTTACCTACTTTTTTTTCGCGTATGAACTCTTTTCTACACCTTTTGGCGTCTCAATAGAGCTGCAATTGTCAATGAGAAACGCCGCAGAAGGCGTGAATCGCACAATGCCGTCGAAAGACGCCGTCGGGACAATATCAATGAGAAAATAAGCGAATTGGCGACGCTAATTCCCGAGGTCATGCTGGATCCCTCCGCTGGTGGTTCATCTGCGTCTGCCGGTCAGTGATTTAACCTACCTTTATCTGCATTTAAAAACGATTTTCTCTTACTTTTTGTTATAACTATTTGTTTATTTTTGAAAATGGATGTAGGTGTAAATGAGGGCAAGAAGGACAAAGATGGTGACATGGACGGAGACGGAGACGGAGATTGCGCAGATGAGAAATCATCCGGTACTTTCTCTAAGCAGAAAGCCATGAAGGGCGACAAGTTGGAAAAGGAGAGTTCTTCCGGTGGGGTTAAAGCGAATAAAGGCATGATTCTCCGCAAGAGCGTCGAGTATATCCGATATCTGCAACAACTTGTTGGCGCACAAGCGGCGCGGAATCGCGCCCTGGAAGCTCAGCTTGCACAAGCAGGTCTCGCGCCGGCACCATCTTCCCCATCGTCTGCGACGCACCCCCAGTCTGATGAGCTTAACGGCATATTTAATACGGAGGGGTTGCACGTGTTCGACGATCGTATGGACCTTGGTGGTCTCGGAAATGGCGTTGGCGCTTTCGCAGCACAGCTTGGAGGACTTGAACCGATGGCAGAGATTGATATGGATATGGATATGGAAACCGAGGGAGCTGAGAATGGTTTCACGCATACTAATGCTAACGGAAAGTACAACACTATCGCTGGCGCGAGCCCGAGCGAGGCGGACGATGGTGACGAGCACGACCACGACCACGAAAACGAGCAAGATCATGAACAAGGATCTCCTGAATCTATATCGGACGCATCTTCACTGCAGGACCGCCGGGATGTGTCCTCGGATCGCTCAGAGGAGCACGGTGTTGGAGCTGGCGGCGAAAGAGAAGAACGTGGCAGACGAGGGCGAGATGGGAAGATCCCCATACCAGCGCCGAAAAGTCCCACCGTGAGCTCCAGTCTGACGGGGCGAGCAAGGCGACGTTCAAAACTTGTTGCGGTTAAAGAAGAGGGTGCTGGAATGGACGACTAAGCCCCCAATCCGCAAGTTAACAGTCAAAATAAACAGAAAAGTGCACTGTATGGCACGTCTATGGATTATTTATTTCGTTCTCCTACAGTGCCCATCCGTCCTTCGTGCTCACTCTGGGCTCGGTTACGACGCAGCGCTGCTATATCCAATAACTACCTCTTTCCAATTTAATTATTCGTTTCGTGCTTCATACTTAACTCTCCTCTCTATACATGTGGTCCTGCTGATCCAAGTTGCTGAGGAGATCCCGGCCCATTTGTCATCTTTTCTGCCTTTTACAGTTGCTCCACATTGTTTTACTGACCCTATGCCAAACCTATCATTGTCCTTTCCCTGCTCGCATTTTCGTCTACAATTCGCTTTGCCACACTGCACCTATTTTTCCTGAGGCCAACTGTTTACATTTACAACGAATTCCGACGGGCTGTATCCATCCCATGACTTTGATTTCTCATCCCTTCAACGTTCTAAACTCCGTCTTTTGATGCTGACATTCGCTCTTTGTTCAACACAAAAAAAATGTGTATGACTAAATTCTGTAGTTCTACTCTTTTCAATCCTGGGTTGTTCGATGCGTCGTGTACGATTACAAATGGGAAAGGCATGTTGGTTATTCTTCTGTTGTCGGATTTTGCAATGCATGTCTGCGTCGTTAGAGGATGAAACAAAGTATACAATATAGGGTTCTCGGAGATCGAGAGATGAAATACAGAAACTCAATCGGACTCTGACCATGAGGCACGCAGGAGATTAACCGATGATGAAGGGATGAAGTGCGGGGGAAGGATAAACGAGGCAGGAACAGTTCCTTGAGGTCTACGCGCAACGGGTGGGTGGAAATCAAGAAGACCAAGGCGCGACAGGACAAATCAGCAGTGGGGGTCAGCTGATCGGGTCCACTCGTTCTGTTTCACTCCAACACTGTGGTGAGAGTCGACGCTTATGATTATACGAGGTTAACATGATTCACTTGCAAAGGCCACGGAGACAGGAGAAAGCGAATCAGTGTATGTAAGCCAGCCGAGACCAAGCGCGCCTAGATCTAGGATAAGGTCTCGATCACTTGTTGACAATGACAGGGAAGAAGACAGGAGGATTTCCGTTAACCCGAACCTGTTTTATTCCATATACCTTCACCCTTCACGTGCACTTAGGTAGGTCCGAGCGGTATTTGAACGTGTTTGGCGTCATTCAAGCAATCGTATACAGACTTTCTTTACGTGTGGAGAAGCACATGTAGAAGATCAGGCGAGCCTGTTCTCCTGATCACTCGTCGTTGGGGAAGGGGGGAGGGGGAGAGCAGGTAATTGCGCCTTATCGCTTCACCCAAGGTGGTTAGGTGTACATTCAAGCTCAAATCAGAGCCACAACGAAGTCCCCGGAGTCGGATTCTTGTAGATGGTTGGGGATAATGTAACGTCCATGAAGGTCACCAGATTCAAGGACGAGTCAGGAATTGGACAAATGTTCATTTAGTGCCGGGATCGGAAGCGGAAACGGAGTCGGGGCAAGACGAGAGGACACTGGAACGCCTACAACGCGTTGAGAAGTCAGTACATCTCCACGCTTGATTCCTTGTCAGTGTGTACGGCATGACAAGACGTAAGGATTCGCCGCAGAACCACGCAGCCTTGCTTATCCCCAGCTTTCCACCACGCTTTCGTAATTCATAAGTCGGATGGGGCGACTTCGATGAATATATTCCCGCACTTCCTTGCCGTCGGTCCTTCGGACTCAAGCCACACTCCAGTTAACGAAGCTCGAGTCCGCAACTCTCTTTCTAGTTTCTTCTTCTTACCAAGAGGCTATGATGTTTGGGGGTCCATAAGCCGTGTTCCGGAGTTCGTGCGCAGTAAGTCAGCCCTTGGCGTAACAAGAACGAGAAAACCAAAGGACATAATCGACAACGAGGCTAACGTTCGCACTCCGAGTGCGAGTACCATGATAACTGCCCGCATGGAGAGATACTCAAATTAATTGAGGAGCACAATACTAAATACCACCGATAGAATGCCGATTGCATTGAGGAAAGTGTCGGGAAGTGGTCGAGCTTGATGAACTCTAGTAGACGTTATCTTAGGACCCCATTTACACTGTCGAAGATACGCGGCATATCTTCCGACCTAAATACTCAGTATGACCTCATTGCAAGTCAGGGAACGGGTATGGTCAACTTTCACTGTGGTGTATCAGCGGACATCGGGAAGGGCTGTACGGTCGTGTGCAATCGCAATGGCACACTCAGCTTCATCCAAAGACGGTGAGATGCGTTTTTCGCCACAGTACATAACATACTTTTTTGATCCGATCCGTGCTCAGAAGTCCAAGGTCGGCAGGATATATGGGCAAAGTTATCATTGGCCCAGAATAAATCTGCCATAAACTAGTAAAATTGCTGAAACAGTGGCTAGGTTGTCCGACAAGGGATTAATCAGCTTTGCGTATACGCTTACGGAAAGATAAGTAACTCTCGCAAAGCGGTGAAAGAGTAGAGTATGCATGACCACAGATAAACGGCCGATGGGATTCCCCACACCGACACATTCAGAAAGCTGTAGGATAAGACTCGATACGCAAGGTCGAAGTGCAGCATAACAGTTGGTGCCACTGGGTGTGTGAAGATACGGAAAAGGCTCGGCAGGTTCAAGATGGCACGAATAGTTAGTCCAAATGTCGGACAACATGGGAGATTAAAGCACCCCATTCAGGTTGGACTGGGAGGACTTCGGCAAGATCCGCGTGAACAATCCATGGCAGATTACTTATTATATTTATTGGCCCTACCTAGCAAGAAGTTCTATTCAAATCCGCGGTAAAGTGAGGGGAGATAACAAGTCGCACTTACCGACCAAATCCGAAGACGTGGCGGTGGGACTCGACTAAGGCCTTCTTTTGCTCGTAGATTGAGAACTTTGCGCTGCCATTTCCTTCTCACACTTTATAACAAGCAAAGAAAGCGCCCGAGATTATTGAAATTAACCTTTGCTCGTATGCACCCCATCATTTACTGGTCATATATATATTATTCAATATGTATATTCCAGGTGAGCGTGCAACTATCTCACTTGTTGCGCAGGTAGTCAATTGGTAAGACATGGCCGTATGTTGCACAAATGTCTCTTTGCTTATGCAATGCACGCAGCAAGCACATTGTATATACAACTTGTAGCTCACAAATCATCAGCCTGGCCCTTTACCAGAGCATCTCCTTGATTCGCTTCTTCTGCCTTGTCGATATGCGTCGCAGTCATCATAAGTACGTGCTTATTAATATTTGCTGACACTGTACAAGGATTGTTGACATTAATGCTTGTCTTACATTGTAATAGACGTGAGAAGGAGCAAAAGAGACAGGCAGAACTCCGTAATAGGCAGGAGAGCTGGAAAAGACTAAGGGATAAATGTAAAGAAGATCTCGAAAAGCGTTTAGAAGATGTCAAAACATTCCATCCTGGATGGGAAGAATCTGAAGGAAAATGGAAGAAACAGCTTGGAATACTTAATAGTCTGAACGATAATGATCCACACTTTAAAGACTTACTCGACGTCCGAGAAGACTACCTTCGTGTATACATGAGTCAACTTGAAAAAGAAATAAAACTTATTGAAAATGAATACAGTTTAATACCAGATTATGAAGAAGGACTTCAGCCAAGACCAAAACTATATAATATACGTGCAGAACAGGAGTTCTTTAAAGGGAAAGTAATTCTTCCAAATTACTTTTATTTTTTGGGCCTTTTATATGTACCATAGTAGTTTCAGGCCCAATATGAAGAAGTAATATATGGTATTGTGTTTTGTGCATCGATTCACTACATATTGCATTATCAAGGCAAACCTATTTGTCCAGAAAGGAGAGAAAGGATAACTTTACCATTTTATTTGATTGCTAGCTAGAAAGTTTATAATGATAAATTGATAATACTGTTATAATTGTCCCTAAAATCAGAGCAAACATGACGTATTTGTGAAGATTAAATACAGTCAAGTATATTATTATAATATGATAAGGTAAAGAGTCATTGCGTTATATACCTATCAACATAATACGTCTTGATTTGCACATACAAACGGTACATTACTATGGAGCAAGTCGGTAGTACTTTGCGGCGGCGAGACTTGCCACGTGACAAATGCATGTAGTGCCATGTACAAAGTGAATCTGGCATACAAGTATACAATCGGAAAGCGCTTCGCTCCATTACAAGAAACGAATCTGACATCCTTGGAAATGGCTTCAGGGAAGAATGAGGATAAACCTGAATATGTAACGAACGACTGGCAAATTGAATGGCTAACAGCTACGCCACAGAATCTTGGCTCGCTCCAGAGCGTCACAGATGAGGAAGGAATCAGACGGGTTGAAGAGGGTGAGGTTCCTTCCGCGCTATTCTAGACGATGTTGCGAGAACAGCTGTCGGATCCTGTACGCTGAACAAATGTTACTTTTGTGTAGCGGTGAATCGTTGCTTCCGCGATGGCTTCAAGTCTGAGGAATACAAGTTCTGGTATTTTTATAGTGAAGGGAACACATTCATAAAAGTTATTGGTACGTCTGTAGATCAGCTAGAATCGGACGCGGGATCTGAGAGGCGTACCATGCTCTTCAGTATCAAACAGAAAGCCCAATTATGACATGATATTGACTGGAGAGTTGCCAGCTTTGGGTATGGTCATGTTCAGGGCGGAAGACACCGACTTCGGTAACATCTGGAAAGACTTGGCATGTCAGATCGAGGAAAAAGCAAAACAAATTGCATTGACGTCCGCTGGGTAGTTTTTGTTAATCAAATATTTTTTGGTGTTGCTTCATGGCCGACGGTTAAGCCGACAGGGGGCGAATTTGCTCCATGATAAACATCATCGTACGGAACAAATAACTCGGGATAATTAATTAAAAGTATGACTATTATTGTCAAAACTGCAGTGAAACTCAAAGATGATTCAAGCAAGAAATAACAGAGTAACTCACTGCATAGTATCAAGACCCCTTGCACGCGCCCAACTGCAGTGGCATGTGCTCGTGTCGAAATTTGCGCCTACTCCTTATCCTGAGACACTGGATTCACCTTCTTCGGATAAAGCAAGGGTAATTAGACAGTCAAAGATGCGGTTTAGTAGCTAGGCCGTGTGTCCGACGAGTTACCAGCACCAGCCACCGCGTCCAATGCTGCGAGGTGATCAACAAGATCGTCCATGACACTCCGAGGATGAACATAGTCAACTCCCGACACAGCACTTCCATTGTCTTTTACAGAATCATCTTCGTTCCTCCGTGTGTCCGATGTATTCGTCGAGCTTAACCCTGAGATCTTTGTAGGAACTAATGGCCCACTCTGGGGTTCAAATCCAGGAGCTATACGTCGGAGTGCCTCTCGCCGCCGCCTCTCCTTGTTTTCCTCGCGCCGTTTAAGGTATGCTTCATGTCTCGCGGAGTGTGCAGCGATTGTCGCCGCACGAGACGATTCGAGCGTCAAGACGTGAGGCTCTAGTGTAAATGGATAGGCAAACTACATGACGTCAGAATGCCATGGAAAGCTGTATAACGGAAATGGTACGCACGTAGACATTGATATCGTCAGGGAGAGGGTGCATATCTGGAGGAACTTCTATCTTTTATCCGATCAACCGATAACATCTTCGACAGCATAGGCTTGCTGTGAACTTACAGGATGAGGAATACGCAAACTTGGTGATTTGATGAATGGTACATGTGCGGCAGGAGCGTACTGGGCTATTCGATGTTATAAACATGTTCATATAAGTCTCGTGTGTCAACAGAGCATACCTTGTTCGTGCATATTTGGAGATTGTGCAAGAATGTAGCACGGATTGACGGAGATAATTCAGAGTCAGGATTCAGAAGACAGCATTGGCCATTGACATTTATCTTCGCAGCACCACGTGACGTACAATTCAATTTACACAATTTTACAGGCGTTTTACTCTGACTCTGTATCATAGAATCAAAAGTTACGAATACTTTTGATGGAGTCTTCGAGATTAATCGTTGCGACGCACGCATAACGCGTCGATAGTCAATCATCCTCATCTTCTAGTTTATCCTTTTACATCTACAAAATCTGTCAGAACGTATTGTCAATTCGGCAGCATACAGGTAAAGAAGAGCTTCAAAACGCTCAGTGGTTCAAATGCAATTATTTTCCGTCTACTTATTTTCCCTGTTACAAGCAGGAAATGAGCATGTTATCGCCTTAGATATTGATCTGCAAGCCACCCAAACCCGGTTGCATGGGGAACGGCAACAAGGATGATTGAGGCATTATATCATGAGCTCGTCGAGGCCGGATCTCTCTGAAAAATATGCTTGCAACACTTCGCCAGACTGGCAGAAGAACATAAAAAATCATGACTGGAGTGGACATGCGCATAGCATGGCAGAAACCGTGGTGTCAAAGTAAGTCAAGGCGGTCAATGCAAAGATCAAATAAACTCCGGGATTCACTCAAGTGGATGTATATCTGTCGTGCATTGCTATTATGTAGCCACAATACACTCTCGAGCAAACAGCCATTGCGATCCAGTGCATTACCAGTACCAGATCGCCGTGTGACGACCCGCCATCATTATCGGTTGTGAGACTTGCGGGCGTAGATTGACCGTGATCAAAATGACTGAGCGCTGCACAGGCCCTGAAGTTTGAATCCGTCCACAGCAATTGTACGCGATAGAGCATGCCATTTACATGCACAAACCGCTCTTAGACCGTCTGCAGGTCGAAAATTGACAAGTATCCTGAGTCATTTCCAGCGGAAAAGGGCGACGAATAAGGGTAAAGAAGATATTCAAGCGGCGAAGTACCCTGTGTTATTATGATCCTGATCCGTGCTGTCATTGCCATGCAACGATTCGAACAATGCGTGCCTTCACTACAGATGTAATCAGAGGATCATAGACAGAGATTATCAGCCGAATGCAAGCACCAGTACTCTCGGCGTTATTATGCTGAAGTACAAGTCCGATGAGAGTTTGAAGTCACGGATTATCATCTACTGAGGAAAAACATCGTCGCATTTAGATGATATGAAGCGGATATGACATACAAAAGCAACAACTTTTTCTAACCCTCCCTACGACATGCAATCAAGTCCTAAACTTTCTTTATCTCAACAGAAAAAGTATGCCCAGCTCCGGTAAGGAGAACAATCCCAAAATCTGACGATCAACGAGATGCGCTCCAGCTGAGTGGGTAGGTCAACGAGTGCCCTTTCATCTTGGGCAAGCGGTAGACTCCTGCGAGAAAAGCGGGTAGAAAATTGCTCGCAAGGGGACAATAAAGCGAGCCCGGAATGAGTTGAAGAAAAAAAAGTTGAACAGCTGGCGACGTGACATTTTGTGGGCTGCCTTATTTGGAAGCAGCGATCGGACCCGACTGTGATAATTGAGAACCTCCTTAAAGCTTGACTTCGTCTTCATCACTCAGACTTGTTCAAAACTCAAAGCCTGTCCTTATTCCTCATTCACGCTGTACTGTACCTTGCATGTAAGTTTGTTATTCGCACATAATCCCTGACTTTAGATAGCTCCGCGATGCTCCTCTGGTCATCCACAAGATAACTGCGAGGTCAGGAACGTCAAGTGATTGTTCGGACCATGGGTAGAAATGCATGTCGAACACTCGTAGGCGATTGCCAATCTCGCAATTGTGAACAGAGACTTGCAAGAAACGTGCTGGCGTCTTTTATCCGAAGCAATAATTAATACCTATGCATCATCTTCAGTATCATGGAATGCTGCCCTGAACACTGCAGGCAAGCAGGAGCGGTAGGTCCGATCCTTTTTCATGTTTCACCCAATCCTCACGCCTCTGCGCATTGCTGATATTTCCCCGAAAGGAGAACTACCCTACACGCTCTCCGTCCTGGATTTATTGTCTCCTGTTGTGGCGGAAGAGCTCCTGGCATTTTCGCTGCTATTCTCGCTTTCTTAAACTCCCGTGTGCCTGTGCCGATATCGGTATCTTTTCTGAAGCTTTGAAGATGTGAAAACTTTTTACCAGCCGTTGGATCATTATCTGCTCAAGACAATTGTCTACAGTTGATTACCTAATCGCCAGGCACCATGTATTATTCTGCGCTTGCTTGGAGACGTGAACGAGGTGCGAAGGTGAGCCGAGTCATTATGCCCTATGATGTTTTCACCAATATCTTGGACCTCTTCAAGAGTTTCAGCATGCACAGCGTCAAGACAATGGGCGGTTACTCATTGGATCATGTTGGCACGACATGGCGATTACTAAGTTCGCACAGGTCGGAGAAGGATATTAATATCCCTACCCCCAAGGTATTCCCGCCGAAGCACGGCAATCAACCAGTCTAATTGTTGTCTGGCCTGTGGGCTTGAGAAGCGACAATAGTACCCAAGTTGCCCTCTGCAGTGCATGAACAGTATGAGCTACTCCCGCGGGCCCGCCGTCACATCGACCATCCCGTCCTTTTTGTCTGTTTGCAAGAACATGCGGGTCGTCAACCTAAAACCACATTCTCTTCTCATGGTTCCAAGCTGATCTTCCTGCACGAACCTGGTCTTTTGTCTCTTTCGTTGCTCATGATTCCGTCGTGAGGGTATAAGAGTTGACGACTTTCAGTCTCTGATGTCTCCCCAGAAAGTGTCTTCATAGCTCAGTGACCTCTGCGTCTCGTCTATCTTCTAATCCGTACCGGCGATACATTATCTACTCAAACGCAGACATGGATTCTTTTACGGGCTTCATCTTCTCGAGTCCAAGCGCCGAGGCACCCTCAAACCCACCAGTGGATGAGGAACGTGCATCTTCCAGCAATACGTTCTGCGTCATTGCATGAACGCACTGTATGTCATTTCCAGGTTTCACTGACACTGACTCTTGGAGCATTAATTCATATTCTCTTCATCCCAGATTATACACATCGTGCACGCTTCATCTACGATTTTCTCTTAAAACACAATATACGAATTTGGCAATGTTGCACATGCCTTGCAGCGGAGCCAACCCCACACTCTACCCGATTCTTGGATTATCCCACCGTCCCGCATCATCATGATTTATGGTCGATAAAATTATTCTGTCACGGCATTTCATCCTCCTCCGCACGTCAACAAGTTTCCCTGTATCGTCTCTTCGCATGCTCTCGCCTGGTCTCGGACCTGCGTTCTGGACAAAGCCTTCGTACCGTTGTTACATCGCTCGATCGGTGGTGGTTTCATGTTCCCGTCTTTACCTGTTTATATTCGTTCCTGCCTGTCTGAGTGTCTCAACTCCTATTTCGCGCGCCACATTGCTATTAGGTCCGATTGTTTTATTATTGCTCTCCACCACACGGTTTGATGTGAACTGTTATTCTTATTTCGTTGGATTGTTTGGGGATTTGGAAATACACAGATTTGTATGTCTCGCATATGTAGGGCGCTGATTTGCGGCATGCATTTGACGAAAGAATCATATTTTACCCAACGGTTCTTCGCTTCGCAATTAAGCTATGCAGTTGCAGTTGCGTTTGTTAAGGGTCGCTAAATCTCGATCATTGCCCCTCAGCAGACGGCCGCAAGCCGAGACCCACTCCTATATCTTACGTCATTCTGTCCGACATCCGTTCCCGTTCCTCAATCTCACCGCTCCAGACGCGCTCAACGTGAAAGCTCTCTCCTATCCAGACGACACGCCTAGCCCGACCTTGACGTTCCATCTTTCTTGCTCGCTCGGATAGAATCCGTATTTAATCCATTCAGTATACGTACCTTTTGGCTTGAAATTCCACAGTGTCGCAGGCACGCACCTTGAACGAAGCGTAACCCGTGCTGCAGGAAGGCGAGCCCACGGACCATCGATTCATTTTGAAATATTAGTGGGACCAGTGACCAGTGACCCATCGGCGGGAACGGACTTCGGGAGCTGGAAGCCACTGGGAGCTTCGTCGATCGGACTAGACCGGCTTGTGTCCTCGCCGAGGAGCTTAGGAGTTATACACTCATATTATTACTCCCAGACACCCCCTTACCAGCAGTCAAGCCCATTCTGAGCGCTGTCCTCACCAGCCTTCCTTCCTGCCAGGCCTTGTCTGTAATTCCTTGTCTCAATTATTTAACCGTCCACCAACAGACGGCGCAGCTTCTCTCCACCGATCAGCGCACCGATTGTCACGGGGACGCGCATCATGAGCACTAGCTTCTCCCAGCCGGAAATGAGCAGCTTCGATCTGCAATTTGCTCACGCTACCTCACGAGCACCATCCATCGTGTCGCTCCGCCTTCCACATTCCACTGCGCCAGCAACCGCAGCGTCCTCCATGCTCACTGTCTGTCCCGCAGAGGATGAAAAGGATTTGGAGGCTATGTCGCCAGGTCCATCTGCAGAGGGCGATGACACTGCAGACATCCGGGATGACAGCGCACCGTCCGCTGTAGTGCCGCAGGTCGCTCTCACGTTTCTACTCGTCACGGGGAACAGACGCACGATGTCCTTCGATCCGGAGACCACTATAGGGCGGGTGAAGGAATTGGTCTGGAATGCTTGGCCCAGCGGTACGTGCCATGATTCATTTGCTGCAACGTAGTGATGGACATGATTTGTTTTCAATGCCTATACAGACTGGCAAGATGAAAAGCCGCCGGCACCCAATTTCCTCCGGATATTGTACCTGGGAAAGATCCTTCAAAACGAGGACACGCTGACCAGTGAGTTTCCCTTCGTTGGACTCCTTTCCGTGTGCAGGTTTGGGGCATTCTGTTCTGTGGAGTGTGAAGTTGCGGCATTTTTTTTCTGCCATGATGTAATAATCTAAAGAGACCTGGCATGGTTATCATTGCGATTCCGAAAGCTGTGCAAGTGCGGGGGAGGATCAGCAGAAAGGCTGTCCTTCTCAATGCTACTTTATAACGTGGCCAAGAGAATGTATTGACCAATCGCGCTTATGATCGGCGGTTTGCGTTCCGCATTGTTAGCAAATACGCATCGCGCGATATGACACTGTTTTGTCGTGTTGCTTCTAACACGTTCCCGTCATGTACACTTGTTATCACGATGACTGATCCTTTTCTTGTTCGTAGGTCTCTCACTTCCTACACTGCCGCCGGCAACTGTCTCTATCCCGACTTCTCCACAAATGCAACTCTCTCCTGCGACCATTGTTCATCTCTCCATCCGGCCATATGCTCCTCCGACAGAAGATGAAGCCTTGCTAAAGAAGAATCTCCGTGCCGCTCGACGTGCACTTTCACGATCTGCCAGTACCGCGCAACCACCACCACAATCAGGTACTATAAACACTACGGAAGATGGGGCTACAGTAGGCGGATGCTGCGGGTGCATCATCTGCTGATCTCTTTGTCTTCGGAGAAAATGTGTCTGTGGTCTGGAATTGGAGAGGTTTTGTCGTCGTGTTCTCACTTTTTGGTCACGTGTATTTACGATGCGCTCTGCGTTACTCTGCTTTCGGTGTGTTGTGCACTTTGTCTTTTATGTTTCTGGGATCCAGTCTTCTGACGTTTTTCTTGGTTTATGGAGCAGAACTCATGTATGTACTACACTAGGCGGATCCCATGCACAATGTGCATGCTAATATCTGATTCCGATTCTTCATGCAGAAATGCCCTCCCTTTATATCCTGCATCAGTTTACCGTCATTCCTGCTCCATCGGTTTCCCCTGTGTCCTATGCTACGAAACTTTACGAACACATACTCCCTTCACTCTCTTCACTCGCGCAATTGATCCTCTGCATCGCTCTGTTTCCTTTGTTTTCAGTTCATTTAGCCCATATTTCGATTTCTCTCTCTTTCTCTTTTCAACTAAGAGATACCCGAGGATGTACAGACACGTTCATCACTTCACAGAATAAACGGAAGGTAGGAAAAAGGACACTCTGGAATTACGGTTGTAATAAAATTATTGAATGGTAATATTTACCTTCTCCTTCGGGATGAGGCAAATCGGAATCATTAATGGATATTGACATTGTTCATTATGATATGTCTAAGCCTAAGTGCGAATATGAAGCACATGGATATCATGACTAGATTGGGTTTGTCTAGTAGCTGCAAGGCTAAGTATATTGAAGCAGACAATAAGAGAAATAGAAACTCAAATGGTTAGATTGTTATGAAAGTTACTATAACGTTGGCGAGGGATTAGCTGGAACAAAGGTTCGCAACCTGTCAATGTTCATTGTTGCTTTCTTGGACTCTATATTGTAGCAAATATAAATAATAATAATAATAACAAAATACATTCAGCTCGGCTATTTCAGTCATGAATTACCCAACATCGTCATAAGCATCAGGACTAGCACATCAGGACTTACAGTAATCTGACTGATGCGATAGGCTATATCTATTAAGTACAGCAGTAATAAAACAACGTTGTAAATTATTAGAATAAAGTTTAGACGATTTTGGCCTGAACAGCACTCCGCACAGAGGTTAACTGAATGCCCAGATTGGTTAGTCGATATGATTCAGAAAGCGTATCAGTTCGAGAAGAAACTGCACACCAGCAATCATTAATGAACGTGAGTTACCTGACTACTGGATATAGATCATGTCAACATCCTGCTTGTTCTGTTGGATGTATGGAAACGAAGCTTAATTTGTGGGTGACAAAAGGACCGTATCGTAAATGTGTTGGCACCGGGTACTTGATTGGGCAAACGGCTGAGTATGAGTGCAAATCTAAAGTCTAGAATCGTGGCCCAGTATTTGGATCATACCACATCGATGCAAAATAACACAGTGAGTGGTTGAAGAAAGACACGCATGCATGTTAAACTAATCATATGGGCACTCTTCTGACGAAGGAGTGCCTGTTTCATCCGGCAGTTTGCTTGTGCATTTGCTCAGATGTTGTCAATGATTGCTGTATGTTGATGACGCTGAAAAGCTTAACACTGAAGACTTGTGATGGGTGGGCGAAACGGAATAGCCGGAGAAGCCGCTGGTTGCCAGTCAGCGCTGTTATTTGCACTGTATCAGAATGAGAAGTCAGGACGGAGAATAAATTTAGAGCTCATTTTTAAAGATTCTATCGGCTCAGGCATGAACACTGTACGTCAAGGCTTGCCGCATTTTCGAGTTCTCTTTCTATGGAATATGTCAGTGAGCGTATTGGAGGGAGCATATGTTGGAAGACAGCGTCTGTGAAAATCCGAACAATACGCGAGGAGAGATTACGACAAGCGGATGGCCGAAGAAAGAAGGATCCATGGGTGAATGAAACAGATCGGCGGCTGCCTGATATGGACAAGCCGACGTCGAATTTTTTTCTCGTGTCGCGTACACAAGGGCCGATGACCGTGTCGCTAAACCTTGCTGGTGTCGAGTACTCGAGCCACAAGGGTTTGGCTGGCTTTGTCTCCGGCAACCCCGACGTTTTCTCTGACGGCCATTCACCTGCGCCCGGCCAGCTTGCAGGGTTGCGAAGGAAAGAACGACGTGGCCTGGGCGGACTGCTTGTGTCTGTTGGCCTGGGCAGCTGGTCATCCTACTCTGTACTACTGACAGCACGCCTGACTCCACACTGGGGCACTTTATTGCTCGATGCGTCGCACTAGTGCATGCTCTCCTACATCACGCCTCCCTATCATCCTGTCTCTATTCTCTATCACCGACATCATTCTTCAGGCCCGCCCTTCCTGTTCCTCTTTTCCTTGTTCGGCTCGCCTTGCTCTCGCTCACTGACCTCCTTTGCCATCACCACCATCGCCGTGCTTATCCACCGTCCTTACCCTCTGCCTGTGCTGGCCAAGGCTCTCCAGTCATTACATCGTCTTCACTGCTAATCCGGCCTCGTTCTCTCAGGCCAGCTGCCATACAATTGCTCTTCCGGTACCCGAACTACACGTGCCCTTCCTCGTTCGCTTTGATATCTAGCAATATATCTTCCAAACGTTCGAACACGCCGATTTCCGATTTCCATTCCGTCTGCTGAGATCATTTCATACGTGCCGTTATCCCCTACTTCACCTAATTACCCTGCACGTAGAGCGCTCCCGCGCTCGTCCACCTACAACCGTCTTCCACTAGGTTGTTCATGATCATTCCCCTACCCTCAATTCTCGCAGTTTCAGCAAATGCATACACGGTTTTGCAAGAGACTCAGTCATCTATCGGCTTGTATGGGACCTCGCGTAGTTTGCAGGCTGCAGGAGGATTTTCTCTGTGAGTGCTTTTTCTTATTTTTGCTTCATTCCAAGAGGTGGAGCAGCGAATGCGGCGTTTTCTCAGCTGGGAAACAGCCCCACTTGAAGTCCTGATGTGAGATCGTCAGCGATGCCGCTTCTATCTGTTGTTTCATCTTACTCCCTTGTATAAGATCTAAATGCACGTACTGACGCCATGTTCATTTAATCAGCTATAGCTGCCGCCTATCATCAATCACTTCTGTCCCTACAGCCACTGATACCCTCCCTGTTACAATACCCGCATTTTCAACGACCTTTAACGAACCTATAGTAACGGAAGTGCCCTCCCCGCATTCAATTGCCGTACCTGTCACTAATGAATCTCTTGCGAGTGGGATTTCGTTAGCGGCGTTGTTCCCAGTCGCGTCCTGCCCTAGCCCCTGTATATCGCGTCGACAATTCAACGAGGCTCCTTCAGAGACCTTTTCAACGGAAACGACGGGACCTACTCGCACTATTACTGTCACTACCTCTGTTACCGTTCCTTCCTCACCTTCCTCTCCAACATCTCCAACATCTTCCGAGACGTCTGTATTATCGACTCCGTCACCGGATCCTTCGGGACCCGATACACAGACCTCGTTTTCGCTCACTTCCATTTCTGTACCCACGCTAAGCTCATCGGATGCTGGTGCCGACTCGACACAGGAATCGGGGACATTTTCAACGAGTAGCGACTCGTTGAGCCTTCCGATAGGTTTACCGAGCGGTTTTCCCACAAGCTGGTCGGGCTCCTTTCCTGCTGGAACATTGACTTCCATTACTTCCACGCTGATTCCTATCCCTACGCTGACCCCGCCTTCAAATACAAGTACTTCTTCGACGATCTCGACGAACTCAACTTCCTCCTCTACAACCACATCTAATTCAACTTCAATTCCTAGAAGCTCCTCGACTTCATCTACGTCCTTGTCCTCAACCTCGCTGCAATCTACGACTGATATGTCCAGCTCAAATGCCTCGTCAGTAATTTTCTTTATCGTCCTTCTGAAGCCCTTCCTACTTCCCTCCTCACGGAGCTTTTCAACTCCATTTTCATTTTTTTTCTGAACCATGTATCCGGAAGGAGATGTCACTGAAGTGGCATTGTCCAAGTCTGGAAGATCTTCGTTCCTTTTTACGGTAGATCTTCCGTCTTCAGGAAATTTTAATCTTCGTCTTTATCAAACGGCAACGGGGGCATTATCTTGATTTACCTCACCGAAAGAGGTGATCCGACTTCGTCGTTTGCGACGGGATCAGCATTTGCATCCACTGCAACCGAGTCGTCTAGAAGCGCTACCGCGAACTGTTTATTTCTCCAATTCGATGCTTATTTTATAAATGCATTTTGAATTAATCCACTGTCCTGTCTCCATTTAAGTCTTTCGCGGTATCTACTAACACCGTCTTCAGAACAATCACTACCCAGGCAGAGACATCGAGTATTTCCGTCATCGGCGTCACCACGGTATCGCGATCGAGCCGTCATGCTAGTATGACTGTAATTACTCCGTCTGCCACGATCACCAGTAATGGGGAGACAAGTTCGTCCCTGGAGACGATTACCACGACTATTATCACATTGCGGTCTGGTTCTCCTACGACAGTTACCTCTGTGCTCGTTGGACCGAGTGGAAGTCTAAATAATGGCACATCGGGGAAACGAAGGTAAGAGCGGCGAAGCTAATCATGAGGGTAAACAATTTGAACTTAAGATACCTGTACAGACTTCTCCCGAGCGGAGCAATTGCAGCCATCGCGATCCTTTCGTCCTTGGCCGTTATTGCCGCAGCACTCTGGCTTTTCTTCGCATATCGCCGGCGCCAGCGACGTGACTTGCACCACAGCATACATTATTCAGTCAATGGCAGAGGGGCGACTGGTCGCTCTAGTATGGGCGGGTCCTCGGGGATGCGCTCGCTTACGGCCAGTGTTGGACTGGGAGCAGGTGCTGCATACGGATATGGCACGCGAGGCAGGAGTAATAGCTCTGTATTTCCGATGAGAACGTCACCGCTTGAGGGAGAGGATGCAGACTTAGATGCTCCACATAGTGCAAGTGCACATTCAGGTGCCAGCCATGGTCCAAACAGTCTCGAAGGTGGACTAATGAGAGAAACGAGCGTCCGACTTGGAATCCCGATAATACCTGGTTGGACAACGGAGGCTTCGCGTAATAGTGTTTCTGACGCTCCGGTGGAAAGGATGAGAGGTGGAGATGCCAGCACAGAGGTCACAGGAATTACTCCTATACCTGAATGGCGGAATAGTAGAGAACGTCTACATAGTCTTCTCGAGGCATCTGGTCTTGGATCCGCATCATCGACCTTCGGTGCACCAAGACAACAGCGACCATCGCTTTCAATTAGCCCAGGTACCTTCACTAGTCCTGCTCGTACATTATTCCCTGTTGGGCCAGCCTCTCCTACGCAGAGAGAACACTCCAGCAGCTCGAATTCACGCACGGACGGAACGCGGCCATTCGCACGGAATCTATCGCTCGATGGTATGGATAATACTCCAGGCCTGCTAACAGAGGATCGACGTGCAGCCATCATGCGCAATAGTTCTGCTACTGCATATCAACGCAGAAGCTTGCCGCCGAGTGCATGGCTGGTGATGGATAGCGACAAGTCAAAGGAGAAAGAGGCACATCCGTCCTCTCCCTCGCCTGTAAATGACCCTGCTACGGGAACGTTTGGTCGAATGCGCTCAAACTCTTCCATGGAGTTCTCGTCCAGTGGACATGGACATGGATATGGTAATCCCGCAATTACATCGTCTCAGGGTCACGGCAGTGCCACGGCCTCCGGAGAAAATGAAGCTGGAACAAGTACGGGTTCAGGCAGTAGTGCAAGCCACCAAGGCAGCATTGCGAGCCGTGTACGAACGAAGAGAAGGAGCAATAGCGCGGACGGAGGATTCTTTGCGCGTGCGGCATCACTCACACCAACGAGCTTGCGCACACGGTTTCGACGAGCGTCAGCATCTAGTGCGATGCTATTAGATGGAGGTTTGGAGCGAAGAGCTCGTCCACCCTCTCCTGTTTCACGCCTAGTGACTAGCAGACCACTCACTCCAGCTCCAGCTGTTGGCACTATTCTCCAACCTTCGTCTCCCGACACTGCCCGGCCACCGTCTCGTGTACAATCAATGATCGTCCGCTTACAGCCGCCTGGTACGCTCACAATGCCACCCGCAGCACCGTCAGCGATGATGCGTGCGTCAGGACCTGGTACAGGTCTGCCTGCGATTCTTGCGACACCGTCTCCTCTACCGACACCTGATGGCGCGCTAACTGGACTGCTCGATCCACGACTTGCGGCCCGATTGAGAGAAATTCGTCGCGACCAGTTAAGTTCAAGCACGGTTGGCCTACGTGATCACGAGGATTATTCGAGACCGATTCGTGCAGTGAGTAACATTCTCAGTCGCGTTGCGAAGGAGTTGACTGACGGATTTGATTTTTAATTTACTAATTAGCTGGTACATAATCGTGATAGCGCATCAAGCGCCAGTTCAGACTACTCACAACCATCGGGATTAGAGACGTCGGATGAACGCACGCCCACTCAGGCTGAAATGCGGATATAGATATTTTTACTAAATCTTTCTTTTCGCTTGGATACACGACCCTTTATGCGGCATGACGGAAGGACATTTATTAACCCTAAGTACACACACAGCATGCATTTAGAACTCGCATTATTTAGTCCTCATATACAAATTGATCTTTGTCAGAGTACTTGACCCTTAACCAGCTAGTTTTCCTTCGTTGTATATACCCTTTCGTTCTTTGTGCCCGGTGTGCACGCACTGGTGTTTTCGGCGTATTTTTCTAACAACTGCCTCTTCATTTATATATAATCTTTCCTGTCATGTACTATCCCAGAAGTAGGTCTTCTGTCTGAGACTAATACGTTATTCACTAGTTCCGTGCTTTCTGCAACTCGCCTATAATCAAAACGAGATATATAAAAAATGCTAGAATGATACATAGTAAATAAAGAACAAATCTACAGGCATTTTTCATTTATTAGTTTTCATGAAAATTTATGGTATGAAGATTTATATAGTAAGTCGCTTCAAAAGCATTGAACAATTTATTTATGCATAGTTAAAGCATCTATTTTAGACTTTTAGAGCAAGTTCAATATGTTATAGTTGTCTGATTTAGAAACTAATTATTTTAAATCTTTATACTACTTATATTAGTATTGTACTCTAAACATTATGATTACTAACTAAAATAAAATAAACACTGAGAATAACAAAATATACTAACAGTAAAATAAACCTTGTAGTTATAACTTGTTGCTAATTATTCTCTCCATACATATCTAATTTTTCAAATAGTATATATGTATACTTTGTTTTATAATACTATATATAATAGTGTACTTTGTTAATCTATTTTTACTTATAGTAAACTAATTCTTTTATGGTAATTAGAATTGCTTGTAACTCAAAGCAAATATGAGTATAAAAAGTAAGTAATAGCAAATAAAGTAATCTAATTGTATATACTACTACTAATAATATACAGAATGCAGTTATACATACAAACTTTGTATAGTTATTGCTAAGTATAATTTCTATTTCTATTATTTTATACTATATAATAGATATATACCCAAATACTGAAATCCTATAATGTATTTTTTTATTCAGCAAGAAAGTCTTATTTTGCAGTCTAAGACTCAAATTCTATTTACATACTTTTTGCACCTAAGTAACTTAGAGAAAATGCAATCTGTTACTTTGCATTGTATCTAGGTATAAAGTAGCTAGAACTCTTGCTAATATTCTCAATCTAATTGCTTCTGACCTGTAAAGAGAAATATCAGAGATGAAGGCCAATTTTGAGGAACAACTGAAAATTGATCCAATGGCATTTTATAAAGCATTAGGTTTCAATGACACAAAGGTGACACAAGATGAAATCAAAGATGCACAGAAAAAACTGGTTTGTAGTCCTACTAAATTTCACTGCAAGATATTTACTATGTAGCTATGACTCTTGCAGGCCAGAAAGTGGCACCCAGATAAAAATCCAGATAATAAGGAAGCTGCTGAAATGTTCAAAGATGTATATTTAGTCCTACACTTCAAGAACAGTATATGCATACTGATTTAATTGTAGGTCCAAACGGCATGGGAGGCTTTAGAAGATGAACACAAGCGCTTTCAAGTGGATGATGCAATCCGTCGGATGAGGCTAGGAGTGCACAGAGCAGGTTGATACTTTACTGTACCTGATTTCTGTAGTATCACATCCTTACAATATGTATTCCTGCAGCGCCTTCGTTTAGAGCAACTAATACCAATTATTGTGAGTAATGTCTGTACTAATTGTTGTTGTCTGTTCTAATCCAATTAACCTCTGTAACAATTAAAAATGCCTGTGACATTTATGTGAATAATATGGCAGCGCAGCACTCTACTATGCCACGAACTCAGGAGCAGGGGTACAAGTACAGTCCACCAGATCCTGCTGATACATAGTAAGTACTCGGATATACTGCACAACATGTAGTGTCTCGTCGTTGAGAAACAAACGAACTAGTCATAGGAATCCAAGACCGGCCGAATACGGCTGTGAGTGGCTATTCCCATCTCTTTCATAACTTGCAGCATGGATTGATTAACCAACAAAACATCAGATGATAAGGCACGCCCGTCTCACACAAAAGGTCAGTTCTGATAAAATCCTTTATCTCCGTACCTGAATCACTTAACTACAAATTTCAGGTACTAGAAGACGTACGAATGGTAAATATCATTCAAGCTCATCTAACCCAGATGATCCACCCAGACAAGATGGTGCGAGGTCCTATGGCTACAGTCGGTACTCTTCTCTCCCTCTTAGACACACTCTCAGTTATCTTCTTACACATCCCAGACCCTAATGATAGTAATGAATGCAGTGCACCGAGGCCATCTTGGGGTGGTGAGTCCTTGATTACTGTCTCATGCTATTCCTTGTCTTACTTGTTTATGTTATAATGTACATCAGATGCCAAGCGTCATATTAGAGAAGAAAAGAAACGTGAGTAAATCCTGATAGCCTCATGGATTGTAAATGCAAACTACAGCTAATCATTCTGTGAATGATAGATCCCGATGGCTACAGATTTGTAAGGTCTTCAACACACCCTGAACAACCTTCCGAAAAGATACAGGGTGTGAAAAGATCAAGTACATTTGACAGTTATAACAAAATAATACCACCGCCTCATGCTAGAAAACCCAATCCAGAGAAAGATCCGCACCTCTATTACGAGGTTCAGGACAAGGCTCACTGGAGATACGTCTCAAGTGAAATGGGAAAACAATACTCCATTGGCCTTTTTGTTAGTTCCGGAGTAGCCACAGACTATATTCAAGGACTACCTTATTCTACACCATTCAATGACCAACATGTACTTATGGGCAAGTATGAGGATGAAAGACCGAAAAAATACGAAGGTGATGGAGGAGACATGCTTTATATAACTTCTAGAGTTGATGGCACTATCTTTCCTTTCCTACCAGCAACAAGGCACGACACAATAGTTGTTGTAAGAAGTTTCCTCTTTGCTGCGCCTGCAGCTTTGACGCTCTATGCTCACTCAATTACAGCACTTTGACCCAGAATTCTACGATCTCGCCTTGTTCCATTACGACGACCCAAGGACGGTAGCTATGAGAAAACACAAACTAGTTCCCCCTGTATCTGATATCAGGGATGACCAGTACATTTACCGCTTGGGAAGGAGGATTCGTGACTGATGAACAGACTTCCATTTGTAGTCGATTACGGTAGCTACAGTAAACCTCTTGAAGATGTAATGGAATAGAGTAATTAATTATTCATAAAGCTAAGTACTACTGCGTTGATACTGCCTATTGGAATACGGAACCAATCTGGAGGGTCTTATCATTTATGTGTTACGGAACAGACCAGGTTGTATAAAATAGTTGGCCATATTAAACTTGCTAGACCACAAGTGGAAATACGCTTCTTTTGTGATTTGGATAAAGTATGCAGAATGAATCAAGGAAAGTAGACGAATGCCAACAAATATTGAAATAATCTCACTTTCGACCAACACCACGATTTGTCACTTGATGTATTAGATAATTGTGTCTTCTCCTGCCTTCGCACTGTGCATTTCACTCGTAACACTTTCGAGCCATGCCTGGCACTCTACTGACCAACAGCAAACGGGGAGAAGACTCAAGGCAGTCCAAATCAAAGCCTGATCTGCAATGGACTTTCTCACTTTTCGGAGGCTGCGAGTCAGACTCGTCCGATTCCAGTGACCTCGAGGATGAAGAGCCGAGGGCCACCAATTCCAATTCCAATATTAAGAGTGACGCATCTTACAGCAACGAAGGAGAAACGGCAAACATTGGACTCACGATTGAGACGGAAGATGTACGTTTGATACGCGAGCTGGACATCGCATCCCGCGCAGAGAAGGATACCGCACAGTTTAGGGCGAACCCTTGGAGTATTGCGCGCGTGAATGCTGCATCTCGGAAGAACGCACCTAGTCCCTCAGGCTTGGGATCAAACTTGGCTTCCGGCCATAATGACTGCAACCATGCCGAGAATGGTACCTTCGTGCGGGTTGTGAAGCCTGTTGACGGCGGAGACTGGTCACGAGCACGCTCTGCCATACGCACAAGTGGGAGTAAGGAAGATACACCGAAGACGATCGAGAACTATTTCACTGCAGGCAAAATCAGCCAGGGCAATCAGCAGCTCAAAGCCACAAAAGTTTCTGTCGATAGCAAGCGCATTCAGTCAAGTCCCCATACGACTAGAAAGATCTCACATCAGCCAGTCAACGCTGCTATTCTGCAAAAGCCCGATGCGTCTAGGTCTCCAAGCACTTCTCGAGCCGCTTGGCCGATCGTTCATGCTGGAGGTCACTCTTCACCACAAACTCAAGCTACCCTAACCACGGGACAGGAACACGTCTCTCCTACGCTTGTGGATGCTAACATTCATCGGGCTACTCAGTCTTCTCAAGAAAGCCCACTTGCACTCGCTCCAGCTAACAGCACGAGGTTTAACTCCTCCTATGCCGCTGACTCATTTGACTATGGAATTCTTGATCACTCGCATATACATACGGAAGGAACTAAAGGATTTACGCATGATATTCCCTCTGCTGATCTAACGGCTACTGAGCTGGTGTATTCGGACTGTCCTGACGCTGAATATGAGCTTTATGCTCCTGAAGAAGCAAATCCAATATATGCTGACAAGTTCCTCGCTGATGATGACACTCGGACGGGTTTACCATCGCCAGGTACTGTTTGCAGCCTGCTTTTCCGTATAACATCTGACTGGCTCGTTAATACGTCAGCCGAACGCATATATTCAACAAAATCCTTTTTACGTCCTGTTTCTTCTTTGACTCGCCCGCTCCAAAGGCCATTCTCTTCACCACCACGCCCTGGCTCCAATACATCCAGAGCAAGACCTACTATCACTGATACTTTCTCAAGCACAATACCAACTCATATGAAACAAGAAATGGCGGATGCGCCCTTGAACGTCAACGATAAATACCAGTCGTCCCAGTGTCGAGGGCAACTTATGCAACCTAGCACTCATCGTTCGTACTCCTCTCCGATTCGACAACAAATCCGAAGCGTGCATTCGTCTGGACGTGTGGCGCTCGGTCTTGAGCCACCCAAGCCTCAACCTAGTGACTGGACCATTGATTCTCATCGTTTAAAGCGTTCTACAAGACCTGATGCTTCCCTCGGTGATGCCCAGCTATTGCCTCAACGTGATGAGTTGATAACTAGGCATGGAGATGACGCCCCCGGGCGGAATCACATACCGAACCACCACCATTTTGTCAAAGCAGAAAGCGCTGATCTGGAATTCGATGACCTCGTGGAGCCTGGTGAATGTAAACCCGCGCCAGGGCATTCTTCTCCATCTACGTACCAACATCACTCCTCTCGCTCACCGCCTTCCCGACATGCTCACTCAATTCATCCTACTGACGCCAATCGTCCTCGTCCAAAAGAGGTTACTTCAACGCATAAAGCTGACGTATATTCTACATTCGCAAACCAAGATGAAGAAGATACTTGGACAACGCTGCCACAACGCAAGAAAGCTCGGACTCATCAAGTACCCTCCTCCTCCACCAGGGAAGTCGAAAAGGCAAAATCCATGAAGCAATCCGGACGGTTCAAACTTCCTATTGCGTTACCTTCATTAGCTGCAAAGACTGTGACGAACGAACCGACGTCGATGGGGAGGAAGAGGGTTATAACGTACCTTCCCCCGCCGAGAAATGCGCAGGCACAGACGAGTGGTACGATGAACGCGCAGAGTGATAAAACAACGGCGCCTACCACTAGAGGGAACGATCCGAAGGCGCGGGTAGGAACGCCGAAGGTGAACAAACCCGCCTCGCAATGGTCTATCAAGCGATTGGGCTTTTCGAAAGGCATACCCGCTGCACCTTCTAGCGATCTGAAGTTGAATCTGCTTCATGGGCAGATCAACACCAAGGCGGAGCAGCCGGATGACGAATCATACTTGCTGAAGGATGGACAGGCTCAGTATTCAGAATTAAAGAGCTCTCCAGACGACGGAACTGGGATGTTATCGAGCGACACTTCAGCGAGCTACAAAACACCCGACGAAGGCGATAGCAGCGACATGGATTTCGATGTCACCTTTGCTTTCGAAGTTGAAGCCATCCAGCGTTCGTATCCTAAAGCTCGCCAGGCAATGCTAGAGGTTTGTTCGCATCTTCGTAACATCACCAACTTCAATCTTTCCCTTCTTTCCTTTTGCCTCACTTTGCAGTCATGATCGAATAAGGCTCACGCATTGTGATGTTTAGTAGCGCAAAGCAGCTTCTTTAGCTGTCTGGGACGAACTAGGTCTTCCAAGCTGTGGGAAGCATTTCGTGGACGCTGTGCACTCCCTCGGCGAAACTGACGAGTATAGTTCTACTCCCCGAGCCAGAGGAAGTATTCTCACCGAGGCGGTGATGAAGAATAAATACGAAATCCCTATTGTCGTCTGGAATGGTATTCCCGAAGAACAACGCTTTGGCGTCGTTTGATCTTGATCTTGGTGAAGCTAACCAAACCAGTATAGAATGTAAAATTGAGCAAGCATAGAAGCAAAGTGTCATTATGATAGAAAGAAGGAAACCATAATTAACGAATGTCATTCATTAAAAGAGCGGCACGGTTTGCATACAGGATAAGTCCGTATGCAACCAAAGAAGACGTACACAAAAAGTAAAGAGAAGAGAAAGACAATGTCCAAAGGCAATCTGCACGATTTTGTCGAGGGTCTGTCGATAGTCTCACAACAGGAAGGTAAGCAGAAAACCAAGAGGAGGTGAATAAGCATAAGGCTGTATGTAGAAGAACAGAAAAAAAGTCAACAAAGTCGATGGTCTGTTCGTCCAAAGATGAAAACCCAAAATAGGAAGAAAGTGAAGCGAAAATCGGGTCAAGAACAGCGTACAAACCGCTTCAAAGTAACTCCATCTCCATATTTTCCCTAACATCCCACCATTTCAAACCCATCCATCAACAAGAAAGGGGTCGGAGACAAACGCCAAACACGTGTAACCCAACGTGATTCTCCCGTACGGCTCTCACATCGCCAGCATGGCCATAGCACCCGCAGCCAACACACCAAATGCACCCGGCATGCTCATTTGAGCGACAGCTGCATTTGAACCAGAGGGAGCAGCGGCGGAGCCAGTTGCACTGCCAGATGAGGTGGAAGTATCGTCTGCTGAGGGCGTCGAGGAGGGGTCTGGGTAAGCGGAGCCTTGGGCTTTGACTTCGAATTCGTCACTTTCGGCGTACACCTGTGTGGATGAATGAAGTATGAGATACAATGATGCAAGGAAAGACAGAAGAAGGCATGTATAAGAGAGCGTTGGAAAACCCGAGAGATTACGGAATAGGCGAAGCGAGGAAAGGAATACGAACCTGTGTACTGTTAATGCTATTCGCGAATTGGAGCTTGTAGCCGGTCGAGACCTGCAAGTTTGCCTGTTGGGTCGTGAGCGTCCTGGAACAATCAAAGTTCTGCTGGACGGCGATGATGGCCTGGGGAGCGACGAGGATATTTGGGTTCGAGTTGGTCAGGCTGTCAGTGTCAATGGGATGCGCGTCAGTAAGTTAGCAACAAATAAAATGAGAATCCACAAAGATAGCGTGGGGATATGTGATCACGTAGTACGTACAGAATTGTAAAGTTCTGGACCTGGGACTCCTTACAGTTCCACGCGATGACATTCTGTGAGTTGGCAACTGCGTGGCAAACACGATTTCCCCATCGTCAGGAGAACAAGGAAAAATCGCGAAATGTCGTGAAATGACGCGTAAAGAGGTTAGTATACGTGAAAAGTAGAAGAGTAGACTGGGATGACGGATGAGGAAATACATACCCCACCAGAGGTTAGGACCACCAGGCGAGAGAATCTTAAGCTGGGCTGAGGCAGAGGCTGCGAGGGCAGCAAGGACGAACGCGGTACGAGCGAACATGGCAGGCGTCTTGAGGGCGAGAGACGGATGAACGGAAGTAAAAGGCGAGCAAGCGAGAGGACGGGACAAAGGAGAGGATAAGGGGACGGGACAGAAGGAGCAAGCACGTATGCCTCTGGGAAAGAGAAGCGAACTGTCAACTGAGTTTTTGTCGGCCATGCGCCCTCGGCTATTCTATCCCCGTCGTTTTGCCGAGCGTGATCTGACGTTTTTGGCAGTAGCAGCACGCCGTCATCTTACCCAGAAATAACACAGCACAAATGTCATAGATGCTTTTATGGTAACCGGCGTTCTATTCTTCTTTTACGCGTTCATAGCGCTGCTTGACACTGCGCTGCTCACTCTCCTTGTTGAAATTCTCGGAGGATGCCGAGATGACGCGAGATGACTTTCACGTGACTCGTTCTCTTCGCATCGCGCGCGTTTGCCAGTCGCGGTTCTGTCCGCATCTAAGTATCTAGCAGTCGCTTTCCCTCTGTCGTATTTTATTCGTCATACAGACGACGAGACATAAGTGACAGCAGCTATGATACAAACCTCGCTCATTCAAAATGCGCACAGTGATCTGGTCACTGACGCTTGCTACGACTTTTATGGACTGTATCTCGCAACATGTGGTCTTGATCAGAGGTTAGTGCTCCGCATATATTGTGCATCCAGATCACTCATTTAAACTCTTCTCTCGAAACGCAGGATAAAGTTATGGGCTCTAGACGAGTCTTCAGGACAGTGGAACCTTGAGGATGAATGGAAGGTGCGGCATACACCTCACCAGCATATCAGCAATAAAACATACCAGATCCTCTTCAGGCCCACGACGCAACAGTAACGAAAGTCTCATGGGCGCACCCAATATACGGTCCAGTCATTGCTTCCTGTTCCTTCGATGGTACTGTAAAGGTTTGGGAACAGGTACATGTTGACAGTGTGAGCGACGCGTCGGGTACGGGTGCATCAAGCGGAAACACGAAATGGGAGCAGCGAGCTGTGTTATTTGAGGCCAAGGGGAGCGTTCGGGCTATTGAGTTCTCTCCACACCATTTTGGATTAAAGCTTGTGAGTACTTTAGATTTTGTCATGAATTTAGTTGTCTGCAAAGAAAGTCTAACCGATGCGAATAGGCTGCAGTTTCCTCAGATAATCAATTACGAACCTACGAATGCGTCGAGCAGCCCGCACTCTCTTCATGGCAACTCGTCGATGAAGTCGACGTTCCTTCCCTTTCAGTCGGAAGCGCACACGGAGGTCCCTCGCTTGCACAAACGCTCGCACCAGGGACACCGACACCCTCCGCTAGTGGAGCTATAGCGCTCGATAGCGCAAGTGTTTCTAACTTACTTCAGACAGCTCAACAACAGCAGAGTGCTGCACATGGTGCAGGGAGACCTGGAGTTGGCTTGCGCGAGGCGGATGGTGGTTGGTGTTTGAGTTGGTGTAAGGATAAGTATTGGGGAGAGGTGCTTGCTGTTGGGTGCGGAGTTTCTGGAGTTGTTAAAGTAAGCCGAACCGTCATATAATACACCCTGTGTGTTTGGTTTGGTTTACAGTGTCACTGAACTGGAGATATGCAACAGATCATCCAATTCTCATCCCACCGACCACACGCCCTCCTCGCCCTCGAACCACCTCCACCCTCCACTTCAGCCCCTGCCGTCCCTCGAGGGAACACGTCCCGTTCAGGCGGTTATGCCGCAGCCGTGGGTGGCAGTAACGTAAGCAGCAATGACACTCCATATGCAGTAACAAGTGTAGCATGGGCACCAAGTTGCGGACGTTCGTTCCATTTAATCGCGACTGGATCGAGGGACGGGCGCGTGAGGATATGGAAAGTCCGGCCTCCTCCGCCTTCTGTTACTGCTAGCATGCATAGTAATGGGATGGTGATGGAGGAGGATATGGCTGTGGATAGTTTGGACGAGAAGTGGAGTGCGAGTTTGGTTGCGGAATTTGATGACCATAAATCGAGTGTAGGTCGCGTCGAATGGAACATTACCGGGTACGTTTCCTTATTGTCCCTCATCGCTCTTCATCTTCAACTATACTAACTTATATGAAACACAAAGGACCGTCTTATCCTCGTCAGGGAACGACGGACGCGTTCGTCTCTGGAAACAGACTGTCGGTGGCGTATGGAGACCCGCGGGGCACATTAGTGTTGAACAAGCTGAGGAGAGGCCTCAAGCGACTGATGTTGATATGGATGAGAATGGTGGGACGAGTTAAGAATTATCTTAGTGCTTTACTTTGTTTTCTCGAGTTTATACATTGCTTCGTGAGCGATATTCAGTCAGAGGAGTATGGCTATATCACCAACTGGTGACGTAATGTGATACCACCGGTCTTTATCCTTCCTTAAGCTGCACGACTTACTCAATGCCTCATGCAAAATTCCTAGCAGATGAACTCAAGCAGCCCTAGTTAATCGACACTTCCAGGCTCCTTCAAAGACAGCTATAAATTAATTATACTATGATCTAAGAAAATTTATAATCATCGTAAATGTATGTTAATTGCTCTATTATCCTCGATTGCAAACTAAAAACCAGGACTGTTCTCAATTTAGTATTACCTGGGTGGGACCTGTCGTCAAATTCAAGTTATAGCCAAATCAAATATGATATGCAATACACGTACGTAAATACTACCAAATATGTGTCAACAGTGTTTCTATTTGTTTGGTACCTCATGATTCCCATCTCATTCATCACCTCGTGTTGCTCATCTCACACAATAATATTACTGTATTTCACCCAGAAACACTCACTTTAAGGGTATTTGCAGTCTATAATTACTAAAACTCATTATTATTTCACAAAAAAAATACAATTAGAAAGGTCTTCATATTAGCTACAAAACATATGTTTTAATTTTTTGTAAAATTAAAAAATAAATATTTTATTGAATTTACGCGTGAAGGACTCAAAACTGAGCGTTCAACGTGATTCACCAGGAAACGCACACTCGTGGGAAACTAAACTTAGAGAAATTCGTGCGTGCATTCACTCAGTACACAGACTCGACTTCAATCCTATCCAGACCAATTTACTTTGGTCTGGGCAGAAATAAAGGTAAGTACAGTCTATTAGTCATATACACTCTATTAATTAATAGAATATATGGTCCTTTATACAGGAACAGGCTTGTTGTGATGACTTAGAGTCTCTTGCCTATGTTCTAATGTCTGCTTCTTACTCTCCTCTACCTCTCGTTTTCCTCCTCCTCTGCTTCCAGAATTCATTACACTTATTATAATTATTAAAGAATAATAAAGTAACTTACTTTTTAATAATCATTCCAACTTTTTCTTTAAAAGTTTATGAGTTAAAGGAATAGCTCTAGAAGAAAGAGATTTGGTCCAATCTTTTAAAATAGTTTCTTAGGATGAGATAAAAGTTGAAGAGACAAATGAGATTAAAACATTAGAAATG